CTTTCTAGGGCGGTTTTTCTTACACCATAGTCTACGGTGCACTGGGTGCCCAAAATTTTTGTGTCAGTACTGTACTGTACGGCAGTACTGTACAGTTGCCTTAAACTATACAGTACTGTCAGTTCTGGAGCCGCCAGGACTGTACCGCGATACCCTGAAACGACCGGACGGTATGACCTCAGTCCCCTTCAGCCAGGGCAAATCTTGGGTTTGGGATGTAACGTGCCCGGACACCATGGCCACTTCCTACATTGCCAAGACGTCCCAGGAAGCCGGCGCGGCGGTATCCTGCCATTTCGGCCGCAGGACATTTCGGCCGCATGACACTTCGGCAGCCTGACATTTCGGCCGCCTGATATTTTTTAGGTTTTTCTTAGGTTTCCAAAGCTTTTTTAGCTTTTCTTAGGTTTCTTAGGTTTTCTTACACCCGAACTGAAGGTTTTTTTGGTTTTCTTAGGTTTCTTAAATTTTCTCAGGTTTTTGGTTTTCGTAGATCTTCTTAGATTTTTTTGGTTTTCTTATGTTTTCTTAGGATTCTTAGCTTTCTAGGGTTTCTTAGGTTTTCTAACGCCCGAACTGAACGGGCGGCCGAATTGTCATGCGGCCGAAATGTCATGCGGCCGAAATGTCGGGCGGCCGAAATGTCAGGGAGCCGGCGCGGCCGCCACGATGGCAGAGGCAAAGAAAAACAATAAGCACGCATATCTACGGGCTAACTTTATTTTCTCTGCTTTGGTTTTTGAAACAATGGGCGTGTGGAGTAAAGAATCTAACAATAAATGTAAGATGTCTACGCTCGGTAAGATGCTTTTTGAGAGGACACAGGAGAAACGGTCCACTCTATTCCTGAAGCAGAGAATCAGTATAGCTTTGATGCGGGGTAATGCTGCTTGTGTTCAGGAAACGTTCTGCATTGGTAAGTGATTGGACGAAGTGTTATATACAATGCGAGCAAGAAAGGAAGCTACGGGTTTAGGGTGTGCGTTCTAGCGAAGACAGCGAAAACCGGTTTGTACAGCTCGTACGCGCACAGACAGCCACACTCATACGTGTGTAAGTGAATGCGAGCGGATTAACCCACTCACACGCACATGTGCCGATGGATCGATACAGCGAGGCAGCATTCAGCTTGCGCTTTTTAGCAGCACTGGAATCCGCTGTCTATAGTCACAGCAGAGAGGCTGCATTGATCAATCAGCCTCAGCGGGCAAAAAAGGCTGTTCGCAGGCTTTTTAACATAGACCGTAGCCTCCTCATTTAGTCAGATTGTAGCTATATTATGTGCTGAAATGATGTGACGCGTAATTTTGTTTTAATTCTATCCAATGTTCACTCGAATAACCCAATAAAGCAACCTGTACGGCATACCCTAATTAATTAACGGTATGTGACAATAAATATAGTACATAAACTTTCCAATAATTACTACCTAGGTTAAAGCTTGTTACTTTATTACTTATTATTTTATTACCATAACAATAATTATTACGTTTTGAGTAACACTACCCTAAAAAAATGGCAAAATTTTCAGCATATTATATGTTTGCGTTTTTGCTGTTCTATATTGTACATTCTACCATTAAGTTGTGAGATTTAAGGTTGCCGGTTATAAACCCTACGTAACGGTATTAATTGTCAGTGGTACAATAAATAGATGTTGGGTTTTTTGTGGCATATCCTGATTACTTGTTATAGCTTACTCTATTTGTAGTGAGACCTGCAGCAGGTCTCACTACATTGCCTTTTTTGGGAGCATGTGCATTTTATCTTCTCATATTGTTATGGAATATAGATTAACACATATGCCACATATTCTCTTTGTCCTCAAGAATATAAGAAAACGGCGTTATCTCGAATAATATTATTAAATTTTGCTATCGATCATTCGTCATCAGTATCGTTATACACTATTCGTATACGTAGTCACAATGAGACGCACTACTATTGTAGCTGGAAAAATGCATTATATCTATATTACGTAATGCAATAAAACAAATAATGCAGATAGATCGATAGAAGATAGATAGAAGTACGCAAAGTTATGGCTTTATACGTGAATATCGAGCGCTAACCGAATTGTTGTTATTATTTACCGCAATTAACTTAGAATTTCGCGGCTTCCAGAGAAATGAATAAACAGCCTTAACCTTTTGTTATGTACAGTTTACCTTATGTAGAAGTACGCCAAAAAAGTAAGGCATATATATGCCGTTGAATTTCATTGTAGATGCTTTAATACTGCCGACATTAACGCATATGAGTTTCGTACACAGAATCTAGTAGAATACTGGCCAAAATATAGCAATTCAAATCAGGAATGCTCAGTTCTTGCGACCAGCTGCTTTGGGACAAAAACTCAAAATTACCCGAGCTTGTTTCGATATGACACATTAGAACATACGTGAAATTGCAGTTACTTATATTATTTTATGCGAGTTGTTTTAGATCTGCGCTTTATATTTCGGCCATGGACAGGACAATACATACGAGTAGCTAGCGACTGTAACTGCTAATACAAAGTATACTGTGTGTGTAGTGCAGTGTAATGCCATGATAAAATAGCGCATTTGCTTACGGGTAGATCACACTCATTACAGTACAATATTGTAGGCATTTATCAAACCGCGGAGAAAATGCATCACCTCAGTATAGCTGCTATTTATTTTTGGTATATATACTATTCTCCATACAGTAGAGCATGTAGAGATAGTTCTGATAATCAGCAAAAAGCAATCCCTTTCCGGTTGGGAGTGACATAATGGCAACAGAGCAAGTAATTGTTGAACCGACACTTCATCCTGGCGCCCGAGTTACCTGATGGTGAGTAGCCAATCCAGTGCATTAACCGTACCATAAATCGATTTGTCTGATCAGATTCCTTAAATTTCATTCATGATGAACGCTGCGGAGCTGACAGCGACAAGATGGTTAACAGGAGTTATGTGAGTCAATATTAGATTATAATATAACCAGAACCGTACCTGCCAATCCCGATGAATTAGGGAGCAATCAATACGGTAAGATTAAAAGGGCGTCCTGCTTGTGCAGCCGAGTGCACTGTACACAGCGGCTGCACAGTGCCGAGATCGCACGGGATGCGATCATCCAGCACGGCACACACACCGTGCACACGCTGGGATCAGGTAGTTAGCTGCGTTACAACGCCAACAGCCTTCTTCCTCAAGTGCATCATTTCCCGGAGAATGTACCCTAATCGACCTGATGGAAAATGGTCTCGCCATTCATTCTGGGCTGACGATGTTTTTGCCTTCGCTGATATACCGTAGTATGCGACCTCCCCGCCTCAAGTAGAGCAAGAGTGATATGTAGTTACCGGATGACCTTTCCAATGTGATGTTATTTATGGATAGCAATATCGTGTATCTGACCGCGCTGACAACGGGATGAAACCACCGTTTTTATGGAAGGATGCAGGTCGTATTCCGTCTGCACAGTGCACGGTGTTACAGTGCGGTCATTACCACGATAATTGCTTTTCGCCCAGTGGAGGACGGGTTAAATTTTAATGTGTGAGTTTCCCCAACTGTTTCCACTTCATGGAGGTGCCGCTTATGTTTCGGTTTTCAGTATTCAGCATAAAATGGGATAACGAGTGCTTTATATCAAACAAGTATTACTTAAAAATTGGCGTTTAATCTAACAACACGCAAAAATTGTATAATAATTATGTACATGTAGCAGCGTGTTGTTCTCTTTTTGTTTTCGATCGTATTAGTTTTACTTAATTATTCGGGATGTGGTTAATTTTATCATTCCCAATAACAGTTCCAGCATTACACCGCAAGTTTCCAGTACAACGCAATTATTATTTGAACTGAGTATGGAATTTATCATCCTTTAATGTGCAAGTGTTTTTCTATTTTCTATAATAATTATGCTCCTGGTGCCAGCGACAAAATAATCACATATAAATAAACTTTTAGTACTTGCGATTTTTGTGAATTCTCCGGTGTTTATCTGTCGTCTGTGTACTTAAAACTGCATCACAGCCAAAACGAAGGACTTGATTTTTATTGCTTATATGACCGATCAGTAAATCCTTCGCAGGCCGAAGCTTCATTCATCAGACCGGTAGCAATTCTGTACGTACACTACATCCAAATGACCGGGAATTCTCAGAATTAATGCTGGAGATTGGGACCAACCGCCTGGAAGTTATGTTTTGCATTCAGCAAATCTCCTTCCTTGTGGTTACCTGTATGCAGCCTGATCTACTGCTGCTACTCGAGCGGCGACAACAATAACGCATTCCTATGGATAATAATATTTTTAATGTGCTCGGTGTAAATTCGATGTGATGGGGAAGTGAAAATCGTGCAAGTGGATGATATGGATGTTATCCCATATTTATTGTTGCAGCATTCTAGGATATTATTGTGGACGACTTCGAGTATCGGATATGTGCTTGCTCATACTAATGTATTTGTCCTTTCCGTGTTCTGAGTCGAGTGGATGCCATCGCACCTGCAGGACGAATTCTGCTTCGATATTAGTTTTAAGCCAAACGATATTCATTTTTTCGTGCTTTAATTATGGTTTATAATTTGTACGTGCGTTTGGGTGAATTGTGCTTATATATATTTCCTCCATGAAATGTGGAGCCCAATCTAAGCAAACCGTCCGTTGTGATTTTGAGTTGCATTAATGGTCATCTATCCTGTATTTACCATAATAGCGCATTATTAAGTAAAAATTAAGCAGCTACTGTACAATACATACGCAAGACCGGCGCCGCTGCGCCTGGTTCTGTCATTATGGAATACTTCGTGAATTGATTTTCGTTTTTTGCAATGCTGTACACTCTGCTGATCATAAATAAAAAAACATACTTACGAATCTGTGGTGCTATACAGATCAAATGCAATTAACGATGTTATACAACTAATAAGTCCACTACGAACCACCGTTGCCGCCGATGTGTAACAATCACCGGAAACCGTTTTCCAGATGTGTTACTAGATACACTCTTAATAATTGACATTATGCATCCAACAATTTTCAGGTTTTATGCATATTATTCAAGTTCGGGAGAGCAAGGTTGAAAATTCATTCTGATACTCCATGCAAAACCGCAAAAATACTGTTACATCAAACTCTGTTTCATTTCACGCTTGTATCACACCGGAGTAAAAATTATTAACTATTTGATGAAAATGAAACATTCCGATGGCTAGGCAGCTGATCTGGTGGTGTGCTCCATTTTGCCGGTAAAGTGAGTAGTTCGTCCATAGTGGAAATTACGTCGCTCATCGGTAACTGGACCTGTGCTGCGTCGTTCGGCTGCTGAACGGGATGAAACCATACCGATCGCCATCCGGCTCGTTGAGCGGCCAAGTAATCCAACTCCAAATTGTCGCCCACGTGTAATGCGTCAGCGGGATCACGCAAACCAGCGCGGTGCAAAGCAATATCAAATATCTGCAACCGTAATAGCACGGTCACACCGATGATAACCGATCGATTCCACTCTTATAGATAACCAACAGGTAAGTACAGTATGCAAGAGTATACGAGTACATTTGCTTTACTTACAATTAGAGAAAACGCGTTCTCGGTGCACAGAAATGGGAAAAAAGCGTGCACAACTGCGATAATACGTATTAACAGCAAGCTTAACGCAAATCAACAAAGTTTTAAAAATAGTGAAACTGTCAAATATTTTCGCACGAAGTATGACAAAATAATAAGAGCGCTATACTTATTTTCGTTCAGCTGTACTTTCCACAAGTAGCCTGCCTGCTCCAGTAAATATTTAGTACCGTCACACGCAGTGACATTAAACAATTTCAAGCAGGCTCATTAATTATGGGAAAAATGTATATCTTTATAGAATGTGCATTTGAAAATGTACTTACATGAAAAATATATGTACATTTCATGTAGCTTAAAAGCAGCCTGTTCGCTTTCAGCAAAAGAATATTACAGTGGAATATAGCCGATAACCGATAACGAAATCACAAAAACAAAGTATTCTAGGAATAAAACTGGCGAAGGATTCAGGCCTCAGGGCTTCCATCCGTCATGTAAAGTAAGTTTGTAAAAGATACCTCGGCATCTGGCTTGCACACGCCAACTTCCTTGGAGATTACGATGAAACTGAACACATCAGCAATTTTGAAACCGTTCAAAATCTGGATTAGCCGCTCATCGAAATTACTGATCACGCCAAGGGTAAAACGCTGCCGTAGCTTTTTCAGAACATCCGCATCTCCTTTAGAAAAAGCCCACGATCTCGAATGGCTGAAGGTCTGAAATAATAAGTAACAATCCAAAATATAAATGTCTATGACTGTCGGCAAAAATAACTGCAAACAGTAAGTAAATGAATCGATAAGTGCTACAGCGCCAAAAAACATGGCAATGCATAAAAGTACTGAACTGGAAACAAAAAAAAACAGCTCAGACAAATTACAGCTATATAAATTTCACCAAAATCTCAGAAAACACGTACTCCGAAAAGATTGTCCGCTAACACAGGTAGGTAAAATTCGGCCTCTCTTCGCATGCCACCTTGCCCAGTTCGTTCCAACGCACCCAGAAAAGTGTCTCGCACGACGTTTCGCCACCATGCCATGGAGGTGAAGCCTTCGTTGAATCCGAAGTTAGGATGGTTAGCCCAATGGTGTTTAAAGGCTTTGCGAAATTCCATGTCGAGAGCAGCTGGTGTACATGCACGGAATGACTTAACATTCTCCAATTTCTTGGCTTCGGTCAGATACATTTTCCCAATGTTTAGTTTAGGCTTCATCAGCGTTCCCATGATGTCAAATGTGATCAACCTCACAGCACCTGTAGGCCTGGTCCGACTCATTACGGAAATTGAAACAGCGGAAACGAAAGAATCAAATTATAGCAATGGCAATATGTACAGTCGGAACAGATCCAAACACAGACACAAAAGTGACAAAACTAAAAAAATATATTTCTCATTATTATTTCTGATTTGCAAACCGTAAACCTTCACGCGAAGTGGTTACTAATGTTCACTTAAACCGCACGCGAACCGCAAAGCAGTTCACGATAACTTGTAAATACATAAATATTATGCATTAAAAATAAGTAGTCGTAACTCTTAAGTAGGCAAACTGACTCAAATAAAAAAGTTTTTTTTCGCCAAAACGGCAAAGCTGCATGTGCACACACCGAAGTGATTAACCCGTCGCGGTGACGTAACAGCGGCTCCGCCCAGTGCGCCAGCACACTCGACAGCCGAGACGTGTTGGAATCTCAGAGTCTTTAAAAGCTACTTTCAGCTTTCTCGTTAGAATTATGAAAAGCTGAAAACTTATTTTTTGATTCGCGTGCTGTACTTAAATTAAATTGTTTATTGTGTTATTTGTTACATTGACGCTGGACAGACTACGTGCAATATTACGTATTCGCTTGCACGCGTCGCTCGCTGTCACTGAACTACCCGATTGTGTTTTTACCATCTGGAACGGGGAACCTGAACGCGTACGCCATACGGTGACAAAATGGTCGACGAAGCAACTAAAAAGACCCTCAGCCAAATTCCATTGTTAAAGACCAATGCAGGACCTCGGGAAAAGGATTTATGGCCACAGCGGATGAAGGAAGAGTTGCTATCGCTTATCAAATACGTGGAGAATAATAAAGCTGCGGACAACGACTGGTTTCGTTTGGAGTCTAACAAAGAAGGCACCAAATGGTTTGGAAAGTGCTGGTACATCCATCAGCTGCTTAAATACGAATTCGAGATCGAATTTGACATTCCAGTAACTTATCCTGGCACTGCGCCCGAGATTGCCATTCCTGAGCTGGATGGGAAGACAGCGAAAATGTATCGCGGAGGGAAGATTTGTCTGACGGATCATTTTAAGCCGCTTTGGGCCAAGAACGTTCCAAAGTTTGGCATTGCTCACGCACTGGCGCTGGGATTGGGCCCCTGGCTAGCCGTGGAAGTTCCGGAACTCATAGAGCGTCAGGTCATCAAGAATAAAGAAGGAGGAGATGCGGAATAGCATCTGTTTATCAGGGATGCATCTGTTTATCAATTTATGGCGACATATCAGGATTCGGGATAGTTATTTTTATTTTTCTGTTTTGAGATCTTTGTCACCTTCTGAAGATATTTATGCTGCTGTCGCATGAATGCTGCAGCGATAAAAATATCTGATTTTAATGGTAAACATTTTGTGTAGGTCTGTTGAAATCTTTTACATCCGACTCAGGAGACTCCAGAAACGAAACGATTAAAGTGCGCTCTCACAGCTGAGTTATGTCAACTGTCAAGTGTATAATAGACTGGAAATAGAAATACTTACCAAATTAAACTGGATAACGTGATTCCGATAGGGCTTAATTCACAAAACACAATAATTATGAATAAACATTATTCACTGTCTATATAAATAATTTTTAGTGAGTCCTGCGACTCTTGCCTCTCGGTAAAATGAATACTGCATCATTCGTATTACTACGAGTACTAATTACTAAAGGAACGCGTTCATAAATAGGCAAAAGGTGTGCACTGTGTAGCGTGTAGAGCTCGTACAAATGACGACAAGGTTATGAAAATACAATTTTAAATCATTATTGGTAAATGCATTTAAATTTGACAGGAGAATGGACATCGTCATTGACCTTCATGATCATCCAAAACAGCCATTACCGGGATCTATGACCGCGAAATCGCGAATCTGATCCCGCAAATCTTGCCTCCCTTTCTGCACTCGTTCATGCCGATTATTGCCTTTTTCTTCCGTTTTTTCACCAAGGTCAGCCCAATAAAGGTGTTTAACATGAATAAAGTAGACGACGGAAGTTGGTCATTCGTCCGGCATCCGTTTCCGTTCCACATGCAACCGCCCACTTTTGTGTGTTACCTGCGTAACAATTTGTCCCGACTTTCACAGCTGGTCCACATCGGCACGATTGCATCACACATTACGGTCATTATCGTGCTTATTCCAATTTATCCCAAATTCCATTGTCAACTCTTTGACAGCTTTTTTAGGACTGTTATGAATGTTTTATGAATGTTATCGCTTTGAGTGACTTTTTATTCTGCCGGATAGAGCAAATGAAACCACTGTCGCATTGTGCAATGTAATCTGATCACAATAATAAAGTGTTTCCATCATCAATGGCTTATGTCATGCGGTTCCTCGATAGCATTTGTGATCTGATTCCCTCGTTGTTGCAGTATCTTTTGAAACCAGAGCGATTGCTCCTTGCGCTTTTTTGGTCATTTCTGGTACTGTGTTGCGTTGGCTGGTGTTTTGTCGCTGACAGATTTCGGATTCCTGTTTGTGTGAAGAGGAAGTTTTTCCATTTTATAGCCTCTGTGATATTTATCACGGGAATTCAGTACGATCCTTCGTTCCTCTGCTTAGCCTCAGTGGCTGCGTTGTCCTTGTTTTTCACGTCGGAGGTAATGATGCCTGGTTGTCGTAGTTAGTAAATTTATTTTTTTTGCAGTATTATAGCGTGCGAAACGTTTTTCTTGATGGTACTACACTATTACTGTACCATAATTATTTTATTTCCGATTGAACGCTCATTTTTAGCATCTTTGCATTTATAATAAGTTATTTATTGTTAGCAGCAATCGTGTGCTGTTCACGTGTCTTACAATTAATGATTTTAGGGTGTTCGCATTTCCGGACCTCGAAAAATTTCCGATGCCATTTCGATGGCCATTGCGCCTTTCTTGGACTCCAAAGATCAGGGAATTGTAATATGGTCGCATATATTTTTGCTTCTGGGTTTGTCGATGCCGCTCTGGTTGGATTTGATGGCTTACCAGTTCCGCATGCATTCAGTAGTATCGTACGCTGGCGTGGTTACTATTGGAATCGGGGATAGTTTTGCCGCTATAATCGGCAGCTACTTCGGCCGGATTCCCTGGAAAGGCCGCAATCGAACGGTGGAAGGCAGCGCGGCAATGTTGATTTCTCAGATTTTATTTTTGGAATTTATTGGACTGGTGGATCCTGTGATATTTTTGAATAGCGCCCTGCAGAGAAGACTGGCCTTCATCGTGCACTGTGTCTGCACCACAGCTGCAGAAGCGCTGCTGCATGGTTCAGATAATGTTTTCATTCCTTTATTGTCTGTGATGTTAGTGTGGCCATTGAGATCATAAAGAGAAAAGAAAATTTAAACTGCTTTGTGTATCGACTCCCAGTGTGGATGTGATGCTACCGGTACAGAGCAAAAGTATTGTATTTTATATTTATGTACTAGTATTTGTTCTACTCTCTGGATAAGTACAGTAGTTTATTGTATTAAAAAGTGCGGAAATGTTGTTATTATTGTTATTATTGTTTACTGGCGTTTTGGTGGCATGCTTACGCGCCAGTCTGTGTTTCCTTATGACACTGTTTCCTTTATAATTTCTCATGACCGTCCTTGACCTCTTGGTTTGAATTTCTAAATCGAAAGAAGAATAAATCGCTGTTATCTGAATAAATCTGATATTCCGTACAAACCGAATTTGTGAAATAGATATTTCAAAACAGTTTTACAATACGGCACCCGCCCAACTTTGCATGGAAATATATGGTTGCAGTGCGGCATTGTATCTGTATGTTTTGTGCACTGTAATTTTTATCTTATAAATGATACGATAGTGTTAGCGTTTAGATTTCGTTACTTCATGAACATGATTCTTATTTAGTTTTAATTACATCGTACTATACACTTGATTTCATAAACAGGCAGTGAACATAACATTAAGCGATAACGTTAACATTGCCGGAACATCCAGAAATTTGATATTCATTCACAAGCGGCTGCGGTGGTTATGAAATTCGCAATCGCTTTACACATCGATATTATTAATTGTTAATTGATGTGGCTTTTGTGGTGCCGCTTTGCACGGGACGTGAGGTAAGTTTCGCTGGAAGGCCCAAAGCGGAGCGATACTGCGCGCCACCGCCGCTCGAGCCGCTCCCATAGTTACCGCCCTGGAGACCAACGCTGCCGTAGTTACCACCTTGTCCAACGTTCATGCCGTAGGAAGCGCCACTCCCATGGCCTTGGGTTGCGTACTGTATACTGCCATTTCCCAGTCCGAGCTGGCCAGAGCTGCCGCCATAACTGCCGCCAGTGCCGGATAGTGGCTGGTTTCCGAATCCACCGAGCCCTTGCCCAAACCCCGTCGACTGGCCCGAATAGCTGCCCTGCCCGCCGGTCAGACCGCCCTGGCTGCCTCCATAACTTCCGCTTCCCGACCCGATTCCGTGTCCGCCGGATCCGATGCCCTGTCCGCTGCCGTAAGAACCACCGCTTACGCTGTTACCGAAGCCGATATTCCCGAAACTTCCTTGGTTTCCGTATGACCCTTGCCCGCTAATGCCCTGATTCCCACCGTATGATCCTTGGGAACCGAAAAAGCCTTGGTTACCTTGACCCTGGTTACTGTATGATCCTTGCCCGGAGATTCCTTGATTACCGTGTGAATTTAACCCGAGACCGCTTTGACCGGATCCGTAACTTCCTTGTTGACCGATGCCGATACCGGTGTTGCCGCCATAACTTCCGGTGCCACCGATGCCGCCGATTGTTCCTTGACCTCCTCCGTACTGCCCGCCCAGTCCAGATCCCATCTGGCTGCTACCGCCGTAATTTCCACCCTGCAATCCACCACCGATGCTGCCGCCATAACTTCCCGAGCTGCCGATACCTTGGTTACCGTGGAGTCCACCACTGTTCAGTCCACCTTGACCCCCGTAATTACCGGAACCCGATGACCCGCCGTACGATCCCAAACCGCTTTGCCCGCTGAAGAATGAGGAACCCAGTCCGTTTTGTCCGAAATTGCTTCCCAGATTGTTGCCGCTGTATGACACTCCTAGACTGCCTTGGTTGCCGAAACCCTGTCCAAGACCTTGTCCTCCGTACGAACCACCTTGTGTGTTACCGGACAAAAGGTTACCAAACGATCCGCTTCCTTGGCCGCCATGGCTGCCGGTGTTACCAAACAGACCGGAAGTTCCACTACCGCCGTAGGAGGATCCCGATCCCAGACCCTGGCCGCTACCATACGTTGTGCTGGTGCTGGTGTACGTAGTGGGAAGGTTGCCGACACCACTCTGCAATCCAAAGGTCTGGTACGAGCCAGGTTGACCGCTGATGGAACTGATGCCGGTGCCGACAAGGGTCGGCTGGACTCCGTACGAGCTGAAGATGCCACCGATGTTCCCCAGTCCAGACTGACCGCTGTACGAGCCGGCGTTACCGATACCATTGGTTCCATATGATCCCAGACCACCGATACCGCCGATACCGGACTGTCCGCTGTATCCAGAGCTTCCTTGACCGCTTTGACCGCCATAAGAGCCTCCCGACTGGCCACCAATGAGACCGCCCTGGGAACCCTGTCCACCATAGGAACCGCCTGTCTGACCGCCAAGGAAGCTTCCTGAACCGCCGCGGATACCGTCGAACAGTCCACTGCTGATCAGATTCTGTCCACTGGATCCACCGTATGAGCCGCTGCCGGTACCGGTACCGTGTCCGCCGCCTGACAAATACATGCGGGTTGTTATTCATTTACCATAACAACAATTTATTTTATATTATTTCTTTACCGGTGCTGCCATATGAGCCACTTCCGATGCCACCAATTCCTCCCAAATTTCCTCCCAAGCTGGACCCGCTGTAGGATCCTCCAGAACTCCCGGAGCCGCCGTACGATCCTCCTTGTTGCCCGATGCCCCCAGTGGAGCCGTAGTTTCCGCCACCAATCCCACCAGTTCCGCTGTTTCCACCGTAAGACGAGCCACCCAGGCCTCCGATAAGGTTTCCAGAACCTTGGAATCCACCCAGACCGCTGCTTCCGCCATAGTTTCCGCTGCTACCGATAAGGTTTCCAGAGCTTCCATACGAGCCAGAGCCTGTGCCGCCATACGATCCCGCACCTAATCCACCGCTTATCAAGTTTTGACCACCATACGAACCGCCACCGATACCGCCCAAACCGCCCGACACACCATGACCCGAGTTACCGAATGACCCCGTGCCAAATCCACCACCCAGAGATCCCTGACCACCGTATGACCCGCCACCAATACCTCCAATTCCTCCGGAAATTCCGTGCGAACCGCTGTTCAGACCGCCGCCGTAAGATCCCGATCCAATTCCACCGCTGAGGCCTCCTTGACCTCCGTACGAACCGCTGCTGCCTAGTCCGCTTTGTCCGCTATATGAACCGCCGCCAATTCCACCAATTCCCTGGTTTCCGTAGCTGCCGCTGCCAATACCGCTGGATATACCGTGCGATCCGCTACCACCGTATGATCCACTTCCGGTGCCAATCAGATTTCCGGAACTGCCATACGAACCTCCGGATCCAATACCGCCCGTACCACCATAGCTGCCACTTCCGGTGCCGATATTTCCCGAGCTGCCGTATGAACCGGATCCGCTGCTGCCCGTGCCGGTGCCGCCGTAAGCGTTTCCACTGCCGCCGATCAGACTAGTGACCAGGCCTTGTTGGCCGCTTCCGTAGCTACCTCCGCTTTGGCCTCCGGAGCCGTACGATCCACCCTGTCCGCTCCCGCCGAAACCACCACGATCCACGCTCAATTGGTTACCGCTGGAATAACTGCCTTGATTACCAATGGTGCTACCATATGATCCGCCACCTGGACTCAATCCACCACTGCCGTAGCTGCAATGAAAACAATTATCAGAGAAGTTAATCGTCTTGAAAGAAATTTACTCGTTTTGCTGATTACAGTAAAAAAATTTCCTGTGTGTATGTACAATTTTTGGCCAGGTTTTAAGCGAGTTTATAAGGTTTTTTTAGGCTTCACTGTTGGTTGAATGACCGGAACTTTGGTATGTAAATTCAGCAGGCTACCTGCCAACGCGACTGAATAAGAACGTCGGGATTCAAAGACAAATGTTAAAAGCACGCACGTGCCGCAGTCTATGGTAATCATTTTTCATTTTCAAGCAGTTTATAGAGCAAACGAAATAATGCAATCACGGTTATGTAAGGGACTAGTTAGCGTGTTCAGTAGGCAGTACTAAATACTGCTGTTGCAATGAAGGATTTTCAAGAGGAATTGCTCAATATGATCGATTTAGATTAATATTTATTTGCATACTTCTTTAGGCGCGAAAAAGACCGGCAAAATTAAAGATAGCGTCAGACAAAGTGCGAACTACAGTCTCAATAAATATTAGGGATTAAAACCGAAATAAGCTTACTGTTAGTCCAGTCAATCCAGCAACTCGTTCGCATCAAAACATTGCTAATCTGAAGAATTATGTAGTAGCTCGAAATCGGACAAATATGACAGTTAAAAACATAAATCCGGGTTCCGTCGATTTTATTCTTTTTAGTTGTACTATTAACAATAACTGAATAAATTTATTACGACCAGGATAAATGCTGATACTACCTAATTCAATTATTTGAGGATCTAATCTGAACATTCTGAGCTGCCGCTCTGAATTATTTCAACCATCTACGTATTCCATCTTCGTATTCCTTTTAAAATCTTGTTTTAAAACATTGAGTTATATATATGACAACTGAGTACAACGTAGGATATTAAAATCAGCAGAATACTAAATCTGTTGGAGCAACTGAAAAAGCGATTACAAGCTGACCTTTACAAAGAAGCACAAGCATAATATCTATATGTATACGCCTGCCTTTCGCCAGTGTGACCAGCAGCAGAGTACATTTAAATAAGGGATTCATCCAGCCCCACTACCCGTAGACGCAGTCCATATGAACCGGACATACGGTAGGCGAGTACTTGCGTACCTGGATTGTCCCAAGCTGCCAATACCGGAAGATCCGCCATAGGATCCCGACTGAGCAGCAAGCGCAACGACATGCGCAATTCCAGCTGCACTGACAAGCACGTAGCACAGGCTAAACACAGTGAGCGTCATAGCGGCAATCAAGATGGGAAGTCAATCCTGATACGCGGATAACACACGAATCCTAAAATGACCGCTGGACGGCTTTTTACGGTAGCGCTGTATGCGCTTGTCAAGAAAACAGGCTTAAATAAACGTCTTGAGGCTGATGCGTGCAACGGTCGAAGCGGTATACAATATTACGAAATGTTTTTGCGCCAAATTAAAACTGTCAACTGAACATTATATACACTGGCAGCATCGGTAGCCGTTTAAATAAAAACACAACCGTTTTGTATGGCATGACAAAGCCCATGCTATTACCAAGTGACGAATCGATCTTTGTTGACAGGTTCTATACACAACGCACGTGTGCGCTCGCACTCTCTCCAAATCCGTACAGTACCGCCGCGGCTGAGAAGGGTGTTACTTCCCAACTGACCCAAGTCCCCTCCATGTCAAGATTTAAACAAATTGATTGGCGACCGTCGCTCGCTCGACACCATCCACCAGAAAGGATGTATCTTGTTATTTGTTGACCAACGTCTCTCTGCGTTCCGTTGGTGTTTTTGTTTGTTTTTCCACATGCTTTGTCAAAGTTCATGCGCATAAATACCCGGTCTTGACAGTATAGTGTTCAGACATTGTCATCGTCGTCTTTGATCGGCAACTGTCAGATCACGAATGGAAAATCCTCAACATTTGAATAAATCTCTTGCCGTACTTCTGTATGCCGCTAATACATTTGGAAATCGTACGACATGACGCTGCGACATTATTCAAGTCTTTTAGCATATGCATGTAGGTATACAGTATTTAATTACAGTACTGTAATAGGGTCTGTATCGGTAATGCGAAAACACAGCCGACGAAACAACGGCCCGGCCGTTGACTAGGAGTTTCCCGTCTATGCGTTCCTCAGCTCTCATGTTCATGGACATTCCTTGAGTACAACTTCCGGTAACGCTGCGTATGACCAAATCTTAACCGGGCGCCTCATTCATATCTTTGTAAAGCGACGCTAATTGGTTGATCTCAAGTCCTTTTAACAACAGTTTACTACTTTATATAAACCGAAAAACGAACTCACAAGCCAGATAGAATAATTCGCGCTACTGTAGGTAGTGGGTACGTCGTCAAATCGTCCGTGCACTGTACAGATACTGCTACAAAATCTTACGTGTGTGAGGAAGAGTCTTGATAAGCTAACATAAGTACAGTAAACTTTACCCGAAAAAGACATGCAGTCTTATGACGAGTGACATCGTTAAAAATCCAAAGTATGTTTACACTAGTTGCTTTGAAGTACTTATTACTTATTACAAAAGTCTAAAAAAAATTGTAATGTCGCTACTCGCTAGATTTAGAAAGCGTTAATCTTTAGATTTAAAAATGACCATAGCGTTTACTTGCAATAATTCGGATTCCCCCACGCCTGCATGATGTTGCGAAGGAAGGCTACCGATATCAAAAACTGCCACCTCGGTACGGGTGGCTCAGTGCTTTTATAACTGAACCGCAGTCAGACCGTTGTCAGCCGCGGCGCTGAAACCGAGCTGCAGGTCGGTTCGATTTTGAGGAGCCGACCGACAGAAACTCTGAGCAGAAAACCAAGCGCAGCCATTCCATCATTTTATTCGTCAGCCTTTTGGCTGGCGTTCTGCGCTCAGTGCGCGAACGTGTGCGATACATTTGAGGACATTTTTTTATGTTTCAAGATCATTTTGATTTTATCTGGATCATTATACGAAATCAACGAATTTTATTATTTTTTAAAATTTGTAGTGAATTTGTACTCATCCGCGGATGCCGCATGAGCTCTCCGATAAAGGGCGAATCTGAAAACCTTCACCAATGATAGGCTCCAGAAACCCACCTTAGAAATCCGTCGGAATCTGTTTCGTTTATCAGTTTACTGTTTGTGTTTTATTCCCGAAGTAGTCGTGGTTAACTATTTCTCACGACTGCATCAATTAGAGCAATGGATTTTGACAACGGTCAGGAGATAAATGAACTTAAACATTTTCAGTTTTTTTAAAAATCAGAATTTACTGGGCTTTCTCGTTTTCCGTTCGTACTCAGTACTCTGATTAGTGCTGCTAACAAAGTCGTCGATGGTAGATTTTTTGTGCGGAGCATTGAACCGTTTATTCTTTTAAAAATTATGTGAAATACTTTACAAGCAAACTTCAATTTGCAAAGAATGTGCAAAATTAACCGAACAGTGTTGATAACATTCTTATTTGAAATATTAATAGAGTCATTGAAATTCCGAAGAATTTTCTCATTTTTGATTTTTCTTTCAAACTCTACAACGCCCAACGAAAAAGTAATTCAAATGGGTTGGAACAGCAAAATAAATAGTTGAATCGTTCAGTGATTATACAATAATTACCCCTAATGCCAGTTGAAAATGTGATGAACAAGCTCGCAGTGTGGTTAAAATAGCGTACGCTGCCTGGAACTGTGGTACATCGACATTTTTAATTATTTACCACTTACCATGGCTTACGAATCAACTACAAAATGCTTCGCTCCAGCTGTGAGCATTAGCGGTTATGTCGGTGGCATGAAGCTACTTATGTCTAACAATAAAAATCGTAATGTTATTTGTAGACATCGATATGGAAGCCCAGGACGGGTTCGACGCCGACCAGAGCAATGTTGCCGAGGAAATCGACCCAAATCTGTGGCAGGATGCTTGTTGGCTGGTAATTTCATCGTATTTCGATGAAAAAGGTTTGGTGCGGCAACAGCTGGATTCCTTCGACGAGTTCATACAAATGTCTGTCCAAAGGATTGTCGAAGACGCTCCCGCAGTGGAAATGGAAGCGGAAGCGCAACATATGGACGGTCAACTCGAACAACCGGTAAAGACCGTAAACAGTATAACTGACTGAATTTATAACAACGATTACACAACTTTTGAAGTCGTTGGTGTTTGAAAATTTTTTTTGAGTTTGATGGGAATTGTTTGTTATGTTTTCAGTCATGACTAGAGTAGTTAAATACTGTAATGTTTCTCTCTTCTCTTGTGAAAGAGGACTGATTTTGCAGACCAAGCACAGCTTAAAATTCGAGCAGATTTATCTGTCGAAACCAACACATTGGGAAAAAGACGGTGCACCTGTCCCGCTGATGCCCAACGAGGCACGCCTACGTAATCTCACCTATTCGGCACCGCTGTACGTGGATATCAGGAAAACCGTAACAAAGGCTGGCAAAGAACCGGAAGAAACGCTATACCCGAAAGTATTTTTGGGCAAAATTCCCATCATGTTACGATCGACGTACTGCTTGCTCAGTGGGATGAATGAACGTGATTTAGCTGAATTGAACGAGTGCCCATTGGATCCTGGCGGGTATTTTATCATCAACGGATCGGAGAAGGTGTTTTAAATTGTTAACGCAATATTTTGCTGAAGACATGACGTTTGCTCTTTTGCAGGTTATCATTGCGCAGGAAAAAATGGCTACGAATATCGTTTACGTTTTCAGCATGAAAGATTCTAAGTATGCCTTTAAAGCTGAATGCCGATCTGTCATGGAAAACTCAAGCCGCCCAGCTAGCACAATTTGGGTTAACATGCTTGCGCGAGGAGGCAAAGTAAGACAAAATGTCTTAAAACGCGCCTGAAATATTCTGTAATGATGTTAATCTGTACAATTATTATCTTCGTTTATTTGTATTGCGCAGGGATTATAGTCTGCTGTTAAGGCTTTAGCTTTTGGCTGTATATTATAGCTTTCTGTTATTACCGCAAAGGCATTAGGTACCGTGCTCTTAATAATTTTGTAAAGGTTTAGGGATTTGTTTTGAGATCCACTGTAGAGCTAGCTATGTTATTTGTCAACAGAATGTACGGAAATCCGCCCTTGGGCAGCGTATAGTGGCCATTTTGCCTTACATAAAGCAGGAAATTCCTATAATAATCGTCTTTCGGGCTCTTGGTTTCGTCGCCGATCGGGATATTCTGGAGCATATCGTCTATGATTTTGAAGACCAGGAAATGATGGAAATGATCAAGCCTTCCTTGGACGAAGCTTTCGTCATCCAGGAGCAGGATGTGGCTTTAAATTTCATCGGCGCTCGTGGTGCAAAACCGGGTGTTACTAGAGAAAAACGTATTAAATATGCCAAGGAAATTCTCCAAAAGGAAATGTTACCTCATGTTGGAACACACGAATTTTGCGAAACAAAAAAAGCCTATTTTCTTGGATACATGGTACATCGCTTGTTACTGGCCGCGCTTGGACGTCGCGAGTTAGACGATCGTGACCACTACGGAAATAAACGGTTGGACTTAGCCGGTCCGTTGTTGGCGTTTTTGTTTCGAGGATTGTTTAAAAATTTGTTAAAAGAACTGAAAATCAACGCGCAAAAGTATATCGACCGTGGGAGAGATTTTAACTTGGAACTGTCTATCAAAACGAAAATTATTACCGACGGGTTGCGATATTCTTTGGCCACAGGAAACTGGGGAGACCAAAGAAAGGCTCACCAAACCCGTGCTGGAGTATCTCAGGTGAGAAATTACACTAGGTACTCTAATGGAGTAATACATTTATTGGTCCTGACTTTTTGCCAGTGCGATTATTTAATAATTCGGAATTATTATGTTCTGTTTGAGCGTTTCTGGCTTACTTTGGTACCGTATTTTCTCAACTGAACGCCGTGACCGAAGCTGTTAAGTGAGAAAGTATGGTAGAAATGCACTGCACAAACTGTAACGAAATCGGTACTGATCGTCATTATGTCAAATTTGTTGTTTCAGGTGTTAAATCGGCTGACTTATTGCTCTTCGTTATCTCATTTGCGACGCCTAAATTCACCAATTGGCCGTGAAGGCAAGCTAGCCAAACCTCGTCAGCTGCACAACACTTTATGGGGAATGATCTGCCCTGCGGAAACACCCGAAGGTCAAGCGGTGGGTCTTGTAAAAAATCTCGCTTTGATGTCCTACATCTCTGTCGGCTCACAACCAGCCCCGATTTTGGAATTCTTGGAAGAATGGAGCATGGAAAATTTGGAAGAAATCGCCCCATCCGCAATTCTAGGGTGAACAAGTGTTTTCTTCATGTGTTGTAGATATTTGGTTGTTGCGTGGTTGTATGTCTGCTTTTGGTGCTGCAGTGCCACAAAGATCTTTGTAAATGGCTCTTGGGTGGGTATCCATCGGGATCCCGAGCAATTAATGGCCACTTTGCGGAAACTAAGACGGCAGATGGATATCATCGTATCTGAAGTGTCCATGGTCCGCGACATTCGGGACAGAGAAATTCGTATTTCAACCGATGCCGGACGAATTTGTCGGCCGCTTTTGATTGTAGAAAACCAGAAGATGCTTCTTAAGAAGCAACACATCGAATTGTTGGGAGACCGGGCAAACACGAGCTATAGGTATATTTAATCGACTTGTTTTGAAAGTCTTGAGCACTGTTGCGAATTTTCTCTAGCTTACATCCAACAGCATCTAAGTTTCAGTTCTAGGATTTTCCCAAATTTCGTCTGTTAGTTTAATTTTTAAACCATGTGCATTATATCCGACTGCGCTCATTGGAGGTAACATTATTTTTACAAACTTGGAAAATGTAGAGCTTGACTTATTCTGAAAATATGGTTTATTACACAGATGGCAAGATTTGATTGCTAGTGGTGTGGTGGAGTTCATTGATATTCAAGAAGAAGAGACCATCATGTGCGCCATGACGCCCTTCGATCTAGTTGACCGATCCGTCAGCGGTGACCGCCAGGCGTACTGCTCCACCTATACCCACTGCGAAATCCATCCCGCCATGATCCTCGGCGTATGCGCCTCCATTATTCCCTTCCCCGATCACAATCAGTCGCCCCGTAACACCTATCAATCCGCCATGGGTAAGCAGGCCATGGGAGTGTACATCAGTAACTTCAACGTGCGCATGGATACCTTGGCCAATGTTCTGTACTATCCGCAATCGCCACTGGTCACAACACGATCCATGGAGTATCTGCGTTTCCGGGAACTGCCTGCCGGGATCAACGCGGTAGTAGCCATTGCCTCGTACACGGGCTACAACCAGGAGGACTCCATCATCATGAACGCATCGGCCATTGATCGGGGGCTGTTTCGATCGTGTTTCTACCGCGCCTATCGGGACAGCGAGGGGAAGCGGATGAACGATAATGCGGAGACGTTTGAGCGACCGAATCGGTCCACGTGCAGCGGGATGCGAAATGCGGTGTACGAGAAATTGGACGACGATGGGATTGTGGAACCGGGCACACGTGTATCGGGGGATGATGTTATCATTGGCAAAACTATGACATTGCCCGCTTCGGACGATGATGTACGATCGGTTTATTTATGGCTAGAGAGTGGTGTAGTGACGAGCATTTTTGACGGTGATGATTGTAGGCAAGCGCCGGTCAAAAGCATTATACGAAAAAGGACTCGAGCACCTTCCTACGTGCCAGCGAAACAGGAATTATTGACCAGGTCTTGCTGACGGTGAATTCTGAGGGGCAGAAATTCTGCAAAATCCGCGTGAGATCCATCCGGATACCGCAGATGGGTGATAAGTTCGCCAGTCGGCACGGGCAAAAGGGCACTTGCGGTGTGACCTATCGTATGGAGGTATGTGATAATTTGTTGACGTCTGTTGACCTAAAATCGTATTGGAGAATTGGGCTGTGACTGCCCCTATGAGAATGAAGAGTTGGAGAATAATAGTACTAACTGTAAGGTCGCCTATTGGACGCGCACCATTAGTAAATTGGCAAATCTGATGAAACGTGCATATAATTTATTAGATACCTCGCATGTGTGTCAGGTAAGCATCATTACTTAAGGTTTCGTTATGCAAGTCTTTACAAGGAACTGATTGAATAGGTATTGATCACTGCGCATTTGCGGTAGATATGTGCTTGAGAGGCTCGACTTATTACCGCATATTATGAAGTCTGTTTGTCTAAATGGGTCCTATTTTAGGATATGCCTTTCACGGCGGAAGGTGTTGCGCCCGATATTATTATTAATCCACACGCCATTCCTTCACGCATGACTATCGGGCATTTAATTGAATGTCTTCAGGGAAAGGTGCGCTGGCTTGTTTATCCATCTTGTGTGCCGTCTTGAGCGCCTAATCGATAAGCGCATGACTGTTATTACTTACTTGCTTGTAGGTTTCAGCCAATAAGGGCGAAATTGGCGATGCGACGCCATTCAACGACACAGTCAACGTGCAGAAGATCTCCACACTGCTGCAGGATTACGGATATCATCTGCGTGGTAATGAGGTCCTGTACAATGGCTTCACGGGACGGAAAATTAATTCCCAGGTGTTTATTGGACCCACATTCTATCAGCGTCTCAAACATATGGTCGATGATAAAATCCACAGTCGTGCGCGTGGCCCGGTGCAGATTTTGGTTAGGCAGCCTATGGAAGGTCGTGCAAGGTGAATGCGCAGTTCCAATTGGTTCCAAAATATCCATCCTTTTCATGAAGTTGTAGTATAATTGTTTAATTGTGTTATTCCGCTTGTTCTAAAAGGCCTGTTTTGTACTACGGTGATTTGTTTTTGCAGTTGTCGTACATGCGGTATGTTTTATTTTAGTTTCCCGTCAGGCGCTCATAGCTTTTTGACGTAATTAATCAATACCGAAAGTGTGCAGATAGCAATTTTTGTAATTATCGAGTTGTTTTCTAGGGATGGGGGTTTGCGTTTCGGAGAAATGGAACGCGACTGCATGATCAGCCATGGAGCCGCACAGTTCCTTCGTGAGCGTTTGTTTGAAGTATCCGATCCTTATCGTGTTCACATTTGCAACACGTGCGGACTCATAGCGGTTGCGAATCTTCGCAACCAAACATTTGAATGCAAAGGATGCAGGAATAAAACTCAGGTATGTATTTGTGGTACTTCTACATCATATGATTCATTATTGTATTTTTCATGATGCCGTGAATCTTTATGGTTTCCGTTTTGCAGATATCGCAAGTTTGTGTCCCGTATGCATGTAAATTATTGTTTCAAGAATTGATGTCGATGAGTATCGCTCCTCGGATGATGCTTCAGTAATCCATCCATGTGATTTTAGTTGTGGAAAATGGCTTTGTCTTCAACGCGCTTCGGGTTAATCTACCGCTACTTTTACCAGTTTATCGATGCGATTGTTTTAAATTTTTTTGTCATTGATGGCTGCTTTGAAGCATCTATGTAGGTACGAGTATGTATGATAATTCCTCTCATTGTTGACGACGTTCACGTTATTACGGCCAAGGACATGCCAGTTTAATAGGGCGTAATTTTTATATGCTTGTGGTTACAAAGCGACTGCTGATCGCCAAATAGCATAAAAACGTGAACTGTTATTGAAAAAAAACAGGAAATACTGTATGAAATAAACAACAACAACAAAATAAACTCTGATTTCCAAAAGAAACATACTAATACAGCCGTAGCATGTAGAGGTGCGTCAATCAAGACAACCAAAACTACCAGCCAACAGTGAACACACATAACCGCGCAAATGAAATCAGCCATATATTAGCCACCAAAGAAGACGAGCTTCAGCCGGGGTTCCCGAATTAGCGTGTGCAGTCCAATAACTTCTTTCCGTATAACTCTTGTAACCGTCCACAATAGGCCATTACTGTTTCGTGCATCGATGTGCATTGCATTTACGAATCTGACGACGTCTCTCTCACACTCCAGAGCCAGCACAAAAACGAAAGTAGTCGAACATAATGCCAAAATCAAAGAAGATGATCGGAATTTTCCACAAATAGACAAACGGAATAAAACACGTCGATTAATACAATCAAAAAAGCGACGACATATAAACCCTAGGCTGTTCTCCATTTTGTAAACGGTTAGAAACAAAGCCACTATAATACAACGAAATGTGCAAAATCCCTCCCATCCTCCAGGTCCCCCTCGACCCCTCCCCACATTTCACTCCATGTCGCTCACACCATATTCAACTGTGATTTCATACTGTCAGCCATGCTGCTGGCGCTATTGCGCGCGGCCAACATGGGCGCCGGACGGAAATGCGTCTGTACATAGGGAACAGGCGGTGGCATAAACGCCCCATCATTCACCTTTCCCCCAGCAGTTTTGTCATCCGGTTTTAGCCGGCCCACCAACGCTGCGTGATGGGGAATGCTGACCTTCACCGTGTGCCGCTGGGGTATGGGCTTCTCCGGTTTCGTGGGCGGCGGCAGAGGAGGTGGCTTGTCCACGCGACTCGCCGGCAGCTCTGTGCGCGGTTCGTTACTAGGGGTAACGCTGCCGATGCGGTGTATGACCGAAGTCCGCGCTGGCGGTATCGCTGGCGCCGGTGATGAGGAAACCGGTTGGGATGGCGGGGGCAATGTGGCAGGCAGGGCAACTTTCACAGCTGGCACCGCAACCGATGCGGCACTGTTAACGGGTCGGTTCATCTCTGCTTTCCACTGCCGGTATTCAGCCAATGATAACTGCAACAAAATAATCATTAGTACTTTAGCCCTTCTAAACTTGCGTACTTCTGAATACCTTTTTAGTAGGAGTAACCGGCAGAGAATTCCGGGAATTCACCTACAAACAGACCGACACACTATAACTAATTTCGCTAAAAAACACACCTTGCTGCGTTGACTTACCGTTGGTGATGGTACTGCCGGTACACTGGATTCCTTCAGCTTCTCGTCGGGTTTTTTTGTCGCCGGGGCAGTGTGTTCGTTCGGCACGGCTGACTGTGCCGTCGACTGTGACGTTGCGATCACTTCCCCGCCGCTTGACTGCACGGTCTTACTGGCTGACTTGCTCAACACATCAGCTGATTTGGCGGCTCCAAGGCCGCTGCCATCTGGCACCGACAAGCGTACATTCTCCGACTTTTTCTCGGATCGTGGCAGTCTGGCGGTGTTTTTCGCTGTCTCCTGGCCCATCATTCGTTGCAGCACGTCACTTTTAGGAATATCCGACTCCATCTTCACAGAGGCCATGCACTCCTTGCGGAGTGTTTGACTGTTGTGATGAGCGCGCTCTTCGTCCCGATTCTTCTGCATACTTTCCTCGATCATAGCCCGCACCGTTCTCGATCGTTTCAACGGCAGTATGCCTCCATATCGCGCCAAACAGGACTGCGTCAGTGGCCTCGCTGTACTTTCCAAATCCTTCAACTGCGCAGCGGATTCATCCGCTATCGACGAACACTCTGATGTGGATGGTATTACTGAAAAACACCAAATAAATCATTAACTTAATAAAAACGGAAATCTATTCATTACGGTTAAAAAAAACATCATGAAGACAACATACGTGTTGGCTCATCTTCTTCCTTGTACCGCGCAAAACAGCCTTCTTCAATCCGTACAACCGATACAGCCGGCATCGTTCCGCCGTGAATTTGATCTGCTCGAATTCTTCACTGGCGCTGTACGCCCGATTCCTTCGCGTGGCCTTCTGCATATCCGTTTCCGTTTGCATATCCGCCATGGAACTATAGTACGCGTCGATGAAGCTCACTGTTCGTATCTTCCGCTTATTCAACGGCAGCATCACCATGGGTAGACCCATTTCAATGTCATCCATCAATTCTCCCTCCTTCTTCCGCTTCTTCATGCTATTCAACTCAATCCGTGCATTATTCTCTTCACCGTTTTCTGTCGACCTGCTGACGGCGTTATTACGCAACCGCAAGGAAAACCGTGACTTCTGCTCAGCGGTTGGTACAGCTGTTGTCGGCGTTTCCACATTCGTCGGCGACTCCACTTTTTCGGATAAACTGGATGGACTCTCCGGAAGCGGTAATGGCGAATCTTTTTCCACATACCTTTCCACTACCGATTTCGCACGGTATGCAAAACGTTTGGCTTTCAGTGAAATCTTTACCGGGGTGCTGATCGGTGCACTGGTCGATGCCGGCGCCGCAAACTGTTCACTAATAACGATCGGATCACTGCTAGTGGGCAGGGGAGGCGGAAAATCAATAATACTGGCAAAAGGTGGTGACGGAGGAGGATTTGTGCTCTCGCCATGGCTCTGGTGGCTCTCGTCGTCGAGGTGTTCCCGTTCTTTCGTGGACTCACGCGTCGGTGAGCCGAGAGAATTCTCATCGTGAGTCCGTTTACGTTTTTCCTTTTATCGCGACGCTCTTCCATCCGCTTGAACATTTGCTCATATTGAAGAATTTTCCTATCATCTCGGGATAATTCACCACAATCATCGGTGCGATGAGTGGATTTCAGCACCGCTTCGACTGAAGACTGACGAGAGCGGGTTTCGCTGGTCGTAACGCGTTTCTTATCGGACTGAATGAGATCAGGCTGGCGAGGAGTGGGGGTGGTGGGGGGTATACTGGTGGTGTCCGCCGACTTCTTACGGCGTGCGTTCTTATTTTTGGGAATTTCTGTAGACCCTACCATTAATCAACAAAAACACAGCTGTGAAAACATCTCAAGGCAAATAAAAGCACGTCAGAATATAAAAACCGCAAAGAATACTCCGGGACACCATAGTAAATACGCTTGAAAAAAGGATAATGTCAGAAGCATACGGAGCTGGATGATCACATACTGATCAGCAGCACGGAAACTACTTTTTACTATTCCTGCTCTGTATCATACGTCATTTCGGAGTTCGAAATACGCACAAGTGTCACAGGTTGAGCAATATTAAACAGATCCGCTAAACAGGGAAAATCATCGATTATGGGAAAAAACCGAGTGCGATAAAGTTACAGAAAAATTACCTAAAAAACGACACTTCTATCCAAACAGTGTTCCTACCTGAGAGTTGATTATCGCGTGGCATCAGACTTCGATGCAGTTCTCTGGCCTCATCATGCCGCAGGGGTCGAAATGTGAGGGGATCGCAAACTTCGCACAGGTAGCAGTCTGGCACGGTGGCCGGCTCAATGCCCATACAGCCAAAATGCTGCCACACCCTGGACAAGCACAAACAGCGCATTTAAAAATAGAGCTCACAAGTACGTCCAACGCAACGATTCCATGACACTATCAAATTTTGTGAGACTTACTCGCATTGTTCACACTGGATCTGCTTGTCGAACATATCGCTGAATCCGCTGGAAAGACAAAACAACATCGTATTTATTACCCGGACAGAGGAGTAAGATTTGCTGAATAACAGCCATCCACTACGTGTCTACGTCGCATTCAACGTTCATCTTCGATCCACAAAAAACAACTTAGTAAACCGACAACGTCAGCAACTTTTCGGTAACTGCCACGCAGAAATTGCTTGCACTTAATGGTAAGTGCAAGTGGACTCGAATGACAACCAGAGCCGCGTTTGACCGATTTGACAATTTGCCAAACAGCGTATGGACAAATCCAATCAAAATCATCACAAATAAGCTACAAAATGCTTATAAGCCATTTGGAAGCTCACCTACAGCTATACATCATTTAGTAAAACTTCGAAAAACTTACCAAATACATCTGATAACGTAGTCGGTATCCGAATCTTCCTCGATATCCTGCTCACGGCTCTTGGTTGCTTTCTTTGTTCTCCCAATTTTCGACCTGACTTTCTTGGTCTTCCTTGCGCTACCCACTTTCCGTTTCGTACTAATCGCAGTGACCACATTACGTCCATGGTCGGATGCTGCCTCAGCAGCGCAGAGTCCGTTATGAGATGCATCGGGACTCAAATGACTACTGCCGACCGGCCGTCGGTAGCTAATGCTAATGCTCCCGTCAGTCTGCGGTGACGATGCGCCCGACGATGTGGACAGGCGATGCGGAGAGTTGACGGCTTTCTGCGACGGGACCACGTGATCTGGACTACTGGACTTTGACGATGAATTCGAATCAGAGTTCAGCGATGTCGATAGCGATAAAGATGCGTTCAGGGCACCGACGATGGGATTATGATCGTGAAATTTGCTTATAGTAACAGTGTCAAGTGCTTCTGGTTTGTTGTTTTCATCACGATCCCTGACGGCATCGTATGTTTCACCCATGATGAGAGTAGCCTCCGCAGCATCCACGAATCATCTATATAAAGAACACGAGAAATGCATACAACACTAAAAATGATTTTCTTTGCTACACAAAGTGAACCAGCTACTAATTATCAACTAGCATAGGATTTTACCAGTCTCTTTTGTAAAATCAACCGAAATATCAAAAAAATGCCACCATATTCTACATTTTGTTCAAGGGCCTTTGCACTGGCCTTGCAATTTTTGATTCCTCGTTTACGGCGCGCCTAATTTACTGTAGGCGTCGTCGCCGTGAATTCAGAGACATACCTAAATTTCCCATTAAATTCGAGAAGGAAACCCGACTGACATACATACAAAGTTTTGTAACTCTGCGTTATGCAGGCTATGTTATTTTCTGTCATTCCGTGAGACTCCCTTATGCAGCGCACTTGAAATGAAATTGTCAGCCTCACAATCCCACTAATTCGGTCAATCTACCCCCTTATGTTTACCATGGCCGATGTTTATGGTTCGCCGAAAAGCGAATTCGAAGTAAGGCAGTTTTATTGTATACGTGTCCTACAGCAGCGCCAAATGGATAATAATCGTCATAGATATGCAGCTTTGTGTATGTAAAAAACTTTCGAGTTGCCAACTCCAACAAAAACGATCGGTAACCAACACACAAGCATCAAGATAATTCACGCATTTCATAACGCCGCCAGCAAAACTAGCCTGTTGTTTTTTGTCGTGGCGTTTGTTCGCAGATACGTACAAAGAATGAAATGATTCATAGTAGTTTCGCATAAGCAAAGTCAGAAAACCAAACGGTTATATCGTACCATCTGGTTACGCTTACTGACACTCGAAGCGATCGCTAGTCTCGCTACCGTAGGTTGTCTCGTTTATGAAAACCATTTTTCCACAGCATTTAAGCCCATCTGTGTCTCATTTCGTACCGGGAAATTTCACCAAAGCGTGTGCAACAATTAAATGCATAAATCATGTTCCGCAATTCATCTGTTTGTAGAATTTAAATTTGACCACTGCAAAGGCGTAAACCTAAATTTTCAAGTTAACTGCAAGTCCTACACCAGCACGACCTATCTCTATGAACAACAGTACAGTACCCAAATCAACAATCAAACCACAGGGTAAATTTTGAATTTTCGTTAGGCCGACGTAGGCCAGCAAGTTGGGTTCATGCTCGGATACGAATGTCTCTTGCAGCTTGCCACACTTATAAATAGGACAGTCTCAGCCAACTCAAGTATTTTTCATCGAAAGAAAACATGCTCAGCAAGCTATGGAACCAATACAATTTAACGACCGATCGATCGGACTAAAGTATATAACCATGTTATTCAGATCAAGCTCAAGCTCAGCAATACGCAAATGATAAATCCTGTTCCCTACCAAACAGCATGATTGACTTGACGTCTAATTTCTTAAAATCATCGGGATTGTTAGTTATCTTTAGGCATCTGCGAAATGCAAGCCAACAAAGCAACAAAAACAGTGTGACCACTGACTAACGACAGTGCTACAGAGCACACCAGCCACCAGGTACGAATACTTCAGGTACGAGTACTTACTCGTACTGAAAAAATACATTCCATTTATATGGCCAATTTACACGCATTATCATTTTGGGCAGATTTATGCGCGTTCGAACCATAGACATATATTTCAGTTTTTTTTTAAATTTTGGAAGAATACGGAAAAACTGGAAAAGCGAGTACACTCATTTCCACCATGAACTGCCCTCCGTCGGCCTTTGAAAACCAAAGAATGCAAAACGCGCTTATCAGGCGGTAGGATCCACGGAGGCCTACGCACTCCGATAACCAGATTCTGTGGCTATCAACTACACTGCTTATGCCACATCGAAGTAAACTGTGCACTGACGCAACTCCAGGCACGGTCTCATGTTTGGATCTCGCGGAAAATCGATCGATTCTCCAAAATATCCTGTCAAGTGATGTGTTGCTCCTATCCATAGGTGCAGCCTTCTCTCAAGACCTTTTAGGCATTATGCCAATCAATAAGTACATTTAGCTACAGTATATTTCCAGTTTCCGTGTAATAATAAACCAATTTACATTTTTCGTAGCTTTCATAATTTCAGAAAATGGTCAACGACTAGTGACATGTACAGAATCTCCAGATACGGCCAGCAAGTATCTCTATCTGGTCAAACAGTTTCCAGAATTTAACACGTAATCGTGACGCAGCTGTTCATATTTATAAATTTTATTATTAAACAGCAGACATACGGCAAATAATCGACAAAAGAATTCACATCTTAATTTCATCTGCTTCTGGGATCGTTTGTTAACCGAAACTAATACTAATCTGAAAACCATCCAGTAAAACATTATACCAAACAGTTCATCGCAATCACACCAAAATCAATCCACGTAATATTAATGTATTTACAGAAATGTAAGTATTAAAAAAAATCAGAAATCAACGTCAACAACTTCAGCCGTCTTGCGTATTTCACACGTTAAGGAAATCGCTAGCCCAGGAAAATTTTGCCGAACCCCAGTGAACAAAGTTTTAAAACAATTCAGAATTTAAACCACTGGAATAAAAAAGCGAAGCGAGAACAACTACAACCAAGAACTTGTCAGGAGATAGTGAGAAAACCCATTACAAGGGTTTTGTACTGCAAAATTGCAAGTGATTGGAGTCCAAGCAGAAGGAAATGCGCACACGAAATCCACATCGATGCCAGATTAGCAGAAGCAAATCGATATGAGTTCCTGTGCCACATCACAGTGCACCATGCTCGAGTATGCGGCTGACAGCGCCGTAGCGGCATATTATAGGTCTCTCCTAGTTAGACTGACAAGTGAAAGCCTGCGTGAAACCAGTTTGTGAGTGAGCTAGCATGCAGGCTGTTTGGAGAAATCCTTTTGGGTATTTATTCCTGCGCTTTTTGATTTCTGAGTAATAACATCACTCGACATGTCCGCTAGCGTATAGTGGAAACCGGTTTGGTTCCTTGTTTAAATGCAGCCCGTAAAATTAGCCTCGAAAACACTGTCAGGTTTTTTCTAACCTAATTAATTAAGTCAATTTCCTTTTCTGTACATCACCATTAGGAATATGCTCCAAATGGTTAATTATTACAGAACGCCAACTTACGGTATATGGTACTAGTATACGAAAGCTAATAAATCAACCGGCAAATGAACTGTTGAATTCTGTTGCCTCTTTATCACGGCTCCCTTGTATAAGGCTAGTTTGTCGATTTTAACATTTTCACCGAAATTAAAACCGAGTACCACCGTACAAACCGCTGCCAGACCATAAGTTATTTTATCCTTGTTATCGCTGTGCTTTTCACAGGTGCTATCTTCAACTATCACCATCAGCCCAATTGTAAAAATATACGTCTCAAAGATTATCCGCTAACGCACTGCGAAACAAGTCCATACCGGTAAACACGGCCCCCAGAAGAATAGGCAGAAATTATGCTAATCGACTGCCACGTCAGTTGCATAAAACTTATCCTTTTCTGAAAGCCTGTTGAAGGTTTATTTAAGCACAATAAAGAGATATCTGGCTAATATCAACGCTACTGAAACTATTGCCGGGCAAGAAATAACCAGAAAGCTTTCCAGCTGCAGTGCTCTGAATTAAACCAGTACTTCGAATGCAGAGTCTGCAGACAAAGACTTAGACAACTAAAATCTACGGGTTTTTTTTCATTTTTCATTTCACAATTTTACAGCGAAGGCGCAACATCAGGATGGTTACAGAAATCCAGTCATTAAAGCGACAACTCGGAAAGCCTCCCATTGCGTTCCGCAGTTCGGGAACGGCGAACCAATTCATTTTACCGGTAGACAATTATCACAAGGTAACAAAAAAGCTAATAATAATCGCTAGAACGGTTACTATATTATTCTGATTCGGTTCGGTCACGTGGAAATAATTTCATGACGCAGAGAAATTCTAATGATCACGGAAACAACACGCCGAATGCCTCCGACCGTATGCTGTATGCCGTATGGCGGTGCTCGCTGATGCACCTATTCCATTCCCGTCGTAACTTACCGCTTCAGAAATGAGTATCAGAATTAACTATGAGATTTTTGTCTGTGTTAACAACAAAACTAACACTACATTCTCGAATTAACCAAGCAAAATACCACGATAAATTCTATGCAGTATGGAGGATACGAAAAACCAGCTGTCAAAGCTGGCGGATCTGGATCACGCCAGTTTTGAAAACCAGGAACGGTTGCCCCAAGAAGATCTTTCTTATAGCCCGGTTATGGCCTGTCATGTGAAATAAATCAGATAAATGTTGAAAAAAACCAAATCGTATTTGTAACTTGTTGCCACTTTGCGGCTTTGCCTGTCGAAATTGCAAGAGATGCTTTAATAAAAAAATTAGCAAAAACAAGATATTTTCGATAGCCGTGTTTCTAACTCTTAACAATTCTACTCCATGCTCTTTGATCACTGAAAACGATGCCACATGAACATGACGAGATTGCTAATAATACGGTTACTGTACTGTTTTAGTGTGGGAGCCTAATCGTAAGCAAACTTCACGCAAAAGGGTTCTCAGATTGTTGTCGGCTAAATAAGATTTCAAACCCTGCTCGCTATTACTCAAGTTTCGAATTAACATATTATTTTGGTACTCGTAGCAGTAATTAATTCACATTAATTTCGACCATTTCCTGATTTCAATATAGGTTACTCACTGTGATACTTAATAAAACCACCATATCCACGCCACAAATACAGTACTGTACTCGCTGCTGCCATAAATTCCTTAAGACGCCGCTCTTGAAAATCTGCCCTGTTTGGCCAATCTTGGTTCTTTGTTAGAATGATGATAGTGATTACTGTTAGTTTCTTACACTGTTAAAAACTTAACAATTCACTCGCCCAACTGTTCAAACAAACGGTTCCTACTGCGTCAAGAACCCCGTGCTCATAATCATTAATCGCGTAGTAAAACAATCACAGAACAATAGAATTAATAAAAAAAATGAAAAAATTATGTGAGAGCGACTTACCTACCATCGCAGATTCGTGGGTCAAAAATCCTTATTACTCCCAAATTCCAGTAAATAAATGCAGGTCAGTATTCAGTTTCTGTTATGTTATTCCTGTTCCACGGCGGAATTGCGCTCACATTCACGTTTGCGCGAATTAACACACTGAACAGTAGGCCGATGTACAATTCTAAAACATCCTCAACAATTTTAGCGCCTTGAAAAATTCTCCAGCAGTACTTTCCGACAACTGACTGGTGAGGTGATAACAATTCAAGATAGCGATATACAATCTCATTACGGAATTGCTGATAATTTCCATGCCAAAGTTCCAAACTTCGTTACTGCCAGCGATCGGTTTCGTCAGTCCAGGTGCCTCGCATCAACTTGCAGCCGTGCAACAACTCGCGGCTGCTCTACGCTGGCGTTTCACCATTCAGAATTCACCAATCGGAGCTGCACCAGAACGCCTTTGTGTCAGTGATGGCCGGAGGGTAAGCCAGCAGTAAATACCGGGAAGTATTGACGTGTATTCTTTTAACATTGCAACAAATCTCTGAAAATTAATACAAACGAACATGTAGTTTTTTTTTATTGAGGCGCACTTTTCCGTCGACAATTCAATAATAATTTGGACGTCGAAGTTATGCACTCCAACAGTTACCTAAAATTCTATAAATATTATTAGTTTTCTTTCAACTTGCATTTCAGACCTCGTATTCTATGTTGTACTTGTATCGTATCGATTTGAATGCCTGTTTTATCGATCACCAGTTTACCACGGCTAACAGCCAAGTCGGATCGCCCTATCGCCATTACTGAGGTCTCATAAATGCACACTACGCATACGAGATCCTAAGCGGAAAGCATTCGCATGAGTCATCCAGCTTTCAAATTAAATTCTTCGAAAACGCACGTTCTATACGTGTCCGGCTGAAAGAGTTCACGCACAGGCTCTGCTATGCCAACTGCCAAGAGATTGTAGACTGCGGCTGTGCGGCAAACACAGTTGGAAGCTTGTGCAAAGCAAACGATATGAATTCAATCGTCATCACGTTATTTCAAAAGGAAATGGTACTAGTAGTAACTAATGCCAGCCAAGCACTTTGTGTTTGCAAAATACGTTCCGCCCTGTTAAACCACTTGCAGCGAAATTTCTTACCAGTGCTTTTTCTGCAAGCTTGTGTTTTTGCCCTTGTGCGCCTGATCTGACGAGAGGTTTCTTGCTTGTGCATTATTTGTAGTTTTACACTATTATACACAAAATACTTCCTTATGGCATCAAGCGAAGGACAAAACGTTCAGTTTCCACCCTTTCGAGGGTTGCAGGATTTTTTGTTGGATTCACGCTTTCAGCTGCCGAGTTTCAATGATCAGTCACGCTGGGCAAATCGTGTATTAAATAATCTGCTGTACTACCAGGCAAATTATTTCGCGGTGGTACTGCTGGCCATTGCCCTAATAGGGTAAGTGCTTGAGCGGCAAAATCCTAAATAATCCTCGAATTCTCCGCCAAAAATTAAGCGTTAATATGTGGGAGAAAATTTAAAATTAATGCCACTTTACACTGTGAAGATGTTACTCTTGAAATGCTACTGGAGTGTTACTTACTAATGCTTTTACATATGTGATGACACTGCGACCGTTAAAACTTTTTTAATGCATAACTAAAATTTTTGAAATATGAAATCATTAATGTTACTGAGATGGCTATATTATTTGTCAAATAATATTATAATAATATACGCATTTAGGAATGATAACCAGTACTTTGTGATTTGCAGTTTAATCTTCCCCGCGGAATTTTTGTACGGGATAGTGGGAACCCTTTGTGCAATTCTGACAGCGGTTGTTTTGTTATCGAAGCACCATTTAATGAGACAACTCAGGGGATCCTATCCCTGGGCAGCACTGGCCATTGTAGCTGTTCTGGGCTTCGTGGTCGTCACTGAACTCCGTGATATTGCAGTCTTCGCATTTCCCTTTGCTTTTTCAGTTTTATGTAAGTACTGTAAACTCAAACACGCATGCAGCTGCAGCAATACTATAATTGTTATATCTAAAAAATCGAAAACGTTTTATAAACACTTAAAAACTGTTGTCCGATAAACCAGATTTTGAATGTTCAAGGGCAATTAAGACACTCGTAAAACGGTTTTCGGACAAGTCAGACATTTAACCGAGCCCACATCCTGACAAATTGCAAATATACCCTTACTCTAGCATGTGCTCGATCAGATTCCTAAATGTCAAATTGCATTGCAACATAATATCAGCTGCCCACGCTCTCTGGTATTGAAACGCTTCTATTGTCTAGTGATCTACATCCATGCGTCTTTGAGGACGAGGAACATTAAGAATCGTTTCAACAACAAAATGGAGCAGATGGGCCTGAAACGAAGCCCAATGGGAATGCTGATTGAACTGACCGGCTATGAAATCCAAATGCGACTTTTCACAGCGGCTGAGGACGCCACCATGTGACTGCTAACGGAATTGCCATTCCGCATCCGTCGGCTGCTGCATGATATCATGGAAAACTGGAGTTAAGATTTCGCTACAGGACTTCCGCTCCATATCTCAGGCCTTTCTAGTCTGCATTATTGTGATATACCCGTAGTTCCTATGCACCGTTCCCGCTGCCGCTCCATGTTCGACGTTGCTAAGTAATCGCAGTGTCCGATGTGACGCGCAGTTTCATCAGCTCAAATCCCGCACCCACAACCGCAACATAATAAACTTCCCCATTATTAGCTGCATCCTGGTAATAATCTGCAGCGCTCATGGATTGAATTCGTGGAAATGTTTGCAGCGCAGAACTCAGAGCGCTGCAGCGCAGAGAGTGACAATGGAAAGCAGCAACATCGGCAACTGATGTGTACACAACTCCAAGGTTTTCGATCTGTAAATGTAAATATCCGATTATACTTTAAAAGTTTTATTGCGTATTTGTACCATCGCAGTTATCTGTCCTTACTGCAGCGTCCTCATATTTAATGGCCCATAATTTTATTGTCTGGTCTTTGGAGGCTGTTAAAATCCGATTTGATTGTTCGAGAATGTGTACTCCTGCAACAAACAAACAAATTTCGGTTGACTACTTACTAGTAATGTTGTGAAACCGCGCTGACATAAATACATTACCTGGAATGCAAAAAAGTAATACCCTGCTATATTATATATTGAAATAATGACCAAGAATGGGTGTACCGTTTGCAAAAACAAGTAATTAATTTCACAACAAAAACAGAAATCCAGAAGTAACGGTTTATTATTTGATTGAATCTTTCTCTGTAATACATGACGTTGTGGGCGTGTTATTTTCTGTATACACCTCAATACGTAGGGTAGGGAACTATGATTCACCCCCCCCCAGATCCACAGACGTTGAAGACAAACAATAATGTATTCCAAATGTTTAAATACGTTTGATATTGCAATATCAAGAGAAAACACCGACGCAATTACGAATTGTGGGAAACGTGATATTCACAAATGTCAACGAACACACATTTCTATCGATAGAAGTATCGTTAACTCGTAATCCTTCAAAGTTCACGACTACAAATACAGTTACTTATAACTCTTTCTGATCACCTTACCAGTAATCTGCGCAGCGTGAGCATCTTGTTTGGTAATACGTATTACGGTGTCCGGGTTATCCAAAACATCGCATCCCGGAAAACACAGTACGCATATTGAACCATCGTCCGCGCCGGAAGCGATTCTGTAGCAGCGGTTTCGGTCACACCCCACATCCACAGCGTCCACTCCTGACTGGTGGCAGGAGAAACTACCATTCTGTTGACTTTCACTAATATGAAATTCCAGCGAATCTAAGTAATTCGACAGGTCGAAAATGGCTATCCGACCGGATGTCAAGCCGGCAAGTAAGGCCATCCTTTCTCTCATTTTCACTAGATGTACATGTAAAATACAGTGCTTCAGCGGTCCCACGGTGCCGCAGTGATGCAAATTACGTGTCCCGCTATTCCGGAACAGTTTCACCTGGCCGTCACTTGTGCCGGCAGCAATAAGATCAACAGTAGTATCCAAGGCGCACGAATACACATCCATAATTCTTGCATCGGGATCCAATGCCGTTTTGTCTGACCATCGTTTGCGAACTACAGGAAAAGGAGTGTAATCGGAGGCTTTGACGATGTTTCCTACAATTCAGAAACGAAAACCACTTTCATGTTCTGAGTCTTAACCATTTAAAACAATGCGAACCACCGGATACTGTACGATGTACATGCATATTGTATAATCACATAATTATTCTATACTCATTACTCATACCTAATGAAACGTCGTTGACGATATTCCAGCAAATCAGCTGATTCCTTCCTCCTGCGGAATAAAAATAATCCCGAAATAAGGAAGAAGATCTTACAGCGCGGACGGAACTCAGGTGGCCTTTGCAGACCGCAACGATCTGAGGATCCGTCGGCCAAAAATGACCTTCTAATGGTGCTTCAATCACAGTAACCGAGGTGTCCTCGCGTGCCAGAGCGTACGCCAAGCGCTGTTTCTGATCTGTGGCGCGATGAAAGCCAAGGACGTCAACGGCCCAAACAGGGCTAGACGACAATGCGTCCTTAGCGTATATCGACCTCTCTCCAATACGAAAAGGGCAAAAATCAATCCAACAAACGCTGTTGGCCCGCACAAAGGCAAACCGGACATCCCTTCGGTCAGGAAAGGCAGCAACTGCAGAACAACGGTTTCCTCCCCCACATTCAGTATCAACAAATTTTGCACCTTTGAGCATGTCAACCGCCACAAATTTTGATGCCCGAAACCCGAAAGCCACAATATTACAGAAATCATTTGGAGGGTAAGGTAATGAAAACGAAAAACCGCAAACCCATTCGATAATTCGCTTTGAGACTTGAAAGCTTTTCAACAGATTCAATTTTTCTCCGCTGCAAGCATTAGCGACTTCCCAATAAAAAACCTGCCCGCTTCGTCCAGACGTATAAAGACGATCGTCGCTAGCAAAGGTAATCTGCGACACTTCTGCACAACCATGAGCATGAGGAATAGTAAAGATTTTCTCGACTTTTTCCTCTTTCGACAATATCCCGTGCAGCGATCCTCCTCGGTCGCCACAAACCAAAATATCCATACGAACGGCTACTGCGGTGATCCAGGAATTTTTCGAATACAGCGAGATATCCCCCAATAACTTCAAGCAAGAAAAGTTATCACTCTTGGTGTCAACTGCAAAAATCCTCATCACACCAGAAGGGCCAGAAATCACCATAACATGAGTGGTTCCATCCGTAGCATAATGGGCTGCCATGCAACTAGATTTCAAGTCGCACTGCCACGACCGCTCACTCCTATCTGACAAGGTCGACACCAAAATTTTTCCGCTGCATGTTACCAGCGCGAAATAGTTCAGTGGAGGAAACGGGACTATAGCCACACACTGCAACAACTCCTGATTTTCCCACAAAAGCTCCCAGGCGTTGTTGTTAGAAGTAAGATACAATTCTCCACTTTCCAAGATTATCAAAAAATGATGATAATCCCACATTACGAATTGTTTTACACGTTTAACAGTGGTAGGAGACACGCTTTTCACTTCCAGCTGGAGTACATCTGATCTATTTTGATTCAAGTCAAATTCCGTCAGAATTATGGCACCGTCGGCTCCACCGGTAAAGATCGCAATACGGTCTCCATATTTCAAAACATCCAGACTCCAAAGATTAATACCGCTATGCCGATTCCAGCTGTTAATCAGCTGTCCCTTCGAATTCCATATGCAACAGCGACAATCTTCGCCGCCTGTAACAATATCTCCCGATTGCAAGATTTTTCCTCGCCACACGCGAGCTTCGTGTCCAAACAACACGAACAGTACTTCCAATTCTGCCGATCTCCACTTAGTAATCTCTTCTTTATCACAAGAAGTCCTGACAGTGTAAACTTTACACGACCGGTCGTCCGACGTAGAGCAAAGCAGACTTCTTTTGTCACAGAAGTCAAGAGAAAATATCGCACCCTAAGAAAAACAGAACCTTTCGTATAACACTAAAAACGACCGGACAAGGGCAGCGTAATAACATACGGTATGCTGCTGACACTGGTAGACGGGAAGCGGGTTGGGGGACTCCGTTTCTGATGCAATCCAGGCAGTCAGAAACCCGAATGCTGTTCCTCCTATCACAACGAATTCAGCGGCTTCACGCTTAAAAGAACTTGTAATAATTTTTGCAGTATATCTATAAAGCACAACCACACTATTCTACCAAAAGATAACTTGTTAGGTGTAAATTCCTAAATACTGTACGAATAAGGTATATAAAAGGAATGCCACAGCAGCCAGCAAAATGAAATCATAAACTAAGGAAAAACGGAGACACTGCATACGTGTAACACCTGTTGCGCGCAGTGTTAATTAAAATAAAAATACATGCATTACGTAGAGTTTGCAGTACAGTCTATGATGATATATATCGTATTCACAGAATAAGACTAACTAATTGATTAACTTACAGAAGGCTGTTATCTTGGCAGGAAAGCGAATATAGCGTATCCAAACGCGATGCCGACAAAATCATCACAACATTGTGAGCCAAAACCGCAGCGATTCGCTCTTTATTCAAAAAACACACATTGACTATCAAATCCGGCAGGATCTTTTCGTCAGATACAAAACTACAAATTTTAATCACAATCTGATTTTATTTCAAAAACGGAACGAAAGCAAATAAGTATCAATAAGTTATCGAGAACCTTACAAGAAAACAAAATTACCTCAAAACCCCTGGCTCGTGACTGTCGTGATCAAGGCTGTCCAAGGCAACCACTCGAACAGAATGATCCCCAAAAACGCATACGGATCTGCATGCGGCTTCCTTGCCAGAGATTCCATGACTCGACACATCGATTCCATGGACCGCTGCTTTTGAGAACACGCGAAGTGCTGTTCTTTTTTTGCCGAAACGCTCCGAGCCAACATCGTGCTACAAAACAGTTCATAACATCAGCCATCGCATATGTAAGGCAATTCCTTTATGAAAATAATTTGAATATTTTCCAAAGGTGCCCAGTGCCCACAAGGCTACAACATAATACTAGTATTATACTTCTGCCAGCTTACACTGTCCGGGATGAGGTTTCCATTTTGCAAAACTGCTTCAGTTTTAGAGGGCCGTTTGACAACATCCACAAACAGCCAATTCGCTTCTCCTAAAAAGAACGTATATACGTAAGTACACTCTAGCACACCCTAAACGGGCTCATCCAGCTACTCTAGCGCTGGAGAAAGGACATAAAAATTCTCCTGTTTTCCCAGTTTATATTACCCACTACATAGACAGCCAGCCAAAGCCACATATTGTCGCATCCTGTTTATTACAGGCAATCCGTTCCTAGTTTGCACCTACGTTTTCACGTAAACATCAATTGGTTACAGTAACAAAACGTACTAGAAAAGAATAAAAATGGCACACTACGTTGTAACTACCGATCTGTATCTGTACAAACGTATAATGCACCAGTGTAGACTATAAAGTATAAAGACTACACTTTATTAAAGTGTAATAAAATTCTTGAATAATTAAGTGACGGAAATGTCCATCGTCCTCAAGGGCATAAAACAATGCACGAGTTAAAAAATTAGCATTAACAAGTAATAACTTGAATTTCAGACTGAATTACCGATCGCTTAACACTTAACAATTACTTACTACGGTCATTCGTACAAATTTCTAGAGCTGTTTTTTTTATTCTTGATCCGCATATTACTCGTATCATTATCGCACTTCGGTGACTTGTTGAAGGCTTATGATGGCTTATCTAATGGTAAGACCGTAAGAGTTCGTGTAAGTACTGCGAGTTTCTGATTACAATTATGTGCGTTAACACAAAAGACTGCAAACTGTTTCTTATCTTTACCGAATAAAATGCCGTACGAATCTGACGATCCCAGTTCAAACGCTTGCAATGCCAAGATCCTGTTGCTTTGCAAAACCGTTGAAGCCCACAACGATCCTGAGTGTTGGTGCCAGTGATCAGCCATCGCAAAGTAAGTTTCGAAGTTTCGGTGGCGAGAAACTTTCACCGTTAACTAGAATACTCATAGGATATTAATTATATAGTATACAATCAGAACTTTAAACTAGTTTCGCACTGTTTAAAAGAAATATAGATATCCGTTTTCGTCTGTGTTCTGGTACGACTACGAGTAATGGTAAAAGCAATAAAACTGAAAGAAAATCCTGAGAACATCTTCGAAATTATTTTGTAGTCAAAAGATCGCAGCTGACGGCTCGGTTGGTTCGGCTGGTTAAGCCGCTTTCGGGCCTTGGCAGACCTAACCCGCAGCGTGCAGAACCGATATGGAGCGACTAATGAATGGATATGCAGCCATTGATCTGCGGCCAAAAAGAGGCGCATCATTTACAACGGTCTGCTTGATTGGCTGTCGTGCCGCACCAGTATCGGAATGCCGAAGGAGTGGTCAATCGGACTCCCCAAGACAGAAGATATAAGGAATTGGAAAACACATGACCGAGAAATGTCTCAAATCTAGAGAAAGCAGCCAGGAAGAGAGCGGAAAGAGGCTGTGGGATGCATGTTTGAGACGGGGAGAGTGGAACGGTTGAATGAACGACTGGTTCAGAAAGTTATCCGCGAAGTTAATTTATCTACGCTCAGCCATCCATTCGCTTTCTCCTCCGGTGTTTGAGCGTGCTGGATGGTCATAGTGGCGCTGCAAAGTGGATTGTTTCGCTTTTAACAGCATTATCCAATTAAATTTCGTTAACAGCAATTAATACCAACGAAATCATTGCGGATAACAGGTAAGCACTGAACCTGCAGAAACCGCAGCAGCTGAGCTGTATGATTTTGTTTTGTGTTTAAGATCTTATTATTATTATGTGATAGTCACCAAATCACTGAACTATCTGCCCAAATATATACTGTATATGTAGTATGTAATACTTGTGCAGTATTACAAACTGAGCGAGACTCTGAAATTCGAATTGTAGCACTTTGTACTGACATTTCGGCGATTTCGCACATGTGAGTAAAATGCTGGTCGAGAGTGAACGGCACAAACTGATTTATTTTGCAGACTAAGTTTTTGCATTAGCAATTTAAAAGCTAAATGAAATAAGTGATAGGAACAGATATTCGATTTTCACCTTTGATAAGCTTTGCTGTTATTGTGCATTACCCGTAGCAGTTAGCATTCCGGTAAGCATTATAGGAAGATACTTGTAGAAATCTTAACAGAGTTAGTAAATAATTTTTGTATGACATACATGTATGCAGTTAGATATCAAAAAGCGCGAGCGTGAGTGCATAACTTCAAAACTTTTTAGCGGTTTTCGGGAATGATTGCTTGCGCAGTTACGCCCATACAGTTTTGCACTAGAGGTACGCAATTCTTTCCATGCATAATGCATAATGAATTGTAGAAACTCGGCTGTATCGAAGTTGTTTTATGCAGCTTATTAGGCGCGATTCCTTTCTGTGTGTCGTGATAAACGAAATGCGTATTTCTTCGCCGTGTTGATATTCGTACTCAACAGCGAAATATGCAAGCAACGAGGTTATACTTTATGAGAAATCTCGAGATATGTGTATTTGAACAATTTCTGCGATTGATTGCTTTGATACAGTTAAATGCTCTTGTGCTGAATTTGATCCCTCTGACTGGCTGCGACCGCTTGTCTTACATATATCGCCTGTGATTTCGGGTTAAATCAACCTCCTCCTCGGGCGTAGAATAGTTTATTGCTGCACCTCGAAAAGTTATGCTGTTTTGCTGAACATGGTGGTCTCTCCGAACCGTATTCTCCGTTCTCGAGAAAAGAGTTCTTTTAATCGCAGAATTCAAAGTACTTCAACTGACCACAAGGATGTGATGTCTGCAGATTGTAGACGTGATGGATTACGTAGCAAATCCCTCTGAATCTGTGGTCGGAGAAAATGTGGTTGCAGTAATGATATGTCAAAATGTCGGCTCCAAGCCTGCTATTTCCTGAGACGAACAGCCATGTATCAAAAGCCGGAAGTTGTCATACAAGCTGAAGTAAAGTGCAAACGTTGCGGGAGGCCAAATTATTACCATGTAATAAGATCGTTCAGTCTAATGGTGATATCACTTTTGATTTTATGAAACACTGCGAATAAAATTAGAGAAGTTAAACCGTAGCGCAAAATTTGAGGTACCTATGGAACATTAATGCTCTAGGCAGCAGTACAAGTCACAATTACATATTTCGCATATCAAATACACTATCTGTACATTAAAAAAATAAAACTGCTGTAATAAAATTAGAATTTATATTCTAACTTCCAGCTTGAAGCAGCAGTCTTCCTTCCTATCCCCTATGAAGAAATTGCAATTGTGAATTTCTGATTGTAGTTCTAAATTATAAAATGCAGCATTAAAACAAAACGGATAATAGCGGTTTAGAGTGTCCTGTGGAATGCTCATACTCTCCTGAAACACAGTGCAGGAGTTGGTGCCACTGCAATTATTGAATTTTTTGTCCGCGAGTGATTTATCCAAAGAGGCCGGCAAGTGCTTGCAGATCGATGTTATTGCATACTTTGACAATTTGTTTGGACATCTTGTCAAAATACTCCGGGACTTGATCTTGGCTGTTTATGTTTTCTCTGTTTAGTCGGTTTAATGTTTCCTAAGCAATCCTGGGAAAGTTGAACTGCGTCAGCAAAACCCCAGCTGACAAAAACCGCTAAATGCCGCAATAAGCTAACTCGTACTGTAAACGATTTTATAAGTCGCTCACCAGTCACCATATCAGCTGGGCACTATCGTTTCCGGTCACTTCTATTATTTTATGCAACAATTTCAATATTAATGCAATTCCTTCTTAACCGGAGTGCGTACTTACAAAATCCAGTAAATCAACCTTTTTGATTTTATAGTGTTTATATTATAGCATGCCTTCTCACACTAGCAATATTAATTACTGTAATCGAGAATCGTATCTTATTACTGTACGAAGTATGGATAATGGACGTACTGGCATGTTTCCCGTTTTGGTCACGGCAGCTTTAGTTTTAAAGTAAGTACTTGATCTGCTGTTGCTGCTGGCAGTTGTACGCGGATCTCAGTAAACAAGAGATGCCATTTCCATGGAAAATACAGTTAGCTACAACTACAACTGAAAATAAAATTATTATTTAATTGGCTCACTGTTTTAACACTGTCAGCTTGTGTGTAATATAGTGCCGGTAGACGGTAGTATCCGCAACTCCGAAGGCATATCGAGTTTAGATAATATCCGTATCCAGAAAAATGTGCTTTTGTCGATTCTCTCCCTCAGATCTTTTTTTATATTCCTTTACAACACGAATGGGAAGAAGATTTAGAACGTGGGAAAGGTTTTTTCGGTTCGTCAAATTAATGTTTGCTTATCTGCAAAGTCTATTACCCTCCACAGGGTTACCGTTAATAGGGATGGGCCGTAAACACTAAAGTGATCAGATTTCATTCGGCAGATATTTAGTGATAATTGGTGGCTCGAGTTCATAGTCCGTTGAAGACTTTCAACTAGGAATGCACATGCTGTCATATAGTTATTATAGTAATAGTGTAAGTATTGTATATTGTTTCACAAAAAGAGTGAACCATTTCCGAGCTGTAATGACTTGCAGATTTAATTCATACGTTTTATTCTGTGTATGGTTTGTGTTTGAGTTTTGATTATGCTCTGTCTATTGTATATACCGTCATGACGTAATCATACACAGCGTCGTGCCCTTTTTGAAAATCTCTTTCCCATAAAAAAATTGTGGTAGGTGAAGATGTAACTGCTCATACGAATCACCAAAACTAGGTAATTCATGCATAAAATTCATGCTTGCATAATAATTATAGCTTCGCTCATTTTCTATACTAGTAGCTCTGTCTGTAAGCTGGAAGGTAAGTATAAGTTGTATTAAGATTATTATTTTGTAGTTTTTTTTTAAACACGTTTTGTAGTAAGACTTCAGAAAGCATTTCGCATTCGGCGATTCCGAATCAGACTGACCCGTTTGCTGACCAATGTAGCGCTTGAATTTGGTGTATAACATATTCGCAGTCAAGTGCGCACTTTATTGTGTTTTGCGGTGTTTCTCGATGATTCTATTTACATAAGGTCATGCTGTACCTTTCACACTTTGATTTAAACGTCTAGTGCTGATATTTGTCTGGAATCTAGTTCACCATAACTTGATCGTAAATGTGCAAAGTTTTATGCGTAGTGAATAGTTGCAAAAATTCGTAGAGTTAGTGCACAGCGTATATTACGTTTTTAGAATAATCAGACAAATTACATGTATAAAGGGATACATGTAATTTTGTTGCCTTTTCAGGTACCCGGAATGCAGCGCTGAATATTATCTGGATTAAAACAGCAAAATATTTATTCTGGTTGAGTGGACAGTCTCGTATCAAAATGTTTAGCGGTAGCGGGCCTCACATGGATACCAGAACTTGATCTAAGCCCGCATAGCAGGCTTCACAGCTAGTTGGCGCGGCGGGCACGCCAAAGGTGAAAGGATGGCGCTAATTTGGCGGCAGATATTATTCCATTTATCCCTTGCCTTTTTCCCGTCAGTATTCTCCCAAGACGCTTGTTCCCAGAGCAGCTGTTATCCCGCCACTGGAGATTTATTAATCGGCCGAGAAGACAAGTTATCCGCTACGTCAACATGCGGCTTAGGAAGACCGGAGCGTTATTGTATTGTTAGTCATTTAGAGGATGAGAAAAAGTGCTTCCGGTGCGACTCGCGACAGCCTTATGTGCCGGGCTTAAACGAGAACAGCCACAGGATCGAGAATGTTGTGTATAAGCTGACACCTCAGCGAAAACGGACGTGGTGGCAAGCCCAAAATGGTGATTATGATTTATCTGGTGTTTTGAAATTTTTTTATTTAATTTTCCCTTAATTAAAATTTTCCTTATCCTAATGAAAATGCTGTCTTTATTTTTCCTGTGATTTTATAGGACTGTCTAACGTGTCCATCCGTCTGGATTTGGAAGCGGAATTCCACTTCACGCATTTAGTTTTAACTTTCAAGACTTTCCGTCCATCTGCCATGCTAATTGAGCGCTCGCATGATTTTGGGCGTACTTGGCATGTGTACCGATATTTCGCATATGACTGCGGAGAATCTTTCCCCGGTGTACCAACAGGTCTTCCCAGGCAAATTACCGATGTGATTTGCGAGTCGCGTTACTCTGCGCAAGCGCCATCAACGGACGGCGAGGTAGATGCTGATATATCAGTATTAAAGAAATCGAAAAATTTTAGCCTACCTGCTGATGTTCTGTTTAACTACTTTCATTCACCGAGTTGTCGGTGTAATCCTTGTAATTGTTGTAGGTTGTCTTTCGTGTACTGCCTTCGAATATTGACATCCGAGATCCCTACAGTATGGAGGTGCAGAATTTGCTTAAAATGACCAATCTGCGAATTAACTTTACGAAGCTCCATACCCTGGGTGACAACTTGTTGGACAATCGACCGGAAATCAGAGAAAAGTATTATTACGCTATTCATGAGATGGTCGTTCGTGGAAGTTGCTCGTGCTACGGCCACGCAGCACGTTGTATCGCAATCCCAGGAGTTATCCCGAATCCTGACATGGTTAGTAGAACTGTGTCAGCTTAGCATATTTAATTTTCACCTACATAGATTTTGTTTTGTGTTTGCCGCTAAACTTGGGTACATGTGTTGCCAGGTTCATGGAAGATGTGAATGCACTCACAATACCAAAGGTCTTAACTGCGAGCAGTGTGAAGATTTCTTTAATGATCTCCCGTGGAAGCCAGCCGTTGGCTTAGATACGAACGCCTGCAAACGTACGCGTGTGATCCATATTTGATTGTGATCACGGACACCAGTCTACTGATAAATAAGTTGTAACATGAAATTTAGGTTGCGAATGTAATAGCCACGCCACCCGCTGTCACTTTGATCCTGCGCTTTTCGAGGCCACCGGAAGAACGAGCGGCGGCATTTGCGATGATTGCCAGCACAACACTATGGGCCGAAATTGCGAGATGTGCAAGAATTACTTTTATCATGACCCATCCCGAGACATCACAGACTCGGAAGCCTGCCAGCGTATGCATTTTTTTGCTATTTAACCCGAAGATAATTGAAGTGAAATTATTTCAGTTACTTTTTATTAACAACTTTTATGTACAGTAATAAAATAGCTTTTTCAAGGTTTAAACTATTTTAATCTGCCGTATTAGAAGCAAAAACAAGTACAGATGGGTGGATAAATTGCTAATCGGATAATGTTTTCTCAGCGTGCGACTGCGATCCTCGAGGATCCCTTAACGATGGGCTCTGTGATTCCAAACAAGATGCCATTAACGATCTGGAAGCCGGTCGGTGCCATTGTAAGCGCTGGGTAACTGGACGTCGCTGTGATGGGTGTATGGATGGCTACTATGACCTGAACGAAAACAACACAGAAGGCTGTCTCGGTAAGATGCTGTTTTGTCCTAATATTTGCCCTAGTAAACACACTTGAGTCTATCGTTTTCTCATAGCGTGTTCCTGTAATCTCTTGGGAACTATCGGCAACACCGGATGTGACAAAGTATGTATGACCATGTGCGACAGATGTGTTTTGTCGATAACATTAACGATTACATTCCGTACGAATACATATGCTTTGCATGTTAATCTTTTATTTTAATCAGTAGTAATGCAATACAGTACTGGGCAGCGCATAAGCAAATCAATTAACTGTAATTAAAAAATTATTTTTATTGTGAATGCGAGAGCAGGGTAATAGGCACGTTGCTTGCCTGCATAGCGCATTTCGTTATGTGTCTTTAGGTAACCGGCCAGTGTACTTGCAAGCGATTTGTCACGGGGGAAAATTGTGACCAATGTGCGGAAGGCTACTGGGGAATGAGCGCAGACCGCGATGGATGTAAAGCATGTGATTGTGATTTGGGCGGAAGTTATGACAATAACTGCGACCTACAGACCGGACAGTGCCGTTGTCGCCCTAACGTTGCGGGTAGAAGGTGCGAACAACCAAGCAACGGCTTTTTTGCGCCATATTTGGATTATCATGTGTTCGAAGCCGAGGATGCAAGAGGATCACCGGTAAAGAAATGAAACGATTCGCATCTGTGAATGTGCTTATTCGATACAATTCTGATAGGTTAGATTTTCTTAAATTTGGCGAGGTTGCACGCTTAAATTGGTAAATTTTTAACTCATTCAGTGTTTTCCGGTTGCATAGAATAAAATAAGGATTATGTATTGCGAATTTGATAGACCGTTAAAATGTTTGTACAGAATACCCGGCTAATTATCCGTGAACGCCATGCTGATCGTGGTGCTACGTGGACCGGACCCGGTTTCGTGCAAGTATCGGAGGGCGCTACTCTGGAGTTCACCTTGGATAATGTTCCTTATTCCACCGAATATCACATCCTTGTGCGCTATGATTCCACTGGCAATCGTGACTGGCGAGAGATCGGCATGGAGCTTATACGCCCGCCGACTGGAGACCCTTCCGGACCGTGTGCCAACGAAATTCAACAACCGGGTTATATGATCACGTCTCTTCCGGCTGGACAGCGGTACCAGTTCGTCAATCCCCCGGTTTGCTTGGAACGTGGGCAGACCTACACTTTGAAGTTGGACTTTGGCCGACAAGGCGATCCGGGTGGCTCAGCCGCAAGTGCAGTCATGATCGATTCGGTGTGTAGAGAAATCAGTTGTGTCTGGCTAGCTTGTTGAAACAAATCGGTTTTTTTAGGTGGCTATCATTCCCAACATGAACAGTATTCCATTTTTCCAAGGAAGGGAAGGCGAATATCATAAAGCTGAGTTTGATCGCTATCGTTGTTTGGATTCCCAGCTGAGTGCGGTGAAATCTGACCTTCATGAAGTTTGCCGGAAGTACCTAAATTCCATATCGTTACTGATAGAAGGAGAAGCGCTACGTGAGTGCTTATATGCTTAGGTAGCCAAACAGACTTTATTAGGAAAGTGCACCGCTGTTGGCTTGCACTAAAAGACCGAAGCGAAGCCGGAAACCAAGTTTAAATAAAGTGTTTGCTGAGTTTATTTTAAACTATTTTAAAAACAGATGTTTTATATCTAAAAAAAATTTTTATTTTTTATTTAATATTTTCTGGTGTTTTCTTCCATGTTTTATTTAAGATTATTAATGCGTGACCGACATGACCGACAAAATTCGTGTTTTCTTGAACATAGAGGACCCTCGCTGCGCTTCGGTCGATTTAAGAGTAGTGTAATGTTTATAGTGTACAACCAAGTACTTACTATAACTTACTACCTGTAGTAAGTTCTTGGTACAACCAATACCGTAGGACCTTTTTGTATTACATACAAAAAACAGTTACTACGCGTTTAATGTACTGACTACCGGTATATGTGCTCGCACATACACTCCTTTTAATTTGTCGGCTGCTTTTTTTGTAGCTTGTGAATGCGACAATACTGGATCACATAGCATAGTGTGCGGTGCCCTGGGTGGACAGTGCAAATGCAAACCTAATGTGGCTGGTCGAACTTGTGATCGCTGCGCTCCCGGCACATTTGGCTTTGGACCTCGGGGTTGTGCTGAATGCGAATGCAATAGTATCGGCAGCGAGGATAACTCATGCGACGTCACTTCTGGACAATGCAAGTGCCGGCCGAATACTTTTGGCCGACGCTGTGACGAGTGCCAAGCGGGTTTTTACAACTACCCGGTGTGCGAACGATGTCAGTGCAGTGGGCGTGCCGACATCTGTGATCCTAGAACGGGAGCGTGTATCAGTTGTCGGGATAATACCACGGGACACAACTGCGAACGCTGCTTGGATGGCTATTATGGCGATCCGCAGCCGGGTGGCGGTGTACCGTGTCGCCCATGCCCTTGTCCCGGAGGAATCGACAGCGGTTTCCAACATGCCACATCGTGCTATTTGGATCCGACCACACAGGATGTGGTATGTCGGTGTGATGTCGGCTATACTGGGTCGAAATGCGAGCGGTGTGACGAGGGATTTTTTGGAAATCCATTGGTTCCTGGTACGGTCATCGCATAGCATAGAAATGCTAATAACAACATTTTGGTACAGACGTATATACTTGTATGTCGCAGGAAAAGTGAAGGCGAAATTATTGCTGGTTGTTCGATAGCTGTCACATTTTTTTTTCTCCAAAAATATGAACGCGCAACCATTATTTATCTGATAAAATTCGATAGTTTTCTTAGAAAAGACGATAAAATACGTAGTCAGTGGCTAATGTTTGAAATTTGAATAATGCTTTGTGTGCAGTTTAGCCTAAATGAGTGACACGTTCCGGCAAAATTTGAATTGCGTTTATTTTGGACGGTTTTAGGGGGAACATGTTCTCCGTGCCAGTGCAGAGGCAACATCGAACCATTGGCTCCTGGTAGCTGTGATCCGAATACCGGGCAGTGCCTTAAATGTTTATTCAATACTGAAGGCTTCCACTGTGAGCGGTGCAAAGCTGGCTACTTTGGTGATGCACGTCGACAGAATTGTCGGCGCTGTGTGTGCGATGTCCTGGGCACCGATCCCATCGGTGGCGACTGCGATCGCACAACCGGACAGTGTCCATGTCTGCCTAATGTCCTTGGTCTAACGTGTGATCACTGTAAGGAAAACCACTGGAAACTAGCCAGTGGCAAGGGCTGTGACCCGTGCGGGTGCGATCCGAAAGGAGCCATATCGGCGCAGTGTGATTTATATATGGGAATGTGTCGTTGTCAACGCGGTCGCGGAGGCCGCACATGTTCGGACTGCGAAACTAATTACTGGGGCGATCCGGAAAAGAAGTGTGAATGTAAGTTATTCTGCTCGTCTTCTATAACTGTACTATTGCTTTGATGTGAAGGTAAAGGTTGCAGTACAGCTATCGAATTTGTGTGCTGGAAGTTTTATACTGATTCGTTTGACTTAATCTGGTCAGTCTTTTATGCTGTTATTTTTGACATAATGTCTAGCTTAACAAAACGTTTCGATTTGCTATTGATGGCTTTTTTAGTATGTCAGTGCAATTTGGAGGGATCAGAATCTCGACAGTGCAACAAAAAGGATGGGTCTTGTGTGTGTCTGCCTGGTGTGATGGGATACCAGTGTGACAAATGCACCCGAGGATGGCGCGGTGAAGTTCCGAACTGCCAGCCATGTGGCGAGTGCTTCAATAATTGGGATGAAATCCTTACCGATTTAAAACGTAAGTTCTCAGCAATAACTGTGCATGCATTTCTGATGAAATCGTGGGGGCATTTCGTGACTTTTTCTCTTTTAGGAGAAAGTGCCTCTCTTATTGACCGCGCCAACCAGGTGAAAGAGCAGGGAGTCGGGGGCGCTTACGAGTCAGAATTCAAGGCTATGGAGAAAAAGCTGAATCAAGTGGATAATATTGTCTCCAGTACGAATATCAGCGCTGCCCAAGTCGCCAATATTCAGAACGTCCTGAAAGCGCTCAAGTAAGAATTTCAACACAAAAATGCGATAACCGTGGTGAAAGTAACTTTAGGCTTATTAAAATTATTAAGTCAACGGCATTGACATGTGACAATGCAGTAACGATAACTTTACAGAAAGAATCTGACATCCAGTGAAAAGAAGCTGCGAGAAGTTCAGGACAAGATAACCAATGCAACCCTCAGAGTACAAACTGTTAATACCGATATAGGCGTTTTGCAAGCGAGCCTTCAGTCATTAACCGAAGATGCTATGAACCTCAAAGACAATGCCACAGCGCTGCAGGAAGCCAATGTCGAAGGTCTCTTGTAATGCAGCAACTGCTGATCCTTGCATTTTCAAGTGCGTATAACAATGCCGGCAAACTCGTATTGGTGATTTACAGGTGCCCTCAATCTGACAAAGGAAGCTCAGGGCCGCTCCCAAGACGCCTTGAACCGTGTATTGCAGTCCACGCATACGCTAAGTGTTGCGGAGAAGATAAGGAAAAATGCGGAAGAGCAGTTGAAAATGGAAGAAGAAGCTCTGAATTTAGCGCAGCAAGAGAACGAAGATCTCCTACAGGAACTGGATCGAAAAGTCGTGGAGTTAAACGCTAACATTCCTAGTTTAAACAGCATGGTACGTATTCGGAAAATGTGCTTCACCACTTGCTTGTACAGTTGCTTTGGTTTCGCAGGTGTGCGACCGAGCAGGAAATCCATGCGACGATGTTTGTGGTGGAGCTGGTTGTGGCCGGTGCGGAGGATTAAGTTGCGATCAAGGCGCTTTACAGAAATCAAAAAACGCTTTGGATCTGTCCAAGAAGGCAGAAGAAAAGCTAGAAACGGTCGAAATAAAAGCCGGAAGATTGCTCGAAGAGGTATGTTATAGTTCTCAGTCTTACCGTACATTTACGTTGTTCTTCAAAAATGGGTAGTTAGAATTTTGTTACGGCGATCTGCATCCATCATTAATGTTGTGCTGATCGTTCAAAGGTTAATAAGGCTCAAGCGCAATCCCTGCAAGCCTTGACTATAACCGAGGATGCTGCCGTGTCGGCTGCGAATGCAAAGAACGTGTCTAATGATCTCAAAAAAGACCTGGAAAGTCTACTCGTGGAAATCGAAAAATTCACGACAGAAGACCGTGCAAAGCCGTCTGATATCAGACGACTTGCAGATGAAATCAAAAACATGAGCATTTCTTTGTCGGAAAGCGAGGTCATGCAGCTTGCACTGCAGATCAACCAAACCATTCTCGGACTGACCAATATTGATGCAATTATTAGAGAAACAGCAGTGGACGCACAAACCGCAGAAAACGTTAAACGGCGGGCCGAAGATATCAGGTATTGTATCCCTGTGCATTGTCGATCAAAATATTTAAAAAATATCGTATTAGTTTTACATTATATGTGGAAGTATAGCTTGTTATGCGTAGCTACAGTAACGTGACAGAGAAAAGTGTGGCTGACGTAAATTATTCGAACAGATTGTGTTGTATATAATTTTTATTTTGTTTTAGCATTCAGAATTGCAGATGTTATGTGAACAATGCGTATTTCCTATTGACCTGTTACGATTACCCACTGAAATATCCAGCTTTTAAAAATACAGTGTTATGATTATAATATTATTGATGTCGTATTAGTAATATACTACGGACGTTTTGCGTATGAGAATGGTGAACGTAAGTACTCGTAGTCTTGTACTGTACTTTTGACGTTTAACAGCCGCTTTAAATTAGAGCAAATGCACTACTGTACAGAGTATACTTACGATTAATGAACAGGCTAACGTCTCTAACAAAGTAAAAATAAGAAACAGAGCTTCCAGATTATGACTGCATTCGGCGTTAGTGAAAATACGTTGGAATCGTCGTTAGGTTAAAAATCTTCTCATATTTTATTAATTACCTAACTTTGAATAAGTTTATGAAATTGCTGTAGAAATAAAACAAAGAATGTCCTGAAAGTGGCACAAGAAGTGCGCGATGCACTCCAAGCAGCCAAAGCAGCTCAAAACGTGGCTCAAGCAGCAATCAGCAATGCCACTCTGGATATCGCCGAAGCCGGAAAAGATTTGGCGGAAACCTCCAATGGAACGGACAATGCTGAAGCCACTGCAGCCACTTCACTGGAAGGTGCCCTGTCTCTTCAAATTCGCTTGAGGGACATTGAGAGGAACTTTACTGAGAACCGGCTTAGACTGCAAAAGGCGGAGACGGAAACGCGTAATGCGCAAAATCTGGCAGATGCTGTTGACCGGGTAAGAAAATATATGAATGTTTAGAACTTTAAGAGTAAATTCGCCTTGTTAGGACTGTTTTCTCTACAAACTGCTGCAGCCAATGTTTTATTTACATGGACCGGAGCGCCGCGCAGCGATTAATTCAGTGAAAGTGTATGAATAAATGTCTGTTTATTACGCCCAGTAGCAAAAGCCAATCCGAACGTACAATTCGTTGCGGTTAATATTTTGCTAATAGTAAACTTTTTATTTTCACTTCTTGAGTTAAACGTATCGAAGTGGTATTCCTGGTGATTCCTTTTAGACCATGCAAATGTTGATCGTTCATTAAAATTTTGCTGGCGGTACTGTGCTCCCGGAAATGCTGACGATTTATGACACGACTGTCCGCACATATCTGTAATACGGATACACAGTCGCAAGTCTATTTCCGGGGTGGACCGTTTTAAATGCGTAATGATAATTTAACAAAGTAATAAAAGATAAACAACTGTAAAGCGCGGCTATTTTACTGCACCGTTAATACTTTAAGCGGACAACCATGTGTGTATTATTAAATCGTGTTACTGTATAATACCTGCCAGATACGTAATTGGTTATCTAGTTGTACTTTGAAATTGAAAATCATCATTTAATTACCTAACGGAATAAAATTATCTATCTGTGCACTTTGAATGTGATCAGATTACGATGATCTATGTATGTGTCATGCAGAAAGCCACCCAGTTGGACGCTCGCTACAAAACTGCGCAGACGGAACTGGGAAAAAAGACCAGCTCGCTCGGCGGCGAAGTCCAAACGCGCGCTACCACTTTACGCGAGAAAGCCAACCGGCTCCGGCAAGAGACGCAGAGTCAGATCCGTACACTGAGCGATCTGGAGACTCAGCTGCCGCAAAATGAGCAAAAAATCCAACAGCTCAGCAGTGAAATAGATGAATTATTACGGAGGATGAATGATGCTTACAGCGTAATCGATGCACGCGAAAAGCACTACCGGACATGCGCCAGCTAGTTGGATCATGCGAAACTGCTAAGTGTGTCTTGGCGGCACAAACTGTTTATCTGCTGTTTGTACAACGATTGCAAGTGACCCAAAGGAAAAGAATAACTAGTTTCTGTGTTCCTTTTACTGTTTGATTTTTTACGTCTTCTCTTACCGTATTTGTTGTAATGTACTCATTTTTCGTCAGTGACTCAGTTGATGCATTTCTGAAAATCTGCTCATGGCCTGTACTTGATTTGTTTTTATCTTCTATGCACTTCCATCTGATAGGTTTAGTTGCCTTGTATTTCAAATTGGTTAAAAGATGAAATTCACGTAGACTTATTAATAGCGATACAAAGGACATCAGTCACATTACTGACAGTAGCAAACCGTTGGCTGAGTACTTGTACTGTAGTAGCAGGTAAAGTGAAAAACCTATGCCGCGGCCCGCGGGTAATCTAACTGGAAGCCCAGTTTAAAAAAAATGACAAACACTTTCGTAATTACGTAAGTTACTGCGTCGCTGCGAGTATTAACTGTATCTGACAGACTGACAATATTATGTTTTCTACGATTTGAGTTGATCTAACACAAGTTCTACAACCAGTTCAAATTTATGAAGAACGAAAGTGATTAATAGTACTGAAAGAAGGGATTTTGAGTGGTCAGAAAAGGAAGGAAATTTGGGCGATCCTAGGATTTGAAGAAGTTCAGAGCGACCAAAACAAACTTTCCAAGCACTACCTCCGGAAGCTGTTGTAAAATCTAGATATACTGGTAATCTTCCACTTTAGTAAAACCATGTCACATTTTCTCAGCATGTTTGAGATTGGATGCTATATGTTACCGGCGAAATGATTTTATGTCCAAACTACATTTAGTTCATTTTGTAATCAAGTACGTAGTTTGTAATCAAGTCAAGTAGTACTATATGTATTTTATTAAATTTTCTCATTGGGTTACTAGAAGTCTAGTACAGTACGTACTGTTTTCAGTGTTTTGTGTATCGGCGTCTTTTGATTCGTTTTAATACGGCACGTTCACGTAGTATTTATATGTACTTACCTAATGTAACGGTACCCACCACCCATTACTCACATGACACCATAAATGATAATGGTGCCCGGCAGCTTTGGATACTACTGAAAACAAAAATACGAAACAAAACCGAACGAGAGTTTTATTTTAGCCTTCCGGAAACTACCAGAGTCACAGGACATTCGAATGATATCAATTTCCGTCCACAAGTTCTCGTTTGAGGTCATTCATTCTGAATCATTCGGCATGTTACTCCGCCCTAGTGCTCATATGAAGCACTGTGATTGGATTGACGTAGCCCAAACGCTAGGTGGCGCGACTTCGGCTTGGATGGCTGACTATAAAAGATCCGTGCAACGCTCTTTACGAAACAGAAAATTTTCGTGCTGTTGCCAAGGATTTTATAATCGATCCGACTCTTTCCGCATTTGTGCTTTTGCATTGAAATTGCAGTAGATTGCCTTATTGGTGACCTTTTAATTCTTTACCATGCAGATTTTCGTGAAGACTTTGACGGGCAAAACCATCACCCTCGAGGTGGAACCTTCGGATACCATCGAAAATGTGAAGACCAAAATCCAGGACAAAGAGGGAATTCCTCCGGACCAGCAACGTCTGATCTTCGCTGGAAAGCAACTGGAGGACGGTCGAACCCTGTCTGACTATAACATTCAGAAAGAGTCCACTCTGCATCTCGTCCTGCGTCTCCGTGGTGGAATGCAGATTTTCGTGAAAACCCTCACGGGAAAGACGATCACCCTGGAAGTGGAGCCATCTGACACTATCGAGAATGTCAAGGCGAAAATCCAGGACAAGGAGGGAATTCCCCCTGATCAGCAGCGTCTGATTTTTGCTGGTAAGCAATATTTTAACTATTAAGTGATGACTCAACGATATACATGACTTAGAATTTTCAGTTCGCCTGGAGGCCTCTTCGGCCTTTATTTATTACTTAAAATCAAAATCGGATTAGCCGATTAGGTATTTGCTACAGTAAAAATAAGGTTACTAGGTTTAATAGCTGACTGAAAGTTATAATACTGAAAAATTGTACATCATTTAATCTTACTTATTATTTCTTCCATCGTAAGTGATCTCTAATCGAATTTTTTGTTTGGCAGGTAAACAACTGGAGGATGGTCGCACTCTGTCCGATTACAATATCCAAAAAGAATCAACGCTCCACTTGGTGCTCCGTCTGCGAGGTGGTATGCAGATTTTCGTCAAAACCCTCACAGGAAAGACCATTACCCTTGAAGTGGAACCCTCAGACACCATTGAAAATGTGAAAGCCAAGATTCAGGACAAGGAAGGAATTCCTCCTGATCAGCAGCGTCTGATCTTCGCTGGTAAGCAGTTGGAGGACGGCCGCACTCTGTCTGACTACAACATTCAAAAAGAGTCCACTCTGCATCTCGTCCTTCGCCTCCGCGGTGGAATGCAAATCTTCGTGAAAACGCTGACGGGTAAGACTATCACCTTGGAAGTGGAACCGTCGGACACCATCGAGAATGTGAAAGCGAAAATTCAGGACAAGGAGGGAATTCCTCCCGATCAACAGCGCCTGATTTTCGCCGGAAAACAGCTGGAAGACGGTCGTACTCTGTCGGATTACAATATCCAAAAGGAGTCGACGCTCCACCTTGTCCTGCGTCTGCGTGGAGGAATGCAGATCTTTGTCAAGACGCTGACTGGAAAGACAATCACCCTGGAAGTAGAACCTTCGGACACTATTGAGAACGTGAAGGCAAAGATTCAGGACAAGGAAGGAATTCCTCCCGATCAGCAGCGTCTGATTTTCGCTGGCAAGCAACTGGAAGATGGCCGAACCCTTTCTGACTATAACATTCAGAAGGAGTCCACCCTTCACTTGGTCCTTCGTCTGCGTGGAGGTTAACTATTGCGCATCTGATTTCTAATTTTTGCTTTCTGTTTTATGATCTGGAACATTCGTTTCTTTGAAGTAGTTGGTGTGATGTTGGCTTTTCTTTGAGCGCTTCATATTCCTTGTTGCTGTATAGCGTAATCTGAAAATGTGAATCGAAAGCCGTGTTGAGCAGGTTGAGGTAAACCTGACTGACCCACAGTACTGTTCAAAATGATAGAACTTCAAATAAAATACATACAATGATATTATATTTACGCTTGGGTTTTTTTAACTAAGATGCAACAGCTCCGGCCATTACTTCAAAAATTTTATAAAATGGAAAACAGAATGTTCGCAAGGAAAAATTTTACATAAAAAAACTGAAGAGAGTATTCCCAAATAGATTTGCGTTTGGCAAGTTAGCTTCCTTATCGTTCCTGACGCAAATATTGCACTATAAATGCACCATATTGCTTTACATTTTTATTTTTCTGAATTCCTTGCTACAGTCTGAAACCTGAAAATCCTTAATCCAGCACGATCTTTTACATTCTACGGGTATTTGTTGAGATTTTTTAATTAGTTTTAGTATTACTCAAGCTACGGAATTGTTCTCATTGTTGACTGGGACTGCAGAGACCAAGTTATTTTGGATACGTATATTATGTCATATGTGCAATGGCTAGCAATAAAAGACCTTCCGCGATTCCAACCAACAACGAATTCCTAGTGGGGTCTCATTGCTTCTTGGAACAATGCACAAAACTGGATTTCCTTCCCTTTCCATGTGATAAATGCCATGAGACATTTTGTCTCGATCACCGACTGCCTTCGTCTCACAACTGCACCGCCGTCAGTGTTGCCACTGCCGAGGAATCTCCTTCCCTTCCACCCGTGCCTCCGTGTTCACTTGCGACATGTGCGGACTCGGGTATCATGCGAACCCAGTGCGAGCAGTGCCAGCAGACTTTCTGCCTGCCCCATCGTCATGGTGAAGACCATAACTGCCCTGGCTCAAGGGCGCATCTGACGAAGACCAACGCTGTGCCGTTTCATTTGCCTGAAACCGTCATCAAACCTGTTCAGCCTCCTGCCGCCAGAGCAATTAAGGCACAAAACCCCACCGCCATTAAATTACGACGGATGAAACTCAAAGCCAGTGCTACGGGGGAGAAAGGCATCCCGGAAGATGAGCGAGTGTTTGTGGAGGTGTTTCTGCTCGACGGAACATCACGGCCTGTTTATCTCCACAAACAGTGGTCGGTCGGACGGGCTGTGGATGGGTTAAAGCGATGTCTGGGGTTGGACGCGAAGTATGACGAAACAGGGATCCGTCAGAAAGATGCAGACTTCGAAATTTTGTCTTCGACCGTTGTTGCGGAAGCCGTCTCCGATGGCATGACATTGGAGTTGTATCGGAAGACTTCGAACTGATTTTAAAATTCACAGTTCTCACCATTAACACTGTGAATTACTGAAATGGGCTTTCAAGAGGGTGATGTCTTCCTGCTCCTGGACTGTAGCAGATTGGATGAAAATCATAAACGCACGATAAAACAATTCACCCTGACTGTAGCACTCGTAGAGCGAGTGCGAAGAGTTTTTGCCGGGAAGTTTGTTAAGGCTGCTATTCAGCTATTGATCAACTTTTTTTACAACCGATTTGCACTGTTTACAGATACGTATGTGTTTATGATTTCCGAAAATCTCCGATCCGATCGAGATGCGCGTTTCTTGAACCACTGTGCGTGGCTAATAATTTTTCGAAATTCCTACGAGCGAATGGGACCGGTGCACCGTCCGGCCTGTGATCCGATTATTTCAAGGTTTTTTTAGTCAGAAATAAATAGATTCGTCGAATTGTACAGCCTTTTTATTTCTTGAATTTGTAAAAGTTATAAAAATCGAAAACATGATTTTCATGCCAGCATTACTTGAATCACAACAAATCGCAATCACTTCAGCGCTGCAGAACCATCCCACTGTGGCATGAAATCGAAACAAAAAAACATCATTTTAAAACTCTCCGGTACAACAAACAAAACTGTACCGGACACCGGTCATTTACTGAAGTCGTGAAAATTCCTGGTCTCTTGGATGGCGGGTTTGTCGCCCTTGAAATTCGGAAATTCACCATAAGCAGCACAGATAATCCTTCCTTTTAGTGCGTATTAATCACTTTCAGCAAGCCTGCTGCTGTCCACAGCCTGCAGTTCGGCCAGCATCGGTGTTTTAGCAACTTTCGAGGCTAAAAGGGAATTTTCGATGTGGATGTAGTGGCCAATCAATCGAGCGATTTCATGCGCCTAAAATAATGCATCTTATTAAAGCGCACGTTTTCCATGTGGTCTAAAGTAAAATTGCTTGAGTACTACCGGCAGTTTGTTTTGAGGTATCTGGTTATAAATCTAAACTGGCAGAAATCAGAAATAATAGCTTTAAATTTTGTTACGGCAGTTGTATGTATGTTTATCATTACTAATTGGCGCTTCCATTGTATTTAAAATGCATACCTACAACGTACACATGCAGTGTTATCAAGAATTAGCACGTAATAATGGATAACACGGCCTTTGCAGAATTTAAAGTAGGCTTTACGTCTGCTTTCATTCATATCGTATATCCAGAAGATCAATGCGCGTGGTAGTCTGCAAGTTGTAATTACCTGATCCGTTTGCATCCGAGTAATCCGCTGGGACACCAATGTGCCGCACTTCATATCCAAATACAGTGCTCCGCTGTCGTTGCTCTTAATCCGTCGTGTCGATATGATTTCCGAGAAGGGATGGTGCATAATGGTCTCGCGGGACAGCACATCCAGGAAGTAGACACCGTTTTTGTTAATCGCCAGAATATTCTCCACCATTTGCCGGTCGGTGCGCCGTGACACTTCCGACATGCGATCCGAGCTGCTCGGATTGACGGTGTCCGATATCGGCGATACAATGCGCTATACCGTGAAAATAATATAAGCGATGAAATCGCCACGTGGTGGTCATTTTACTTACGTTGACAAAGAAGAAGCTGGAGCCGAACAGGATCCAGCGTTGTAGCATATTAAGGAATTCGGCTTTGGCTTCCGTGGGCGTATACTTGAGTGCCGACTGGAAGCTGTCACTAACAATCTGTAACCACTGCGTGGGACGCGGATCTTTCAAGACCAGGGCGGGTTTCGGCAAGAGGTATTTTATTTCTTTTCTGTAATTACGGTACACAATCTTTATGGCGCTCGTGCGAAGTACGATGATTACGGTGAACTCACGTTTCCGGGGGTTGTAGTTTGTTTGTTGAACGATGCAGAATAGCAGCAATTTTCCCGATTTCAGTCTGAAAAAAATTTTGACTTTTATTTTGGAAGATGCTTCTATCTAATATTTTCTGCTGTTTTTAGTGATTATGAATTGATTCCCTTGATATTGTGAAGGTATTTTCTTACTATTTCCTGTCCGTTCAAACCTCCGGGTGGCGATACCAAAAGTAAACCATCGAGGTAATCAGGCACAATCTAAATATCCCAAATTTATGTATTTAGTAATTAGGTGTTGATGCGCTTAGCTTGCGGTACTGTGACTATGTAAGTACCTGATGAAACATCATATCGATGTAGACGGAATTGCTGGCTGGTTCGGATGTTCTCAAGGGAAAGTACCACACCGACCGCCGGAAGAGCAGTATAAAGTTTTGACCGGTTTTGGATAGTTCCGTTGTCACATCCAGTATGTAGTCTTCGTATTGTAGCGGATAACCGTATAGATCATCTGACACACATAAAAAACCCAACTAATTACAACTGAATAGAATTGTCATTGAGGTTAAGTGGTGACCATTGCGGGCCGCACTCAACATAGTTGCCGTGGTGTATACCTTTGTCACGGAGCGCATAAACCGAATACTCATCCATTTCCGATGCCGAATCGATTTTTAATTGATGACATAGCTCCATTATCACGTCCTCGACAACCTATTGAATGGTAAGTGTTGATGAAGACACCAGCTGTTTGCGGTGAAATTTCATGTTTCCTAAACAAGGTCACTTACGGTTGTCGATTTCGTATTGACCACCTTCTCGGTTCCACCTGGCAGCAAATAGATTTGCCGCTTGGAGCTGCGACCAGCCTGGATGCAAATGAGGTTATGTAATGAATCGCAGCGTACTTCTTTGGTATGTAAACATACTTAGTATCTAATATACTTAAACAAACCGTACAAAATGATAACTTAATAACGAACACATTTCTCGTAAACTGGCTGAATATACTAAATCGTAAAGTTACATATTATTTAGGGCATCAACAGGTAAATAAACCAAATAAGGCATATTTTATAATGTGTTCTAGATTATTATAACTCTCAACCATGTATCTGTACTACGCGTACCGAAATGGCAACAATTTCTTCTGGAGATGGAACATTTTTGCGACCTCCAAACTTAAACGTTTTCCGAAGATTTTGCAAACAGATCAGTGCCGTCCCATGATTAGGGCGACGTTTATCGTATGCTGCGGTTTCCAGATATTTGAAAATATACGGTCGCAGATTTTCGCTACAGTCGAAATAGGCTGCGATAATTGACAGAAGACGCCATCCGCGCTGACAGCTGTCACTGCAATAACAATTGTCTCTTTCTCAAACTACATCCTTTGTTACTGTTTGTCGACAAAAAGCGCTTATAATTGATTCTTTTCAAAAACGTTTATGTACATGTTAAGAATCCAACACCGTTAATTATAAATAATCACGTATTATCTTGCATTGGTAAGCTTTCAACAAAACCTATAATATTAAAGTAGGTGCGTTCTAAAAAAAGCTCCTCGATCTACAATACAAATTATAAAAGATTATCTTTTGATGAGAAACAAAATTACCAAATTAGCAAAGTCAAAGTAAAATCAGTAGTTTGCTTGGGGTAGCATTTGCCCAACATTTTCACTTGCTAAACGAAATGGACAGTGGACACCTACGGCTTTGCGCTTTTGTTGTTAGTTGTTTGCTTTATGATTTGGCAGTAGATTTCGTCACGCAGAATTGGATATCTGTGGCACACCTACGGAGAAATCTATATAAATTTCCCGCAACAACATGCATGACAAAGCACTGAAACCGCTTTGGATCGACCACCGCTGTTATTACTTATGTTGGACCACTCGTGTATCAAATTGCAATGACCAAAAAATAAAAGCCGGCATAATTCGGTTTCAGATCCTAGGTCAAAGTCGACAATAACATAAAATCGGCCTTTTATTTTAATTTTAATTTGCATGCAACATAAGCAGAACTAAGATGTTGCTTACCATGAGTATCATGTATACGCATTCAAATTCGTTGCTGTTTTTTGACATTGGATAATCTCCCATGAACTTCATTACAGCTGCAAAAATTTTTAAAATTAGTAAAGTAGTTCGATTTTTAAAATTTTTGAAGGAATATCGCCTCACCTATAAATGCTTCCACTGCGTGTTTGTCCATTTCTGCATCGTCAAATTTCAGAAGGGAATGATGAATTGGTGACTGTAAAACGGAGGAAATACGTTACCACAGCACACGCTTTAAAATTAAGAAGCACTTACTTTCGAAAATTTAACCAATTCTGCTTGCTCTTTCCAAGTCCAGTCTTTACCTAAGAACAAACGCATTTTTACACAGTTGTCAGCATATTTTTTTATTATAATTATTCGCGACAAATGCAAGTCAAATCTTGAGGTACTCACAATATGAAATGGTTTTTCAGTTATGCATTACAAAAGTTAGTGTAAAATCTTTTGAAGATAAAAAATGCAGTTGTAGTTTAATTTTAAACGCATTAACTCATGCATATACCAACCAGTAGCGTCTTTAAGTTTTTCTATCTGCTTGATTGATCCTTGTATGGACGAGCTAGTGGATTCTCGCCGATCGCGATTAACAACTCCGTACCTACGAGAATATTGCATATGAGAAGTAAGCCGACAGTTATGGATTTGCAACAGGTTGATTTATCCGGTCAAGATGTGCCCAACAACAATATGGATTACATACTTAATCTGTCGAAAAATGATGACTAGCACCGCTAATCTGACGCTATAACCGTGTCATTACACTTACTTGTCAACACACTGCCGGAAATTAAGTAATGCAAACTCCAACATGGAGAGCTTCCCATCGTGGGCTCGGATTTTGGCAGAAGTTGGTGAAGTGTCCGAGCGTTGCGACGATGCCGACGAGGAGGTTTCGCGAGGCGAATCATGACCATTTGAACTCTGAATACCAATCTACGAAATTTTGTCAAGCTAATTTCAGGTTCAGTGTAAATAACACGCAAAACTTGTGAACACAAAACATACAACATGACGTCTAATCAGAACACCGCCATCATGCCACGCTTTTGCTCTTTAAAAAAGGTGATACTTAATCATAGATTCATAGCATACTGTTTTAATCATATAAACAAGACCGCAGCAAAGCGGCCAAGAAAAACAACTTCATCGGGTACAAATCATAGCATATGCCTATGCGTTCTACTGTTGTGTTATTTTTTCCTTGGGTAATCACCACACGGCAGCTTAGAAAGATATCGAAATTTCTATTCCAGTTAACTCTGTACTGACCTTCATTTTGACGTCGTTGTTTATCACCTTTCGGTGGCCGTCCTTTTGCAGCAGCCCCTATGTCGACAAAAATTACGCTTATGACGTACGAGAATAATTTGCACTATGAGTATGAATTTGAGATGGGCCCTTTTAAAATGTAATTTATGCTACAGCGGCTAGAAGAAGTTTTGCAAGCCAATTAATTACTTTGTAGTTGTTACTGTTATTAAGTTTACTTCAAGGCTTCTCTGTTACCCTCATTCTCGTATTTAAAAACAGACGGCCAGAGTGAGCAACAAAAATTTTCAATGAGCAAAAACAATGATTATTCTGAACCAGTACTACAATTGCTCTGACCAGATATCCTTGCCACTTGCCAGCTCATGTTGCATGTATCATTAAAACGTTGCATGAAATTAAAAAAACTACAATTCAAATTCGATGCTAACTTAAGTGAGCTTTTACATAAACGAATATCTTCAAAGGCTGGTGAACTTGCAACCATTCAGCCGACTTACGGTTAGTTACAATTCCCATATTATAAAACGAGGCAGTTTACAAGTAATGGCCACTAATCTGGCTTCGAATTTCGATATTAATTAAAACAGCAGTTAGTTAGAAGAATCTTACCGAAGCGCTGACCAAAGTTGTCCCAGATTTCAGGTTTAGGGCTTCTTGTCGGCCGATTGGCTCAACGTATTCCTGAGGAAATATGCCCCACTGATTGTCAATTGTACCATGCAACCACCCTAAAAAACGTAAAGATATGCAACAGTTGTCATCACGATCAGACCACACACGAGCTGTAGCTAGTCAAGCTGCGCACTGAAAGCCGGCATTTGGCCTTTTTTTACGGATGCTCAGTGATGCTGCAAAGACCGTAACCACTTCAACTTGTCAAAAATGATTGATGACACTGCACAGGTATACTGCACACTGCACAGCATCTGATGCATGTGAGAAACGGTGTAAGTTACACCAAACTACACACGGTATACACAAAATGTATAACATCACGTAATTGTTAAAGGTCTGTTTCATGGCCGTTGAAATGGCAAACGAAATCCATCATAAATAATTCATCGCGCTGGTAGCTTCTGCTTGTCCATTCTGATTACATGATAAAACAACCTAATTGGCTGTTTTTACGACCAACACCGGCATGCTGCATTTGCTACCGGATAGGATATTGCTGTCGTAGCGCATACCGTATAATGTGCATGTATATGTGTTTACTCGGCTCGGAGGCAGGCTGGTATTAGGTAGATGGACATCACAAACATCTTGTAAACATCGAATGATCAGTAAATAAAATGTAAACAGAGGAATTAGGCTTCGGACGTTATTATAGAATCTTCTACATGAAGCCTAAAAGCAGCACTTGAAACTGTTCGCCCCAAAGTGGGGTCATGTACAGTGTTTTGCAAGCACCGATTCTTTATTAAATCCTTACTGGAAATTTGCCGCAGCTATGTGTACTCGCTTAGTGAATTTGTTTCTAATTGCGCGCTTCACCGAATATAAGGTGGCTGTTTGCTTTTGATTCCGGGCACAAAACTGGAGACGAACTCAACAGTTACTTCTGACTATTCAGTTTCCAACATTACAGGCCCAGTAGCAAAAACTAAAACACTATAAGGGTAGAGTACACCGGTTTAATTATTTTCAAAAAAGTAAGCGAATGGCAAATATAACCAGATTCATATCAGATTTTCCATTTATTAAACCGCTTATGGCGGCTGCCTGCTAACGTAATTAGAAACTTTAGCATTTCTTCTTATAACAACTACATATTGTATCGCAAGTTAAACAGATACGTAAGCACAACAAGGCACTGCAAGCACCACTAACAATAAGTCTTAGGGTCACCGTTCTAACGAACGGTGACCTTTCTGCAAAGTTCCTTGCGTACTGCCTGATATTTACTACATTTTGTAGAAAAAGTGTCGTCAACGTACCTTTATCGAGATAAGACTGGTTGCGGTTTCCAAGTCGAATGATATCTCCTCGACGGAAGCTTAGCAGGGTGGGGTCTTTTGTGCGATAGTCCGCGACTGCTCGCACGAACTCGCCGGACATAGCATTGTCGGAAATCTGTACAGTAAAATCGCCGATTACGGCATGTTTGTGTTGGTTTATTGTCACAGGTCTCCCACAAAGGTAAAAAAGCAAGATTATTTTATTGACAATTGAGCATATACACACCTGATCTGCTTCACTGCACATCTGATCAATTAAGTCTTTTATCTGGTTCGCCTGAAATAACACCAAAGAATTACGTACACTGTTATCTTTCATAAAATAACGATAATTCAAGCCAGCATAGGTAGTTAAACTGCAGAAATTGGTTTCTTGTTTTTTTTAACATATGCCGTCACAAATTTACCTGTTCATATCATTTTTATTTACCTTGTGCGTGTAAAATGTCGATGAGCTAGCATTATCAGGCTGTGCTTTAGTTTTCAGAAAGGAAATGTATACAGATGAATTTTTTGGAATGTTGGTATCCAGTACGTCTTCATATCGGTGATGCTCGCGCACTGTTAACATCTCCTGATCATGGTGATCTTTTGTCAGACTGACCAAACGTAATCCACTGTGTGAGATGCCCAAATATTGACGACGGAAGGAAGCGCTGCTTATATTATCGCTCTGCTGCAGTGAAAATTCCACATCATTTTTGCATTTAGATTTTGTAGTCAAAACTATTTTCTTACCGCGACAGGGTATAGACGGCAAAAATAAAGCGGTAGCTCCTTAGCAGCGTCGATAATATTCTTCTTAACCGTGAACTTGACCTGGGATGCTGATGTTCCAGATTCAGTACCGGTGATGCCATGTGATTCTAGGTATCACAGTCATATTTATTCAGTAATATGCTATAGCTAAGTTGTCTGTTTGAGATGGTACCAAAAAGAGAGCGCATTCTTTGTTGTTCTTCACGACTCATGCGAACGCAGGTATCTTGGAATGTGTCATGGAGGATCTGGCCAAAGACCAGGCTGACGGACAACGGATTGTCAATCTTCTCCATTGGGGTAAAGTACTGCAAAAAATAGTCTGAATTAATATTTGAGCCAGAAGTATGACTGCTCATTATTAGGACAAAAAAGGTCGCAGAAAAGCGTTAATATTGTTCGCTCTTGCGGATTGTGAGTGCTGTCCAACTCAAATAAAAATTAAGTTGTTTACTATATTTTATTTGAAAGATTTTTAATGGATTTAAAAACAAATTTTGATAAAAATTTTTACAAACATCACTTTAATGTGTAGAAATTTAACCTCTTTGCGTAGTGTCATGTTCCAGTGCGTGCGATTGTACGCATAATACGTGGAAGGAGGTTGAGCCATAACCGGGTGTCCATCTGATGCGATGGGAAATTTTCCCGGCTGTTGAGCACTTCCGGTCACTTTCCCGCCCCCATTGCGAAGCGGCAGCTGGGGCGGACTAGACATTCCCGCTCCCGGTGGTGGGGGTGGAGGAAAGGGCACGCCCTTGGCGTCGACAATCAGTTTCGCAGGCGACTTAGCTCGTGCTTGTTCCGCTGCAGTATGTGGTGATGTTTTGTTGGTTGCCGCACTGCTGTTCTTCTGCTTGACCGTCTGACCGCTGATAACACTTTCCAGCCGGTTAATTGTAGCCATATCGAGGCGGTTGAGCAGCTTGTTTGGAGTGTGCGCTTCCGGTGGCCGCACGGGCTCGCTTACACTGTGATCACCCGTGACCGCAAAGCGTTGCGACGGGGGCGGAGGTGGTGGGGTGCGTGCTTCCGGATCATGCGGCGGCGATGGAACAGGAGGCGGCCAGCGGACATTGGCGATGCGCACTGTTCTGGCGCGGCCGGCGATTTGTTCGGCAAAGTTCTGCACGCCACGGTTGCGGTTCGGTCCCGGTGACATGGCCGGTTTGGGAGGAATGGGAGGCGGTGGCGGAGGAGGGGGTGGTGGTGGTGGAGCAACGGAAACACCTGCCAACGGACATCCGCATTATTAAGTACGACTTTCAATAAGTAACCGGCTTGACTATTTATAAAATAATAAATAATAATGTAAGCGACCTATAAACACATAACCCTTTCTCTATCTTACAAATAAGTAATAAACAGTAACGGAAACACCAGCCAGTGGACATCCCCATTACGACATTAGTAGGGTGTTCAACAATAATCTGTTAATTATTTCAAGTGACCTTTGCAAAAGATTAACTGATCTGCACGTAAATCGTCTTACCTGATGGAGACTTTGCATGCATAGGTTTTTTAGGGGGCGGCTCGTACTGCCGGGGTGGTAAAGGAGGTTCCGGATGTCCCCGGACCATAGATGTCGTCGGTAGGGGTGTCGTCGTTCTCACTGGCACTCGTAAATGTGCCGCACTGGGCTGAACGGGATGACTGGTTTTAGCGTACGCCATATACGATTCTCCGTTACTTCCGACCGGCGTCGGCGGCAAAGAATCGGGGGATCCACCGGGACTGCTAATACCGTCGGAATGCTCATGCGACTGCTGATGAATGGACATCATCTCCTGTTGCGTCTGCAGTAGTTTTTGTTGCAGTTCAATATTCTGCTGGAGCGCATGATTAAGCTGATGTTGTAGTTGGACTTGCGTCTAAACGTACAAAGTGGCATAGTTGTAGCTTGTCAGTAATTAAAAGTGTGAATGAGATAGTGGTAATGAAGAATTCGACATACCACGTAACTTTGCTGCTGCAAGTAGTGCTGAAGAACTGGGTCTACGGCCGCGGGCGGACCGGCAGCTGGAATGAGAAATGGACTGTACCCTACGAGCGAGCACGATAAATGGTCACACACACGGCGCAGCACAGAGAGGAACGCGGGGTACATGTGACGTATCAAGAGAAAAAAACCGCCTGATGGATACAATGGACAGCTGATCAACACGTTTAATTTACCATCTGCAACGCTATACGACATGCAAAACCGGAAATTGCGCTAACAGTTTACCGCATCGTGTAATTAGAATCCGGTATTGTATCGCCGTTATGCAGCGATCATCGCTAGAAAATTGCCGGGATATCTCTCGCTCGCTCGTTAGCATCTCGTTTGTTTTCTGTACCAGATTGATTTACGTGCGGAGCGTTTGTTAGTAATTGATCACGAATCAACGATAACCAATCAATCGGTTAATTACCAACAATATGCAAATTTACACGCTGTACCAACTAGCTTTTTCATTTGCTAGCACATGTACTATAAGTAATATAATACATGAAAGCTATGTACCTGATTTAGTGAATTCATGGCAAATAAAGCAAGCTTCGATTTTCAAGCAAAGTAAGCACTTATGGTTTTGTATGTCAAATTATTATGCATCAGCCATTTATCATTCCAAGAATACAATATGCGCCAGTTATTAAGCGTAGCAAAAGGTCAACCGAAAAAACGAATAGCGCAACGCATATATTGACACAATGATCGTACCGTGATACGAATAAGAAGCCGGCACAGGACTTCCCGGTCTGCTGGAAGCTTGCCTTTCGTTGGATGCAGCCATATGAACCGACAGGCGATTATGCGCACTACCGTCCACCGAGCGTGCAATACGATGGTTCACAACAGAAGGATAAGCAGGAACAAAGGGATACATCACGTCATTTTCTACTGCACAAACGCCAACACAAGAAGACATGCAATTTTATTCGGCCAACGGGAGAACATGCAGCGCAAAAACAGAACTCAAAAGCATGCACAAGGGAGTACAGAGAAATCGAAGTGCAAGCATCGCGACGTACCTATGGGCGGAAAGTATCCGACAGGCGGTGCAACGGCCGGTCCAAGGGCGTTGACGGGAATACTGTATGGCGGAATTTGAGCAGGTATCAGCGGCGGACCGCCGTTAGGATACGCGTAATCAGGGTGAGCAGAGGGATTGGCACTGGTCGGCTGACGCATTTTCTGAAAACGCGACGAGTTGTAATTTGTTACGGCCGGTACATGCCAATACGTATATAATAAGCGCAATGCGCACCATATCAGCGGCATTTTTGGCAGGTTTGGAACCACCGCCCTTGATAGAAGCGGCCAGTTTCTTGGCATCCAGACGAGGAACATCGTCGTCTTCAATGGCGGTGCGCAGAACGGGATCGAAGATTTGATCCAGGTAGTTGTCAATGTCATGCGTGTTGTTCGTCGATGGCACTCGCACCCGTTGTAGATGTGATGTTAACGAGGGCGTCTGTAGATGCAGAATTAATAAGCTGACCAGCCGTACAAGATAATTTTGCCGTACAAGATACCAGTCTTTCATTTTGCATTAAGCTAATACGTTTATTACATGAAAAAAAATAATATCGTTTTTTAAGGCAAAATATTTGCTTCTAAATAAGAAGAATAAATTGAAGGGTGACCGGGTAGAGGGTAGGGTAGACCGGTAAAGCTTACGTCTGAACTGACGGATGTCATCCGCTCCCGGTAGTCCGTTGCCGGCGGCGACTGCCCTGGCATGTTGCCGGTGATTGCAAAATTGCCCACGGAGGGATTCGAGCGGTATCGCTTGTTCAGCTCCGAATTGGATAATCCTGGATGTTCTTTAGCAGGTTGTTGATTGTGCGAAGGTGCATTGCTGCCACCCACAACAACATCGGCTTCCGTCAAGATGTACCGCCGGTTGAGTGCGCTGGTCTTGGCAAGATCTTGTTTGTCCATTTCGTAGCGCTGGTTAAGTTTACTCGATTTGGCCAAACCAAGACGGGTCAATTTTTGATCAGAGTGTCCCGGTCGGGATGGGGAATTGTCTAGAAAATAAAGCTGCTGCTTATAAAATTTGTCTTAGCGTACAGAGTTAAGGTTGGTGCGCATTTTCTGTTGTGCTTGCAGTTAACACAAAGACTTGAAAGATACGTACGATAAAATAGGCAAATTTATCTTTAGTGTTTTTGCAACGGCGAAACAAACAGAAAAATTCGTGTTTTGAGTGTCTGTTGCTCAGTATATATTCCAATAACTCTTACTAGCTTATCATGCTGGATATTACGCTATTTTTAAATTTAAATCTAATTTACAAACTTAGCGAGAAGACCAGTTTACTTTTATAAGGCTTCTCTAGAATAAACCCGTACCGTGTGCCATCGAGTGGGATTTGGCAGGTTTACCGGCTTCGGACTGGGCATCGTCTTCCGGACCGAAATCCATTCTGGCCACCAATTCCGATTCCGGTCGGCGTTTGGCGGTCTTCCGCCGGGATCGCAGGAAGGAGGGTTTGATAGCCGGGAAAGACGGAGCCAGTTCCATTTCCGATATCAGATCCAGAACGTAATCACTGCCATTCAACTCAACCAACTCGTCATCGTCTTCGTTGACCAGCATCAAAGTCCATCCTTGCGAATCAGCTACGATATCTCTGTAAGTATACATACAGTACCGGACTTAATATTCATTACGCTGTGCTCATTGTCAGTGCAGATTATATTATTTATATATAACAAATTTATATGATTGTAACTCTATGTGCGTTGTACATTATGTACGTACAATGCAATTCACCATTTACGTGTACAGTGTTACAACAATTCATCCATACGAAAATATCTTTATTTATATTTTATTTCCGTGTTAATCAGTATTTCAACACGCCCGACAGCCACAAAAACAAAACCACTGAATAACACTAACCTTTGATTCAATAAGAAACTGGCGAATTCGGACGCTGTCGTCCAAGAAGTGAGTGCACCCATTCGACACTCGCCGTCGACGAATTCTGTCTTTACTGCCATCCTGCCGTGTTTTCTAGCACTTTTCATTTCCAAGATGGAGGGTGGATAAACTCGGCAGAGGTTCGGGGTGATTTCATGCGACTCCAGCAACCGTGACTGACAAGCGTATTTGTAGTTATTCGTTGCGTTGTCCGACACGTACCTAGCATAAAATACGTAATTTTCTACAACCCTGTATTCTTCCTGCCTGATTTAGGTATATCTTAATCCGGAACTTCCTCGCAGACTGAGTGAATAAATCGTACTCTACATAGCATTTTCACGAGGTGAGTAGCGTTGTGAAGTAATCGCTCACTTACTTCAACAGGTACTTGTACATGAAACGCGAAGGCTGAAACGCTCCCAAACAATGCGCCATCAAAAACCACGCTCGTTCTACACTGTCGTTGGAGACGGGCGCGGGTGAAGGCGAGGTCTTGCCGTTAGAATGCCGCACAATCAGCTCCGTTGGCCAAGTTTGATTACATAACTGGCAGTATATTTCATCCCGCAGGCGTTCATTTCGTATGCCCTGCACAGGAAAACAACAGACGTTAATCATTAATGTATGCACAACAAACCTCACGCTTCTAAAGCTGCAGTTCTTCTCGGAATTTCGTTATCATGTTAACAAAATTAAATAAATACTCTTTGTATGAAATTACAACATTTTTAGTAATTATTGGGTGCATCATCCATGGAAATGTACTTTACATGTATTAGTAGTGATGCTATGCGTATCAGAACGGTTAAAGATTGGTGACCTTACCTTAAGGACAATATAATCAGCCAGAGCCTTTTCTTGTTTCTCATTAAGATTTGCATCGAACATGAATTTCAATATCTATTAAGACGAACATAGTTTAATAAGCACAGAACGAAATAACCTTAACCTTAGGCTTAACCCGTTTACCAATCTGAATATTTCTACTGCCTCTTTTCTTTCTCCAGGATTAAGACTGGTAAGAAAGGACTCATGGACTGGCTCTCGGCGAACACCCCAGACTCGATCCTAAAATTAACATCATATTTTATTTCTAGTAAATTGAGCCAGAAATCCCGTTATAACCATACTTTGCAGTATATTCCGGAGAATTTGGAAAAAGGGTGCATATCAACATCTCTCGGCCACGGATAAGCTTCGTTTTCCGACTGCACGTGCCCAACCACTTTGACAACGTTGCGTTCGGTATGCGGTGTATGCCATTCTGCAAGACATCTCATTCTCACTAATTAGGAAACTTTACCTACTTTGTGGTCATCGTCATCATTCAAAATTAATTTTAAAACGAATATTTTACGGAGACAAATTACATAAAAACGATAAACAGTCTTCAGTTCTGAAATATGTGTACTATAAATAGTCAGCTGACAGGTACTAATGTTTTTTCGAAATTGTAGACAGTGCTTAAGTAATAAATTATAAGTTACCAGTTAAAATACGTTTTGCAAGTTATGTACAGATAACTATGGAAATATTCTGTATCCTTTCTTTCAAATCTCAAAGTTTTCTGATATTTTGAGCTGTCGGCTCTTTTACTGCTACTGCTCTATAGGACAGCGACAGTTTAATACCGTTTAGTTTGTTAAAGACGAAAGATAGTTCCGCCGGCAGTTCAGGATTCTTAATGCCGTCCGTAGCCACGTGGGCTCTCTGTTGATCTTCAACTTTTTTCCACGCCGTCCTGCGATGCACATCGTTCATCGCACCTAACTCTTTTGTGCGGTTAGTGGTCTGTAATAAAAAGTAGTCGTGCGAAGCTTCTTGCTTATGCGGTTTAAAATTTATGACAGATTCTTGCGTTAATTCTTTTTACTGGGATCGGCTGCCAGTGTTGTTTGTATTTCGGTTTTGCACTGCACCTACCTCCAGATACGATTTCCGTTGTTTTCGCATCCGAATATTTGCCTGTGCTCGCACGATGCCCTTTCGAATTTTTTCATACTTTTTCCTGCAAGGCACAAACAAAAATCACTAGCAATTAGCACACGGCAATGAACTTGGTATGTCATAGTGCAGCCGCACAAAAATATGGGCCAACGCCTGACCGCGCCAAAGCCGACAAAATTTTGCTCTCCTAAAATCAGTTAACTTTCAATAGCACCGCTGATTTCGTCAAATAACAAAAATTGTTACCAAGTTTATCCAGTTAAAAATGGCCTCAGGGAAACTTTTGCACTTGAATTACAGATACCAAAAGTTTGGACCAACACCGCATGATTATAGTGTTTTGCCCTCCGTTAATAAAGCCCTCAGTTCTTACGCGATACCATAATTTAACGTACGATTAATAATACCCGACAATTAATATCGCTCCTGTTCATTGTGTCGAGGCAGTGATTATGATCTCAGTGGTCTAATTATGTCGATCAAAAACTTTGCAGGAAGAATAGCTATAAATGCTCTGTAAATTCAAATTGAAAGCTATTATACATAGTCCAAAAAAAACTGGAAAAAGCCAGCTTGCTAAACTATATTAAGACCTTTAATAAGTATCACAGTGCTAGTACAAAACTGAGTACCAAAGCAGAATATAATTTATAATAAAAACACTTCTTCGATGCTATCCTGTTCGGGGATTGTACCCATCACGCATATCGCGTTTCCCCGTTGCATTTGAATAGATAGCCGCTGCCTAAAAAACTCTTTTGCGCGTTTTTGGCCGGTAGCAGTTGCAATATTATATGCCGCTGCCTAAAAAACTCTTTTGCGCGTTTTTGGCCGGTAGCAGTTGCAACTATATTTTGATGCACTCCTGTGCATAATTCTATGTATAATTAATTGTGTAATGGTAAAAAAATTGCACTTTGTGCAGATTATTGTAAAAATAAGTTTTTTTTATATAGAAAAATTATAAAAATTAGATTAGTAAGATTACCGTGATTTGTAAAAAAGTACCACCCGGAAGGCGTTTAATTTTAGAGCGTAATTGTCGAACCTTTGGTAATTCCCTCGTAAAACAGCTTTAATTTTTGCGGCTGCGCGCTTTGTCTCTCGGTATTTCTTGCGCTGCATATATCCTCGAACATGCTTTTGAATGATAACTGCCGCTTCCTCCGTCACCAGACCGCGTTGCGCTTCGAGTTTACTGTGCAGGGATTCCCGAATAAACACTTTTGATTCTCCTAACTGGTATCCAGGCAAAGAGCGGCTCTTAATGCCCTTTGGTTGCGATTCACCATGCCGCTCAAAAAAGCGTCAAAAATCATCTGGCACGCATCTTTTGCCGCTAATGCCGTAGGAATCCGCTTGCCGCGTAAAAGACATCGGTATCTGCAAAAAGTTAGATTTCTCTAACAAGGCCAAAATATCCACGAGATAAAAAATTAAATTAATATATATAAAAAGATTTATTGTTCGGAAACAGAAATGCCGCGATTGTGTTGCATAGTTAGGATGGTGAGATTTTTATGAACATGCATGCAGGAATACGGCCCTTGTTGGCGGTGCTCTTCGCTTAGCACTCCAAAGTGTACAAATTTGTAATTCCAGACTACCGTCTACGTACGCTTGACTCTGGCGCTTTTACTAAGCGCTTTTACTTTAACTTTCGCTGCTGCGAATGATTATACGGCATGAGAACGGTTTTCGCGCATGACCGACCACATTCACCGGAAGTTAAATACCACAAGAATCATTTGTAGTACAGCAACAAGTTTTTCACACACTACTTCCATATGCAATGAGTAAATTTGAGAAGCAAAATATGTCACTGGAAGCAACAATGATTTTCAATTGTTTTTTAAAACTTCGTGTAAGGTTGAATAAATAAACGATCTGCATCACAATCACATATTGTTTTGTTAACCTTCTGAATAAGTTAATAGCGCGCCCCGCACAAATCTATAAGTAAAAAATACAAACGGTAGTTAATAATAATCTTTTATCGATAGTCATTACAGCGCAGCTTGTAAAGGAAAAAACGATGTTTTTGGGAACAACTTTAAGTAATGTGGGCAGTAAAAGCTATTGTTACATAAATAATTTGTTGCCGTGGCTTTCGTCGGTACAGTAAGTAGTCAGTAGCACACTGCAGAACCTTCTACATCGGAAATTTAGGCCAATAGGGAAAGTGAATAAAACCGAAAGTAGTGCGGCAATCAAATGAAATCGAACATATATCTTGACAATTAATTAACAAATACCGGGTATTTCGTTGGTCTGACTTACAATAAGGAAACAATACTGCAAGTGTTATGATTTATGATGAGGCACTTACTGTTTGACGAAATGCGTATATTTAATCCGCACGGGATATCCCAGCATACGAATCCGAATTGTTTCCAACATCCCGGTATATTTCAGCTGATCGAGCACAATAGGACTCTCAAAAACCATCGGCGCCTTATTGTTATTAGGTTTTATGCAGCGGATAAAATGTGGTCGGCATCTATTAAAATATCCATATTGTCCGTAATATACAGCATATATCGATACTGGATAAATTTAATTTCGAATTATGGATAGTATTCCCCCAGTGTTATTAGCGAAATCCTTCATACGGTTATCGCGATTTTGCAGACAATTAGCAGTTCGAAATATTCCGAAGTAAACTAATTCTTTCGGCCAGACCACATTTTGTCTGGCCCTTTCAGTACAATAGGCACTATACTAACTGAAGCGACGGCGATAATGAACAAGTAATTTTGTCTGAGTGCTTCTGTAAATGCAGGTAGCGTATCTCGTGCTGAACACACTCTCTACTGTGAGAAACGAACTGGTTCACGATCTGTTTTTCCCCCAAGGCATTTATAACATTTTCCTTTCATTCACATAATATCAGCATGAAAAGTGCAAAAAGTTTTGCTGCATAATAACAGCTGCAATATCGTGCTCAAATTGAAGATATTTCTAAATCGTACTGCACTTCGCCAGCTTATGTACGAGAGTAATGAAATTTGTATAATATGTGACTCAATGAACAAATGATTTACAAAGTAAAATCAGTGTGGGCGTTAATTGTACTACATTACGGAAATTATGTACTACATTACTTAGTTGCCGCAATACAGTACTTAACGCCCACATTGATTTTACTTTGCAAATCTTTGGTTCATTGAGTCAGTTTTCATTATTGAAATTCAAAATGTTAGACCATCTACTATTGGCTAATTGGCTATTAATCTGGTAACTTAAACACTTTATCAAAACTTCTGCAAGCCATTTTTTGCGGGAACTATCGAAAATAATCAAAATCCCTACGTACTCTTAAAGCCCATTCGTACCTGCGACGATGTTGTGCCACTGCCAATATTCAGTTCAATTCAAACTATTACTTCGAATGATAGAAAACTCACTTCGACATGTTTTCAACAAGCAAAAGCAGCGATTCCTGGAATCGGGCGGAAACGGTTGGTGTTCGCGGTTTCATTGTTACGAACCGACCGGCGCCTCGTTTGACAGTCTTGACAAAATCGGAACTGTCTTTCCATTCCTGGAACATCTTTGACACAAGCTATAAAATAATAAAATTGGTTTAGTAGTGTACCGTTTCTGCACTGATTTTTTCTAGTTTAGTTTATATATTTAAACCTTCATATTATCCCATATTTTTTGGAGCACTCAAAATGCAATGCAAAAATAATAATGCAATGCAAGAATAATAATGCAATGCAAAAATTTACAGCGTTCCGATTAATAATCTTGTATTAAAGCGAATGTACTCGTAGAAAATAAAATCCGTTTGGTTGGTGTAATTAAATCATTTTCGCCAGTATTATTACCTGCAGACCGCTACCGATAAACAGCTCAATAACATCCGCACGAAGTGTGTCTCGATTTTTGTCGAGAAATCCGTTAACATTGTAAGACACTTGACCGGCGTAATGCTTAATAGCGAATGATGGATGGAGAGTTCTAGGTCGTTGGTACAGTGCATTTGTTCCATGGTTGTAGTGACATTTCTCCAGAAATGATTGATCAGTCGCCTACCATAATCAGATGCAAATTTAAATACAAAAATTATTAAATAAAACAACCAACGGAAAACGGATGGTTAATTTAAAATGAATGCCCATCAAAAGTTACCTTTGGAAAGCTGCTCTCATCATCGAGCAAATGCAAAATTCCCACCTAAAACAGCATTGTTTTTTCAGCTATTAAGCTACAAAAATTTTTGTGATTAAAACTTTTCTTAAGTATATTTGTAATGCTCATCCGTGATTGATGAGAGATTTTTTTCCACCTTTGCACTGCTTCATTACAATTACGACAGGATGGATTTCGGGTTAATTACCGGCTTTTTAGCAATAAGATCCAAAACCGGTTGATTGTCCGCGAATTCGATTTGCTGCCATATAATTTTCTCCTTAGCATATTCTTGTTGTTCCAGTTTGAAAATGTGTTGATTAAAGTAAAATTGTAGGGTTTCATTTGCATAATTAATGCAGAGCTGCTCGAAACTGTTTTCTTTAAAATCCTGAAAAGACAAGTGCGTTAGCATATATGTTCGGCGTGCAGCATCTGTAGAGCGAACATATCAAAGTGCTCACTCAAAACGTTAAAGTACTTACTTCGAAGCCAAAAATATCAAGAAGTGCAATAGATGTAGTACGGTTTTGGTTTTGAGCAACAATATAATTAATTCGATCCACCAGCCACGTAAATAATCGTGAATACAATGCTTTGGCGATGGCATCTCTAAAATACATAAAATATAAAATTCAACAACTGTAAAACATAGTTTCTCGAACCATCTTGTCGCTCCGCGTCAACTGACATGTTAACAACAAAATTACATCATCAGGTCTGTACAAGTACTCAAGATAAGCGATGTTGGTAAATACCTCGCGTCGAAGGCCTGGTCACGGTTGAGTGGCGTTAACAGTCTCTCGTTCCGTGCTTCCTACAAATTACACTACAATTTATTTTTGTTTGCCGAAAACATTCCATAACAAGCTTGCATGCAGCATATATATTATGGTCCCTGAATTAACAAATACTCTGTAATTATTTCTCCAATTTGTGTATCAAACAGTGTCATCTAATTTTTCAGTTACTATCTGTACCTTAAGAAGACCTGTTTTTTGCGAGGTCAGCACGGAATATGCATATAAAGGTACCTAAGGACATCCTTTAGCATTAACTTTACTTACTGAGTTTTTTTATTATCTTAGGTTTTTTTTTAAAAACTGCCTTCTTTCTGCTGCCATATTTAAAATCCGCGCGAGAATGTCAAACTAGCCGGAAGTGGGCTATCTGCTCCTTATGAATAATAACAATAACAGAAAAAGAAAAATTCAGAAGTGTGTGGATTAACTTTTAAGTAGACTAGAATTTAACTTTGTACCGTTGTGCGGCTGGTTAGAGCGGAAGTGATGCCGGTGTCCGGAATCTGCAGCAAATGCGCAATCCACCGAATTTCCGAGTCGCGCTCCACAACTACCCCTTCCGCTTGATATTCCACCTGCTTGGCTTTGAAGCGAATATTGCCAAAATGCAGTACCGCAGCTAATAACTTCCACATGGTATCACATTCGGTTTGACTGAAATTCAGCACTTGCATGGCCGATTTGAGCGCCTGGAAGTCGTGGGCATCGTTTTTTGTTGTCATTTTGTGGTCGCCGCCCTAGCATCAGATGGTGACCTTGTATGTATAGCGGATCAAGTGCAGCGCAGCTTCTTGAGCAATATAAGAATCGTTTGTTTACGCTTCCAAAAAATATAACGCAACATGCTAATATTTGTTTTGGATAAATCATTAAAAATTAGTAATGATCACTCTTACTTACCTGGTTCAGGTAGTAATAATTTTTTTCTTCTTGAAGTCCGTAAGCAGACTTTTCTTCTTTGTTCAGGCCAGCCAATAGCTCATAAAAAACATGATAGTTCCTTTCGTCTTCTCCCTGTTGTAAATAGTTTTTGCACAACGGAAACCCATGCACCTATGTGGCTTGTCTATCAAACTTACGTGCGTGCAGATTCGACTTTTCTCCAACAAATATTCGGTAATTTTGGCGCCGGTTATTGTTCCTCTACACACGACATCAGAGCATTATAGAGAAACGAAAGATGCCGGGAAGTCTTTAGCACACGTACTCTTTGCTAAAGAAAATGGACAGATATTTGCCGAAACGACTGGAATTATCGTTGCGAATGGTTTTCGCATTCCCGAATGATTCGAGCAGCGGGTTGGCTTCTAATATCTGTTCCGTAACCAAATTGCTCGCCGATTTGTTAACCGCGGCCAGGTAGCGCATGATCAACTTCGTACTTTCGGTTTTTCCGGCGCCACTTTCACCACTAAATGAATACAGTATATTCACAAATGCAAATTAACAGGTTTCTTACGTACTGATTTTACAGCGTGGAAGAAATAGTTACGAACGCAACAAGAAGTTGCCCTTGTTCGTAACAAGTGCACTTATATACCTGATTATGATCACTTGGTCTTCTTGTTCTCTGACGATCTGGTGAAACGCCGCGCTTCCAATGGCAAACAAGTGGCTAAAAACGCAACACAGTTTTTCGGAATTGTAGTATAGTTCTATGCTCATATTTACATGGGTCAAGCTGGCAATGGAAACGTAAATGAAAACGGTGATCAAAGCATAACGTATCACAGTTTTAATAATTTATACGTTGAAATATGCGTTTGTGTATGTAATATAAACGTAATATCTGTATATTGTACTATGCGTTTTAGGGCACTTACGGCGGAAGATCAATCAAATTTGGCACATTTTCATAGGCTTTAACTGTATCCAGACTGTACAAATCGGGGAACATTTTGTATGGATTGACAGCTACAAGGATGCTCCCGATTGATGTCTGTGCGGAAACAAGTAAAATTATAATACAGATAGCTAATTTTGCGAGATTAAATTATGCTGTTTATGCAAGCGCTCACAATTATTCGCACTGTGGATACGTAACAAGTATGCAAATGAACTTACGTAAATAATGTTTCTTGTGAAACGAATCCGCAAATTTTGCAAAATGCTTTCCTCACTCAGCTCACTGCAGAAGAGTGGTTGATCACATCATCCACGTGTATAAATAAAGGTCAATTGTGTATAAATAAAGTTCAATTAAAACTCAATGTCTTGCTTGCTTGTTAAAATATTATAAGTGTTCTAAAATATTCGCATATACAAATTATAAATTAGTATATATATATGCATTTGCTTTAAATAAAAGGGCAAAATAGCATGGCTGCTTACGAATAAGTTCAAGTTTACCTAAGTTGGATCATGTCGTTAATTCCGGCTTCCTCGTCGAACCACGTCCGGTGTCCGGGAGCAATGCGCCCGCTGGATGCGGCATCGTTGTTGCTGTTCGACCGTCCCGAATGCACCGCACGGTGTCTAATTCTGGACATGTCTTCTATCTGGAAGGTTTTCCGCTAAAAAAACCCCATCCAATGACTTTCGCGCCCGTAGAGTTTCAGAACATTTGCAATTTTGTCCGACGCAAAAAGTGTACATACCATTCCACCGGGTGTTACGGCATTTGTCTGCTGTACGGTAACGTGTTTCTTCGTAGTGGACACGTCCACGATGACGCCCGGCTCTTGACCGCCGCCGACGTCAAACCACACCAGCTCTCCCTGAAAAGATATGCATATACTGTACATTCGTTAAAAAATGTGGCTTAAGTAGCAGTTAAATTTTTTCTAAACGAATTAAATACTGGATCGGAGAAAAGTAATATGAATTCGCACATACAATTTTTTGTTAATGCAGATAAAATGTTTTCGATATGCGAACAGGAACAGGCAACTCCAAGGAATTGCGAATCCACAAGATGCAGTAGATAGAAGTGCACGTACAAAAATTTGTCAGCTATTAACTATCTGTATGCGAGTTAACATTATAGCCTTTATTACAGTCGGTCACTTGGTGGTAAATATTGCACACAAGTATTTTGATGGTCAATGTCACTGTAACTGTTATGATTTCATGCATATCGTCCTGCCGTGTTTTTCTGAAATCATTTATTTGTATCAGAGTTTTTCGTGGTTGTAAAAAAGTGTCAATGAATTATGGGCGGTATAATACAAAGCGTTAGCACTGTGGCACTGTTTGTAACTTTTAGGGCCACATCTCATGCGATGCAGACGCTTGTAATGTGCATTACGCATGGTGGTGCAAACATGCACAGACGTATTTATACATCCAAATTCAACCATGCAGGATGCCTCCAACTAGTGGTAAGGAAATACCAATTGGGATTGAACTAGATTACGTTTACAACGAACAAAAGTAACAACACAAAAATGAAAATAATTTTTGTTGACGCTCAACGAAAGCTCTGACACCATCTGTTGGATTATATGGAGTGTATGTTGGATGATGATGAACTTGGATCATATCGACCTTTCGCATACTGCATTCACTTATCCAGCATTAAAAATCAAAGGTTAACGTAATGGCGCTTAATCGTCGTTAATAGGTTTCTTAATTTAATGAAGTTTAACTGTCATAACTAATGTCTTTTGATTTTAGAAAAAACTTTTTTATATTTGAATAATTTTTTTTAAAAAATACTATTTTATTAACCAGTTTCTAAAGAATTTTGGAATTTTTAGTGTTCTATACGTATTGTTCACACTTATGGTTAGAAGTGGCCAAGAAACAATTAACAATAAGTACCGCCTTTAATACTCATCACTTGAGAGAGACTATATATAGCCTCAATTTTGACAGAAAAATTAAATTGCGAACCTGCCATTGCTTGACTTTGGACTTTCTTGTTATATAACTGCACCTAAATTGCCAACAAAAAGTTACAAAATCAAACCATTTTAATTGATTCAGAGATTCATTGTTTTCCTGAAACTGCAATTGCGTACTGCAGATTCTGTCCTCAACTCTCCTGTATTAATAAGTTATCTCGCTTCCTTAAATATTTACTTGTTCCTTATCAAATTACATGATTCTTGAATCAGGAAGAAGAATGCCAGTTTTTAGCATTACAGAAGCCAGTCAAATGATTAAACTTAATATTGCTGCAAAAGTTCCAACATTCTTTTGGTAATATTCGAACCAACTCCTTCACTGGCTAAATTTTTTACGGGAAGTGGTCGCTCCTAATATTATCATAAACACTTCTAAGTTCTAATAAATTACGATTTCAATCAACATTCAGTGTCACAACATGCCGGTATAGAGGCATTGCAGTTGTTAAAATACGTACACCTGTGCTGCCAGCTATGTTAACTTCAGCTTCTGCTTTTTTATATAATATCACCTATCTGCATGTTCGTTTTGAAAGTATCCAGAAAGCATTCAAATCTAATGAAATGCTGTTTTCACGGTATATTCGTTTTATAGGCTGCACATAAGAAAAAGAAAATTAGCAATGAAAAATTAAGAAAGTCCAGTTGTTGCAGTTTCTTCATTCTGACCTCCTCCATATTTATTATACAAAACAACGGATTTACAACTCACGATCAGTCCTATCATAGCGGGTAACGCCAAAAAATTCTGTGTGTCTAAAGTTATTCATTTATAAAATACGCAACGAAAAAATTCCAATATTTTATAGATGTACCTAACTGTAGTAAGAATGCTTTTGTCAGTTAGACCATTAATACCGCACTGCACCTTACAGTTATAGTAAGTCGTCATAAAGTCTTAATGCAGAGTAGTCCGTTAATTTCTAATCATACCTTCACGAATTTCATTGTGAAATAATTCTCACATAATACAATAAGTCCACCTCTTACAGCCGGCGCCGGCTGATAATTTAATCCGCAGAATTCCAAAAACGTAAAAATTTCCGGAGCGATCGATTATCGGATATACATTTCCGATTGCATAATCCTGAAAATATCACACATTCTCGTATTGCCGGAAGTGCCGAGCCATGGACAGACAGCGATTATGATGTGCGCCGGTAAAATCCCCATCCACGGCGCTGTACTGCACAGTGTACACTGCCCACTCACGAGCGCGTCTTCGTCGTCCGCTGCTCGAGCGAGCTGGAACGGAACCTTGTCTAATACGATATAGCGGAGTATAGCTCAACGTGATATCTTAATCCTCTCGGTACTTCATCTAAGCGCCATATACTCACGAGCCACAGCCACAGACGACGACGGAGAAAAGAAAAATGTCTATAACGTCAACAATAACAAGGCCGTATCAATAATAAGAATCGGTGTATTTAAATGCGGGGTACTTTAAACAGGGGCGCGGACGTTCATCGCAGGTATGCCTGAGAGCCACGAGAGAAAAAGTGGTTCAAGGTGGACAGCCACAATACTACAGGCAGTGTAAACCCCGAGCGAACTTGCAGCATATACGCATAAGACGCTTGTATTGGAATCCATCTTGAGTACATACATTCGATTACAGCGTCACACAACTGATAACATACGGGCGCATGGAAAATAAATTGTCGTTAGCGGCAGCGATATGATTACATTCCCCTGATAATGGTGGACAAACGATTGACATTGTTATTTGTTGGGAAATTTTCTCCGCACGTCATCGAATGTATGGCAGTAATAAAAAACCAAATTTGATATGCATAAAAAAGGAGACTTCTGACGAGCGTTTAATCGATTTCCTTCTGTGTCCAACAATTGTTACCGGTAAATATGACTTCTTGGGTTTACGTTTAGGTACAGTCATACAATGTAGCGGCGCTTCCACAGCCGCGTGTGCAGACTTGAGTTTCATTGTTTGTACAAGTTTTGGCATACCTAATAGGTATTGATTTATATTTAATAAATCTGCGTGGAAGGTGATGCAGGCGAGCTGAGGCGACTGTTGCGGATTCGTTTCAGGCTCTCTTAACTGCAGTATATCGTCGTTACCACATTAAAACAACAGCACCGCTATGTGCATTGACCTTAACGAGCTGAGCACTTTTGTCTTTACCGCGGAAAGAATTACGTTCACAATATTGACAGTTTACGAATGAATGTGTTTTACATACTGAAATCTCGTACGCACTTACGAAGCAATGCCGCCATATACCGTATAAATGATTTTTTATTGGAGAAAAATTCACTCGCTTGCCTATGAGTGAGCTGGCATGATGATCAGGTTCAGAAACGTTTAATTAGTCCCTAATTAAATTAACGTTGTCTTCGGCCAACAGACGATACCTACATCAGTATCCGCTGTAAAACGGGCATATTGTAGCATGGTTTTTTCCAGTATCATGCAGAGTGATGTCGGGTTTCTTTGAATAACGACACATCAACTGGAAAACGTACCATCGAAATTTTATATTTGTAGTAATACTTTGTAACTATTTAGACACGATGATCGGGTTCAGAAACGTTTTAATTAGATTAGGTTTAGCTTTACATATAATAAAATAATGTAAAAATTTTTATTTCTTATACATATCGAATGGCCGGCCGAGGACAGCACAGCAAATTTTAGTGCGGATTACCATTTTCTTCGCATCAAACTAAAAAACGTATCAGAGTACAAAATACTTTATTATGAATTTGCTACTAGGTTGCGCCGTCTGTAAAACAATTATATTTGGAACGTCTATGCGCGCAATCGGATTCCATATAAAAGGGGGGCTCCCACAAGAGTAATATAAAGTATTCGCACCGCAAAAATTATGGCGGAAAATGAATGAGTGATCTCATGAGATGCGTTTTACATAGGTGATTATTACACGTATTTAAGTATAAACTGTTCACAAAGATGCTAAAGAATAAATTAAAGGTTTTTATTTCAAAACATAGCTTTACAAACAGAGGCGGCAACAAAAAGGCAAGTTTTGTCAGCACAACCACAAATAAAACAATTACATTTTTGTCTCCGCAATGCACAATTACAGTCATTTAACGCTGATAAACCATTTATTTGCATGTGTGCACCTCGGCTATGCGTTCACAAGTCTTGCAAGCAACGTAACAGCACCACTGGAATTTGCACTCACATCGTTCGCGAATTACTTCCTGCAAATAGGCAAACACGATATATGTAGAATGCCAAACAATCATAGAACTGTAAAATTATTATCGTAAGTCCGTTTTTAAATTTGAATACCTTTCGCGTGTTAAACCCACGACCACAACACATTATGTCACATCCGTCGGTGCCTTGGGAAAGTGGATCGCACTTGCGGTCTTTCGTCCCTGCCATAACAACAACGAAACTGATGCAGTGATGTTCTGTAGAATCTTCAAGGAAACCATACATATGATATGGATGTTTTACTTTATTTCATAGTCAGCGCAAAAATTCTCGCCATCAAGTATTTTAGAGATATATTAATTTGTCCCCTTACAACTATAGTTTTATAGTCATCAACTTTTGACTGCGCTTATTGGGCAATACAACTATATTTTGTACTACATGCATTGTACATAGTAGAAGTTTTGCAGCTTTGTTCAGGTTAGAGTTTAGCCAATAAAATCGCTTCACAGTAAATTTAAAACCATTCTCTGGATAAAAGAGTAATGAAAAAACCAGATTATGTACCTTGACTACCAGTTTTCCTGTTAAACAGACAGTAATCGGGACTGTCTACAAGGTAGACCAAATCTTCTGCTGTGGGTGTCACGAATCCGGCATCCACCGCCTGCAGTCGGCCTTTACGGTTCAACTGGACTTTCGCTGCTGCATCGTACTTCGACTTTATTTTCATCCCGATATCCCGGAACGGCGGTAACTGATGCCAGCACGTTTTCAAGCTGCAACATACAAAATAAACCATTGCCCAGTGCCCGTCCTAACTAATCCAATAAAAAGACGTATTACAATTGTCAGTTAATTGTAAATAAAATGACCAACCTACAACTCCCGCTAACGCCATGGCATTTGCAAGCGATTTTGGCTGCTCTGTACACCGCCTGAAATAAAAATTAATACAGTTGAGTAGCATATCCAGTCAATTCGTAAAAAGTCGTTTGATTCAGAACTGCTTTCATGTAGACACAGGATATGATATTTAATATAATATAATAAGGGTTTCAAATAAACTGTAGATGAATTAACGTAACCGCATTGATTTGTACAACAGGCAGTAGCGCAGTTATCGAAGAGACGATAATTTAAAGGTATTACTTTCTATGTTCATAAAAATTCGCAGCTGTTTTAGAGGGGAAATTATATCGATAATTCCACTGAAGTCGAACTGTAACAACAAAGCTACGATATAAAAGTTGTAAACTGCCGACTCAATAGCAATCAAATTGCAATTTAGGTTAATTTCACACCTATGACTGGCGCTAAAAACGGAAACCGATAATCATAAACTTCACACCTGAGGATACAAATAGCAATTTAACGGTTTGACGCGCACAGCAAGTCTGACACGTTGTAATAAACGTGTTCACCGTATTATTCCATTTTTGCAGGCACGCAAAATGTCACAAATTACAACTACAATTGGTATTACCATGTTGAATGCACGACAGCAGCGTATGGCCGTAAAATTTATACTGCTCGGTATGAATTAATTTAACCTTTAAGCGTGGAAAATGAACGCCTGTACAGTGCGGACATATGTTATTATCGTAAGCAAAGTAATCACATGTTGCCATACTTTGATGCCTACGAGACCAGCGTACAATTTTTAGAAAAATTGTACGGTAATTAGAAAATTACTAAACAGCTTGTATACTAGTCATGAGCAAAGAGTTAATTTGCGTTAACAGAACGAAGGATAAGAAGCACATAAATATACTTAATTTAAGATGCGATTCGCTTTGAAATGGTTGTTTATAAAATAATGTTATCGACAATGATTGCTTGATTGAAAAAAAACACTTACTACAAATTACAAATAGATAATTTGCGCAGTAGCTGTGGCTTGGATTTAACGCTATTTATTTGAATGAGTATCATTAAATTCAGTGTTCCTTACATGTAAATCTATTGCAAAACTCGTAGTACTAGTACATGTGAAATTAAATGCTGAAGACCTAATTTTTACACAGCTTTTGCTGATCTTCTACTGATGCTTATGCTGTTATAGTCAGTTATACCGTACCGGTATTCGCTTACAAGCTGTAGTTTTCAATGATTTAAGAGTGGTGCAACAGTGCAAGGTATCTTTCCACCTGGCTTCACTTACATACAAAGCCAAGTTAGCAATACCAATACGTAAATAGATATGGAAATTTCATATCGCATACAAAAATACTGTTTGCAGCACTTGAGATGTTTCGCTCGAGCAAAAATGCACTTGGAAGGAGGGAGAAACGCTATGCAATCGCGCTTAGTTTTCTGAGTTTAAACATCATTTATATGCATGACGAAAGTTTAAGCGTACTGTAGTTCTACTCAACAGCATCTTTATGCAGACAGCATAACTTTTGCCGATTTCGCGGGAGCGCATAAAATTGGTAACAGTAATCTACAATGCATGTGCTTGCTTTGGCGGCTGTCAACAGGATCTCCGTCCCGTCAGTAAGCCCGTCAGCCAGAATTTATAATGTAAAATATAACGATTTGATTAATCAAACCTCAAAAAAATTCATTTTAGGGGGTCAGTTACACCAAAACCAAACAATTTCGCTGGGTTAAGATCGCTTTGCATAATATCGTTCCAGAATGTAAATCCTAAAGTCATGTAAAAGGTCAAAATCGCTTACCCTTCGTCCGGCTTGATTATTATGGAGGTTCATGAAAGCCCGCGCTTGTTCCGGCGAATTACGCTTGTAATTCTTCTCCTTTTCCCTAACATCGATGAAGCCTTCTGCAAACTTGTAGCCGTACTGCACGTTATCCCCGCATCCTCCCCAGTGCCAGGCTTCTTTTAGGATTTTCGGACGAGGCTGTTTGGAGCATCCGCATGTACTGAGCTCGCCTTCTCGACAACTTCGACTGACTGCATGCGTTACGCCGGCTAAAATTTAAAATCTTTCATAACTCCTTTACGTTAATTGAAAATGTTGGTACCGTTTTCGTGCCACGTTGATAACTAACCTGCTAGAACAGCGCTAACGAATGCCGACTCTCGGCTCCCTGTAATAAAAATTTGCTTTAACACAAGAATGGAATGTGATTTTTTTGCATTAAAAAGCTCATACCGGGCTGCATTACATTAAGGAGGTTTAGTGAAGCGCTTGTCACCTTTACGGTTGAACAATTATCTGTCAGCACGCACAACAGATTACGCCAGCCGTATATACTAGAAATAGTTGATTTTTTTTATATGCAAGTTTCCTTCAGTAATATTTATAATGAAATAAGGAATATACATTTCTAATTGCCAGTTGCATAAATGGCTCAGGATCTGCGTATATCCCCGCCGGCTTAAATGGTGCGCTTATTTGTAGTTTTGATATACTTAACCAGTAGCGATTTGATAACAGCATTCCTATGCGGCACGATAAGTATCGAGAATGTCTGGCAGATAATGCCACCCTGACAAAATGACCACGGCCGGCATAAACAAACTGCCCGATCACCTTTGATTTGACAGTTTGCAAAACAAATGGTCCTTTGTCGGTTTTGATCGGAGCAAATCCGGTACTGAAATATATATTTTCTTTCATGAAATCACATAATGTTAACGGTAATTTCACATCTCTCAGGCAATGGTACATGTTAAAGTGGTAGTTGGCTATCTTGTACTTACATCCATCATCGTGGATGACGCGCCAAACCGCTTTTGCGCAAGTTTTGCAATAATGTCTTCTGAACTTTCGGACAATATACTACAACGGCGTTTGAATTGGATTACAACAGGGTTACCGCTCTAAGCCGGCAAAGAGAGCACTGACTATTTTTACTGACAATTTTGTTTGGTATTTTCTTTCCATTCCCCTATTAGAGATTTCAGTCACTGGACGGCTTATCACGAATAGCCTTTTCTTTGGGTTTGATTACTTTAAAACACAGTTTCGACGCCAGACGGCGAGAGCTATATTAGATTAAACCTCATTTTCTTGACGAATTTCTCACTTGGCCTACTTTACTTGTCTTTTTCTCCTCATCCCTATCAGTGGCCACCACTTTGCCGCTGCATAGTTCACGCAACAAAATGAAATTATACACTTTTTTCCCCTCCGCAGACAAGAGAAAGCTGACCGCGATATATAAAACATAAGAGATAATTTTATCGCAATATCAAGCCCATTAAGTGGCGTAACGTCGTAAATTCGTATACATACTTAACACCATCATCGATCTCATGTCTCTCTCTCTCTCTTTCTCTTTCATTACAGCGCTAACAGCGGCTATCATAAACCCCTGCTGTCAATATTCATTTAGGGTAGTAAAACAGTAAATCTCTTATTAGCCATACAATGATGTATGCAGTTACACACTCGTCAACTGTTAACAGCCCAATTTGCTTGGCATGATGAAAGCGCAATTATAATATGCGGTTATTAGCGTAAAGCAGGATGCTGGGGATTGGAGATACAGTAAGTATGAATATTTTATCCTGTCCTTGAATACAATACCGGTATCACACTCTTTCCGCTACCATTTACACGCACGACTGCGGTCAGGCGACACAGTAAAATATATGCTGCTACAGATGGAAGGGTGAAGGGCCTCCATGGCCCAGTCGGTTTGCATATGGTCAGCACGTGAAGCCGCCGGATTAAAAATAAAGCCAAATCCCGAATCAATTCGCCGCTCAATACACTCGGTATATACTGACCAATAACCATGTAAATAATGATATATATTGTACCAACAAGGCTTCAGCATTTTGACAAACATGCAACAACAGTTGATAAGTGACCAAGCGCCAAGTAAGAAGATTAAACTCAGCGGATATAAGAGCGTTAACTTTACAGCTTGGTGACTTATCGGGACCTTTCGTTTGCACATGCAGTATAGTGTACAAGCCCGAACAAAAGCCAATTTTACGAGCTCCAGAGTCCAGACTCCAGATCTGGACAGTCATAATCACTGTGCTTATACTTCAAATAATTCAGAGCAATAGCATGAATTATTTAGTTGTCCACACTTAGCTTCATGTCTTCAGAAATTTTCTATTTTTCTAACTGCAAGTCGTCGTCTAATATTTATATACTCGTATATATTATTTAGTATTGAAAGTGTTTTTACATACATCAATTATTTGTACGTGCTACCACTGCAGGATAACGTAAACGGTCTTCTCATTACTTCGTTGGTAAAATTAGTACGAAAAATGTAGATTTTGGTAAATTAAACCGATCCGGTGGCAGTTATGCAAATACAATAGCAGGTATTAGTATTAGATTGTTTACCAGCACAGACACCATTCACTTTTGTGGTTTACATGTGGCCGCAGTGCCGCAAGCGAAGGCGGCTAAAGTGAAAAAACAAAGCCCTTTCTGTAATGAAAAGCGCGGATTTGAAAGCCCCCCACTCGAGATTTGGAGTGGCGAATGCTTGCGACAGGCCGGCAGCCGCGGTATGACTCTGTGTAATGGCTTATGACAATTGACATACCTATTTTCATTAGCGGACCAAAGATCCGATCGGTCTTATTGTCCATCGTCCCCGTGCAATTCCATCGGCGATTACGAAATTGGTACTGACACTCGGTAATGCCGGCATCGGCCCCGTGCGCAATACTGGACATATGGTCCTGATATAGTGTACATAATCTCTCTTGTCCTTTACTTAATCCGGCCTCCAAATGGGAGCAGAAATTGGGAGCAGCGCTCAGTAGGAGCAGTTCGGGCGAATGGGCGCCCAATAATTCTGTGCGGCTGGCCAGGCTCCTGCAATGAAAGAGCACATGTGTATATATACGCATATATATTGTATCTGTATGTATATGACAAAACCGTGCAAAACAATCGCTTGATCAATCAAGAAACTATTGAGAGAATTCAATGAAGCATAATGTGCTGGGGGATAAGAAAATATTATTCCTTTTCCCCAGTGCAGCGCCTCACCATCGGAAAAGACAGATAGATATGCGTGAGATTATTGTCAGCCAGAGCGCCAAATATGCAATGATTACATGCAGCTTACCACCAGCTTCCTAACTGCGCCTCGCAGTATGGCGGTGTAATCACCCAAGAGAGCAAAAACACTTGGAGCGAAAAGATTCGAATGCTCGGGAAATTCATTTTTAATCCATTCCGTGTTTACCTGCAGCAAAACAAAAGGAAATATTTTCAAGTACGTATTGACTTACTCTCTAACCATTCACTGCAATGATGCGCCATTGTGCACAAATCCCAAAAGATAAACAGTAATACAGCTATTCCTGGCATGACGATGTACGGATATAAACAAACAATATGCAAAAATGATAAACAATATGAAAATTCTGGCATTATTAATTTTACAAATAGAATTATTCGCTCTCACCGACGAGATGAATTGAAAAATTGCAATTGATGATATATATCTCATATCATGTCATATCATGGACGTTTATGTTGCTATAATTATATGCTGGCAATCTATTGAAAAGCAAAACATTCAGAAAAATTGTAAAGTAAGTAATGAATGTACGAAGTGATCAGCTACTGGCGGCAATACAGCGAAACGAACTGGAAAAGAAAAAGCGTAACACTGAGCTTGCCCTTTATTTTTGAATACTGCGGGTTGTATTTAGGATTAACGGAAAGATTTTCTACAACAGGAACCACGTTACAAAATACAAAAACGAGCGTTTTCTTAATTTTTTCCTGTAAGTTGTCCAAAAAGTGTAGCAATGGGTAATCATATAAATTATATATCTACATAACTGAATATGCAAGAACTAAAAAGTAACAGTGCAGAATATGGTGCGTAATAGTTTATAAAAGTGAGCGCTAAAATGGTAACACGGAGCGTAACTGATGACTAATCCCGGAAACCTAAATGATTTCTCACTCACCGGTATTAATACCCTGCTTGGCCGCGGGATGTCTACATCTTAAGCGCTTCGATATTCCATCCAGAACGCGTCGTAAAATCCGGATCGGACAGACAAACAGGCGTGCGGCCGGAAGTTTGACTGTTGCTGTGTGTCCGTTGCCGATACTTGTAGAAGATGATATATTTGCGCTTTGATATGGTCAGTATCCGCCGACTAATGATCAGAAGATTAGTTTGTAAGGTATTAAAAGGCAGCTATCAATGTCACAAATGAGTATGTCTCTCCGATAGAATTTTGACTGAATATAGATTCAGTCATGCATCCATCCTATTCCAGTGAAATATAACGAATCAAAATGCCCGCAGGTTTTCATCAAAAAGCTACACAAGAGGGCGCGCAAACCAGTCACACGTAGCGTTAATACCGGTGTGCACTGCGAGGGTAGTCGGGTACATGTGTAATAACCATCGAACTGACCACAACAAAATGCGGCACGATGCGTATACGGCAGTTGTAATGCGGAGCACCATAGGCGTGATCTTCCGCCCGCTAATCTCCACTTGGACCTGTGGGAGATTGGCACTTTGAACACAGCCGACAACAAAGCAGGCACACTTGGATGCAAACGTTAGTATAAAAGATGGCAAATATTCTTAAGATATCTCGGCTTTACTGCAATCCTTTTACGTGTACAGCGAATTGTGTCCTTTTCATTAAATCCAATGTACAGTAACAGGCACAAGCAAATGTTTGGCAAAACATCCTTTCAATTATGCTTATACATAAACGGTCGGCGTGACTCCGTGTTACAAGCAATGACCAACCATCACCGCAACATTGCGACAGAAAGGCGGCACTATGATGAATCGTCCGGCATCTGCAGAATTATTGCATTTAAGTGACTTAATCATGCTGTGTGTTTGTTGCGGTTTCAGATAAAGAAAAGTACGCAAAGCTCAGTGCAAACAGTCTTTATACTTTTCCTGCCATGATCACTTGGTGCAATATTAACAATAATTGAGCGAAATTCATTGTTTCTAATTCCGTGAATCGATCAAGTTTCATGCAGCTACGGTAACCAAACCAAGGTGACCAAACCATCAATCGTCGCCGGTTTATTAGTAGATCAACTAATTTATTAGCACAACTAAGTCCGATTCTTGCAGATAATCAGGCTGTTTGAAATGACATGACTGTTTTGTAGCGACTTAGCATTCGAACCTACTATATTCGGCGCCATTAAATTATTAGCTGAGGACAAAACCTCATCCATTAACATAATTATAATACAGCATTGTACACGGTAATAAAAGTTAACAGGTTCCAATACATCAGTTTAGTAAGCATAACTGTTGTTACAGTACTACTGCAATATGTATGCGATAATATATACTAAACATGCATTATGCAAAGCATACATATAGATACCATGTATGAATTATGCATATATAGATATAGATATATCTGCATAGGTTGGTATTGTACATGTGCTTACTAAAAAAATTGCACCTCTGCACGCAGTATATTTATATACAGAATAATAATATATACACAGCACAATTAAAGAGACCTGCTATTATTTTCTACTCAAGTAGAGGAAACTGGAAATTAGGAAAAAAACATGGGAATATACTACCTGAGATTAATTTTTATCCAGGAATATATACAAGCTAACCTATTCATGCCTGGTATATACAGATTTTCTAATAATCTGATAAGCACTGTAATTGGCATAACTGATAAAATATAATTATACATAATTAGCAAGACATTTTTTTGCGTACAATTAGTATTATATAATCGATGAAATAAGTTCGTATATGTACAGAAAGCTGTCTTGATTTTTGTACACCATATTCGAGCTGGGCAAAGGGTCCACGGTTTGTTGTACCTATAATAAGCTGAAAGCTCCACTAACTAAGTTAATACATATTTTATACAGCATGTGTACAATATGGTCACTGTGTATTACGTAGCTTACCAGAAGTACCGGTAGTACTGTACAATACATATGTACAAGTATTACAAGTACGTATATCTATAAAAATAATTATTATGTGGCACTTGTGTACCGTACAAATAGTGTTCAGAGTTTAAACATACCGACACTAAAATTGCATTCCATTGAATTTTCTGCTTCGGTTCTAACTTTTCGAAATTCTGAACCAAGTCATTACAGACAGTAATTCCGAAAGTCAGACAGCTAATGGATTTCGTGATTGATTGGTAATTTGGTGGTACAATATCCACTACAAATTTTGTAAAACTATTTATATTTCAAGTAGTAAAGTAATGCAGCTGACAAAACTGATACAATATTTTGCCCGTACAGTTATGAACTGCTCCGTAAGTAGCGTGAAAAGAAAACTTAATTCCAAAGGTTCTGTAAAAATTCGCTGGGAGATAATTGGACAAAATCTCATTATAAAATTTTATTTATTAATAATTATACTAGTGACAAGATTTAGCTCCGTACGGTACGTATACTAATGGATCAATCCAAGCTATTTTTTTCTATATGCCTAAAAAACGCTCTGAAATCATGCTGATAAAAACTTGAAAAAATCTTTAACACTTTGCAGTCAAAGTCAAAATTTCTTCTCAGACCACTGAAACAAAAATACTGATTCAATATGTACACCGGCGAGTACTTTTAATCTCCAAAATATTTCGCCTGCTTCTTTGTCAACGCTCGCTCTTTCAGCGATGGAAAATCAAACAGAATTGTCTGTATGAATCTAATTAGAATATTGATTGGTCAGCAGGTGATTATGACATCAGGCTTGCTCCGCGGATGCTGTCATTCTCATCTGGCTCTTGTAGAGGATGATGTATTTATCAGGATATACTCATCTGACAGACATTACCCAGATTCGCTTGGATTTAATGTAAAATACATTTAGCAATTGTTGACGATTCCCGCGCCGTTAAACTAACATTCCGCTTCGCCACTTGGCCAGTTCAGTTTATGCAATTTGCAGAAGTATTACACGCTGCCATACTTCATGATGTCTTTCAATGCAGACACTTGAGAGCGCTGTTAGAAATGAGAATATCAACTGCCTGCACTAGTAAATCCATAAAGCACAGCGCAAAACAGTGCAAATTTTTTTCAGCAAATGGAATCTACAGGCCTGCATCAGTCTGTACTCTGCATCAGTTTGCTATTTCAAAAATAAAATGTATTAAAAGTAAAACGCGGACGATAATAGCTGGCATTGGGCGATTGCCCATGTAGTTCCACGTATACAAGTAGTTCGCATCAGCATGGTATCAATGAGGAACAAATTTCGCGAGAAAACGTAAACTAAGTGAGATTGTTATTAAATTAACCCATCAATCCAAAACAGAAAAACAACGGTTGAAGCAATTCTCATCCATATACCGACCACAAAATTACAGCAAAATAAATCTAGAAGCAAACCAATGATGCCTGATAGGCCATGAAAACAAGTCAAAAATCTTTCATAGTACGACCTTAAAATTAAAATCCTTCGAACATTAACAAGTTAAAAATTAAAAACATTAAAAACGGGTAAGTGAACATACCTTAAAAACAGCAAGCCACCACAAACCATTAAAACTTTTTCAAAAATCACTGCCCAGTCAGGAAAAACGAAGGGATGTATTCCACGTATTGTCACATTACATCAGTGCGTGCCGTTGGCGTCCTCCACCCATTCCACATAAGTAGCCGGAAATCGCCCTGTTTTCCCATTCAGACTGCCATCCCACCAGCCATTGGCATTCATATTGGTAACTTCAATGACATCACCAACCTATTTGTAAGAAATCAGCTAACAAACTGTATTATTCATTACGAAGCAGTAGGATAATTTTCCTTAATAATGAAAATTCGTTATTTTACAGCACTGCACGCGGACATTTTTTCTTGTATTCGGAAAGCAGATTTTTACGCCATCCTACAGGTTCGCAACCTATCCGAAACACCACCACAGCGAACGGGAACAAACTGGAGCATATAGCGTGCCATCTATCGTACAAATATAATTCTTTTTCAAGGAAGCAAAATGAGCTTATTTCAGAAAGGGCCAATTACCATTCCATATTATATTACCATTTCGCAAGCATGATTTTCAAATTCACTACTTTCGACGTTTGCCCAGCACCATCGTAGGCATACCTTAATAGAAAGCTGGGTGTCATCATGGATATTCTGTCTGTCTTTAATAGCCTTCGCGAAGGCGGGAAGAGTTCGAGGTACAGGCACTCTCGTGGGATTTTCTGTGGATGAAGGCCTTGGCGCACTTCGACTACCGTTCTGTGGAGAGCTGACCAAGGCATTCCTAGCATCATACTTCTGCACATAGGTTACGGGAATCGACCCGGTATTGCCATCGGCATTTTTCGCTGTCCACCACTGTTCTTCATCCTTGCGAATAATTGTTAAGATCTCGTTGCGCTTGAAAGGCAAATCATCAGGATCCCGTCCAGCAAAATCGTACTTCGTAATAACCTGTTCCAGCTTCCTTTTGGCAGGACGAATAAGAGGAGTAGTATCGAGGTAGTGGTATTTGTAAAAGCTCAACAGCTCGGAGAGATTGGAAAAATCTTGTTCGCCAATGCGGAACGTCAGTTTTGAGCATCATCGTCAGTTATTGTTTTATTAATGATGTAATGGCTGACTTTGTTATCCTAAAAAGAAACACAACAATGGAATCAAGCCTGGCTGACTGCAAAGCAGGTATGTCAAACTCTAGTAGAGTCTCTAATACCAATGACTGAAAAGCCGACATTAAAATAAAAAAAACCACAACGAGCAAGTATTAAAGCTTTTTAACTATCCTATTCCAAATAATTTCCCAATTATTACAGAGTTTAAAGCTGTCTAACGATGTTAAATTAAACCTTAAGCAAGCCAGCAATTCAATTTTGTACACATATGAGAAACTGCACAAAGGTGTGCGTGTAAGAAAGATCCCCTATCAAAAAAGTTGAATTACTGAGTGAATATGCAAATAACGTACGAAGGCAAAAGCTCATCGGCTGCACTCAAGCAAAACAATTTAGATAATTGCCAGTTGGAAGACGGCAGACAAGCGAAATGTTTACGCTGTTACCGAAGCGTGTCTGTTACAAAATACAAATACAAATACTAACGCACCTCTTTAACACAGAGAACATAGTCGCCGGGACTGGACGTGCTGTCACGAACCAAAAATACCCCAGACTCGCGTTCATCCTTCAAGATCTGTACTGATTCTTCACGAGAGATCAATCCGAAATACCAAGCATCACGATCCAGGGGATCAAAATCCGCAGCCATCCTGTGCAGGCCTCTACGAATACAAGGCGATTCTAACCGTGAGTGCAAACTGAAGACAACCAGTAACAGTACCACGCGTTAATTAAATTACTTACATAACAAACACTGCAAAATTACTGGGAGTTGCGTCAACTCTGACACGTCTGAATATTATGATTTATTATCGTGCGTTTCCAGAGCAAAACACAGCCGTACCTTATTGGCAAAAATGATACTGCAGCTTAGAAAACAATAACAACAAGCTTTATGAGCACCCTCTTTCGACTTTTTTCCTGTACCATTCGACACACAAAATAAAAGATTCCACTCGCATAGAGAATTTTTGAGTGCACCATGGTTTTTCCGTTACGACAATGTTTTAACTGTTGTATATATTGAGATAATCATAATTTAATTGTATGAATCGTCGACAACCATTTAGCAATACGATCCGATGTTTCGAGCACCAAATGGCTACCAAGACGAATAAACAATGACAAATACCAAATTGTAAACAACTAACTGTTCATTAAATTATTAAATTCAGACAAAAATAAGCAATAATTCAAACTTTGACATAACTGATAGTGGTTATAGTAATGCTATCGTTTCTAATTTATACATACCCGAAATAAAACGGAAAATTCGTTCCTAGTTGGTAGCGACAGCCTTTCCAGACATCACAATCCAGTCTTTTAGCCGACCCCAATCAGCGCCAATTAAGACAAAGTCCAGCGAATCTATAAAATAAACTACATAATTAAATTACATCTTACAATATTTCTGCGAACAACCATTAAATTTTCGGAGCACGTCGTACACAGAGTTACAACCATAAATTCATAAACAAGTAAACGTTTTTACAGCTATGGCAAGTCCAAGAATCAAGCAGCTGGAAATCTGCACTGTGCAGCAGCACTTGGGGCACCCGTGATGATCTTATCTTGCACATGCATTACATCAAATGAAGAACTCTATCTCGGTCTCGCATATGGCCATGATTAATTTGTTTTAACAAGTGATTCCCAGATTAATCACAATCCTCACAACTGCAGCACACCCTTAGCGAAAGCCTGCCTCTGGCAGTTTCAGCTCCTATTTAACCAGACCATAGACGATAAACACCACGAGGAAAAAATAAATTTCTATGGAACATGAAAATTAGAGCAGATGCGCAGTCTTCATAACGAATCACACGTAAACAAAATAACCAATACCAATCATAACAATATAACATCTTAACGAGGCAAAACTACCGTTTCGGTATGTCCATCACAAATTTCCGTTTCTAAAAATTTCGAATTGCTCTACACCATTAAAGCTGATAAAAACCAGTTTTGGCATTACAGCAGCTGACAGAAACGATGTTTTACCATCAAATAACAGCCAGCGAAAGTAACAGTCTGTGAAACTTCAAACTACCTCGACGGATTTAGAATTTGATTACGTATTACATATTGCGACTTGCGAACTCACCAGACAGGCACTCCGAAGAACTAAAATCCTGATAAGCCTAAGCTCTTAATCCCATCAGAATGTAACCTCATGGGGGAAGATTACAGTCCTAAGGGAAAAGGCAATTATTTCCAACTTTTTTATACAAGCGTGTACGTCACATAATAACACGAAAAACAACAACAAGAAGTTGTTTCTTCCAGCTTAGAAGATAACGTCGTTGCCTTTAAGTGAGTTGTGTGGCTTCGAGCAACAAAAATTCAGTGGTACTTACACACAGGCGGGCGATGAACGGGCTGGCCGAAGCAAGCTGCAGATGGCACACGGCTATGACATCAAAAATACAAAGTACGAATATTAACCGAAAAAAGCCTTTCGCTTGCAACCTTTCCTGATTATTGAGGCTCATTATTTGACTGATTTTTCGCGCAGCAACATTTTTTATTTTAAACGCTAACGATTAGTTTCGCTGGCTAAATATGATTAAGATTTGCTTGTTTCAACTTTCACGTTAGGTAATGGGTCAGTATTATTGTGACTGCAATTTCAGGTGTAAAACAAAAATGAGAAAGCATTAATTTTATGAGCTTACAGTTCTCGCATAGCTTGTGTATGAGCACGTAACTTTACTACATAAATTATGAATTTATGCGCTATGCCGAGCGTTCAATTTAGATAATTAATTACTTTCATGGGCTGTAGTATTTACTGACATTTAACGAATAATTATTAAGTGCCCGTACATCGACACATAACAGTCGCACGAGCAGGAGTAAACGATGACTGACCCACAAACGAAACATTCAGCTTTTTAATAAACGCAGATTTGCATCTCCAGTCCACTGAATAAAATCCGAAAGCACAAAAACCACACTTCTGCGTGTCAGATTTAAAAGCGCCTAAGATCTTTTAGTTGCGTTTAATTTTGCTTTCTTTGCTCGAAAGGACACCGTCGATTCCCATGTTCTTTTATGCATGGTATACAGCCTCATCGTAGCTTGGGCATCCTGTATGGAATCATGTTCACCGGTCTGGACGGCAACACCCAGCACCTTAGCCGTCAGCTTCTTCAGCGACGGAGTACCGCCTTTCATCAAAATGCGGAAGGGTTTGTATTTCGAGGTGTCCCGAATATCGCCCTTGGGATGGCTCAACAACAGAGCTTCCAGATCATTACTGACCGCATGACCAATAAGGATGCGACCTCGTAAAATCTCGGCAACCTTCGCTTGCACGACTTTAAATTCCTCACCTGTAAAGAAAAAAACTAATTTGCAATGTGAAACGTGAGAGGAAAATATGAGATGTCCATTGTCCAGTGAAGCACAAGGTATCACCTTTTTTCAAATCTTGTGGTCGAACGCCACTCACGTGGGTGCGGTAATCTTTTACAAGCTCCGTAGGCTTGACGAAGGTATCATATAAGCAATGTCCGAACAGGTTTACAAGCGATACTCGCGCCAGCATGTTCTCTTGCCCACCAGGACCAACACCAACAAACTCGCAGTCCATTGCCACAGCTTTCGTTAGTCTGCAAAAGCCGCTCGATAAAGAAAATATGTCTGCAAATATCGTGCTGTATTCCCAAATTATCGATTAATTAATCATTATCAAAACCTTGAATTTCGTTCCTAATTACAGTTAAAATGCGAATCGCCAAACACTAGAAACAAAAAGCAGCAGCTTCTTGTGACAGAACAAAAAAATGATTAAGAGAGACTCAACTGAAGTAAGTATCACAGAACAAAAAATTGATTTAATACTATTAGAACAGACTCGACTGAAGTACGTATCGTACCTACTTACCTAATCCACTATGAGTACGCTCGTATTAAGTGCATACAAGTAACCAAACGCGAATTATTAAGATAATCAGGTTACACGAAAACAGACGAATACAAGATAAAATATTTACGAAAAACAGCCAAGCATCATTCCGAGCTAATACTTTTATTACAGTTTGATAAATCTTCTTACCCATTAAAGGATTTGGTTTTGACGAATGTCTCAGCGGTGGCTTCAGGTATCTCGGCAATTTCGCCTACCGCAGGATTGGCAACGCTAGCGGTCTCCGCACTGTTTGGATCTGATTGAGTGCTCGCAGCTGTCGCAGGCTGCACTATCCGCTTCGGCCGCCTGCCTGCACCAATCGCCGTTTTCAACTGTGTCCAGTTTTTTGAAACATCAATGGTAGCTCTTGTCGGCACAGTCAACAGGGGCTTCTTCTTTTTCCTGGGCAGTGAGTCTACATCGTCAGAAGCTGCTGGATCTTGAGCGAAAGCCGAATTCTCAGAAAGCAGAGGACTTGCCAAAGCCCCGCCACTTTCAGAAATCACCGTTGAGTCTCTGGCATAAGGCTTAGCGAGATCGCTGTGACGTTCTTCGCGAAGTGTTCTCTTGCTACTTGGTGCGAACCCCTCGGCATCGCGGCGTTTTCCACTGGAATGACTTCGGTGGTTGCTATCAGCGTAGGAGTTGGCTGCGGGAATCCGCGGATAGTTTTGCGATGGGTTGGGCTCCTGTAAAGTATAAACACTGGACAGGGTCTCCAAAGCTGTAATCGTCTAGCAGGCTGCAAGATCGCATACGAAAACAATTCAAGATGATTACCTGAAAACTATTCGGAGATTTCCACGGAGCTACACGATTCCTGTCGTGCTTCAGATCCGACACGCTTTCGGCAGCAATCGCCGGAATGACTCGATTCCTGTTCGGTTGTTGGCCAGGTTTCGCTCTGAAGGATTGCGAATTCGAGCTCTTGGTGGAAACGATATGAATCACTGGTCCAGTATCCATTGTAATCCAATCAGTGCTCAGACAGCATTTCGCGTGACAATTTTAACTGGAAACTAAAAATGAAAAACAACAAAAAACTGCTAAAACTTCATTAAATTCACTAAATTCTTGATACTGATAAAATTAATTATGAACAAGTACGTCCCCAAGTTTAACCAGCAAAGCGGCAGCTGTTTTGCAAGGATACTGGTCTAGCATTCAACCGGAAGCGGCACAGCCCATGGTACAGATACAGTGGTCGCGAGTCTCCAGGCTTACTAATCGCTACAGCCCACTAGTGGCATTGCCACATTGGTGTACGATTGGAAATTTGGAATCGATTAGAATCAAATGCTGCTACTGCGGCCTTACTATAAGAGAGCCAAAAGCAGAATGTTCTTATTATAATATGAGACGGAACTGAAAAACTTTTAAGTTTCAGTGAGATATTGGTTTCTTTCGTTTGTCTATCAATCATCTAAAGAGAATGCCGCGCATAGTCTTTGTTACTAGAACGGAACATTTCAGCGCTTCCCATCGTTTGCATAGGTATCGTACAACATCTGGATTCTGAACGAGCACGATAGGATACGTTCTTACGAAACTGTTATCTGATTTAAGAAGCTTACTTTATAATCAGTTCTTGATTTATTTTAGTATCCATTTGTCAGACGAAGAGAATGCTGAAATATTCGGAAAATGCAACAACCCAAATGGTCACGGTCACAATTATAAAGGTAAGATGATACAGTGCAGCATGCCAAATACAGTAACAGTACAATTAACTTACTTTTCAGCAAACTGCAGTTTGCAGCATGATACAGCTTTTGCAGTTTTGCATAAAGTATGATTTCGCGGAAATAATTGTACTTACAAGTTAATGTTTGCAGGTAAGTTAACTAACACCCGTTCCTTTTTTCTTTATATAGCTTTATCTCTTGAATTTTACAGTTTGCTGTCCGGCTTGTTTTCATGTTCTTGAAGTCAGTTTTGCGATTTTCGCTCCTGTTTCTCGTAATGCAAACGAGCTTTTTATTATCGATAACCGTGCTGCACTGGTACGGAACTACGGGTTATCGTTTCGTTGTACTTTTCAAAATGAATTGTGCAGCTGTTTTTGCATTATAGTGGATGTCACCGTAAAAGGTGCAGTGGATCCGAAAACTGGAATGGTTATCAACTTGGTTGGACTAAAAAAGATCATGCAGGTACTTGTCGTTTTTCATGTCCTTTTGACTGGCGAAATTAACATCGGTTTGCAGCATCAGGCACTTCTTGTACGGAGTCTACGGACGTTTGTCGATGACTCGATACAGAGTAGTATTAGCTGCTAAAATATTTTGATTTTATGTGCTTCTCTTGCATAACGTCTACCGAAGAAATATGGCTTATGGTTAATTTGATGCAGGAAGCAATTTTGGAAGCTATGGATCATAAAAATCTGGACAAAGATGTACCATTCTTCCAGACTGTCGTTAGGTAAGAGGTTGTGCAACTGACAAGTTAAACGTATGAATTTATATTATGTGACATTTATTGTCATATTTCACCATTTCATTTGGTCGTAACTCATAAGTGTTTACAAGGGCGTTTTTGATGTTTCGCTATTATATGACATATAGGACAAAAAAAGAAACAACCAATTTTGACTTTCCAGCACAGCAGAAAATATCTGCATATTTATTTGGGACCGAATCGTGGACGAGTTGCCACCAACTGTGAAACTGCACGAAGTTAAGCTATTCGAAACTGACAAAAATGTGGCGTTTTACCGGGGTGAAGAGGCATAAACGTTAACAGCCAAAAAGATGCAAACATGAACTTTCTTCCGTGTTGTAGTATTGAATCTGTTTTTGATCTTTTCTCCTATTACGATTAATAAGCATGGCGGGTGTGCTGTAAATTTTTTTAGCACTGAAACGGACGATGAGCTCGTAGAATCTCTTTTTGCAATTGTTAAAAATACTCACTTTATGCCCACTACCAAGGCGGCATAACAAAACTTTAATTTTGGCATATTATGAGCCACAGAGTTTCTGTGCTAAAGTAAATGCTTGTAAATCAGACGAATAAAACACAAATCTGCATGTCTGTTCTCTCGCAAATTATAATTACATAATACAGTTATATATTTCTGTATGCTTAACAATGCATGAGAAAAAAGGTATTATATTTACAACAAAACCCATAGAAAAATTTCAACAATTCTATTATGGGATCAAAGAAAATCGACGACAGTTATGCTCAAATTCATCATTGCTCATGTAGCATCCGGTCAGCACGCGCTTCCCGTTAAAAGCATTTCGTCCATGCAGAACCCGCCAGTTATCAATAAATATGACGAGTCCCGGAGTTAGCGTCAAAACGTGCTGATTGACGGCACTCTGGGTCAGGTCCGCAAATGTTCTCAGCGATCGATAAAAGGCATTCATTTCACTGGGCGCGCAAAGCGGAGGCGCTGTGGAGCGATCATACATATTGAAACGCACTCGTTGCAACGACTTCCGGTCAGTGTTACGGGTCAAGACTACATCGGTCCATTTGTAGCACACATCTGGCTCCATGTAGACACAATTTTGTGCAGTGGAACACAGACGTTCATAAGCGGCGGCATCGGTTTGTTGCAGTACATCTGCGCAGTGGAAGGCGTCAACCAGAAGATTCTCACCGCCAGTGCACCCGTCCCGCTCCAGACAGTGAAAAACTTGAATACGCGCGGGGTTACTAAAGTAGGTGGTGTCGGTGTGCGGCGCTAGATAGACGTTGGAATAGGCCGTATCGTTGCGCTCCATATTGGAGGTGAAAGTCCACATGCCCGGACTAAAGGTCGTCGGCATGGGCGGGGCAACGCGCTTAACCAGTTTTTCGGTGGCGGCCTCCGTTGGTGGGCAACAATCGACCAACCCGAAACCAAAACGTTGGATATTAGTCAAAAGGTCACCCAGTCCACTATCCGTAAATACTGCATCGTGAGAAATAGGAACAACGGAAGCTGGTCCGAGCCGTTGCCGGTCCCATAAGAATTTGGCAACCTGGAACAGATTCAACTTTGCAATTAATTAATTTCACACGCTGACAACTAAATTTTCTGCCAAAATTAATGCGTTTATTACGAGTTCGGTTCTCTACTCACTGTAACAGATCGGAAGAAATCGAATTATTTATATTAGACCACCCAGCTAAATAAATGATAAATTGTTTTCTAGATTGTTTAATTTGCCAAAGTGAAACTTCTAGAACTATAAATAATTTCGAAGGATTTTTTAAAACCTTGACATAGGTTGCGCATTGTCAAAATAACATTTAAAACGAGTGCAAGAGTGTTTGGATTTACGTGGAATACTTTATGACATATGGTAGAGTACCTGCTTGTCACTTGACTTCTTCGGTAGTGCAGCGGTGAAGTGGTTTTTGATTGCTGATAAATCATAATGCGAAGCGTGCCCATCGGTCCATACCGCGTGCAGGAAGCCGTTGTTCACTTCCGCTCGCTTTATCTGCGCATCTGTAACCAGTGTCCAGCTGTTGCGCTGATATGCGCCTTGGTTTACGCACTGCTCACACGTGCAGCTATCACGCAGCCAAAGTAAAGGCACCGCTATGGACGTCCTATCCTCTTTTATGGTAACCGCTTCCGATGAGATGGACAATAAAGGAAGACTGACCGGCAACTTGGCTGGAACGAATTCTGGGCTTTTTCGCAAACCGAGAATAGGATTCGATTCGTACGCTTCCAAAAGCGGTGTAGTCACTTTCTCCTCTTTCCGGGGTTGCAGTTGTGCTTGGGAAAATCGCCGGAACACTTTACTGCGCCCAGTTATGTTCGGCAGCGACATATCATTCCCAAGGCTGAAGAGACTGAAGCTGGACGAAGTTTCTCGCCGCAGCCAGGAGGCGACGAGCGACGCTGCACTTGAGCAGCGAATGCCGGCCATTTGGTACTTAATTACAAACGATTAGGCAGCTTATGACACCCTGTGATGGAACCCCGAATAATACTACTTTGTATACAGACCAAATTATTTGTCGGGAAATATTACACTAAAACACCGACCCCAAATACAGAACGAAATTTGACTGCCGTGCACTGGCATCGAGACAGTTCACAGCTCAATGTTTATGCTTTATTAATGTACGAACAGACAACGGTAATCAGCGGTCAACAAAACTTCTTGATAAAAGGAAGAAACGATTTATGTACTGTCGCGCACTTGTACAGTAAATTAAATAATATGATGTTCCGACGAGGACACTAACCGTAAATAAAAATGTGTGAGATTTCCGATAATTTACACGCCCTTATCGCGGTCCATCAGCGCATGTCCGTGTTGCGCTGGTCCAGTGCAGAACGACCAAAGTCCACGACGAAGTCCGGTAAAAATCCATTTCTGAATGTCGTAATGTTCTAACAAACCGGTTGTTTCTTGAAACCACACACTGGTGTTCTTCTGGTAATACGTACACGCACGCACAATAAGTACTCGCTACATGTACTTTATACTTTGTAGGTATTTACTATCATTCCAGAATTTGCAGTCTCATAAAAAAATTACTGCACTGCACCCATTTAAATAACCTTCACCGGTTTAATCGTATCATTAGACTTACCTAAATAAGACTTAGTAGTTCTGTACTAGTAAGTACTGCTAGCCTGCATTTTTTTGTCCGAACAGCCAGAACGGTAGGTTACTTTGTATCAGTAAACCCCAAAAACGATACATCACAATGTTTGCCCATCAGAGAAACTTTAAAACCGTTAATTGTTTTTTTATCATTTGGAAAGTTTGTAATGTTGCCCGGTTGTTATTTTCTCTATTGTTTCTTTTTTGTGATTTTGCTGTTAAATGGTGTGGTGTAATTGATTTTAAGGTTGTATGCCAGTCATAAAACCCGCATTGTTGGAATCCTTGTTTAGGGATTATCGCACAAAAACTGATGCCTGCATAAATATTTCAAACCCTTGCAATCTAATGCGGAAGATAAGTAATCGGTTTACAGTATTAAACTGATTGTTACCTCAAATACACCAAAACTAAAACAAGAAAAAATTTTTTTATTGCATGTCCATCCTTTAAAGTCAACTGAAACTTCATCCTTCAGTTGTGCTGACATGTGAATTTCAAACGATTAGATAGCACATAAATAATACATCAAACCGGCACGACATACACGATTATTCAGATCCAAGAAATCATGACAGCATCACAAACCTTCGACAAAGGAAAGACTAGTAAAACAGTAAAAACAAAAAAGAGCATTTGCAGAGGAACTTGAGGTAGAGATGACACAGCACACACAAGATTTGTAGTTGCATTGCTTTCTGCTCACGAGACCAACCTTTGCGTCCGTTCCAAAGGACAAGGGGGAATTAAGTTTGCCACACGGTAGGAGCCGAAGTCCGGTAATAAAAAACGGCGATATGAAGAAACTTGAACGGATTTCGACCTTACACAAACAAACACTGACCAGGTGGCTAAAGTCAACCCTGTAAATAAAAAGATGAGAAACGAGTATGTTTTGTAAGTACACAGATGAAGTTTTCAGGCTTATGAAAATGAAAACCAAAATGAATATCGCAATCAGTCCTCACTGTACAAGTTAATGTCTGATGACAAGCAACTGTAACAATGTGTAAATAATACTGTTGTCTGGTTTGTATCGTACTAGCATCTAAGCACAAGGGGTCAGTTTTATAACCCCAATCCCAGAACTGTTTTCTATTAAAAGTGTCAATCTGGCACCAAAGTAAATAATTCATAATCAAAGTCAGCAAGTAAAAAGTGGACAAAAGATCCGTGGGCAAGCCAGAAATGCAACGAAATATTTCGCAATTGTAAGTTATTTTCACAAGATTGAAAAATTCTTGGTAATTTTTTTCAGAATCAATGGGTCAAGGAAGTTATATTACCATTTTTATTTAAATCAAAATACATAAAAATTTACAAACATCGTATATCACTGGCATATGGACGGCAACACCGTGTATTTTATTCACACCTCCTGCAGATCTTATACCTAATGAGCTCTTGATATTTTCCACTTACCCAATGGCTAATGCCGCTTTTATCCTGTTTTGGCCGCTTCCTACTGCCTGCATTACTCGACTCTTGGACTGCTTTGCTATTTTTTTGCAGACGCTGTGTTCCATTCTGTAAAACAATAATTTAATTTACTCGCAGATTTTCTGGGTTATTCATGTTTATACATCAAAAATTAATAAAGCAAAACAAATTGCGTAAAGCGTTTGTAGTACCTCCGCAATATAGATAGAACTATTATAAAAAAGTAAAAAAACTAAAATTTTGTAATAACACAATTTAAACACCCAACGGCCAACGGTGTGTAAAGCGTAAATGGAAAAAATCACCAAGAAATTTTGAAATGTATCGGGCCCTGTTATTTTCAAGAGCGTACGAAACCGTCATTTTAAGGAAGTGTTGGTAATAACTCACAATGTTGTACGCTCGGTGGTGACTGGTATCACTGTCTTTTTCGCGACCAAAAACGGCGTACGCAATGCATGCTATCTGGAAGATTGCAGCGAATATCATTCCGTACTTCAGAACGGTCTCCCACCATTCGGGCTCCGTATTGATTCCCAAGCTTTCCAGGTCCACTTGCGCACTCATCTCTGCAATGGACGCAGCAGTTAAAAAAACTTGGGGCAATGTACAGCAGACGAGAAGTTGTCAATTTACAAGGCAACAACTAGGATTTGACCCGATGTCCAAGATTACCTGTGTTATCAAAAACTGCACTGTTGGACAGTCTGGACCATGGAGTCAAGATATCCTTGCAGATCCCAGACGAAAGTAATCCAACTTTTTATCCAAGTTCCAACGACCAACGATCCCGACACTGGTCGCCAGTTGTGCTCTGCCACACTTTCGTTTTGCATGAAAAGAAAAACTAAATGGTTTTTCCGTGCGCGATACCGGTAATGGCGACTGTTAACACAGTAAACAAACCTTGGAGACGTTTTCTTTTTGTTTCGGTTGAGCTTTTAAAAGGAAGTAGTCGTTGTTGGAGGTATGGCATACGTTTGAGCGAGGACACTTGCATGGAGGCGTTCCGAGGCGAGCAGCCTAGGGCTCGCCTAACTTTTGGTGTGCGGGTCAGCCCCGCTACCTGTTGTGCAAGGGGCAACCTACCCCAAGCGGCGGTGTACATGAGTCATCCCTTTTTGCCTTCATAGGATGAGACAACCACCACATTGTGACCACAATCAAAGTCTAAAACAAAAAAACACTTTTATTAGTTTTATACAAGCAACGATTACGTACATTGTACTGATGAGTCAAACGTGCAAGGTTAGTAAACCTTTCTGATAAACCCTACCTCCTAAGTTCTGTTTCTTAGCAAACTACTAGAATGTTGAGATCCTTTAAGTCCCACCTTGTCGCACCTGTGTTATTTGCGTACTAAGTACGAGGTAAGGCTCAGAAATATGGAGGCACAGAACGGGATGGAAGGAAAACCAAAGACGCCTCAGCGTGATTGTGTGGGTATTAATGGCTGTGCTGGTGATGGTTCGGAAAATGATTCCGTAAGTCCAAAAAAGCGAAGGTGACAGAAGTAGTGCTTACATAGTGGCATCTGATGCTGCGTCTTCGGTGTGCTGAAGGCTTTTCCAATTTTTTAGATGTTTAACTTGTTCGCAAATTTATGATTTATCATCCAGATGTGCCTGTCAGATTGCATTCTTATTATCTTTTGGCTACGATTACAATAGGTTTTGCTCCAACCATTTCATTATATCCAGAAAGTCCCTGGAAAACAGATCCGAGGAAAGCTGGCGCAGGTAAGTTTTTTTAATTTGTGTATTGTACAGAATTACAAAGGGCGTACCAAAAGTAAGTTTCCCTTTTTTTGCCTCTCTGCCATTTGAAGTAATATGCATCTGATATTTTTTTGTTGTATAAGCAATTATGTAAGCTAACTAAAGAAATAAGAATCAAAAGATTCAGTGAAGAAATGGGAAAACGAAAAATAGAATAGCGAGTGCTACTTTTGAAACATTTTCCACGGGTTTTTTCGGAGCTCGTTCTTTTTATTGCCACTTCCGTCCCTCTTACAATTTCGACAGCAGATTTAAAGTAACAGCTTGAGAAACTATTCTCGATATTACTGCGATGGCAGAATGTTTTGAAAAATTGACAGAGTAGAGCAAACATTTTTTCTCCGAGACACCAGAATTCCCCTTTTCAGCCTTCCTGCTGATATGAATCCAGAGTTCTTTGCATCAATAAAAAGGAAGTTTTATGAGCAGTTATGCGCATCTTAGACACCAATCACTTCCAAGTTTTACCGACAGTAATAATGTTTTTACAAGAAATTTTCAGTTTTTTACCGTCTGGAACCTTGAGCAGCTTTGTGGTTTTCCCACCTAGTCATCGAGAGTTTTTGATTTTCTGGAACAGCAGTATGAAAACGTTATTTTGTTTCGTACTTGGAATTAGGACAGAAAAGAATTCCTAATCTGATGGAATTTGGTGCTTTACGAAAATGAGCAGGAAGACTGAGAAAAAAATCAAAACTGTCTGGGTAAAACACGTGGCAAGGTGCGGATAACCTCGGACGGTTTTCTTGGCAGTCCTTCTCCATTTAATTGTAGTTAAGTACAGTTATATTTTATTTCGGTACATTAATAAAGGACGTTTCTAAAAATATGGTTCATAAGAGTTACAAGCGTTCAGGCCGGGAGATACAAAATAGGGAAACTTACTTTTGGTACGCCCTTTGTAGAAGGCTCAGATACTATAGAATCGTAAATGCAGACGGTACACTGGTACAGTGATTATAGATATTCGATATTTTATATGCTACAGGCGTTTAACATATGGATGAAAATTAGCAACGATAAATTACAAGTGATTACGGAGCTCATGGATATGCTGCATAATGCTAGCCTTCTGTAAGTGCTGTGTCCTAATGAATTACACGGAACACGACACTTACTAGTTTTTTCATAAATTTGAATATAGCATTGACGATATCGAGGATAGTTCTACGCTACGACGCGGAGTGCCAGGTATTTACAACAATTTCCGAAACCCTGTCGAGGTGTTCATATAACCTATAAGTTAGTGAAAGATAAATGCTATATAATAAAATAATTAAATTTTTTTAGTGGCGCATTTGATATACGGCATTCCCAGTACAATTAACGCGGCTAATTATGTGTACTTTCTGGCGCTGGAACGAGCGTTATCCCTGCAACACCCCGATGCCCCGCAGATTTTTAGCCAGCAACTACTGGACCTTCACCGTGGCCAGGGCATGGAGATTTACTGGAGAGATTCGTACCAATGCCCCAGCGAAGACCAGTACAGGACAATGGTTATTCAAAGTGAGTTTAGATAGATGCTGCCTGATTGGTGTTAAAAACATGTTGGGTGTCTATGGTGTACGGACTTCAGTGGTCAATTGATTTTTTGTGTTAGTTCTGAACTATTTTGGGGCAACGACAAAAAGATTAGAATTGTTAGTATTCCAGTTATTGTTTTGTTTGTTCGTAGCTCTGTGGTAATTTGACTTTTAATTTCTAGAGACAGGTGGATTATTCATGCTGGCTGTCCGGCTGATGCAGCTGTTCTCGGCTGACCAAACGACCGACTTCCGCCCTCTGACGGAAACGTTGGGCCTGCTGTTTCAGATACGAGATGATTACTGCAACCTCATTGATCAGTCCGTAAGGGAACAATAAAAAAAATACTAAGAGATCGTGTCCTGTAAATGGGTGTGTGATTGTTTGCAGTATAGTCACAACAAAACTTACTGTGAAGATTTTACCGAAGGAAAATTTTCTTTTCCAATCGTCCATGCTGTCCGCGTGCGCAACGATCCAGACGGATTGGTGATGTGTGAGTGGCGATTACTGTTACCTAGAGAAGAATTACGGACCTCACTACTCGTAGAAAGTATTGTCAACGGTTATATATGTACTCTGTATTACGGTATATATTGATCAGATGCATAAAACTGCGTTTCTGAATTTATATTTTCTTGCCGCTTTGGACTCGTTTGCTTTATTGTGTATCTTTATTACAGCCGTCCTTCGCCGAAGAACACTCGATGTGGATGTGAAAAAAAGATGTGTTCAGCAGATGTGCGAACTTGGTTCTTTGGAGTACACGCGTCAGACATTACTGAAACTGGATAAACAGTAAGTTTATAACGTCGGAACAGTGGAACGGATCTTTGTTTCCTGCAAGCGCTGCTTTTGCTTCTGAATTGTTAGTGTTTCTTGCAGGATGTCAAAGAATTATTTGACCTTTTTATAGAGCTCGGGATATTGTCGAAAATTTGGGTGGAAATGTTGCGTTTTTGGGATTGTTGGACGAATTCAGAGCGATTTTTGTGGATCCTGTTCAGATGTAACTGGTGCCAGTTTTTAGACAGTGTGATCTTAGTTGTTAAGTAAGTATTCCGCCGGTTATATGTTAGTCGGTGCTTCGCAGTGTAACTTGATGATGAAAACAAGTTTTTTTACTTTCTGCTGTTATTTTTATTCAATGCATGTCTTTCTTTTGTGTTCCTGTCCCACCGGCTACCGTAGCCATACAAGCGAAATTTTGTTGAATGCTCCTTGAATTGTAAACCCATGGCATGAATCACATCAAGTGAGCAAACGCACGAATGAATTGTTAAATACTGAGGATTGCTTTATTCAGCAGAAACATTTCTCGTAATCTTCTCATACTACAAAGTACAAACTACATATAAGGCATCTACAAAGTACAAACAAACTATAAGGCTATGACACATCGCGCAGTAGTTGTTAGACTGTTTCAATGTATTTGAACTAGCATCTTCGTTCGACAAACGAATCGCGTTGCATTGTTAGTTCACAAACCAATTTATAAGCATTTAATGTCTTTATTGGATCTTCAGATCAGCTGCCGAAAACATAGATGCACAAAAAATGAGAGATAAAAGCTCACAAATACCAAGCACCAACTTAAATGAGATACAACGCCCTGTTACAACGGTACAAATTTTGAAACTTTGACAAAGCGTTCCTTACAACAGATTTTGATAAATATATCCAGGTTAAAATAAAAATAATTCACGTTTCTTTCGCTATACATTCAGTGCACAAAAAATCGCATTTTAAATCAGTCAGAAAAAAGAACGGACTGGAATTTCCAATTGGACCACTTAAAACAGCGCGGATCAACAACCAGAGAATATAACAGATAAAATCCTCCAACAAGACGAAGGCTGCAGTATTCATATCCCGCCACTTAAGATTCATTTCTGGAAACGGCGTGACAAAGACAAGTGGGAAAACGGCTCGACCGATATCGCAACCCAGGTTAAAACAAATAAACTTTTCGGTAAAAATATAACCGGAACATTCTGGACAAGAAAACATGGAAATTGTAAAAACTTCAAAACCACAACCTGCAACAAACATGCTTAGCAGAAATTCCATCTACAAACGATCTTCTTCCTCCGGGACTGTGTCGTCGTTTTCGTAGCTGCGCATGAAGAAATCGGGCTGCGCTGGCGCCGGGAGCGGTAAGTTGCGGCTGATGCGGTATGCTTCCCAGCGCGTGTCGTCGCTCTCATGTGTCAAATACCGCGAGCCGACGTCGCTTTCTAACTGGCGCAAATCGCAGTACAACTGATAATCGTGAAGCCATATGTGTTCCATGGCCTTGCTGACCGTGAAGCGATCCTTAATCTTAATGACCAGCAGGTGTTTGATGAGTTCCACTGCTTCTTTGCTTACTTCCGACCAAGGATTGGCGGGATACATGAACGACGCGTTCTGAATCTGGTCGTTAATATCTGAAAATAAGATTACACCATCGTGGTAATATAACAAGCATAACACGTCCTGCGTTAATCGAGGGCGACGGTACGCTAACACAGACTAGCAAAGCTTAGCAAAATACTAAATATGGTACAACAGGTTTAGGGAACGCTGCAAATACGACAGAAAACAGTAACGAATAATTGAAGTAGAATACAACAATTATTCAGGCAACAGATCCTACAAACTGTTTATCATCATGATCTTCGATCAATCAATTACACACATTTCTAATTTAGTGCCGCTGCCTAAAAACTAACAAAATTCACCAGTATTTAGCGACTATGTTTTCACAGACTAGGCTATTTAAACATACACCAAACAGTTTATTTGTTACAGTGGGCTGTCCGTTGTAAAGAAATGCATGTGTAAAGATGAGGCTTGATAAATTACATCACTAAAGTACCCCATTAATTGCAGCCGAGGTGGATAGTTCCCCAATCGCCTGCCCGCTCTCAAAGAAGTATCAACCATTTAAACAAGAAATTACGGCACAAAGCGCGGAAAAGTGTTCTTAGGCCTGCGGCGCTGTCTCATTTCTACGCAATCAATTTTAATCATTTCCTGTCTTCAGCCTCACGATTACTGCAAATCTCGTTTCATTCTTGTACAACATGTTTTGAAAACTCTGAGTACAAACCGATCTTACGGTTAGTTTTCTAATTCAACGCACTGAGTATTCTAGAGCTCCACGACTGCATAAAAACTGGAAAAACATAACGACATATTGCTGTTAATAATACACGCCCATTATGTCAAGAAATTGTTTTACACGAAGAGATACGAAAAGTATTCAAGAACATGCAAGCCTTAAGCCGACCACAATACTTCTAGTCCATTTAATGATTGATTTGTGGCTCACATAAAAAACTGTATATAACGAAAAATTCTATAGCCTAGCACGACAAAACACTGACCGACGCCTTTATCGAGGAATCAAGACTGAATCGAGGAACCTTCGCGTACCCTTGCATTGTGCTACTATGGGTGACAACTGACAAGGAATTAATTAAGTAATTTCGATCGTGCACATGGGCTTACCTTCGTCTTCGTTAAAGGGGAAAGTTCCTGACAGGCTGACATATATGATGACTCCGACCGACCACATATCCAAACTCCTGTTATACCGTTTGTTCCGGATGACCTCTGGCGCCAGATAGGCCGGTGTACCGACAACACTCCGACGGAAACTCTTTTCACCAATAATCTTGGCAAACCCAAAATCACACAGTTTGGTCTGTGGGAAATCCGAGTCCGACGCCAGTAGAACGTTTTCCGGTTTCAGATCACAATGGGCAATCTTCTTGGAATGTAAGTAGCGTAGGGCGCCCAAAATCTGGAAGATGAGGAAACGCGTAATACGCTCATTCAGACGGCCCTTCTCGCTGCTCAGAATCAGCTCCAGCATGTCGCCTCGCAGCTTTTCCATGACCACAAAAATGCGCTCATTGTTCTCAAACATCCGATCCAACAGGACGATGCCGGGATGCCGCAAAGAGCGCAAAATGGCCACTTCGGTTTTCAACTGTTCTTCTTGTTTGTTTGGAAAACGCTGCTTCTCGATTACCTTAATCGCTACCTATACGCAACAAGACAGGTTTTATTATACCATCAGGCAGTTTTAAAAATTACAACTGTCATTAAAACATAAATGCCGGCGGTACCAACCGGCATAGTAAATACCGTGTTAGTGACTGCTGGTTACTGTTCCATCTACTGCATACTAAAATTTATCCCAGATTGCCAATTATTGCACCTATTCGTAGTCTTACATTTTTGATGATACAGGTGAGTACAAAAATAACTTTATTGTCAACTTGTACAAGCCAATGCCATTTACATTTAAGCTTTAAAAACCCAGGTGTGTTCGCGGTTATTGAATTTCGTTTAATTTGCCAGTGTTGGGGCACCAATACGATGAAAGTGTAACCACAACCATAAGGACGAGAGTAGTTAATGAGGATGCAACGAAAGCGTAAATTTGGCCAAAGGGACATGTCATCTAGGCGGTGCGAAGATTTGTCTGGCTTAATTCTCTCACACTGCCAACAGCGTCATTCATCCTGATTACACCGTGCGTCCCGGCCGTCACTGGAATATCTGTATGACATAATCTCTACCAAATACAACCCTCCCAGGCATTCCTGCTGATATTTGCGGATACACAATACAAACACTACCCAACTGGGATTTACACTAATCAACCAACTCCTCACCAAGCACCGATCAGATTTTTTAACGCGGCTTGTAATTACCTCTCAAACCGCCAACACATCGAACTGTATTCCCTTACGGCTAGCAACCCATAGCTTACGATGCTGATGAGCCACAGCCCGACCACCGTAAACCCTTTTCATCATTGTGCAAACTACAAATAATAAACACAATACAACACAAATAAAAGAAAAACGGTTACAAAGAAGGTACTGTAATTGATATACAGATAGATACAGTGCCATCCAAGTGACGTATTTGGAGTATTCTCGTACCCAAGACTGTTATATTTTATACAATATACGCAATACTGGATAACTTCTATAAAATACTAGTATAAAGTACCAAAAACCTTATGACATTGTTAGAGCAGCTGTTCGTAATTATTAGACCCTCCCGTGCGAAAACGGGTTAAAGTTGTGATCGGCTAACAAATTCGCAATATAAAACTAATATTACGAAGAATGTGGCAGGTAAACATCTTTAATGTCCTAAACTTCTAACTGTATAAATGGCAGGTGTATATTTAGAAGAGCATGAACATCCTGGCCTCATTATCAGCTGATGGGACTCTTTCAGCGCAAAAGAAGAAAGCGGAACCTTCAATGCGCATCCCGCTACGGAAAAAATTGAAAAGCTTCAAGTTTGCGTGACCAATTGGATGCCAGCAAAGTGCTGGCAACATAATTATCCCCATAAATACCTACATCACGCTAAGCCTTATAACATAAAAACGAAAGCCTATTTACCCTCTCAATGTAAACGGAAACCATTATTGACTAGAGACAATCGTTTAAATGCCTTGAGAATTGCGGCAGTACCACAAGGGCTACTCCATACGTCACCACGACAAAATGTTATGGAGAAATTCATCAACCACTCCACCTGACCATAATTGACATTAATGTTCTTCTTGTTAAAATCGATCAAATACGTTTTCACAGCATAAATCAAAATGCCGCGGAAGACCACATCCGCAAGGCGCAAACCATAAAGCATGAGAAAATATTAGAATGTATAGTCCAATTCAACTACACACATAAGTTATGTATACATAAGTTACGGTTATGTAACATAACCGTCTGATGCTTGATTTTCTCATATGCTACCACCATTTAAATAAGTCACGGAAGATTAACTCGATTAATTAGCTCACTGACGATCGGTTCGCGGAATAGCCATCGGGCTATCCTACGGAATAACCAAATCAGAAAGAAAAATTGTGGACAAATTCAGAAAAATGGCTACCCTCGCATAAAACCCTCGGTAGTTTACTGAAATTGTGGCTATTTTTTATGCGCAAAGCAAAAGAAAAGCCCAGTTTATGGACATTTTAGCAGATAAAACCCCACAGAAATATACATGCTCGATCTCACCACTAGTAACACTTACACAAAAATAATAAGTATTGCCGCAAATAAGTTAACTTTTTTATAAATAAAAATCTAATAGTATGTGGTTCCATCAAGAGTGTAAATCCTACTCATTAGTAATAAAGCGTACATCTGCCTCAAACGCCATATGTACAACCGCGCCAAAACCAGAAGTCTTTCGAAAGCAGAAGCAAGCTGACTAAATGTGGAAGTCGATTAAAACTGTCAGCTTCGCTGTATGTATTTTACTGTCACTCATCGATCACAGATCCTGCCCAAAAATAACTCGATTGACTGACCATTTATTGCTTCCGCCCAGGTGCTAATGTCGCAGTGTTTTTGCCACTTAAATCACGCTTCACAGAATAAAATCCATCAGAGAATTTCCCTCCACATCATTTTCTATTTAATGCTTTAACGTATTTACCCAATCGTTAATAATATCATAAAAATATTTTCACGCTGCGATACTATGCTGGAAACAAGCTTACTGTATAAAGCAGACCCAGAAACGTAAGTGCCGGCATGTCATTCATGGACGCCCCCGCGTAACAGCCGCAAAATGTCAACGGCATAAATCAAACTAATTATCTCATCCCATCCTGCCTTTCGATCCGCTTCCTTTTTAAACTTGTACAACACCGTCACTAAATCTACTTAGCTCAAGCATTAATTAAATATAAGTTACATCGCGGCTATAACCCATAGTAACTGCAACGCTGCCTATTATTTCGAAACCTTCGTAATTAATGGCGGAATGGCACTGTCAGCATAAACAGTTAATACCAGCATATTCTACAATATACATACTGTAGTAGTGTTTTTAAATCAGCTGTGAATATGCTACACGAAACTGTCTGTAGGCATATTATGAAATTTAACTGTATTAAATTTGTAAGAATGTTCAACAACGCAAAATTTTAAGCAAAAAATATACCTGTCTGGATGTTTGCCGCTGAACACCGCCATACACTACACCAAACTGCCCGCTTCCAAGAACTTCATCTGGAAAGATTTGGTAGAGCATATGGATGTCTTCCGTTGTGTCGCCTCCAACACTTCCAACTCCGACCTCCGTGGCATCATTGACAACCACCCGTGGCACACCGGGACCCGTAGCCATGTTGTTCCCGCTAGAGGATGCGGCCACCGGCATGAAGGCTTTGTTAATCGCCCGAGCCCATTCCAAGGCACCTTCCGAGCTGCTGTTTTCCCCCACATAATATACTAGTTTCTCCGTCCGCAGCTGAAACGTATGAGGCGCCGGCGTTTGACTCCCGAACTCAATACCCAGAATATCCGAGAGAGGCAGTTCCTTGTAGAACTTCGAATCATGTTCCGATTTGAAAAGAGTAATCGTTTTGCTGTCCAGCTGCCAGTAGTGGCGTTTCCGCATAGTATCTTTGTTCGTAAAGTGGATCAGCCAACCCTCCTTCAGCGGCGTTTGATCCTGCCGTTTAGTGTGACGGATGGACTGAACCACACGTTGGACGGGAATGTTGGTCGACTGGGTAACTACAAAAACGTGAAAGTTTTGATGCGATGTTGCACTTCTTTACTTCACTACATTTGTAAAATCAAACCATATGTTCTACAAGACAGCAGGTCTGTCTAAATTCCAGTGTCCATACCAGGCCAACAACAAAATGCGGAATTACGGATACATAAAATCATTAAAATGCTTTACCATCAGGCTAACGGTTGACCCACCCAGTGCGGCTACACGGGGAGAACTAAGGAAAACAAACTTTCACAAAATTGTCGACAATAACAGCAAAACATAAAATCTTCTGGCTATTATTTTTATGACGTTTCTTAACAGTACAATAATTATTTTCCAAATGAGATATCCATACAACTTCAGTGTTCGTTTAGATAGACTCAATATTTCACTACTGCATGTTAATATTTTGCATCTTAATGTAAATTAGTACCCTAAGAAGTGAAAATACCTTTAACCTAAAGCCTGTTGGCATTTCGCATTGAAGGAATTACCCTTTAGCGCTTGACGTAGCAATTATAAACGATTTACGCGTTTTTGAAACTACATTCCTTTTCCTCGACACATTTCTCAGCATTCAGCCAGAAGTCATGATTCAGTTGATGAAGCGGATCAAAGAGCAAATCGATCCTTTTAACGTGGCCGCGCGCACAACAGCGGAACAAATTACACCACCCCCAATCCACCGACAATCTTCCCCAGGGGTACAAACATGTTCTCGACAAAAAGAGTGTAGCCTATTCCTATTAAATGCATCCAGCGGCAACCGCTGCCACACTCATCCAAGTGGACTTGACTTGCTGGGGAATTAATTCTCCACCATGTTTTCACATTATTTTCCACATATAAAATGTTGCGACCCTCTCCGCCATTGACGTAGCAACCGGATGGTTACACCATCCTTTCCGTCTGTTTATCTATCTTGCATGCAACGCTATATGCGAGATTCATCCCGCAAATGGATTCCATTGTGCTTTTGACTAAGCAATCAATATGCAGCACTACGGCCTTTTTGTCCGAGGATGTGTTGACAGAACGGATCGGATGACGCCCCGCACAATCTCTATAGCTAGAATCACAATTATAATCACCAAAAAACCGCTTCTGCTTTTTTATCTAGATTTTTCTTGTGTTCAGTACGTTTTTAAAAAAATCGGTTAACGCAATAGAATTAAGACCGGTCGTGGAAAATAAAATTACAGTAACACAAACTTCATTTCCTACTTTTTTATTCTGTCTCCTTGTTCGTCATTTCATTATCGTCATGTCAAGCTTAGCGTTTGATATCAGAAACGTGTTCATGTTCGTCAGTAAAATTTTCATGTATTCTACAGCTGGTAAATGGTAAAATTAACTCTATCCATAATTTCAAACGCTACCACAGCTTTTGGAATTCTTTCAATATTAGCTAATTATGAAAACGTGTTGATTTCCGTCACCTGCAAATCGTGAATTTTGATTCTGGGTTGAAAAGCTGCAATAGTTTTTTAAAGGCACGGTATAAACTACGCTAGCATTTTATCTATTTATATTAAACTGCGATACAAAAAAAGTATAACATTACAAGTTAACCACGGATACACAAAATGTCAAAATGAAAAATCTAACAGAAATCCTAACATTAACACTAGCTTGGCCTCAAGTGCTCGGGAAACCGGATACGGAACTCGCGATTTGTGACGCAGTCACCACAGAGTCGCAACACCGAGGAAGCAGTTTCCAACTGATACACCTCCATTCCCGGGCGGTTTTGGTTAAGTGACGAAACATTATTGCAAATGTCAAATACAATCGTACAGAACTTGCTCGCACGATCAAGGATCGTGTGCTACAATTAATAACTTGCAAAAGCGAAGCGTATTATGGCATACTTTTTGAGTTGCTGTGATTTTGTTGCCATCGTATTTACATATGCATATCATCAAAAAGAGTTTCATTAACAAATAAAGCTGCACGCAATCAAGAAACATAAACTAACTCGATCTTCAGGATTCTACTCACAACGCCAACTAAAAGCCACAAAAACCTACTGTACATACTAAACTGAGGAACACAGCTTTGTCCTGGAAGAAAACCATTTTAAAAGCGTTAAGCGCCTCTCTTACACTACAGTACTGTAATCAAGGACAGATCCCATCTAAAACAATAAAAGTGATTGATCGCGAGCTCTGTTGCTTGAGGCAGAAGCACAAATGCTGATTGGAAGACACTTTTAAACAGCAGCTCATTAATTGTAACGGCCCACATATAATCGAACAAAATATTAATTTTTGTGAACTGGATAATGAAATCAGGTGTGTGAAAAAGCCGTTGAATTTTACAAAAATTTTTATAGCTGTTTTCCCATATGCTGGAATAAGCTGGATTTACTACACAAACAACCATAAACCGTCGAACAAAACGATGACCCTGAACAACACCAGGTGATGCACAATTGTACATGTCACATAAAGCATTAGCACTGATCGTTAAGCGAAAACATTCTAAGTATGATTCCGTATAAACGTCTGGTCGGTCAGCAATGTTTACTTGACTGCAACAAAATGCAACCAAATGGATGATATTCAGAGTCTTCCGGTTACCCAACTAGCGATCCATATTACGTTGGAGTGGAAGTTGTGTGCGATCATGACCTCAATCAGGCAAATCTCTCAGGACGTCAAACCCGGCTTAACCAAGTATAAGCAAACAGTTATGAGTTTTATGACGCATGCCACATATCTGCATTTTCATCTTTTCAACTCGAATCACTACTGCCCGATAAGTATTAGAGGCAATGATCACCGCAATGTTGACGGGCGCAATTTTTGCTACTCGCAAACAAATGCAGACACATTGATTTTATGATATACATACCTCCATCGATTTCGTAAACACATTGCGTTTCCAATTCCGTAAAAGTTTCGTAAATTAAAAAATTTTACAGCCCGTATTTTTAATAAACAATAGCGAATTAATATACTTTACACAAATTTAGCGAATTAATTTACTCCTGCATTAGTTACATTCATCATAAAAAATTAAATATTGTTGTCCCAACTCCCAGTATGGCATGACAGAAAATGTTACATACAGCACAATTAATTATCGCAGCTACCAGGAATGCTGCCATCCGACATTCCGAGATTATCTTTGATGGAACGTCAATCACTACGACAAAATCATACAGACAAGTGCAACATCCAAATTTGCATGAACATTCCGCGTGACAGTAACAGTAAGTTAACGTTTTACAAGTTAACTACGATTTTTAGTCTACGGGTAAAATCTGCTGAATCACTACTTGAATGTTCTTCGGACAGACTGAAGAAATCATATTTTCCAAGAACTTTCAAAAAAATTGGGGTAACCGTAATCTAGTGCTAAAGAACACGGAACGATTCAGTTCGCAATCAAATTGATGCTAGGAACTTGTTATATAAACAAGCACCGGTAGGTGTGAATGAACCTGGTATCAATGAAAAGCAATACAAGGAATGAGTCAAGACAAATTTTCGAAAAATTCACCGATACATATCCGCTTATAAAAGTAGAAAATGCCGGTACGAGTACCTTGTCAGTTGTCTGATGACAAAACACCAGCATGTCATTACCGATGTGAATCTACCTGCAACCTTTATTTTCGGTAAGTTTTAAACAAATACAGTACACATATAGATACACTATACTATGTATACGTTATGTTACAAACAAAAGCATTCAGAAAATTCAAAAAATGTAGTGGGCGCCATCAGTTATTAATCCCTGCAAGAAATTTGTGTATGACAGTATGAGTACCGTATTTCGAACAGCAACACATTTTATCAGGAAAAATTATTGTCTACAGTCTATTTTATAATAAACCGTATGATTGAGTGATCCTATAGTACCTATACGAATGCTCTTATACAATAAAACGTTTAGCACTTACAGTAAGTACATGACTGACTTAAGCCAGCAACTTCTTAACATTCTGGCAGATATCATCAACGTATATCAAAAATCTGTAATTCCAATCTCGCTTCTGAGCAACATCTGCGCTCACGAGAGAATTACCTGCAGTCTGCCGTGACGATATTCAGATTTTTAATTTTTGTCACACATGCACGAAAACAACATTCGATGTTTTCACGCTCAAAACTGAAAAGCGTTTCGAATGAATATATAGATACACATTACACGTGCAGTTTCATGATACGATACAGAACTAACAATAAGCAGAACTATGTTGACTTGACGAAACCCTTTTTTCCCGTATTTTACTGGAAAAGAGAGGTACTGGGCTACTGCAAAATTCGGACAGCGAAATCTACTTGCATTATTACTTCCATTTTTCGTGCTTTTTGTAGCAATCGTTCGATTTACGCTTACCAATTATTCTAGCGTGCAACACTAACTTTCACCGTTTCACGTAGAATTGGGTCAACCTATGTGCAGTATATTTCGTAAACCGGTATTAACGCAAAAAGTACAGTACAACCTATTTACATATCCTGGCTTAGCAAAGCTTATCTATCTTTCTCCTCACGAACTATGCGATGACGCACACAGGAAGTGCCACCGCAGATCCGGTCTTACATAAATAATTATCACTGAGGCATTTTTAGCTTCAAATTAATTTTTCAATTTCGATGTCCATTTCGTGTGAAAGAGAATCTTTCACATCAACTTTGTAACACATTTCATCACAGAAAAAAGGCTGCATAAAAAATTCGCATTTTTCAATAATGAGGCGAAGAAGTATAAAGTACAGCACCATAGCTGCAGCTTATAACAGAAACATGAAATCGAGCACTTACCATGATTAACTTCATTGGACGGCGTTCGCATCAGCGGATTAACATCGGGACTTGGCGGTGCCACGTCTCTAAAAACACTGTTATTTTCTTGATCCGAATCGGCGTCGACGCTGTTATCCTCCGCTTCGGGATCGATGTACGGGGGCTCACCCTTGCAGTCGTGCCCCACAAGGGGGACACACTTTTTATGGACATTGATTTTACAATCCTTACACTGATAACCCTGTTTGAACAGTCCCCGTAACAACTTCTCGCAATGTTTACACACAGTCGGCTTCGTGTAGGAATGTATGAGGAAGGTGTGCGGCACCTGTATCCGACTGGACATGATAATGTCGATAATGGACGGCCGACCGGTGATGGACGGCGAGCGCTCTTTCCGCGTCCCACCTGGCGCCAGTCCACCCCCCAAACTCGGACTGCCCGGGGCGGACGGACTGGAGACCATCTGCGGAAATGACGATACGGTGGTTTTTAGATTCCCGTTGGGCTCCTCTTTCGCCCGGATATCTCCAGAATCTGAGGATGAGCGTGGCATAGTGGGCGGAAAAATAAAGCTGATCGTGGGATTCAGGGGCTTTTTGCGCGAATACGAGCAGTTGTTGGGAATTCGGTAGGCGCATTTTTTATGACAATTCAACCCGCAGCCCTCGCACTTTAATCCTTGGCGTACAAGACCGAACAGCATCACGCCACAATGGTCGCAAAATGTCGGAGATTTGTACGAATGAATTAGCAAGCTGTGAGGCCGAATTTCCACCCCGTCGGCCGCCGCAGGGGGATTGGCGGACACCAGTACCTCGATCAAACATCCGTCGCTGATTTCGTTAATGCCGTGAATTCGCTGCAGGATATTCTCCGTGGAATGATCATGTCGGAATAACAACAGACGGGACTGTAAACTGCCCAGACCATGGTTCTGGAATTTGCGATTGACAAACAAACAGGCCAGCTCCTTCAGCGTCTGCAAAGTTAATTCGGAAATCTTGGTTGTCACCTGTTCCCGCACCAATCCACACTGCAGGTGGATGGTTAACGCTGACGGATCGCTGTCCTCCACCATTTTCACATAGATCCTTGGCTGAGAATAAGCAGCTACACCATTTCGTTGCTCATGTACAATTAGACTGTCAGTTTACACCATAATCAACAACAACAACATCAACAATGTCCACAATTTCCTTCCAGAATCCGCTTATCGTGTCAGATAGCACACAAACTCCAGTTGGGCGAGCTACATAACGCAATTATGGAGGCTCCGACGCTGTAAAAACATCCGAAAAGAAATCCGGAACGATACACCAGCGCGAGCGATGCAAATTGAGGAGTCGTGTTTCGCAGCTTTGTGATGCTGCAGCTGAGGAAAAATTGCGCGATTCAAATTATTTTAAAATTGCGCTCTACATACAGTCTACAGTAGTAATCTATACGAGTAAGTACAGTACGAGCAGGCATACAAGAGAGACATGAAACGTCAGCGCCATTGACATATTCGTACGATATGATTGCATTTTATGGCTGCGCCAGATGCGCCTTGGCACCGGGGCTGTTGTACACTACGTACAAAATTTAACAGTCGCACTGGGAAGTCTCTGCTACGACGCCCAATTGTAGACCTCCTGTACCACCTATGTAATGTTGCAGAAACCACGAATTCTGCGTGTAAAAGGGACAGCAAAAACAAGTTTGAGATGAGTGCACTATCGGAAACGACGAAGACCAAAAAAACAAGTTTTCGAGGCTACTTGCTTTTAACCAAAAAGACAAAAGTGCATGTTCTCCATTACCTCAGAATTCAGATGTTGTAGCGGACGATCACAGACCAGACAGCTGTCTTCTGCAATCTACACCAAAAGCTAGGTAGAATCTGCAACGATACATTCTGTATCGTTGTAGATCCTGTTTATAATTTTATTATACCCATTCCGCTTATAGAAAACAAATAAAATCACAACGCAGTACACTCAATCAGCAAAAAACAGCCTCGGGAGGTCTAAAAACAGAGAACAACTGATCTAAATTTACTCCCGGTGGAGCTGTTCCCTGCACGGAGGCCGCGTTCCCGCGCTGGATTTCTATGCTGATTCGCTGGCGAAGATACAGTACACACTACTCCGTACTCGTACAACTGTAGAGCATCATAATAAACTAACCATAGGTACAGTTGTATTCAAAATATCACTAATATTTAGTGATATAGATATGTGTTATGGGAATATGTCCTGTAGCACAAAATTATATTGCACAATATTAAATTAATAATAACTTCTTGCAGAAATGCGGTATTGTCCTATCCATACCCTGTTGGACACTACCAAAAAGCCTAATTCGTGTTAAATAAATAATCATCTACGATGTCCTGCGTAGTACTTGTACGGAATACCAAAAATAAATAAAGAAAAAGCACAATCATATAACGCTGGAGGGTATGTTTTTGATGTTTTTTAATTCGTCTACCATCGCCAGTTTACAAAAAGCTGTTATGGTTCCCAAGATAAGATACTTCCTTACTTCAGCGTATTATTTAACTCATTTCCGGTCATAAAACGCCTATACTTTAACCATTTTCCTTTTGTCAAGTTATCCCGTTTTGTTTGAGTTGCACCTAGTTTGGTTCACCAAGTGGTTGGATATACTACACTTCAGTTACATGGACCTTTTGTCAGTCAAGATGGAAACTTGTCAAGTTGCTTCAAGGAGGCAATGCAGTTGATTAGGTTCTCATGTTTGCTTCTGTAGTTCAGGCGTGTCTAGATTTTTGAACGTATTGTATAAACATGATCGGATACTGTAATTTTAGTTATTTGGTTTTTTCCCCTTCGCACTTAAACGTTTAAATTAAAGTTGTTTGATACGATATTCATGCAGCTGCATCTAGATCTGTTGAGTAAGTACATCGATAGTATGTACTCGTATCTACCGATCGGCCCGATACTAATTGTAAAGCTTTTCATACGAACCTGTGTGCCTGTGTAATTAAACGAGTAATTATTTTCATGAAAACAAGCATATTATTGAATAAATGACTAGGTAAGATAAAGGGCATACATACTAACTGGCTGACGGCATATTTAGAATATTTTGTAGTGTAGGTAAATACATGTACAGGTGGTATGTATATACAGTAGAAAGCGGTCACTAATTTCAAGAAAACTACGTAGTTATGTTCTGGCGCTGAAAGGTGGTGATCGCAATTCGAAGGCGTTCCATGGTTCCATGGACGCATCCGTTTCCTCCAGCAGATGAAGTGCGTTGTGGTTTTGATAACGTATAAGTACAGTCCCAACATTTGGCGATGCGTTATTAGATTACTGATTCATAGTGTACTTGGACTGCCCCTTTTTTTCTGATGCGTGTACAATCTGTAGAGGCCGCTACTTACGTCGATTAGTGCTTGCATATATACAAAGGCGATTCCAAAAGTTTCTTTCCCTATTTTTTATCTTCCCCCACAAACTTACTTAGCCCTTTTCACCCATATTTTTACTAATGCCACTTACTAACTGATTATTAAAAAATTTAAACTAGTTCCTGTTCAAAGAGGATGGGGAAAATTCGCCAAAAAGACTTTCACCGGTGTCTGGCAGCCTATCTTCTGGGTTTCTCGCAACATTGTAACATTTTTAACATTCTCCCCGTTCGAACTTCAAGAAGCACAAAACGTTTTTATGTTCAGAAGTCTTCCCTCTTGCAGTGTAAATCAAGATCGAAAAGATTCGGCCCTTTCTACTTTTAGAAGAAAATCGGAAGTGTTAGTGACCAGTTGTCAAAACACGAGGCTTGCCAGTTTCCAGACGGCAAAAATATTAAAAAATCCGGAAAATAATTTACAGCAAACAGGCTAGCGATAAATTGAATCATAGCCAATATGTGCTGGGGTGGGTCAAAGATAACGTTTTTATTGTGGAAAAGAACTGGAAGTTCGGAATAGCAGGAAAGCGGAAAACCAAAAAAAAACAGATGTCTGTAGAAACAAATTTATTATTTTAATTTGTGAAAGTTTGGAAACGATTCATGATCATGATAATAACAAGGACATAGTACTGTAAGCCTTCACTATTATAAATTAGATTCAAAACCACCGAGAAGGAGAGAAGTGACAACATTACAGCTTAAATTTTGGAAGGACAGTGGTTAGGCTGCCAGAAGTACCACCGGCTAAATGATTTTTCACCTGGGCAGTTCTTCATCGACAGTTGCAAGTTTTATTTTCTTCGATAACTCAGAGAACATGTTACGTAATAAAAAATATATCGTTTGCATATCACTTGAAATGGCACGCAGGCAAAATAGGGAAAGAAACTTTTGGAATGTCCTTTGTAGTACGTATGAACTTCAGTACGTATAAGCCATTAATTAAGCGTTTTATTTTCTAAAGCAACCATGATAATAGTATTATAAGACGCAAAATCCAAGCCTCTCCAGCAATAAACTAAACAACGCAGTAAAATTCGTAAGGATTATTAAACATTATTTATTACGTAATGCATTATCTGCAGAAAGGTCACTGTAGTACAAGAGTGATAGAAAGATTTGCTGTCTTCACCGGGATGTCGCTATAGTATTAAAGTAATATCAGCCAATTAACCAAGATTACTCCGATATATATCACTTACTATAAGAAAGGTTTTTCGAATCCATCCAAAGCTTCCTCTTTGCTCACCGCCAACAACGAATTCCCTTGTGCTGTGCCATTGTTGTCCATATGACCATCTTATCCCATGGCGCTTTGGTCACTGCATGAGCTACGAGTCGCTCGAGAGCGGTTTTGCAGACAATTATGAAGCGCAGTAAAATACTGCATTACCATACCCGTCCGGCGTATCGTGCAAATACACCGCTTAATGTTTATTGTCCTTTGCACGGAGCAGTTGCTCCCTCTAGGCTACGGTCAACAGAAGTCTAAAACAACAGAAAACACTGAAAAATGTAAGAATAAACAACAACAATCAGTCCAAATTGGTCAGCAGTATTGATATAAGGCTGCTTAAAGACGGAAATAAACATTTTTATTGTGGAAAACAAAAATGGGAGGGAGATCGCGCTTGGGTCGATGCATAAAACCAAAACCCACGTAAAGTTAATTTGATTAAATTTTCAGAAAAATTCTCGGAGAAACCGTGGGGAAAAGATGCAAGGACACTTACGCACGTAATCGCGTTTCTGTACTGTTCAACTAAATCGCAACCGTATTATGCGCAGTAATTATTTAATAAAACCCATTGACATTTTATAACCATGCCAGTGCATTCCTAAACAAGTCAGCTGCAGTATTGCAAAAATGTTGAACAAAGGTCATTCTGCTCCAGTGAACGGTATCCGCACTCGTATATATACGAGTGCGGATACCGTTCACTGGAGTGCGGATACCGTTCATACCTCGATCAACATGTATATACATGTTGATCGAAATTTTTCTTGTGCAGAACAATTTCATTCCAGCCAAGCTTTCGAGCTAGGTTCCAGAATTCCGCGGAACGCCATTTGGCCAAGCGAAATTGAGGGGCGACTATTCGACAAACTTGTTGACGTTCTTAATTAGTACGAGATTTACTTGGTCGGTTTCGGGTGAAGAAGGATTTATTCCCAAGAACGTTAGCCACTGAATTGTTCTGCAGTTGGTGATTTCCGGCTAAAGCTTTTTGACTACGCCTGACAATATTAACGCCACACTTTAACTTTGCCTTATCCAAATAGTTTGTCACTATGTAGATACGACTCGCACACTTTTTTAATAATAGACAATAAGTATTTATAAGTATTGTTGTGTTGATAACTGAGCAGGACATTTTCAAACAACATATATGAAAACAACTGACAATTAAGATGATTTTGCGATTGTCTGTGTTATTTTATGATTATTTTGTGATTGTTGTATTATGATTAGCATTGTTTTATGAGTGTTAATGTGTTACGTATCAGTAGAATGCACTAAGGTAAAATAAACGTTAACAACGGTCAACGTATACTTCAAGTATTAAAACTTTACTGTGAAAATAGTTGTAGTTTGTTGTGGAATTTTCATCTGGTCAAGACTAAAATTGTTATGCAAAGATCGATAAGATATGATAAAATATGGTTCAAATATTTTTCGACTGTTTCTTATTGTAGATCATTTTTTCCAGTGCCACGCTATACAGATATGCAGAAGAAGTAAAAAAGAGTAGTAATTTACTGTACTACATTACTTGGTATGCAAGACCATAGTGGTAAGGCTATTAAAACGCCAGCCAGTTCCGCAACCACGGTATACGTCCAAGTCCGTTGCAATACAGGCATAGAATTACGAACGATTGAACTGCTGCCGGTAGAAATTAAACTCGTGATATGCAAATTTAGATATAATAATTATTTATGAGCCTTTTCGCCCATTCCATACTAGGAAAGTGCACCGGCACCGCTATAGACTAGCACTAAAAGAAAGGAGCGAAGCAAGACGGTACTGTGATCTTTCGAACTTTGCAATCAGATTAATTGCACAAGAATAGCTAAAAATAATAACAATTTTGAAAAAAATATATATATTGAAAAATATTCTTTTTGAAAATATATTTGAATTATATTGTCAAAGCAAACAAAGTTTGGGAAATAATATAAATCAAATCAATTTTTTAGCACTTGTGCGTAACGAACGTGACCGACAAAAATCCCGTTTTCTTGAACATATGCTTTTCGGTCGAACTTTCCCATACGATGTTCGGTCATTTCCTCACTGGCCAAAAGTTTTGCAAGCGAATTGTCCGATCCAAAGCGAGATAGTACGTGTATTGTATTTTTGTCTTACCAAGCAAAGTACCTTACATATTGTACAGTAGAACGTCCGACTTTGAACACCCCCGAATGCTGAACACCTCTGAACGTTGAACAGCTTTTTTCGTACCGGCGCTGCTCGTAATGTATAACATTAGGGGGGACCTCTGAACCCTGAACACCTCTGAACTCTGAACCGTGAACACTGTGTTAGGTACCACAGTATGTTTTATGAGCAAACCGGACCTCCAACCATGAACACAGCAATTCAGCAAAACATCCGGGAAGATCCGGCGTTCAGCGTGTTCACGTAGATCAATCGTAACCATTCGTTTGCCGCTTAGTATTTTTATGTACTTATTGAACAAATTTTTATTTTCTGAACGAACGTCGCACAAGCAACACGTTGCACAGTCGCTTAACACAGTCGACTCGTTAACCACTGCATATTTTAATAGCAAAAGGCTGTAATACGATAATTTTTCGGCCGACGAATATCAATTTTTTATTTTTTTTTAATTGTAATTGTCGTTTAACCTGTTTTTTTACGTTTTAAAGAATTATTCAATAAAAGACGATACAAATCATACATTATGCTTATTAGCTAGCTAAATATTAAGCCAGGGGCCCCCGTAAGAAAGTCACCGCCCCTAGGGGCAGTACCTCTGAATCATGAACACCTCTGAACCCTGAACAAGAAACTGCGTGCCGAAGGTGTTCAGGGTCGGGAGGTTCCACTGTACACCGAAAACAAAGCTGCTGTATTTGATCGAGTAAAATCTTGCTCAAGTACAGCCACACAGGAATCGCGTTCCCATGGTATACTTGCAATCGTGTACAGATAGCACGTAGCGCCTGCAAATTTGTTTTCCCGGAATTTTTTGGTATCTTCCAGTTTGCCTTCTTCCCGCCGGATGCATGTAGTCTGCAATGACTAGAAACAAATTTCAGATAACACCTAGTCTGTCAATTTTCTATTGCGTTAAGATATGGAAAATTACATCGGTTCATGATCTACAAGTCTACATGTATCGGTTTATGCATAAGGTCGAAGCGGTGATCAAATAACGTATACGAAGTATAGATATAGTATAAATATAATCAGTACCTACTGTATACAGTAGGTGTTGATATAGATATAACATACGTAAGTAACGTAACTGCAAATTTGCAGTTAAACAGTACAGTACTTTAGAGTACAAATTTGACCGACAGTACAGTACAAATTTGCAGTACTTACTTTAAAGTACTAACTCTGAACAAAAGCTCGTGAAAGACAACAAACATATTCTTCCCAGTTGCGGCCTGCAAACAAACCAAACAACAGCATTCTTTTTCAAAGAATTTTACCGGAAGAGCGGTCGGAGACGCTGTTTCAGAACGGCATTTTTTATGCTAGAACGGCATTTTGTTTCTGTGGTTGGCTATATCGCCATGTCTCATATGGTACACACCGGTAATTACAAAGTTACAATACAAACCTATTTATCTTTGATGTACTTTGTAATTTAATTTAGAGATCATGCGTTGGATTGTGGACCTGTGCGGCGAAATTTTAACTTATAATTTCAGATACGTAAATGCAGTTTGGGAATGTTCATATATATTTATACTTCGAAGTAGACAATATCTGTACAGTGTGATATCTTTATATATAATTTTGTTATTAATCATCTGTTTTCTTCTTGAAAGTTCAGATAGGTAATACCTTTGTGATATTCAAATAAACTCTTATAATCCACGGCTACCACTACAATTTAACAACGATGATAGTCAGTTTAATATTATTTGAGCGAGTGTTTAAGCTCACCGAGGCTGCCAATTCTCACGTCAGTGCCTGGTCGTGTCAGTTCAAAGAAATCTGCAGGTTCTCCCGAAATGACAAAATATTTACAGCAGCGCAAATTGGAGATCAACGGGAGAAGCTTGTTCGAAGATCTTTGTGCACACTGCACAAGCGCTCACCTGTCAGTTTACAAGTTAGTGATTGCGATGTAATATTGCAGTTGACCACTTGCATGTGAGCTCTGGGGACGTAATGCAAAGCCGCGGTAATTTTGTTAAAGGAGATCGGAAGAAATCGTTTATTATAAAAGGAGAAAGTTGTTAATACAAGTATGTTTTTATTTCAATGTTTAAATTCGGAAATAATACGGGGAATGCGATGTGCGTTTTGAGCACCTGAGTGAAAGGTACGTCTTGTCTTTCATTAACTGAGACAATTTCTTATATGAGTCACAATTCTAAGCGATAGTTATATGCGTAATTACCGAAAGTTTTTGTCTTAATAAGTGTATCGAAATTCTTGATAAGAGTATCATTTTTGTTGGACAGGGTTAAAGGGTCAACACTCGACAGAGCTCCTCGACCATGGCGATTCCGGAATTCGGACTTCCGCCTGCCCAACTGCTGCCGACTGGGGTTGCTAGCCATTTTATTTCGCGCACGGCCGCCCACCTAGTCTGGCAGCTTGTATTATGCAATACTGTTGTACGATAGTTCAGTACAACTTTTTACAGACCACCTGGACGAGCATCGTTTGGAGAGTCTAGACTAGAGATGGCAACGGCCGGCTAAACGGCTGACCTTTCGGCTGACGGCCGGCTGAAGCCCTTAGCCGGCTAACTCAACCCGGCTGGAAGTCTCAGCCGGCTAGAAAGGCTGACCAAATTTTCCAGCCGGCTTAGCCGGCTGGCGGCCGGCTAAGCCGTTTATATTCTCGCTTTAAAAAAAATTCGCAAAATTTTGAAAATAACGTATCAAAGTGCAGTTAAATCACCAAAAACTACAAGTTGTTCCGTTTATGTTGTGAAAACACGGTTTTCGAACACATTTGAAGCAAAAAAACAGCGATTATTCGGGAATTCCGAGTCTGAACGAGTTAAAATTCCATAATATTGAATAATTAATGGCGTCATTGCTACTGAAATGGCATCATGACGACCAAGTTAAACAATATCACTAGCGAAAGCGACAGAAATTAGGCGCAAGCCGAAGAAAACCTGACGCAAAGTGACTCAGTGGCGCCATCTTTACCGCCAAAAATTGCACAACGATGCCGCCGTTCAAGCCGCTTCAGCCGAGTCGGCCGCCGGCTAAGCCGCGGCTGGCTGAAGTCTCAGCCGGCTTAAGCAGCCGGCCTGACGTCGGCTACGGCTTGCAAAAACCGTCAGCCGGCTGGCCAATAGCCGGCTAAGCCGCGGCTTAGCCGGCCTCGGCTAAGCCGTTGCCATCTCTAGTCTAGACACTCATGTACCGTAGACAGTAGACACTAGACAGTAGGCCCTACAGTATTATAGATCAACAAAGAAGCGTCGTTTTGACTTTTCTGCATTTTTTTCTTATTTGTCTTGCAGACTCTTGCTAGTTATTTTAATTTTCACAAAGTGGTTCTTTGCCACTTATGATAATCATGTAACTTGGGGCAAACAGTTTCATTATCATGTGACTTGGGGTTTTGTCTACGGTCTGCATATGAGTAGCATTGCCACCTGCCACTTACCGTTGTTGGTTTCCTTGAAATTGTAAGTGAATGTATTCGCATTATGCAGTAACGGCAGTATACGGTAAAACAACTCCTACTTATTTATATAGAAGAATTAGAAGATTCAGGGAATCGGAGGACGTCTTTTAAAGTTCCAACTAAAATCATTTGATATTGGAGGAGCCTCTTGAGTTTGGTCCGTGGAGCCTGGAGGTATGTTTAAGATAGATTACACATTACAGGAATCTGGAACTGTCGTAGAAATGGAAAACTTCATAGGCTTCATACATTTAGCGATTACGCTACACTCGGACACCAAAGATAGAAGTTAGAGTATTTTTGCAGTATTATTATTACTACTAACAAAATATCATGATTTCTGTGGTAGCAGATTAGTAGAGTATTTGCAAATTTATACATATTCAGATTCTGATATGTGGAAATAATCTGACATTCTATAATAAAATTACATGTATGATTGTATCGTACAGTATTTAACACATTTGCAACGTTGTCTTGTTAAAATTTCTGAAATATTTTCATCTCATGAAAACTGAAAAGTTAGAAAACATCCTCAATCGTTGCCGAATTTTGTGCGTTGCGAAATGGAAAAGGGAGTGATACAGATCATAAGGTTGAATAAAATTTATAATGCTTCGAGAATTCCTGGCATCATCCGCTCATGCACTCGTTTGTTAGATGATTGATTTATAATCGAATTATTAAAACTTATAGAAGGTTAAGCTGCTTGTTAATTTTTAATGGTACATAATGATGTTCTCCTTGAGCATGAAGATTTACTTTGACAATGTACAGTGATGTGAGTTTAATTCATCATTTCTGCTCCCTTTACCGATTTTCTGGGTTTGCAGATTGTTCGAAGATGGCGGTTAAAAAGTCCGAAATTAAACGTCTCAGCGAAGATCATTTGAAGAGAAAGCCGGAAGATGTTTTTGACATCATCTGCAAGCTCGGAGAAGGATCTTACGGAAGCGTCTACAAAGCCATTGAGAAGGAATCCGGAATGGTTGTGGCGATCAAGCAGGTGTCACTGGATGCCAGCTTGCAAGACATCATTCAAGAAATCTCCATTATGCAGCAGTGCGATAGTCCGCATGTTGTCAAGTATTATGGCAGTTATTTCCGCGACAGCGAATTGCTCATCGTTATGGAATTTTGCGACGGCGGTTCGGTGTCTGACATTATGCGTCTGCGTAAGAAAACCTTAGCCGAAGATGAAATCGCAACAATTCTGAGGGACACCTTGAAGGGATTGCAGTATTTGCACGAAATCAGAAAAATTCACAGAGACATAAAGGCTGGGAATATTCTGCTCAACACAGACGGAAACGCCAAACTTGCAGGTATTGTTTTTCCAGCAGATGTCCGAATTGAAATTTGTACGTCCTTTAAAGTGGTCTTATTTTTTTTATTTTTTCCGCTGGCCTACGTGCAGAATTTGAGGTGGCTGATAACGCATCGCATTAAACTCACTAGAAACTATTTAACCTACCCGCATTATGAAGTAACGAATAGCTTGTCTTTATTTATTGTATTTCCGTATTGCGCTGGATATGAGAAACTCGTAGGAAGTTCTAGGTACGAAAACGAAATACTGTACTGTACTAAGGGTCTAAACTTATCGGTACTCGTATTGATAATAATGACAAGCGTTAGTTTATAATAATATCATTTTTGCATAATAAGTTAATAACCCAGTTTCGTTAAATATCTTCAGTTCTAACTTATGGTTAGTTTTTGATGGGTTTCTGTTTCTCTACAACTGGTGTATGGGTTCTAGCAGAAAGCCACTATTGCACTTATAGGGCAAAAATAAACAATATCAGTTAGTAATTTTAAAAAGCATTTGCGAGGTCGTCGAACAGATCGCGTTAAAGTGCATTTGATTCTTCTCTTGCAATTGTGCGTTTTTATCCGCTCAACAAAATACCCCATTAAATAAAAATGTTTTTGTTTTGGTTTGGCTCATGTTGGCTGTAATTCCATAGGGTGCATGACCAGTGGCCAATAAGTTACCACTGCGCAGCCATGGTCGAACGAATCTGTCCCAGATTCTGTTTTAAAAGGGCTCTTCAAATACTTCTAGATGGAACTAAATGGTTTTTGCTTTGTATAGATTTTGGCGTTGCTGGTCAGCTTACCGATACAATGGCGAAAAGAAATACGGTTATCGGAACACCGTTCTGGATGGCACCGGTAATGCTGCATTTAGAATAGTTGCATTTTATTTGACAAATCAACATCATGTTAGTGGGTGCTTAGAACACTTAGGATACAGTTTCGGAAGATTTAAAGACACGACCGGAAGAGTGCAGCTTTTGAATGCTTTGCAAATGAAGTTCTCACCATTTCATAACAGAATATCTTTAATTACTATACTTCTACTACAGGAAGTGATTCAAGAAATCGGATACGACACAATGGCTGATATCTGGAGTCTGGGAATCACAGCCTTAGAAATGGCTGAAGGGAAGCCACCGTATGGTGACATCCATCCTATGCGTGCTATTTTCATGATACCTAGTAAACCTCCGCCTACATTCCGCGAACCTGATCAGTGGTCGGCTGAGTTCATTGATTTTGTATCAAAATGCCTGGTGAAAGACCCGGAAGAGCGTGCCACCGCAATGGATTTATTGGAACACGAATTTATCCGAAACTGTAAACCAATATCCATCCTCACTGACATGATCGAGGAAGCCAAAGTAATTCGTGAAACGGACGCTCTGAAGAAAAGCGGTAAAGGAGTATTTTTTGCCGAGGAGGACCAAGATCCCGGCACCATTGTCCTCCAGGATGGAACGCTGCACGTGATGGACAATAACGACAAGACGTTGCTCGTACAGTCGCAGGATACCCAGCCGCTGCATCCAGATAATGTTAATAACAAGTTTTCCACGATGATCATCAACAACGACGAAGAGGACAGTGACGCGACCATGAAACGTCATGACACAGCGGTGGTCTCGTCGGATGAAAGTTCCTATCGGCCCATGTATTTGGACCATTTCGATGCGAAAGACAAGAAAAATAATAGTAATGGACCAGCCAGCAATCCAGAGAAGCCCGTAAATAATCCGCCCGCATCATCCCGCACATATCAACCAATCCGTGCCAACGCAGCACCACGCCCGTTCATGGACAGTGATTTTGATTTCCTTAAACTGCTCAGTTATGATGAGCTGCACATGCGTATGGACAATTTGGAGAAGGAGATGGAGCAGGAAATTGAAGAACTTCGTCAGCGCTATCAGAGTAAACGCCAGCCGATTCTCGAGGCCATTGATTCTAAAAAGCAGCGGCAATTGAATTTCTAGAAACGTTCCTTCTTTACCCCCTTGTGAACGGATGTCCGGATTAGGAATTCGGCATTCTTAATGGCTTTTAAGGGAACTTCCTGTTTAATGGCGCTGCCACACTGCTTCGGCATTATGGTTCAGTCACAGCAGTGACAGTGCGTAGTACCTTGCGGTTTTTACTGTTTGTTAACTGGTGATCTTTTATTTTTTATTCTCTGTCTGGTTAGCCTGTTCCAAACTCGCTTTAGTATCTCAGTCAAGCCGGTGCCGTGTTTTTCTCTTTTTTAGCTTTTACGAAAAATTGTTTTGCCTTTGTGTGAAAGCACGTCTGTTTTTCCTGCCAGCCAATGACGTTCTGGGAAAATACTCAGCCAGCTGCGTTTACAAAACTGTAGCCAATTAATTCCTGAATATTTTCCATAAATCGATCACTTTTAATGCACTAGCGTGTGCAGAAGAGCGCGCATATCCAAAAGCGCTCCAAGCTAGGCCAGTGAGAGTTTTGACAATTTTCTGCCATAGTGCGGATGAATATGCACCTTCAAACAGAGTGCTGTTAGAATCAAACAAGCACTTCCTGTCGTTATTTCACTGCATGGCCTCCGTGTTCTAGCCTCGTTCAGCGGGACTAAAGCCTGAATGAAGAAATTTTTCAATCCAATTGACGAAGAAAAAGAAGGATAGAGCAACATTCTATTGTATCCTCCCAAAGCTAAACCGTTTGATGAATGAAAACTTGTAAAACGGGAAATCGACTTCAAATTTGATTCGTCCATACACCGCTACCGCTGCGTTTTTACAGCGCAAAGACTATAGATAGAAGTACGCATTTACACATTGACAAAAATTAATACTTTACACTGCTGCGAAATTTCCAACTTTTCGAAAACAATACGCGAAATAACACCGTTACTGGAAGTTTGAAATTCACATTGTTTCTTTCATATTAATTTTATTACGAATTTCTGTTAACTGGTCACTCATTAAGTGATGACCGACCGACCACCGTCACTGTCACTTTGAGTGTTTTCAAGTTGAAAACGTTTTAATGCGGTAAGTTTTGATTAAACGTCAAAGCTATTGTAGGAATACTTCTATAATACGAGATCACTCGTTCATATTACTTATTACTGCGTATTCAGTCAGATTATTGTAGTTAATCTGAAAATCTGTATGTACTTTTCTGTAGATAGTGCCGGTTTTATGATTACATTTGCTCTGTAAAAGAACGGAAACGATCAAAATGACCAGAAGCAGTCCGTTCAGTGCAATGTATTTTTGAATCATGTTAATATCTGTACGTTGTCCTTCAAATGCCGGTAGCTGCGGTACTAACTGAAAATCTGATCTTGAATTACCCCGTGTACGCGTAGGTCGTCCAGTTCTACAAACATAATCATCAGAGCCGGCACACCTCTGTTACTTGGATGTCTCTTTGCATTCTTCTGTGCCGCCTTTCGCTTTTGCGGGACACCATCTCAGTGCCAGGACGCGAAACTTGTATTCAATTATAAGTGGTATCAAATGTGTGCAGTCTCCTTGATTTCATAGTCAGTAGCAGTGATCACTCGGAATTCGGAAACACCGCATCACAAACTGTTAATCGATCGGCAGGGATGCCGACGTTATTGGATAAAACGTTTGCTGCAATTGTTCCAAAATAGCAACCACTGAAGAATAGTTCTTGTTTGCCGACTCGGTCTTAATGGAGCATAATGGCCATTCGAGAGCCATTGCTTCCGACGTCCGGGATCTCTACGGCAAAAAGCCGGGGAGGCTCTGCTTCGGTGGTAATCATGAATATTTAAAGAATTACCGGGAGATGACCGCGTATGTTTTTATGACGGCTTTACCCGCATTCAGGAGATAACGATAAGTGTGACCGGAAAAATCGCATTAGTGGGGTAGCCGTGAAATACACAGCAGTACCGGCATTTACGCTCTACCACTATCAACTCAGTTCAGCGGTAATATAATATAATTTTATCAATTCTCAGCGGTTTAATATGAATGTACGAATCAAACTGCACAAATACACATTATATTACTGAAAAAAGTTAATAATATGTGAGACCAAGAAAAGCGATAAAACGTAAATATTCTTGTTTTGATAATCAATCATTCTTGTCATTTTAAGGAAATATGTTTTTGGTACTGTATTTTCGTCAACAGCTGTGCAATTTAACAATCTTACTGGATTCACGAATGTTGATGGAGCAGCCAACAACAATTTAGTAAGCGCTATATCCATACAACTGCATTGCAAATTCCACAATTTGGATGATCGTATGCTACTGTATACAGTGCAAAACATATATATTTCCTTTAACATGGTAATATAAATCGAGTACAATATAAATCCAGTATAGTATTCCATACCGACTGTTCCAATATGTCGTATATAAGTCACAGAAAGCAACAAACTTCATCCACCTCGGTCAAATGAGAGAATCCGGCCGCCAGATCAATACTTGCTGTATAATTCAATTTCAATCCTGAACTGGTACTTTTCTTCTTGTTTGTCAAAGAATCCGGCCTTCAACGTCTGACGAAAAAGCTGAGCATGTTGAAAGCTGCACACCTCTCGCTGACAGGAAAGTTCGGCGATTAATGAGAACTTCTCCCATCCGTAGACCGGCTGGCTAATAGGCTGCGGGGATAACGAAGTATAGATGGGCACTTCGTCGGAATCACTTTTCAAATAGGCACGGACGTGGCCGTCTTCGAATGTTTCGAACGGAAACTTGAGCGAAATCCGTTTTATGCGCAGCCCTAAAAATTTAGTGCTTTTTTATTTTATTCTCGTATTTATCTGTGCAGAATGTTGCCATCTAAATCAGCGTTAGTCTTATTAAGTGCGTTGATAAATACTTTTTTTTTAAATTTCGTACATGTGTTGGTTTTCCTTGTTCAGACAGACATGGCAAAGTAACAATCGCAATCATATATGCAGTGGATACTGGGCGCGGTAAAGACTACGTCTAAGATGTACTGTACTCGCCTTACAATGAATTGTATTAATTACTGGGAAGGATCCTTATATTATCTTAAATTTCCTACAATTTGTGATCATCCCACTTTGCTTGCAGGGCTTCGACTGCCAGCAGCCGGCAAGGGAAACACTTGCGGATTTTTCCGTAAAAATGAAACAATGAAGCGGCGGAAGGCAGAGTTTGGGGTTGCAGGAACAGCCGCCTGGCAAAACTCCGACGGCGCGACTAACAAGGCTTTTACAGTGTTATGAAAGTTCACTAATTCCCAGGGTGCGTACGTCATTCCCGCTATCCCATGGGGTTAGCATTTCGCACCTTACTTAAGCAAATGTGAAATGAAGCGAGATTGGAGTAAGCACCAGCGGGAAACAAGTACTACATACTTTTAATGCGATATGACGATGCACTTAAGAATTAATAAAGGTTTTTGAACTTTCTAACGTATACCGACGCCAACTGGATGTCTTCTGTGCTGAGTGCATAAAAACATTTGCTGTGCACAAGTTAACGTACATATTTTTTATTATTAGTTAGTGATGATTAACTCCAATTAAAATTTTATTAAGCGTGACTTTAAAGGAAACTGAGTGTGCTATTCGAATACAGACGGGAGTATACGTAAAGACGGTTTCCGCACAAGGAGTGACCAATCAATACAGCCTATAGCAATACTTAATTCTGAATCAACACGCATAACACTACGTAAGGTGCGGGCTATAGAAAGGGAAAAATGATCCTTAGACGAGTAGATCGACAAATATGCATATTCAGAGAAGATGAAACTATTTTATCGTCCAGATTAGATCCGTAACTCGAGCTTCGAGTAAGGGACTCTAAATTCTGACATGTTTGTTAACGGCACACGTAGGCCGAATACTTCATCCCGTGCTTACCGCATTCGGTGAAATCGAATCTCCATTCAATATACCCATTTGTAGCTCCGGGTTTCCTGGACAGATAAGTCATAATTTCCTCGTCATCACCAATGTGACAGTGTTCTGTAACCCACTCCATGTTCCTCTCGGCGTAAACGAGCGAACTCCATCCTGAAAGTTTTCCACGTTCTAAATTTGTGCTTGGCATAGTGATTTAATAATAAAATCATTGCACACGTATTAGCCACGATAATGAATGCTTTTGCTTGCATGATTTGAAACAGTGCTTATTTCAAAATAGCTCAGTTATTTTCGATAAATTAGGTAACATAACTGAGCCTGATATTCCATGAAACATGACGCTCGAAAAGGGCAAAAAAACTGCAATACCACGCTAACGCTTTCACGCGTTTGCACATCTCCAGAATAATATTTGCCATCGTTGTTATCACATATATGCCAGTTTGAGTTTAAAGGTCACGACATGACACGAAATCGGCTGGCGTATGTTCTCAGCCACACTCTTTTAGATATGCTGCTGATGTATAATATCCCACACTTTAATAACAAAATTATTTAAAACTATAATTTTCACTTGGAGTTCTAAGCACGCCATCATTTTCAGAAGCATGTTGTATACCAATGGCGGACTAATAGCTGTAATCGATTTCTTCCTAAACTTGCTAAATACTTGCACGCATCTGAATAAAGCAAAAGTATAATATACACGTGACCACTGAAAAATCATTTGAAACAGCCCCTAATGATTTTTTTTCGGTTTCACGTATACGTGTGTTACAAAGCAGCACTCTTTCGAGTAATAAGAAGGCGTATCTTACCGTTGATTTTTAGCCGGTTGGGGTGCGTAGGCCGTTTGTATTTGTCATTCCTGGCTGAATATCGAATTTCCACTTTGCGATTGGATGCTTCATGGGTAACCGGCTTAATCACATGTCCTAATAAGGTAATGGGCTCACTATTAAAGGTCATCGATGGTAGTTGTTTGGTTTCCTGAGCCACGACGGGGTAATCATCCAGGTCATCATCGCCGGTATTCACCTCATCGAAACTCTCAAACGGCGAATCGCGACCACCCTGCACTAAGCGGGAATTCTGCGCTGACTGCATCCTGATAAATCTATTCGGACTGCGACTGTGGCGAATGTTGTTGTGCCGCGCGGAATTGACGGGACTGGGTGAATTGGAGGAATTGTGATGGGCGCCGGTATGTGTCGTCAGTCGTCCATATGAACTGGCATGATGCACCGGCTGGGATTGCATAGAATTCTGATCATTAGTGCCTTCCACCGATAAGTTTCCTGTCGACTTACTATTGCTCATCCTCCCCTGGGACGAGTACACCGACCGACCGTGGGATGGTGTTAGAGTGGAGGTTAAAATGCGAAAATCGGATGTTGGCGTGGTGGTCGTTGCCGTTGTCGACAACGTCTGCTTAGCCGCTGCGGCCGCGATATTACGCGCCGATGTTCTTATTCCACGCGGACTATTACGTCCCGTATGTGTACTACTACTTGTACCGTTTATGACATTATTGTAGCGACGCTCATCCGCATCGTACGCCGTCGGTGATGTGGAATAAACTTCGATACTGGGCAAGCGATTCTGCTGGCCGAAATTATGGATTCTTCGATTTCGAGCAGCCATTATAACAATCGTACAAGCGATAATCAAATAGTACTTGTGTCGCTCGAAAGAAACGTGTGCCCAAAAGGGAACCCGGGGAGAATTTCAAAAGGGATCGGGCGAGAGAGCGAAAGCCGAGATGCGTAATGGCCGTGTGTGCAATACAATACGCTTATAAGCGGCTATATCGGCGTATCAAATAATAATGCTGGGTAGTAGTTGGTACAATATTGATTCAGTAAAATAATCGAGCGGTTTCATTCGTTTAATATGCAGATCCCGACAGAGTTTTAAAAACGCGGCAAAGATGTTATCGTGCTGCCCAGCTGAGTGGATGCGTACACACAAATGTACAATTCAACTGGCCCACACAACAATATGCAACCAGTTGATCACGATTATATGGCCGGGGAAATCGGCGTCGGCAGTCCGGTACGCATCCACCATCCACGCATCCAGCATGCATCAAAACGCAATGGGATTCCTTAGTGTGTAATTAATGAAACATGACATTCGATTAGGGAGCAGTCAACTGCGATGGAAGAAATCCGCTTAATAATGCAATGCCATTTTCGGTTATGGGAGTCTATAGCGTCAATTGCCAGCGATGTCAGCTCGCCTGTAAAAATGCCCCGCTTTAAGTTGTTGGCACTTAATGACCAATTGCATACGTGGGTATCTTGTCAGCACTTGACAGTGTCCATAATAGAAGATCGATTAATCGTGTCAGATATAAAAACGCGATGAAAGAGAGAGATGTAAATTTACCAACATACCCGCTGAACTTAAACAATACTTCTCGTGGCCAGCGGAAAAATGGAAATCAGTCAATATAAATGCATTTCTAGCGCCACAGCACACTTATGCCATAAATTTCTGCATACCGATGACGAGGTGCGATTCCAACTATGAAAAACGCTCTTCAACGCCAGCCGGCCAGGATAGATGATGTGTGATCAATGTGCAGCTGACATTTGTGGCAGGATCAAGCTGGATAATGATCTGGAAACAAGTAGGAAAAACGTCAGGAACCGTCGACGGCGCTCAACAAATGCCGACCGTTGAGTAAATTGCGGGAATCTAATACAATATATATATTCTTGCAGCTCAGCGCTTTATACTATGACTTCAGATACAGCGCGGATGCGGACGCCGGGTAGGCATTCCGGAAATTTTTGATCCTATTCTGTCCGGCCCACTGGAGATTCATTACATAGTATTATTAGCCGGTTTTCCACAGCGCGGGATAATATAATAAATAAGCACATTGGTTGGCGCGGGATCAGCAGCAACCGTAATACCGCGCCAGGCCAACACCGGGATCGATAGGCAAATGATAAGCTGGATGGTGTAACATTAGATGTCTCGCTGACTGTTTACTACGCGTTAAGAAAATCAATGGTTACTTAATTACTATTCAAAAAGTGTTGAAAAGGACGACATCCGGCAAGAAAATTATGGAGGATGTCCGTTCTACATCCATCGACTAAGCCGGCTGGTCCTGCTGCTGCATATCCAATGACGACATCCTGCTGCCTCCTGTGGGAACCGGCACTGCCAGCGAATTCAGTGGAGACTGCAACAATCAAGCGTTGAGCGCGTAAAGATACGGAAACGTTTTGTATAAATGGTCTCTATATAAGCTACCAGTAGGTACTGAAGCGCAAATTTATATATGGCAGATATACCCAAGTGCCACGCACTTTACACATAAACGTTTGCTTTTATGTAAAGGATACCGATAAAATAACTATTAGCTATACTCGCCAGGCGATATGTCATGACAGCGACAAAAATGATTGCCTCATGGCCTGATGCAGACTGGCTTTATCTCATTGACAAGTTTGTAGCAACTGGGAAGAGTGTTAGAAAAGTAAGGACGGTTTTGTTTGATCGCATCACGCAAAGGTCTCACAATTATATAGTGCACCTGCAATGCCGCTTGTATGTCATTTCACGAAAACGCGTGACTTTATGAGTAGTTTACTCAGGGATACATACAGACGACGGGTAAGGAACTACTTGCGCCGTCCTTAACATCCCGTTTGGCAGATCGACCAGGCGTGCCGCAAAACAGCACAGCACGGACAAATTTGCAGCCCAGTGAACTTCCTGATAGATACGCACAACCTAGTGTATCGGCCTTCCGCTGCCAAAGACGTCCCTTTGCGTAATACCGTAGATCAATCAAAGATTGTTTTCCCCAATGCTTTCGGCTAGTTGTTATTATCATGCGATTCTTACAATACAATGGAGACCGGTCATTACTGCCCGGCTCAGGGCTGCACGATGCAACCCTGATTTGGTACAGAATACAAATCCGCGTTCTCTTCCAGCTGCGCTTAGCGGAAATAACAGTACAAGGGAGCAAAACCATTCTGCGGCCACTCACACGTACACTTACCGTGACTCACGACGAATAAAAACATACATTTCGGCTTCGCTTAGAGTTAAAATCTATGTTTTATACTTCTATAGATATATATACAATTCAATGCTGTACTGTCTGACGATTCATTTTCTATCTTTAAGCAATCAAAAATCATTACGCATTTATAAACCCTGCATGTTGTTTTTTATTTATGATAGCTGCGTAATGAGACAGCATTCAAGTTTATGATTAATTAAGTAGAAGTATCACTGACAGAAAATGTCATATTACTCGGTATGCGCTTCAGCGCGACCATCTTGTGTTGTTTTCGGAAAACTTCGGAGGTACAAGTACCAGTACGTCTACAGTACGATTGTGTACTACTTTGTATGCATATCTTGCTGGTGTGCAGGAACATGAAAAATTAACTAACAAATTTTTTATCACCATTTTTGTTCTGAAAACACACACGTTCAGTGAATTTATTTGCAAACACCACCTTTGCAAGTGATTAAGAAACGTTTCAAAATGGCGCAGCAGGAAATGTTCGGTATAAAAACTTTTTTTATTACAGCGTTGTACGGAAATATCTACCGGAAAGAGCTTAAAACTGACATCAAAGCAGCACAGTGTTGAACAAATAAACATTGGCCAAAACATACTCGCAGACCGCCGTAGAGAAGCTTAAATATCATTCCATAACAACAAATTACAGTAATTTTGAGAGAACTCTTAGTCGATCTTGACCGTGGAGTAGATCTTGCGCACAAACACACTGGTACCGAAGAAGCCGAATGTACCGCACACAATTCCCAGGCCAATACTGAGCACGCCCATGTAGCCGAAATAGAATGCGGTCTGGAACAAGCCATACATCTTCGTTTTGAACATGAAGTAGTAATACGAATAAAGGAAAACGTAAAGGGCTGTCGATGCGCCGGCCAGAAAACTTGTCCACTGCCAGCGATAGTCTTCGGCGTTCTGCAAAAAAATAAAACACTTAAGTTAAATAAAATGCTGTTGCTCTTTCGAAAACAAGTAATACACAAAAAAAATTAGAAAACGAAAACTGCAAAATTGCAGCAAAAATCAAAGCAAAAATTAACTGAAAAAGTCATACTAACTAACAGACATGAATGAATTCGTAATTTTAGGAATTTGCTAAGACCACAATCCATAAACACAGTCGCTTTCAACTGCGCACTTTCTATCGCAGAAAACACTATGCTTTATCAAGTAACGTCTCTTCAGATGTATTTTGAGGCTGATAAAAACTCTGATTGTCCTTACCAGAAGGAAGTAGGTGCAAACGATTGTGACACAAATGGTCACCACAGCGAGGATGATGTACACCAGCAGCATAAATCCATAGACGTAATAGATTTTGTACGCCCAAAATGACTGCAAACAGAACCATAAGAGATCCACAGTGCACACTATCTCGTACTTGTTTATTATTCCCTGTTCATATAGCAGAGCAACAAGAACTTACCGTAAAAATAAAGTACATCTCGATGAAAATCGACCCAAACGGCAAAATACCCCCAATCAAGGCGATGACATAAGGTTCCATGTACCACTTTTTCTCCGGTATCGGACGTGGTACAGCGTTCACCCGGCACGGATTATCGGCCTGTCCCGCCAGATTGCGTCCCAGAATGGTACCCACCAGATTCAACGGTAGAATGATGAATAAACAAATAGCTGCCACAGCCAGCATCGTCAAGAAAGGAATAGCCCGAGAGGCGTGATAATAGATCGCAATGAAGTTGATCAGGAATGCCACACCGCAGACCAGAGAAGGAAACAAAAAGGAGCTAATTAGCATCTGCCGTATCCACTGCTTCCCTCCAAAGCGCGAATACAACGAACCTCCAAAAAACCCATTCACCGGGGATGTGGCGGCATACACAAAGATAGCCGCTCCCAACAACGAACTGCGTTCTGTGTACAAATCGCCAAAAATAGCCAACACAATCACAAAAATGGTTACCACAGCCAGCTGATAACCGGAGCCGATAAGACTGGAGAAAATGGTGACTTTGGATGGAGAGCGAAATACATCGCCGTGCACCTGTTTCCATCCGTACTCATCGCCCAAATCCCGCTCTAAATCCTCCATATCCTCCTCTTTACTGTACCGGGCATAATCCTTCCGCAGCGTTCGCATCAGGATCATCGATACCAAACCGACAAGGAAGATGACCATCATAAAGGAATTGAAGATGGAGAACCAATGGATACGATGCTGAAAGAACGATGGATCGAGGTACTTGTCGAAGCGATCGTGGAATTTCACGGACGAGGGTTTCCATGTCACTTCGTACGAGAAGGGGATCTTGCCGTTCATTTCCAATTTCACTTTGCCTTCGTTGGTCAAGTTAACGTCCACGATGCGATTCCCATTATAGCCAATGTCGATTTTACGGTGAGTGTACAGGTAGTACGAGTTGCTCGCTTCGTCGAACTCGCCAACTGTACCCCACAACGGTAAATCATCCAGATATGCCTAGATAAGGAAGCAAACAAAAACACCAATGTAACACCATTAAAAAACGGAGAAATTACACTGCTAATGCCACCGTTCACATTTTCCACTTAAAATGCAACGACAATGAAAAGCTGGTAACTGAGAAATTGCACCGTTATTACTGCCAGTTCTTCCTAACCAAATTACTCAACGAAATCAATAACCACTAGAGTAGTGGTCCATTGCAAGCGGTGTAAGGGCGCAGTACCTACTACCGACGATCCCTGGATGCATAAGCCAAATTAATTTACGGCTGCTTGCTTCGCTCACCGTGATTTTAGCCCCGAAAATATATTCCACCCATTCTCAAGCGCCGAAGAATTTCGGAATTGGCGTTTTAATATTTCAAAGTTTTTTTCATAAAAGGTCTGCACATTCTAGTTCAAATTTCAATGACGTTTTTCACATCCTCGAAATAAAAACCCAGAAAATATTTAAAGGCAAATCCAGTATAGAACTCTAGCTGAACCCTTACTCGTTAAATATCATCAGAATCAGACACGCGAATGCCACGATCCCCTTTTTATACAACCCTTTTTCCACGCAATACCAAAAACTATTTAAAAAAAGAGCGAACATTACCGCAGACAATGCTTTTGCAGGTACAGTCTACCTTCTGCAATTCTATTCGGATTTGCCTAATATGCCGATGTGGCTGGCCATGAGGGTTTACGTACCTGGAACCAGTAGTTGTTCTTTATGGCGTACATGAAGGAATTCAACATATCCTTGTCTAAATTATCAATCTTGCAGAACTCCAACTTGGTCTGTGTCGTTTTGAATTTGATGTCCAGCCCGCTGTTCTCCAGATCAATCCCCTGCAGGTCCTCGGCCATGGACTCATGGTAATGCTCCAGTTTGTGCTTGTCGCCCTGACAGAAGTGCAGGGAGAAGAAGGAATAGGTTTCCTGCCGATTGGCATATGGGCCCACTGTGTTCATCCATAAGATCACTTCTTCCTTATCATCATACGTATGACTGTGCTCATCGGCTAAACTTCGAAAACACTGGATAAAAATTAACACAGATATAAAAAAGAATGACGGCTTAAAGGATTTCATGGCTGTGAAATCCCCGAGCAGAAAACCCTCCCAAATGAACCAGAGGAGAAGCTCCCAAGCGTCTACAGATTCAACAACAAACCATGCCGTCGATGCGCAAGTTCAAGGTCGATGATACGACGGCGGAGATTCATGTAAGACCGGTCACAACATTCGCGAAATATAATCATACATCGGCTAAATATTCGCAGATAGATCATCAAGGTAAATTTTGTAAAGAAAACAAATGCTACTCGTAGTAGGCAGCACAAATGCACTACGTGGATATGGTAATGGACGAAGCGTACGTTTTTGGCCACGTGTCGATCGCGATCTGCGAAGTTCTGTACACAGTTCACAGTTGCAGGCCGAGAAAAGCAACACGCATTGGATAGTACAGGGAATTCTCCTCTGCAGTCGCTTCAACGATGCCGCTTTGTTATTTCGCCTTATACTCCTGTAAATCTCAGAATTTTTCAAAAAGAAAGAAGCATCCTGGAAAGTGGAAAGTATTTACCTAATGGATTAACATATGAAATATGTATGTTCTTTCACCATTTATCGTATAGTTCTTAATGAATAATAAAAGCTGAAATAATGTTCAAAACTTACCAGTGAGTAAACTTTATTTTAGTAACAAACTCAAAAAACCGATAATAGCATCATTATGATTTGATAATAATTTTATTCAATTAATTTTTACCACAAGCTAATACTTAAATTAGGAACATCAAAGCTACATAACATGATATTCACTCAAAATTCTACCGATACTGTCTAAAATCATATATCTCTAGTCCTCGCAGTTGCATTGACGAATAAGCATGTACTGCACAATGTACAGAGTCCTTTAATTAGTTTTAATTAGTTTTGTTGATTTGATTTGTAATGAAACATTACTAAAAGTCTGTAATAAACTTAACTTTATAACAAAACTGTGTAAGCTGGTATGAAGAACATAATAAAATACATCAAGTTACTAAGAGACTTGCTGGATATGCAATTGCTGAATTGTTCGTCGTTTTTCGAAAAACACCAAGCATTAGAAAAATTCGGAACTATATAATACAACTTTACGGTAAGTAACTTCATTTAAATACCAATGGAAAATGGTTAATTGTCAAATTCCTGTTCGTTTCTCTGTTTTGTTTTTGTTGGCGATTTCTCGCGTTAAATGAGCGCAAAAAAACGCTGTAAGACAATACGCATTATTTTCGTAAAACCCAACTGCAGCATGCAAATAATTTGACAGGTTTACTGCAAAAATTACTGCAATCGCAAAAACGCTCGCGCGCGATTTACCATAAACTATTGTACAACACATTATGTGCAGAAAGTTGGTATTTTTTAGATGGTCTGAACTGTGATTAACATTAAACCTTATTGTCAGTTTGTCTATGTTCCTACTGCATGCATTGTTAAACCATTATTAACCGATCTGTCCAAGATCAGTAATTAACGATTTTATGCCTTTACTACACGAAAACAAGATTATTTACGTGCACTGATTTATAATGGACTAAAGCATGCCTCGCCACAAGCTGGAATGCTCTGTCGTGCAGTCTGTGGAACAATATTATCTTACATTAATCATTATCAATGAATGTTAACAACAAAAATGGATAGCATTGTTAACAGTGTGCTGGGAAATTATTCATTAGACTTGTTTGGTAGAGATACTCGTGTTTCATTATTAAATTTTACGTTCTATACTCGTAGTGCAGTACAAGTATTTCCATCATTTTGCTACCACGCGCTGGCATGGGTGATGTTCAGAGCACGATTAGGAAGTTCATCCATTCTTAATGCAAATTAAAACACTGATGAGATGGAATGCCCGTGTTACTTGAGGTAGACGGTGCACGGAATGGTCAGACAAATAATGCCCAGGACGCGTCAGACGTATCTTCGGGCTCCACTTCCCAGACGGGATCGGAATTGCTCCCGGATGATCCGGGAGAACTGCTCGAAGACCTCCTAACACCAATACACGGCAATGGACGCTATCAGCGTTTAATCGCTTGGATAATCATATTTCCATCTTTCTTTGGATTATCCTTCATACAATCGCTTGTGGTAAGCAGTCAGCTATTTATTTCCTATGACATCAGTTTTAAAACTAATATAATTAAGCCTTCGCACTTTTTCCATGAGTGCTTATCTTTTAACGGAATATAAAGGTCACGGTCGAAAACTTTACAAACATTTTGCAGTACTTTGTGATCCCGATTCCCAATGATTATCGGTGCCGACTACCAAATCAAAATGGTTTTAAATCCGGTTATGCCTTGCTTCCACCTTCCGTTGACAATGCTACGTCAAATTCCCAGTGTGAAATGTACGATGTGGACTACGGTCAGTATACGGTGAACAGCACGCTAAACGAAACAGCGCTGTCAGAATATCTGCAACATTTCAAAGGAAATCTTTCCACCGTACGTTGTCAACATGGATGGATCTACGATACGTCCATCTACGAAAGCACTATTGTCACCGAATGGGACTTGGTATGCGGACGAACATTTTTGCCGACACTAGCCTACATTCTGACATCTATCGGCGGCGGACTGGGCATTGCGGCTGGCGGCTACTTTGCCGATCATTATGGGAGAAAAAACACGTATTTCCTGGCTCTGCTGATCATTGTATCGTTTGGTACTGCCACGGCCTTCTCGTCGTCATACGAGGTCTATGTTGTATTAACAACATTGTTGGCTACCGGAAGCAATTCATTCTACCAAGTGCCGTACACCATCGGAGTGGAAATTCTGGCGCCGAAACACCGATCGGGATTTTCCGTCGGGGTCACCGTTGCATTTGCAGGTGCAGTACTGTATTGTTACATCGGGTTTGAACTTTTATATTGTACACAAATACACAATCGTACCAATACTCTCCCATTTTCAAAATGTGCTCACATCATAAGTTTGCAACAAAAATCTTCCTCAAAAGTAGTCGTTTGTGTTCGCTCTGTATAATCATACAAGAGTCATCTTCGGCTTCGCCTCAGATGCTCTTGTGGTCTAAAGTCAATTCCTTTGAAAAGTAATTCTTTATCATTTATCCTTTAAGTCTGATTTGAGTGAACGTTTTTACAGTAATTACCAAATTTGCACCCCTGGGGTGCAAAAGTTCAAACGTTCCGGAGGAGGGGAGCATATTTGGGGGAGGGACGCAATTTCGGGGGGTGGTACTATTTTTCAAACAGTATTTTTCGGAGGGGGCTGTCATTTTTCAAAAAACTTCGCATCAAACAATCCGTCATTTTTCAAACAATCCTGTTCTGTTGAAAAAGAACACAGTAGATACCGGTATTTGCAATTTCACAACCTTGCGAGCAGCATTCTGGAGCATAGCACCACATTATTTTTGTGCCGTTTACTGTTTATATATATTAAGTACAAGATCTATACTACGCGCGGCGCCCCATAGTTTTCAGATCTCCATAACCAAACCGTTTTTTTGAAAAACTGACAACGCCAGTAGATCGGCCTTGGTCTAGAACTGGCCGACATGATTTTCTTTTTTAAATTCGTTCGACCAGAATCGTGCCGGCACGATGCCGAAAGCGATCTAACCCGCTTTCAAGGTGACCTTGGGACTTAGAAAAAATTTGCTTGGATACAATACAATACTTAACATAAACTAATTTGTAGCTCGGTCACCCATCTAACTAACGGGATCTAAGCACTGGACAGTAATGGTAGCTCAGTCACTCGTTCCCCTTAAGGGTTGTGTGCACTGGACAGTAGTTGTAGCTCGGTCACTAGTTCACCTAACGGGCTCTGTGCACTGGACAGTAGCGGTAGCTCGGTCACTAGTTCACCTAACGGGATCTAAGCATTGGACAGTAATTCGAGCTACCACTACAGTCCAGTGCGCACAGCCCTTTAGTGGAACGAGTGACTGAGCTACAATTACTGTCCAATGCTTAGATCCCGTTAGGTAGATGGGTGACCGAGATACCACTACTGTCCAGTGCAAACAACCCTTAAGGAGACCGAGTGACTGAACTACCATTACTGTCCAGTGCTTAGATCCCGTTAGGTAGATGGGTGACCGAGATACCAATAATGTCCAGTGCACAGAGCCCGTTAGGTGAACTAGTGACCGAGCTACCACTACAGTCCAGTGCACACAGCCCATTAAGTGAACGCGTGACCGAGCTACCACTAATGTCCAGTGCACGGAGCCCATTAGATAGATGGGTGACCGAGCTACCAATACTGTCCACTGTCCAGTTCATAGAGCCCGTTAGGTGAACGTATAACCAAACTGCAATTACTGAAAAAATAGTACAGAGCTCGCTAAGTTGTTAGTTTGTGATCAAACTGGCACCAGTGTCCAAGTCTGAGCTTCCTTTTAGTTTGTAATGTAGTACTCTCGTGGTTGATTAGATTAACGTATGTATATTTAAATATACAAAAAATCTAAACCTTGAAATTACCTTAAATACCAAAAAAGTTGGGAATGTCTGGTTCGGTGTAAAACGACATATTAATACTCTTACTCATGCGCTTACATGCAAAATTTGTATAAAATATACACATAAATTTATGTGTTTTAAAATGTACTGAGTATAATGTATGTAACTCGCGAAAGCTAAAAAGTTCCGGTGCATGTGCCTAATGGTAAGTACGTAATGACACGTGCATCAATTTGGTTCCATGTACCGACAAACTTAAGTCTGTTTATGAAGGCTTCCGGGCGAAAAAATTTTGAATAATTTGGCCTTTTTGGTACTACATGAAATTAATGAAATGAACTGTATTCAGTGAACATTTAGAGTTCTTTATTTAGAGTCCTTTTTATAGTTAATATTTACAGTATTTGTTGCTAGCTCTAAAGCGAATTTCTTTGCTTTAAAACATTTTGTAGAAGCGTGACAAAGTGAAAAAGTTTTCGAAGTTTATTTGAAAAAATTCAGTTTTTTATTACACTACATACTTTTAACTCTGTATTTGAATATTAGCTGCTCCAAGCAATAGTGTTTTATGTTAAAGGCCTTTCAAGGTCACCTTGAATTGATGCCTGTACCGGTACCGGCATTCGAGCGATGGTCCCGGGGCAGATATTTTTGAAAACAAAATGCATGTGGGACCCTTTTGGAACATGCTCAGTTTATTGGTGAAATCGGTTTTTGAATTTGCTTAGCGGTTTTTTCTAGCCAAGTTCCACGGGGCGGCCGATCATAATATAGATCTATTTCCTTGATATTTCCTTGATATGTTATTTTGTTAGGTTTTTAGTTTTTACCTACCCTGTAGTACAGATACAGTCAATTTATGCAGTCAGTTTATATGAGAACATATATTTATAACAATTCTATAAAATTTCTGGCTGCAATAAAATCCAGCTCACAGCAGAGTTTTCGCAAATACAATCATTTTTCTTGAAGGGTCAAAAGTAATTCAGAGCCTTTCGAATTTCAGCTGGAGGACTCGGATTGGCGGGTTTGGCGTATTTCATCCGATCGTGGCGGATGTTGACCATCGCTGGAACGGTTCCTTTTGCCATATTCTTCCTCTTCTGGTTTATCATGCCGGAATCTCCGCATTGGCTTCTAACACAAAATCGTCTGGATACTCTAGAAACACTCTTACGCAAAATGGCAAAAATTAACAAAGCGGAAAATTTCCTCCCCGACGCAATACTGAACATCCAGAGCATCAAAAAGTACCACCAGGCTACGCAAAACGCCAAACACCGCGCCCGCAACCGCTTCAAGTGGCTGGGATTATTTCGTGGCCGCTTCCTACGCCGGCAGACAATAATTCTATCGTATTTAAGCTGCGCCGTGCAGATTTGCTACAGCGGTCTAAATTATTATGCACCCTCCTTAGGTGATGATCCTTATTTGAGTTTCTTCCTATCCTCGCTAATTGAACTGCCCGGCTCGATATTCACCGGCTTCGTTGCCGACCGCCTGGGCCGGCGTTTAACCACGGTGCTGTGTTTTATCGGCAGTTCGGCCGGGTGCTTTGGTATTCTAGGTGTTAGTGATAACTACTGGGGCCTCCTAGGTGTGTTTCTGCTGGCCAAGATGCTGGTTACCAGCGGATTTATGACACAGGAACTGATGTTGTATGAAGCCTTTCCCACGGAGATTCGCGCTGAGGGCGTGGCCTTTGTTACAACGGTTTCCTATGTGGCGTCCAACCTGGGTCCGGTGATTGTATATCTGCGTTTCAGTGAGCCGGTATTGCCCTTTGTTGTATTCGGAGCGATTTCCTTGGTTGGGATAGTGAGTGTACTGTTTGTACCGGAAACGCATAATACCAATTTACCCGATACAATCGAAGAGTGTGAGCGCCGAGGACGTCCTGTTACGTTAAAATCGCTTTTGATTTCAAAATTCAGAAAGAGGGCACAAACAGGAATGCTTCTACTGTTTTCATTGTAGAAAGCACTCAAATGTAGAAAATGGGCCAGTTATCATGTGCTAGCTTCAATGACTACTCAGTATTTGTCGAGATCGAGATTCCACATACTGTATATGACTGAAAATTTAAATCGTTCTTTATTTTTTCCATATCCAGATTCAGATCTATATTGCCACGAATGGGATACACCAAAGCCGGCAAACAAGAAAAGACTGACCAACACCAATATTATATTCTGAAAGCCCGTAGTCGAAAACCAACTATGTAAACCATGTAAACCAAGTAAAATATAGTTAAAAAATGAAAGTATTTTCCACTAATTAAGTTGAGCAAGTGAAAGAAATACCATCATATTCTGAGGGTAGGCACACTTCGGGACATTAGTGACAGATACGTACAACAGCGATAGTGCAATCAGTTGCAGTGCGATAGTGCGACATCGGTAGGTTAGCGGGGGATCGCGGTGTCACTACTGTCCGGTGCAGAGACCCCGGTAGGTGAGCGGGTGACCGAGATGTCACTAACGTTCAGTGTACAAAGCCCGTGAGAACGAGTGACTGAGCTACCACTACCGTTCGTGCACAGAGTCCGGTAGGTAAGCGGGTGACCGAGCTGTCATTATTGTACAGTGTATATGAGTGACCGAATTACCACTGCTGTCCGGCGCAGAAAGCCCGTTAGGTGATACGAGTGACCGAGCTACCATTACTGTTGAGTGCCCAGATCCGTTAGGTGAGTTGCCGACCGAGCTACCACTACTGTCCTTCGAAAGGAACCGGTTAGGTAAGCAAGTATTCGAGGTACCACTAATGATCCGGATCTACACTATCGGGCACCCACCACTTTCCAGTGAAAAGAACCAGTGAAGTGACGAGTCACCGAACTAGTGATCCAGTGCACTATCACTGTTTCGAATTTCATACCTTATAGACTGCTATTTCGGCTTTCTTTTTCGAGTAGGGGATATCGTAAAAATTATCTGCATGTACAGCCAAAGGGAATGCTTTCAAGGTTGAGAGAATCATGAACTGATTTTCATATAAAATTCGTGTTTGCCCTATTGCATGTACCGATCATGTTTCGACGAAATATAGATGTAATTCTAATAAATAGTCATTCAAATTCAAATAAAATGGCCATGGACCACAAGAAATGCGGAGGCGAAGCCGAGGTTGTTTCTTGTATCTTTTATGAAGGGGTAATGCTATTTTTACAAGGATTTTATAATGTTAAAAAACAAAGACAACGCTCGTACATGCTTTACAAACAAAAGACGTTCTTGTACAAGGTATCTTCCTTTCAATCCCAGCCCGCGGTATGCGGAACAATTACAGTGCTATTACACTTGTCAGTGTGTTGCTCGTACATGTTAGCGAATTATTATTGTGGCACACAACTTTCCATAAGCGTATAAATACGAGATATATAATATACTTCTACTTTGTGGTTCCAAAAATAAATACTCGCAAATTATCATTGTGTGCGCGCATCTCCTCCATGATCCTTGTCCACAAGACTTCGGAAAATTAGTTTTTGTGCTTTTTCACAGACTGCATGTCTGCGACGGACAGGAAGTGCTTATCGGCAACTGGATTCAAGTGTTTAATTTGGTCAGGTAGGTAATATTATCGTGCCGGTTGCAATTCGGAAAGACTTAGCCAGTATGTATCCATGTTCCCTTTTCCCTAAGTAGTAAAAAATAAAATTCCACATTTATCATCCATATTTAAAAAAATAATGCATTTAATCGCAAGCGTCGGTCTGAAATCATTTTACCAATAGAAAAGAAGTCTTACTTAAAAATATTACTATGATTTTTTTACTTCGAATAAACCATAAACACCTTGATCGGAACTTGACCCCGGTGTGTCAACTGGAAGTCGTGACTAGGCAAGTTTTTCGTAATGCACCGTGCTGTCGCTTCCGAAATGTGTATACGCAGAGCTAAAAACAAACGCAATTGTCATTAAAATTTAATTTGCAGAAAACTTATTCTTAATTATGATGGAGAAGTTTGGTGTAGGCAGTTCGCACAACCGCACCTTCGCCAAAAGAATTCATCCTGGAAGCAGTGTTTACGGTATCACCAAATCTACACAAAAACAGACGATCAAGTGAAAGCATAAGTGGTTTCGATTAGTGTGCTTGGTGTAGTAGTACGAGTAATTACAGACAAAATCTTGGATTTGTATGACCAACGATTGCAGCGGCACATGGCCCTAAAAACAACAAATGTAGCTCGTAATTTTATAGCTCTTTTTATCATTGCTATCCAGTTCCTAATCTTGATGAGTTTGCATAATGCGTATAACCTGTGGCAATTCCTATGCGCAGCTGCAACTGTCCGAATCGGTTTCCTCGAAAGGTCAATTCTTTTGATTCGTCTATCATGACAACAGACATTTTCCCGATTTCGCTCACATGGGCGTTGTCGTTGCGTTCAGGTAAACCGCTCACAACCTATTCACACGGCATTTAGTGTGATATTTCGTTGGTAAAATAATTATATTCGTTCAGTTGCGCAAAAATACTCTATGGCTATTTATCCCTAATTTTATTCAGTTGTTGCGTACCAGGAAGTTAATACTCGCTTAAGGTTTTTTCGCTGTAAGTTGTTAATTATTTTGTTTCCGTACCAAATATGAATCACCAACAGTTTCCACTTTGTAAACCGCATACTGCTCGATAATTTTATCCAGCATAGTGAAGGCATCGTTCAAATAAGCCACAACCGAAAGCGGCGAATCGTGACCAATAATGATGGCAAAATCGGAAATTGAGGTGAAGCACACCGTGACCTCTTCAAACTCTTCCGGCGGTACGTTGACACCACGCTGGAGTTTGCTCACTATGGATCTGCAGAAACGAATAACAGGAAGCGATCAGTAACCAACTCCTTAAAATAGGAGAAAACTGACCTGGGATAAATTTGACAGAGGATCGCATCAGTCCGCTCCTTTTCTTGTTCGTATTCCGCTGTTCGAGTTGCGACATCCGCTTCCAACTTCTTCGCAAACAGTTCCAGGCGCTCCATTATGGAGTCGACTAGTGAGGCATTAGAATCGACACCGGGAACAAAAGCCAGCCTCTGCCGCACTTGATAGAAACCCAACCGAGTGTCGGGATTTTCGGCCCAACACTCCTTCATCAGCGATATAAAGCCGAGGTCAACTTTATGGTTTGGTGGAATTAATGGACGATAAGGAGAAATGTTTGCCTGCTTTACCATGTCGACAGCTTCTACAAAAATATAGTAGAAGCTATAAATTTATGCGCTTTAATATTTCAAAACCATCATTTTTAAAGGACATAATATATCTGTACTTCAAATATATTAAGCAGTATTTTACCGGCACTGATTTGCATGTGCTTATCTGTAAAAGACAGCTTACATACCATCTAACTCTATCATCCATTTATCATTTCCAATCCAAAACGGTCCACAACGAAAAAGAATTTGATGCAGTATTATCCCAAAGGCATAAATATCCACTTTGTAATATTTAGCGGCTGTTTCCGGTAACGCGCCACTTCGTAGGACTTCCGGGGCCAAGTACAGTGCAGATCTGTCGTACGTGTTGACAACCGTATCGTTGCTGGCGTCACTCACATTTTCTTTTATTGTGCGATCCAAAATTGGTTTCAACCCAAAATCTGTCAAACGAATGGACAAACGTTGGTCGACCAAGCAGTTGCTGGGTTTGAGCCTGCCATGATATGCAACGGAAGAGGCTTGGATAAAACACATTCCCTGAAAATATTACATGCGTATGTATATAATTACCAAACTCGGAAATGCGCCTTAACGGTTAAGACTTAACCAGACTCGGAAAACAGTGTACATGCTTAAATATAATGTTTAGCTTTCAAGCATTATAAATAATTATGTAAATATTTTTCCTGGAAAGTATGCAGATCTATGTAGAGTAACAGCATAGAATATAAGTTCACCCGGCAGTCTGCAGTTTTAATTTATAAACCATACTTAATAGTTTTATTCATAATTCTCTCGACTACAACCAGACGCTACTGTTTTAAAATTTTAATTTTAGCCTCACCTCAACTATTCCTTTGAGGAACGAATACGTCAGTTCGGGTGTTTGATTAAGAGTGGCAGCTTCCAAGATATCATCTAAAGATCCTTTACGAGCAAATTCCGATATAATATTCAATTCTGTGCCATTAACGACGATTCCATAAAACCATGCGATGTTGAGGTGTTCCATTCTCATTCTCTGAAAGACGCGTACAATATAATTAGTATAATTTTGACAATGGTTCCTAAATTGAATCGCATACCGCGAGCACAAGCTGCTGCTCATTCTTCGAAAATTGAAACTTATCCACTGTAGTGTGGTACAGCTTGGACCATGCAAACTTCGCCTTCCACCGCACAAGATGACCTTTCCCTTGTGAAACAATGGAAATACTGTGCTGCTCGGCGGCCTGAAGATCGACAAAAATTAACATGTTTATAAAGAAATGCGGGTATGTTTCTTTGACAATGTCAGAAAGCCGGTTCAGTTCGTAGTTACTTTGAATAATCTCGACCTGGACACGGATAATGTCTTGGCAAAATGAGATCTTGCTAAATTCTCCACGTCGGTAGCTTGTATTAGCCAAGCATCTGCTTCTTTGTTCCTTCGATTGCTATTTGTGAACCAGATCTTGCTTTACACAGGATGACTGTATAATTATCCAATACTGGCCTTATCATTGCATATACTCCGCTGTTGTCATATTTTTCACAGCAGGTGGAGAAAGTTTCTATAATTCTATAAATCCAATACCTTACCGGATATGCAGGAAAATCCATCCAAGAAGAAACAGCAGAATCACGATCGGCGTAACGATGTAAATGGGCAACAGACGTCTAAGATCCTGTTTATCTATAGATGAGCATAAGTCTTTTATAAAAAGAATATAGTATCGATTTTTTGGTCGATTTAACGCATGCCGAAATGGTGATCTTATGCTATCTGTCGAACGCGCTTTGCACAAGAGTGGATGTAAAAAATATGTGACACAAAAACGAGTGGGGAAAATATACCGTTCTTTTACGTCATTTTGTGACAAAACATTCCGGTTTAAGTGGAAGACATGCAATCAGCAATTCAGATCCTATGCGTGAAAATATTTTTAATCTGCGTTACTTTCACATCCTTCCTGGGTAGCTGAATACTGGCATTCTGGAAAATCTGGAGGAAGACTATATTCGCGGTACCAAGTTATATTTCCTTCTGCGTAATAGAGAGCACGAGATCCATCATACGAGTCGTAATATAAATATTCCTGCAACAAGAACCATGAACGGTTAACCAAATTTTAATATTTTAAGTAATTTTTATATGAAATTGCACGCGCTGCAAAGACAAGCGCAGATGGATTTTGTGATTTCCCTTACTCGTGAAATCTTTGTACTAAATTAGGCAATGCAAGAAAACAGTGCTATTGTAATTAATTAATCATCCGGTTGCCAAAAATCTGTTACTCTATGCCGAAAAAAAAAACTGAATACCTCCAGTTCAGTGCCATTTGTTGTAACAGCTAATACGGTGTACACCGCATCACGATCACCGTTGCCATCCATCTTAAAGGGCAAACCGGATACCGCGTCAAAGGAACGGTTGTACATCAGGCGACTGAAGGCACTTCCGTTCGGAAGTTCGGTTAGATTGCCATTGACAGAGTTTTCATTGATTATCTGTCCAGAAAAAAATAAACATGGAAATTTTGCCAACATCTCGTAGATATGCTGAAAGTATTTATTTTAATGTACTACGATGTTCTAGGAAAACCATGTTAAGGTAAATTTCATACTTCAGCAAATGCGTGAACGGCGGTGTGCATACAAACGGCCATCAGCTGGGTCTGCAACAGTTGTAGCTTTTTTTAATTTTTAACTCATGAAAATTAATTGCAGTACATAATTAACTGCAACAAATTGCAGACGTGTAAATGGGTTTACCTCCTCTGTTATTGCATTGCTAACATTGTATTCTTGGCTGGCGGTCTGATTAATGATTTGTAAAAACTGGATATATTTGGGACTTTGGACCGGATGAGCAAGTGAAATGACCAGGAGAGATTTGAGCTGGGTTTGAGCAATCTGTAGAAACACTTATTTGCTAATGTACTTTAAACTGTGCATATTAAGCAGGACATGCTAATGATAACACAGAACTGTTTTAACCGGTTAGTGTTTACCTCGTCATCGGAATCATTGCGCATCCAGTGCAAAGATCCTCGAAGAGGAGTATCGTAGTTGTAATTCAAAGTTGCAATGTATACCTACAGCAGAGAAGTTATAACCTCTGCTTCTGCTCAGAAAAAAATATAACATTGACAAGACAAATTCTTACGTAGGCACTGTTGTTCATTCCAATCTTCCATGCTGTTATCTGTGATATGACATAAAGTTATACTGTACATTCACACTACTAACAACTACGAGTACATATGGCTATTAACAAAGTTAACAAGCAAATTAATAACTTCTTCAGCTTACTAATGTCTCTCGGACACGGTCCAAATGAGCAATGACGACAATAACTGTAAACAGAGCGAAATATTTACATACGCACGAAAATATGATTTATAACATTTTTTGATAATGGTTTCTATAAATTGTACGTGCAGATGCACAATAATGTGTATTTACTTTGAAGTGTAAAGTACAGGCTATAAAATAAAATATCTGAGTTAGCCGCTGTCGAAATTTAATTTTTAAAATGACTTTGCATAAGTGTGACAAAATCTGCCACGGTAAAAGCACGGTAATTCATGATTGTGACTCTTTTTGGAAAGCACGGAATACTGCAATGGATAAATTCGTGGAACTGCATTCACTGTTTAAAGGTGGTAATTATGGCACATAAATTACCTCGACTGCGTGAACGGGCATCTTCCAGAGCTTTAACGCGCTGAGAATCTATGGATAGATTGGCATTGATGGTATAGGTCACGTCAGGCTGTCTTTGTTGACCAAGTGACGCAATTAGCACTTTCTCAAAGTCACCACACGTCTGTTGAAAAAATGGATCGTAGCTGGATGCGGGGTCACAAATAATGGCTATTCTACGCCATCGGTAATGTCGCAGTAGCCGGGCAAAACATTTAGAGTATTCTGCAATCTGAGATGGTAGCAACCGAACCAGCGTGGGGAAACGGCGTTTATTCTGCAGTTTGCTATCAGTTCCCGCGCTAATAAATACGAAAATTTGGAATAAGAATAATTTACAAAGTATTGTGTAGTGTGCGTACCAATACTGTAAAAACTCATACCTTGTTATCAATGGCACATTCCATTCTAAAAATACCGCGATATGAAATAAAATTTATTTTCTAGGATAAAAATTTCTGGAAGAGATCTGGAGGAAATTATTGACAATAAGCGTGTCTGTAGCTATATATAAATAATAACATGTTCTAGATCTTGTGTATCATCCGCATTTTTCCACATCAATATTTTAGTACCGTGCATCGTACAGTTAGGTGCTTACCTCTGGCAAAATCGGCCTGGATTTCAATGTAGTTGCTGCACCCTGCAAGGTGTTCATTTCAAGTTCAAAGTAATACAAAAGTTTTTAATATTAAGTTGGATTTTCTCCTTGATGCAAACAACATGGATAAAAACGTCATACGTAGTTACATGTACAGTCGCTCAACTTTTTTACTTTCCCCGTAGTAAATGGTTAATTAAGTTAAGATAGGAACCTTACCTGCGCCTAGCAAAATGAAATAATCATATTTAACCGCTTGTTCATAATAGAACTTTGTCAGAGTTCCACTAATATCGGGCTCAAACGTTTGACAGCCTGGAATTTGTGCGATAGCCAAGGTGAACTGCACATCGGACGTATTATTTAAGTCATTCCACGCAAGTTTTAATGCGGGAACAATTACTTCCGGATTGTAAACCAGCATGGCCAACACAATTACGCGATACTTTGTAATTGAGCTGTTAGTGTGGGAAACAGCATGAATGGTCGCGGTAGGCTTCGTTAGTACTTGTTGTAATCCTTGCCACAATCCGACGCATAAGATCAGCTGGCGGCGATGGATCTCATGGAAGCGAAATAAGTATAACAACATCCCAAAGCAGTCAATCTTATTTTTATTGTGCCCAACACATTATGCTTATGGAGAAAATTGAATCTGCAATCTTTCCGCTCATGTAGATCTATAGAACGGTGACACTTGCAGATACGGAAAGGTCAACTTAACCCCAAAAAACCAGAACAATAAAAATAAACTTGGGTGGCAGAGATTATGAAAGCCATATTTATTCCGCATCCGGTTCTATGACTTCGGTTGACTACCTTGGCGGTATGGAGGAAAGACAAGTCATCCAAATTAATAATTACGCCTTTGCAGCCTACACCCGCACCGAAGGGCAACATAGAGAAGGGTTGGAAAAGAACACTTGCGATCGTACATCGTACCGGCAATTAGCTCGATATTGCTTCTGGTGTTTAATCGTTACGAGCTTCCGACAACTTGCGTCTTTTTTCCCGGCAAACCACCGCTCGATCCCTGCGAAAGGTATGCAAAGAACCGCCCACTTCTGTAGAAGGAATAGGCCGGTATTAGTGAGTAGCAGGTCCAGGAATTCATCGATAGTACGCGTATGTACACATAGCGTAGACGTATGTGCACTAAAGTATATCAAACCCGTCAATAAAGAGAATCTAAAAGGAAATAAGTCAACAGCATCTCAGAAAACCATTAATATTTAATGCCACCAACAATCTTGTGGGTGCCAAACAGGCAAAAATATCCGTAAAACTCGAGTTGTTACAAGTTAAGGAAGGCTGCATCTATCAAGTAAAAAAACAGTTAGGAATTACAGCACCCCACCTGCCCAAGGTGAATGTTTTTTCGTTCGTACCGCACCGTAGTGGAGATTCTACCTGACTGTGAATAAATCTGGCAAAAAAATTACTATTACAGTAAATAAATGTTTTGCTAAATTTACAACGAAATAATTTTCTTCACAAATGCGTCCGGCCTAACGCACAATGCCGTGAACCGGCGCAATGCCGTGAACCATTATGCACAGTGCGGGCTTTATGCACAGTGCGAGCTTTATGCACATTATGCACAGTGCGGGCTTTAATTTGCAAAAAATCCTTTTATTCGCGATACACCGGGGCTGAAAAAAATGGCGAAATGGCAACGCATCCTTCAGCTTGTACTAACGGCAAAGCTTTGGTACAGGATAATCCCGCTGTGGTTTGCGTATAACTTTGCGCTAGCTTATGAGGCATTGGGCAGACACTGGTCCTGTAGCAGATGCCACAGCAAAAGCCGCGGAGCAAGGGAAAAACCGAGAAGTATGCATCGGTCAGTGGTCGCTCCTGTTTTACATAGATTCATATCATCAGTTGAACAGTTAATGTGGACCCAACAAGCTGAATTTTCTGAGTGACTTGGTCAGACGTATTTAGCTGCAGACCAGGCAAGGCTAAATCAGCAGTTTTTATTTTTTATCGAATTCATTTTGTGGCTGTTATTGTGGTTATATTTGCCGTTATTTTTTAGGCAATTCTGTACAAATAAATAAATTCAAGTGAGCACACTACTAGAGCATTTGTGAGCTAAACCGTTATCAGTAGATAGAGACGTGAAGTTAGATTAACAACGTCAAGTACTACGGTGCTCTTTGTAAGGCGGTGGCACTTCCATTTGCAGCATGGGATCAGATTCCACGTCGGAACCGTCAGGTACAGGACTGAGTCCATCCTGGTCACCGGTCCGGGTGGATTCCGTACGCCGCTTGCTACAATATATACAGTCACAATGTCATTATTATTTACTGACACGGTACGATGTGACAGGAATATTATATATCGGTACTTATTGCATGACTACTGTTATGTACTACGGTTATGAAAATTACAGCTGGTCAAATGTTTACTGGAACTGCATAATTTACATGCTTTCCAAAACCAAAAATCAGTCTATAGGTCGATTTGCAGTATTCGACTTGTCTTTTCGTCCGTACGCGCATTTTCGACTACAGCTGCAAGTCTAGACATGCATACAGTATGAATTTTGCAGGGATCCTACTGCGTTAAATAATATGTTTTTACATATAGAATATACCGGCTTTTTGGCAGCTCCAGTGTGTTGGTGTTCGACGTCTCCCGGCTCCTGTATTCCTCCATTTCATTAACCTGACTCAATAAATTTGCCGAAGAGATGTTTTTCCATAAGCCGGTTTTATTGACTGCACTGGTAAAATCCAGAGCTTCGGAGCTTTGTGATACAGAACTGTGGTTTTTCTTTACAGGAATAGACAGGACGTTGCCGTTTGGTAAACATATCTTCATGAAGTTTTCATCGACAGTTGTTGGTGTGGTTATTGTTTTCTAAAATAAATGTTTTCAGCATGGATATGCTAAACCAGAAAAATCGTCATTTCAGTTGGACATATCGGCAACCGAAATACCTCATCGTCATCCTTTTGAACGTCTTCTTTCTTTCGTTTGACATTTTCCGGCATTATGTCATCCAAGAAACTGAGTTCATATTGCGTGAAAACATAATCCATGAGTTTCCTTACTCCAACCAGTGCACCAACCTAATCGTAAAACAATAAAAAAGTTTGCCTATATTATTACAAAACAAAACAAGTGCTTTCTATAAACGTTACGAAGAAAGTAAGCTGATGTACAGAGTAGGTACTTGTTGCTATGCATACCATCAAGGGGAACAGCATAGCGGTTTCCAGAAAACTCTTTAGCAGCCACAGAAAAACCAAGCACAGTAGCTGAATAAACGTGTAAAGGTGGACGCGCTTGATCTTCACGTGCCGGAGGTATGCGTAATCGGGCTGGTATTTAAGGGGCATAAAGGCCAACTTCAGTCGGTCGGTAAACTACAGGTCGAAAAAGAAGAAAACGATTATTATTGTTCTTTTACATTGCTTCAGTAACACTTACTTGGAGGCCGTTTAAGGCATTCAGTCCCATAAACAAGAAAACACCGAACAGAACCGGCATAGGAATGATGCGAAGGAAACTTGTCATGAATATCGATGCACCAATAACAATCTGTCACGATTAGAACCGTTAACCTTTATTTTTAACAACTTGTTTTGCATAATAAAGTGTAATTACGGAAATGGCGATGTTCGTTATCCGTTGTTCTCTAACGCCTAGGAAGGTCGGTCTTTCCCCCGGCGCAGCCACTTCCGATTCCATTCTCAAACTGGCAACATGGGTGAGCGAGAGCACCGTATCGGCTACCTGCACAAGATTTTAATTCTCAAAAGAGCAACATTATGCAAGCGAAGGAATATATATTATAGCGCCTTAACTGACTCACCATCCAAGGCATTCCCAAAAAGGACGAAATTAATGTCAACACAGAGACAACGAATAAGTCCAGATGATAGCCGATTCCTTTACGGAAGCGATTTTCCTTGCGATTAATAATCACAGTGGTTATCTGTTGGTCCATGAATATCAGAATAGTCACAAGGATCCCGGGAAGCACGGCGGCAATGGCAGTCCACCATTGATTTCTGTCGCCGAAAAAAGGCACAATCCATGAACCACCTCGTGGCGTATATGTCGGCTAGAAATGTAAAGATACTGTTAACTTTCCACATTAACAACTACACATCATCCTTTATAAACTGCAATTTGCCGAAAACCAAAATTATCACCCACTCAGTAATCGTAGATGAACAATAAAATATCAGTAAGTTATACACTTGTAATGGTTTGGCTATTTTTAAGATTTAGGAGAATATTTCATGTGAGCGCAGTGCGTCTATGCTAGACTGGTGTGAAACCGTTTTTTATACGGGTATTAGGTACATTAGGTTACCTTATGGTTAGTACAAAATGAATCAAGTAATTGTTGCAGTTAACGCACTCAGCATTTTAGTTGCATGACATACAGTTCCGGTAACATTTGATTAAGTCTTCTAACGAAATATCGAAAAAAAGTGTTGATAATACTGCATGTGCATTTTACACTTCACCTCAAGCTGATCGGGCACGCCCAGTTTGGGAGTAGGGATACCCAAGGCGTAGTCCACTCCAACAAAAACGCCAATCGAAATAATCACCGCAAAGTCACTGACGAACTGGCGTAATTTGTTGGTGAAAAACGGAGAAACCTTGAAGTCTTTTAAAGTTCTGGCCATAAAATACGTTCCAAAAAATAATACCACAGACAATAAAAAGGCATCCGGAACATAGTGCGTGCAACCATCACCAAAGAACGCAGTGCCGATTCCGGCTGTTGCGTTCTTTTCCTTGGTACAGTCCTCCTTGGAAAAATTTGCGTCTATTGGAATGTGGACGGAATAATTGTTCACCGGTGACTTTATCACACAATCACAGATATCACTCGTATTGGATATGATACCGGGATTAGTACGTAAAGGCTCTTCTTCGGCGATATGGAATAATTTTTTAAAGGCCTCGTAAACAAATATTGCGGAGACTAGTGCGGCAAAGCTTTCTTCTGTAAACCGGGTGATGTAGCTCACCAGCGAACTGAGATCAAATACTACCATCAGCAGCAGTAGAATAGTTGCCCAAATGCCTATCCATAACCTCATTGGTAGATAGTCTATGTCCATTGATCTGTAATAAAATGTGATACTTCGAAACAAAATAGCGGCAAAACGTCTGTAACTGAGTACTGACCATTTATGAAGTACTTCAATTTAGAATGTTCAGTTTCAACATAATTTTCGAATTTTCAAGCTATAAAGTAACGCTAGGTTAAATTAAATAATTATCCACCTAGAAAAATGGAAAACTAAACAACCTATGCATTTAATTAATTCGTAGAATTTGATTCCAAGTACCTGTAACTAACCAAATAATTTAACCATGCAAAAATCAATCTTGAAAAATAGTAAAGCGCGGATTTACTGTAGCTTGCTTTTGGGTTATAATGTACTAAACTTTTAACGATAAAACTTCAAGGTAAATTAAAAGATGACTTACTCGCACATGTTGAAACTGATAAGCTCGAATACAAGAATCGGTCCAGTGCTGCCCAGAATGACCATCGGCTGACCCGCGGTCAAGCCCCATGCGATACCGGAAAAGGCACGCGCCAGGATCGTTTCAACAGCGCCCTGCAATTCATTTTCTGCATTAGCAAATGTTTTAAATCCAGAAAACGTGGGAATCAACTTACCATTCTTCGTTTCAGAAGATCGCTCATAAGACCGCCAAATGTTATAAGTGGCGTCATCGATGCGAAATACAGAAAGATAAAAGAGGCAAGGCACTGAATATGTAAGGCATCTTTGAAATCACTGACATAGAAGGGTATTTTCCTTTTAATGTCATCCACGAATCCTCCAAACAATCTAAACGCACGCAAAACTTGCTGAAGTTTGTTGAATAATTTTATCAATCATAAATTATAATTAGTGTTTGATTAAGCTAGGCATAGCCATTATCTGTACACTCCATTTGGTAAATTTTCGACTGGACACTCCAAATGGTAAAAATAATTTTATAAGAAAAATGAAGAGATATTAAGTTTACCTCCCTGTCCGACGAATTCCGGCGCCATGATCGGATTTACCACTGTGTTCACTGCTCTCCAGTGCCTGCAGCACATCGGTACTGCCCGTTCGTCTAAGTTTATCAATCATGCGCGACTCCTGCGACTGGACACAAGCCGGTGGTTCAATACGAATTTTGGGATCCCACTCCCCGGGCGGTAGCACCGTGGAGGCGCCCAAAAAATCGTCCGTAGCTGATAAAATATCTTCCCGGTCTTTTGCTTTGTAAATGACTTGTTGAAAAAGCTAAAGAAGATCAAATTAAACATAAATGAAGAGATGCCGATCATGCAAAACAGTGGAAACACTTAGCTACCTCGTCCGAAAAGAGGGTTCCCATCGTTCGGCCGATTTGATGATAGCGGTCACCCACCGCTTTGGGGCCCAGTAGCACGAACAAGTAGCGCGTGGGAACCGGCACTTCCGTTAGACTGCCCAGGAAGGTGGGACGGCTTAGCCGAACGAACGCACAAAGCGGAAAGGGCGGCAGGAAATCCAGTTCGGCTACTAATATATTGGCGGCTTCGGTTCCCGTTGGTAACTTTTTCAAAAAGTGTATATTGGCCTAAAAAAACGAGGTTTTTTGTTCATCTAATAAAGCCACATAGGTACATCTTATTATGGCTGCACGAAACTATACATTACCGGCAAGTTTTCTATATGTACAGACTGTATGTATATGCCTGCCATATTTTGAAATAAATATTATGTCTCTTTAATCTCCTAATAGTTAACTCGTACGCATCGTATAAAACATAGTTATTTTCACAACGTCGTATGTACGCACACGGTGCACTGTCTATGAAACCGCGCGTTACAGTGGATGTACAGTAATTAAACTTCGTTCTCCATTAAGGATTCAATTACACATTCAGCTTCCGGTAGACACATACTCGGCTTTCTTCCCGCGTCAACCCTTCCAGATTCGCATTACTCGGCAGTCCACCGCTATCCTTTCCGCTGTCGTTACGTTCCAACAGATTACTGCTGCTGTTACGCAGCAGCTGGGAAAACGATCGCGTCTTGGTACTGTCCTGATCTTTACTGCCGATTTTGCGCATGCGCCGTTGGTTGAGATGCTTCGGCCGTTGCAGCAGTGTCCCGAGCACCGCGTCCCGATAATTATCCGGCAGACAGCCGCTATTGACCCACTGCTGTATCACTTCCGTCCACAGTTCGTGCAGGTTGGACGCGTCCAAATCCGAGTAGTATCAAGCCGGTGGTGAAGTGATTGCGCAGTTCCAGTAAGGAGTGCAACGACAGACTGGCAACAAAGGGCTTCGACCATCGATTGCCGCCCTCTTCCACATCCTCTTCAAACTTCACCCACCTTCAGTCAATCAGTAACGGATAAACACTGCATGGTCATTGTTATTGTTACCCGTTGTTTGTTAAGAATTTCACATGTCACCTGTCTCGCTTGTCTGGAGATTCGATAAAAAATATAAAATTGCTGTCACATTTTCAAAACGAGCATTCAGCAAGTATTAACCTGCTAAAAGTTAAGTAATAACGCTTTTAACTAATTCGATCTAGTACAGTACAATAATTAATTCTGTAGAAACCGCTGCGATATAATCCGGTAATTAAAAACGTCATGTTGCATGATTTTATGTGCGTCGCTTCCTGGCTTGTAATCATTATAAACACCGTAAATAAAGGGCATTTAAAAAAGCAACCAGCGTGGTACCAAAGCATTTATGATCATAAAAACTTTAAAACCGTTAGCTTGCCAACACCGAGCGGAACATCGGAGAGCGGAAATCCAACAAAGTGAATACTGAATGATCAGTATCGAGCAAAGTAATTATATCAACTGCCCACGTCCATGTATATCTCTATGTTACCTGGCTGTTTCGCGCCACTCCGGCTCGCCACCGGCTCCGCGCTTCTTATTGAATTTCAGTTCGGTCATTTCGCAGAACAAGGTGTGTTTGTCCTTATGGAGGTGATCCTCGGCATCCTGCCCGGTGTCATCACCGAGCTTGAACTTGATTCCGTGCGTGGTAATGGCTAATAAGCGATGTTCGTGCGTAACATCATTCATCATTATAGCCAAAAGCGTAGGTTTTCACATTTATTAATATGTACACATACTGGAATTCGTTCTCGATCGGTCCTTTCCGAAATTCGGTTCCATTGTTCTTGGTGTTCGTGTTCCTGGCTTTTTTTTAGAGAAAATCACTCCAGTCAGCGATCCGGTGGCAAACGGAAGTAGTGTATTCCGCAGCGGCTTTTTCCGTCATTAACGTTGTCGGCTTCTGCGCGGATAATACGATGTCAGCCAAGCTTCCTGTTTTAAGAAAGAGGCTTTCTTAGAAAGACGATAATTATGCAGTTATTCCCACTCACGAGTCTGTGCAAATTCATGTTAGGCTCGAATGCAAAATAGTAAATATTTCTTTCTGCAGATCGCCAGTATTTTAGAGTAGTATCTGCGGTAATAATTCGTGAACGCTAATTATTAGGTAAGTACTGTAACTGTTAGCACAAGCAGATCCGTGCAAAGACGACAACATTGATAAGGTAGTAATTTATGGATGATTGTTGAGTACGAACGGAATCATTTGTAGGCTTCAGCGGAGTCTGCCGCGCTGATAACTTGATTAAACATTCATAAGTTCTATTCGATATAATATTGGCAAATCCGCCACATAGTGCCATACGGCATACAGTATCACAGGTACTAATCCTAAATCAGTTACCACACATTTGCACAAAGCGCGAAAAGCCACTTAAAACGCCAATTTTGCCGCATTTTTCTCGGTTGTGACAATGCAAGTACACGCAGCGGAACCCGAGCCAACTGCTCTCTCAAGTGGCTGCAATGTGTACAGTACTATGCAGCCAATGTGGGACCGGGATCTATCGTTACCTGTCGATAATGGAGGTCGAAAGGTACCGGTAGTGCGGAAATCTATAACTTCATTTGCAATTCATGAGCTGAGCTGATAAAAAGAACAGAATTATATCCGTACACTGCGACAAAAAAAGACGAATTATTTATTGATCTTGTCTGCCGAAAATGGCGTTTATTACTTATTTGTTGCCCGAAACTCATTTGACCGTATAAAACAACAATGTAACACATAATACTGAGTACAAAGCTACAATAATACAATGTATAATCACAACAATGCAGCTCTCAACTATTCACATCTGCCAATTACCATTCTGGACGGATTAAAATGAAACTTTGTAATCATTAATAGTATTTATTTATGGTAGCATATGCGGCTGAAACTGCATTAAGAGAAACATTAGACTATTATCCTAATACGCTGTAATTAATTGCCGTATTAACTGTACATGTAAGTCTGTACTAAATCAGTTAATTATTGAGAAATCTGCCTCATTACGTTCCAAGTGCTATACTTCGAAGTGCTTTTCATTCTGCAATCTGAAATTAAATAAGACTATCCTATGCGGCTGCAGGTGACGTCCCCGGAATTTTCTGTATCTACGAGTAGTGGCTGTACTATACTGGCTTGCAACTGATCTTCGAAATATTAGTGACCTTTATACCTGAGCCACACACTAGTAAATAGTAGGAACAGCCAGATCAGTGTCTGATATGGCACTGCAGAGATATTTCCGTGTGTTTGGCGAAATCCCATTTCAATAATCGTTCTCCGTTTGCGCTTATGCCGTTAATCGACGTAGACGTAACAAAATATTCAGGTCAGCTATGTTTGTGGGTCCAATGTGGGATACCATGTATGATTGATGGATATACAAAAAATATTGAGTTTTATACTTTATAGGTACAAAGTGACAAACAAACACTACAAACTACAAAGGGCTTGCTTATTCAAAGATCTAGTTTGATCATTTAATGTCATGATTTTGTTAAACACTTGCACAACAGCAAATACCGCAGATTTTAAATTTAAACCCATATAATTCATGGCTGGTACTGCAACCTTGCCTCATTAATTTGGAGTTATTTGTTAATGATTTTGATAATAACACTTTTTTTAGCGACACTCAACAACCGCAACCGTTTGGTCACAGTGCTCTATATTTCGTTACAACATTGTAAGAAATCCAATGAATTTTTATCGAATATCTATATGTAATAGTCAGATACTGTAAGCTCCGTATCGTACTCGTACCTTCAGTGTGGATCATGGAATGATGCCGGCATTAGCGCAAAATTGTGCCCATTATCCACATAATAGGCAGATCACAATAAATATACATTGCACAGCCCGGTTAAGCGTATTGCACTTAGTTATCCAAATGGAGAAAAACCAGATCCAGTTAACTCGCGGAAAATACTTTGGTGAAGAGCAGAAGTACGATGTGTAGTCCTGGAGAAATAATATGGCTGCTGCACACAGATATCGGGTGTAACAATATTCGCCGTGCCAAACGTATAAATAAACAAAGTCACCATCTAAGTTTGGCATGACGACCGCGATTAACATTTACCGTCGTCCGCAAAAAATTCCCTGCTTTCTTGAGCTGATCGACTAATTCGTAAACGCCGATACTTCCTGATTTTTTTGCTGAAAACAAAAAGTTATAAGTGGTTTCAGGAGAAAGTTTATTGCGTACGTTAAGATTGTTGCCGTTCCGGCAAAACGAGTGGTTCGTAAACAGCGGCTTACAGCTGGTTTCGGCGTGGACCATGTACCACTTTGTAATTATAGATCTAGAGCTGGATTATATGATCATCGTGTCATAAGCAAAATAAAACACTGCATTGATCGTACACGATAGATGCGCTATACTACACTAAAACTGCTTACGTCAATGGTCAGAAAAATTAATCATTAGAACCACGCGCTATACGAATACTGTGCATGTGTGTGATGATGTTCTGTAAGCAACTAGCAAACATCTGCTGCGAAAACTGACACAAAAAAGCCTAAAAATAAGTTTTTCATGGACGATGCTATTTACGGTTCAGGAAGACTCGTTACGGTTCATCATCGGTTAAATGTTAACTGCTACAATTAGCGCGGTGATGATTTGCAAACGATTGTTTACTTGCCCTAAACTGGTGGATTTTGTAAAGTATTCCACGCATACTTCAAAAGAAACTATCTGCATGTACCAACTTCCGTTAAAAATTATCATAATTGTCCGTTGTGCAGCAGTTGTGGTTTCGATAGCTGTTTGGTCTTAAGTTATTAACCAATTGGCATATATTAACTTACTTGTCTTTTAATCATGCAGCACGAAGACAAGACGAAAAAAATCAACACAATCACCGGCAACTTACGAGTAGTCAACAGTGCACTTGTATGTCGACTGTGTTTTCATGTGTACTGCAACAGAATATAGATAATATATTAACTACGTTATATAAATAATACAAATATTTTACCTTCCAGTAGCAACATTTTTCCATACGAGAAAGGAAGAACGAGGTTTGCGAAAATAACTCAAACGCACGCCAGTCTCCGCATTGCTCCAACATTTTTTGTCGAATTTTGCATTATTTTTGTTTTAACTACCTGGTACCTGAAAATCCATAAAAATGACGTAGAAAGGATTCTAAAATATTGGGAATTAAAACAATACCGAAGTAGCCGACGCCTGCCCGCATGCGCACCCTAAGCGCACTGAAACAGTGAAAAAGTTGTACCATAAAAATATCCATTTTTTGTTGATACCAACATGTTATACAGTACTTACACATAAGGACGTACACATGCAGATACGCGTGATGTGATCGCTGGACCGCTTCACGTCAGTTTGAAACTTCGAAGTTGTGTGGCCAGTTACTTCTTGCTTTCGAAATGAAATTTGTATGCTTCATAATTTCGAATTTGTATTTTGTAATACTCGAAATTCTTGATAAAGTCGTTACTCGTATTTTCAGTGCTCGCAAGATCTTCTTCTCAATAAGTAACTGACCAAGAAGTATGCAAGGCGTTGTAACTGACAACGCGGCTATGCATATTGTAACAGTGGCCTATCTGGCTACTGTTCTAGTGGGGTGGCGATCAGCCTTTACCACGATTAAACGGCTGTTGGTGTGAAAGGTGGCACGGCCGGCAACGATGCTGGCCGAGGACGCTCTTACTGATGTACACAATTACACAGGTGGCTCCGATTGGGATGACGCTAGTTCATCCCAAGCGGTCAAACGCAACAACGTAACTCAAGGCATGTTTAATGACAAGGGAATCAAGAACACAGCAAGGTTGTAAGCAAGGGTTTCTGCAAGAGGAACAATCAAGTAGATGCAAGCTGTAGCAAGCTGAGCACAAGACTGAATTCTAGAAATTCATGAGAAAGGAAACTAGCCGGTAAAGTGGACACAAATTCATAACGCGATGGAATGAATCATAACTGGGCGGTCTTATCGTTCGTACAAATACTATCGCTACAATATGGACATGCGCTTCTGGGTTGTGCTAAACAAATGAACACCGGCATTTCCCCGGAAAAAGTTTTCTCTTTTAATATTTAGATTTGCTATTTGTATTTAAAAACTGAACTGCTTTCTTTCGATTGGAATCCGATGTTGGAAACGTCTTTTAACAGACACTTCCGGTAGCCATTTACTACCACCCCTTTGTGCCTTATGTTTCGCAGCGATTGTGGCAGCAGCCTGCAGGGGGGAGTGCGCATAAAATTAGATCACGTGACTTTGCCATAACAAGCGCACGTGGTTTAGTTGGCCCAATGCCGTTATTCCACATTTTGGCAAGCGTGCAGTCCAGTGTTGCAGATCAACGTGCGTCACGATCTTTCCCCATCCACAAAAGATCGACGGAAGTGCGGAACATCAAAATTTTCATCCACGCGTGGACGAAATCATGTGTGATCCATGTTTCCACTGCCAACTTATAATAAGACTCCTTATGCAATTTTGAGGATTGAATATTGGTGAATTTAAATGCGCACATGTCAGCAAACGGGTCCGACTTCGATGGATGGATTTCAACGTTGTTGATCATTGAGAAATAACTTATGTTGCCTGAGGAGAAAACGCGCATTAATTGGTTTTTTGCTTAAATTTCGCTTTTCAGTGGCATTTAGCTGGTGGACAAAATTTATCTCGGACTACCTGGAGACGCAAAGTCCCGAAAGCATGTCGATGAGTAGCTGTAACTTTCACTGGAGTCATTTTAGCGAAGATCTGAGATTCCAGGCGTGCTTCATCTGGTTTCTGGAATCTGGATAACAATAATTTTGTTTTTGGAGACAGCGTTTGTTTATCATAATCAAGTGTACTCGACAATGGATGGACAGCGAAATTTTCGAGGGAACCGCTTTAATCCAAACGATATCGACAAATTTCACGATACCACGAGAGATATTACAGTAAGCTTGCTTTTTAGTATTAGTTGTGGCTTTACTTGGTTATTAGTCTACATGCCTAACGCATGCTCGAAAGATGAACATTAGCACCGTTAAATTATTTTATTTTTTGCGGTTTTTGTGTGTTAATGTTCGGTGGTAGATATTTTAGTTTTCTGCATCAGTATACGAAGATTTTTGCGTGCTGCAGCGGGCTGATTTTAGATGTTGTCAGTTGTTGTCCTTTTAATATGTCTGATGGTTATGACATGCTTTTGATCTGCGTGTAGGTCATATTTACATTTCTGTTGCCGCTGGGATGCATCGCGTATTTTTTGATATGCAAATACAGACGACGTCAGGATGTGGAACTGGAGGTGTCACACAGTGTGCACATTGTGGACGATGACGCCTTCGCAAGCAGATTTGTGTAAGCTAAAATTCGCACTTTGCTGTAAAATGAATTCCTGTTTTTGGAGAATGAAAAAAGGTTTTGCCGGTGTACGGATATTGTCTGCATTTTGTCTGGTACTGCATGTTTTGTTGCAAACATTAACTTTGTGAGCTCCTGAATTTCGATAATTTGCCAAAATTAAATCAGACTGAACAATTTCTAGTTTTGCTTACGGGTGTTTTACTAAAATTTTATTTGCGTTCATTTGGACCATCTAATGCGGACGGTAGTGCCGCACCCATACGATTTTTTGTATGTGGTACAGTTGCTTGCTTGGAGGCAATTTAATATAATTATTGTTTGATTGATTGGTACCACTTTGTGTAGGATGTACTTTTCTAGGATACTTGCCAGTACCATTGGATTGACGGTTTCTCAGGGAGCGATTCTGTTGTTACCATGCTCTGTCCTGGCCAACGAAATTATACATTCCTTTCCGGATAACTTTTATTTTCAGTGGCTGAACACATCCGTTATTCATGGTTTGTCTATTTGGTTTTATTTTTGGTTTTAGTGACCAAAAGGACGATTTCTTTCAGATTTATGGAATCTCATCACAACTTTATCAAATATTTCATTGGTCACGCTTATCTATGGGTATTTCCTTTCCGAATCTGAAGGCTTTGACGGTTCTCGAAAAGTAAGGCTGTTAATTAATGACTTTTAATTGGTCAGTTTGTAATTTGTTTAATTGAAACTGAGTGCTTAATTTTATGCAAGGTACTGTATTTCTGTGGTGTTTGTTGCACCAGTTTGTGGTAAGTAACTAAGTTGCTAGTACAAGTTAGTAAGAAGTCCCTGTCGTCGGCTAACTGTAAAATTTTTATTGTTTATTCTCGTGGTAGGAAAATTGATAAAATTATTTGATATGATCGTTCGTTATAATCGGTCGTTTGATAAAATTAATACGATTACGCAAATTTTTGGAATAGCTTTTAATGTTGTAAGTGTAAGTTATTTTTAGGATCTCATTTTACCATTATATGCCTCTTTGCTTTGGATTTCGGTGTAACTTGTAAAAGGGTTTTTATGGAAACGTTTGGTGAGATGTCGTTCAGAGTACAGTATTTATGCATTCCTGTTCTATGTAATATTGGGACGACATTCGAAAGGTCAAAGGTAGACGTGTTATTTTTACAGGGCCTATCTAGTCGCGTGAAAGAAGCTCTTGTTACCATTCTTTATGCCTTGGTGTTCGTTTCGGGAGTGCTGATATTGCTGTACCACTTTTTGAATTACGACACGTGGGATTTCTTGTCACTCGACAGTAAGTGTTCGTGTTATCGTGGCTTTTCAGAGGATGATAACCCGTTGGCCTGGTGAGCCTTGACCAGTAACACCTTTTGTTGCACTGCAGAATTGATGAATCTGCATAAACTCGTCCTTCCGTGGTTTCATACCTGCTTGTCTTTCCTGGGAGCCGTCATTTTGTTGAGTACGTCAGTGGATTATTTCATCCTGAAAAGGCGTAAATTATGGAAGCGTTAGAAGATTTTTGAATTTCTTCGTGCAAAAGACTTCAAAAACATCAGAAAAAATCAATTCGTTCACTACATAAAGGCAACACGATAAGACTTACAATTACTTCTTAGTTCTTTGTACGTACACATTAACTAGATGTTTTTCGTGATAGTATCAACGCCTTGTGGATACGCCAGAATGTTCACCGTAGTTGGAAAACTCGTGAAGCGTCCCTTGGTAAGCGCGGTTGACAGCAGCATAAATTCCTTACACGTCGCAGCTACACCTAGAAAATTTTAATGACAGCTGGCTGCGGATGCGTCGGATCTGAATATTAGTTCCGAACGTTCCAGTGGTTTTGGCAATGCACACGAAGATCTCACTATTCTGGAAGAGCACTTCGAAGAGCATTTGAATCCTTCGTTCTTTCGCCGGACTCTACTGTATCCGGTCCTCATGCTTCTGATGCTGTTATGGACGGTAATATACTGGTGCTTCGCTGATCCGTATTCCGTACTACTTGGGAATATTATTAAAAGATTTACTTTTTTAGAGTTTTTGTATTCTGGTCTGCTTTTGGAATCTGGTGAAAATGACGTTAGGATTTCGCGATCTCCCTGGTGTTTCCCGGTTGGCTGACGTTGGAATCACCTCGCTTTCTAGTCTCGGATTAGTCGGAGCATTTCTGGAAATACTTATCATTGGGTGAGTTTGCCATACCATTTTTTGTTATTCTGTATTCAGGGTTAAAAATGTGTCCAACCCGCATAAAGGAACGGTTTTCCAAATTAGTATGAATTTCACAGCTTACGTAAGTACAGAACTTACTACTAGTACTTTCCGGTGGAGCCCAACATTAGGAAATACGATAACTTCATGTTCTTCAAATGTTGGGCACTATAAGCAAAGCTGGTTTTAATATTTTCAACTGGCTTTGATATTTAAATTAAAAACCAGTAATGTGGAAGGCCGCTTGGATCGATAATGAGATCAAAATAAGCTGTGTGAAATGTGAATCAGCTGATATGAATAACGAAGCCGTACTTAGACATGCTATACGGAACAGGAATAGCATTCAATTCGAAGCCCCGTTGGCTCAGTTGGTAGAGCGCAGGTCTCATAATCCTGAGGTCGACAGTTCGATCCTGTCACGGGGCATTTTTTTCTCTTTTTCACTTTTTTTAACAGTCTACAGAAACTCTTGTATAGGTTTAAGTTGCATTCAATCATTATTTATTCAGCTTTTAGGAAACTTTTTATTCTCAGTTGTAATTTGTGCAGTTTCAGAAATGCATATCGGTATAAGGAGATACCGCGCATGTACTAACCTCACAAAATCAGTATCTTAATACTTACTTGTACTCTGTTTACTTAAGTTTCTGTCTGACTGGCGTGAATCACAATTAATTTTAGCTGGCGCACATATTGCAGCTTATTACGGTAATTAAATATCGGTAGCTGGCTTACGGGATAGGTAATTGTTTTTAGGATTACAGAGTAGTTACTTATATGGTTACACAGTTTGCATTTTGTTTGCAGATATATAGTTCTTGCATTCTTTGTGGGATTTTATTCTCTGCCTTGGATCGGGGCATCCGACCGCGTTTGCGCGATACATCCTTGCCACAGATAGTTGCCAACTGCACTATAATTCTGCTTCTTAGTTCATCTTTGCCGTTGTTTGTCCGCGTCCTAGGTAAGCAGCCACTACTGCAACGGTCGGGCTATCTGTTTTTCTTTTTGACTGAAATATGTCGCATTAACTCGATATGCTTGACAATCAAGAGAAATTTGAACTGCTTAATCCTAGCGGGAATCTTTGGCAGGTATTACGAATTTCGATCTGCTGGGCAGCTTTGTCCATGTCAGCTGGCTTCGAAATTTGCGTGTTATTGTTGGGTAAGCATCATTGCACATGAATCACAATGAAAGCCGACGCGCTTTACAATCTGCCATAAGATTATTTATGGACGGCGGTCGAATCAACTTTCGCTTTTTATTACGAAACCTTTACTACCAGTAGCGTTGCAGCACGCTTGTCGAAGTGGCTCTAGCAAATTAACAGCGAAAAATTCGTATAAATGATAAAGTACAGTTCCATACGATTTGGGTATTATGTTGCCTACGTAATTAGAATTCTGAAGACAGTGCATCTTTTAATGTTTTCTAATTTATTTCAAAAATATTTATTTCCGGCCAGATGAAGTGGTATAATAGCCTTAACTTTGAATACGCAGAAATTATTTTGAAAATTTAATTGCACTGCTTTGAAAGTTTTTGGTTAGAGTTTCCATAGTATGCATCTATGTTAAACTTCTAAAAATGAATTCACAAACAGTTAAGCGTTTGTCCATTAATCTATGAAAACTGATTTTTTATATCTATCTGCTATATATAAATTTTAACCTGTTAATAAACCGTCATTTAATTCGTTGTTGTTAATTCGTTGTTGTTTTGATTCACGATCAGGATTCCCATGTATTGCAGGTATAATATTTTATATCTTGTGGCATCCGTACTGGTATTGACCGCCCATGCCACCCGAGCTGTTTGGCAAGCGATCTGTGAACGACTGAAAATTGGTACCAACGGTATAAAAAAAGTTGCTGCCCGGCGATCGGGCAATTCGGCCTTTAAGGAGTGTCTAATCGAGCCAGTTACGTCCAAGCTATTGCAGCTGTCAACAAAAAATGGATACCTGAAGAAGCACAGCTAGACCATCGATTTCAAAAGGATGGATGTAATTTGCTGGCAGGTTTGTTTTGATCGCTGTACAATTGGACGGGCGCGGTGTAGCGTTACGACGGCCAGGACATATTGTATGGTTTTAAGTTTTGTACCTTCTTGGAGATTTTATGCTTTTACAACCTGCAAAATAGCGGTTATTACGTTTCTTACCGACCAAGGTCGATGTATTGAGTATTGACCGTTTCACGCGCAATACATGTTGTGGATATTTTTCTCATACTCGTGTTGGTTATTGTTCTTTGGACGGATCAGTTTTGATTTCTCTTTGCCAAAGTTTTTGCTTATTTTTATATTATGCATTTTTAAGTTATTAATTGTACTTAAGTTTACTGCCGATTATACAGATACGTCTGATTCGACGGAAAGAAAGCAGTGGATGGCTCAATAAAAAAATACGAAATGAAATGTTGTTATGTATCGTATGCTGTATTAGTGCAGTACACATGTGCAGGAAGAAATACTTGGCTGCGCATCCGGTAAAATAATTACGGTCTGCTCGATGGTTAACAAAAAAAGCGCATAAAACTTAAAAAAAGTAATGTCAGTGAACCGTTTTCTTTATGATAAAATATATATTATCAAGTTCTCTTGTTTGTAGCCGCGCTATTCGTACGATGACAATAGATATGCAAGATGGTTTACGCATGTATTGACAGTATTGTTATACAGACCTTGAGTTATTGTCATCACATCAGTCGTCCCATAAAGCCGATGTGTGATGAATAATGCGTGATCGATGTTTTTATCTGAGGAATTAATCTTGGACCCTCCGGTTAGCGGAGGAGCCTAATTAATGTGGCTGTGTTCCTTGGCGGGTCTCTTAATGGCCTCTAACCGTCTTTGTTAAACGGCTGAGGTATGTGTTTTGTCTTTCGGAGGTCGAATTTCATTCTGCTGCACAAGCACTACATTTCTCTTTGGATACATGCGTCCATTCAGTAGCATACGACTTTATTAGTGTTCGTATTTGTTCTTCGCTACCATAATGAGGTCTATTCAGGAGAGCACTGACTACTGTTCGGACGTTACCGGGCATTCAGGGACGCCTGATAGAGAAATTAATTGCAGTAAAGGAATGTTTGAACAGCTTATTGTAGTGCTGACCACTTGACTATTCCAGATCTAATTCATACAAAATCCATTGCTGCACTTCACAGCCACCATTGATCCCTTCCTACATTCGTTCAAAAGTGGTACTCTAATTACGCATTTCTTGTTGAAATAGGTTACTTTTTACACGCTTATCTCAAAGGTTACTTTTTCATTATTTCACAACATAATTATTTTTCTTATACTATTGATTTTTGTGCAAATAAATTGATTACCACAGTTAAATTCTGTCTTTTCTTGAAAAAATTAAGTTATCGTCAGTGGCCGTTATCGGCTGGAGACATGTTGTGTTATAACACATACTATGGACGGCAAATGCCAAATAATTAATTTTTTTATAAGAAGTCTAAAAAAGTTGTTGCTTATGGGGCAGAATAAATCTATTTTGTAAAAAAATGATACCGCACCGCCACCATGTATCTGTAATTGTATGAAAATGCATTTGCTTATTTTCAGAATAATTTTAAACTGGATGTGGTAGAGCTCATCTTGTTCTGTTCTGCACAATTAAAGTTTTGATTTTAAAACGTTGCGAAATCTCTCACGCTGATATGGACATGGGCCGGAAGAGTGCTGATGCCGGTAGGTAGAAATCGATCGGCGTGGGCTACTCTAGTTTGGCTGGTCGTTCGGGCTCGGACATGTTGCGAAATTAGCCCTGTATTCCTGTATCTATCTCTCCGCCCGGCGTTGTAGCTGTATCAGGCAGGCAGCAGCAGCACTTTGTAGCCATCAGTCCGCGACGGCCGTCCCCATCCGCTCGATCGTTTCTGTCCATCGCGAAGCCCCTCAATTGAACAATCAAAATGTTAACGTTAATGTTACGAGCGAAGGAGTTGGTTTCATGTTACACTTACCTGCCTGCATCGTTACTCTGCACAGTGGCCGGCAATTCTCTGTATTATACTGCGGCTGCTGCTACTTGCTGGCAGCCACTTTTCTACACTGTTATTTGGTGAAAGCCAACAGTTGGTTAGATAGCGGTAACACGAGCTGCTTGAATATTCATTTCCCCCAACCAAGTTCAACGAGTTAATTTGGTCAGTTTGACAAAGATCACTACCGTACACTGCGTCGGTTGTGGGTATGCAGAGCGGATTAAGCCAATTCTATGGCCTTAAAATGATTTTCAGTGATCCTATACGAAATATCGTGTGAAATCCGGCATCTTTCTGACGCTTCACAAGGATTACCAAAATGCCGCACTGGAAGTCGCTGCTGGACTGTCCCGGTATGCAGCTGCCGTTCGTTTCCGGTCTTCTATCCAAAGTGATTGTGATTTTTTGCATAACGTGTCCACGTTATGCCGATGCCAGAGGTAAGACAGACTATTTGTTTTGTAGATTGTGCTTAATGTTTGTGGTCAGTATAATGACTAATTACGTTATTTATGAACCACAAAACGTTAACAATCTTACCGGTGGCCTTGTATAAGGAAAACAGTTTTAACCACGCATATTGCTTCCTTCATAGGCATTTTAGCAGAAAAAAACGACAACAGATAAAAAGTAAAATTTTGGGATACGTACATGTGATATAATTATATTTTCACTTATCATGAAGCAGTAGAAATGCAGAACTGAGATCATCCTGATCGAATTATATGAATTAGGCATTTCGAGAGCAGCTATCAGCAGCCGAGATGCCACTGATAGCAGTGTCTGCTGTGACAACATTTTGATTTCTGAATTTGTAATTTGTTTTGCACATATATAAGTATCCTGTGCTCTTGATCTACGGGTTCTGTTTATCACTACATTCTATCTGCAGTTGTGCGAAAATGTTTATTTAATGTGCTAAACTCGGACAGAGCGTTGTGAGCCTAATGAAAGATGCATTTACGGATTTACCTGATCAAGAAGTTAGTCATTATGCAAAGCGTGTCTGTCATAATGTACAGCCGTTTACCTTGCTTCCGGTAGCTGTATATTGCCGGACTTACAGCCATAAAATCTTGCCAATGTCCCTGTCTGGACACTGCCCAGCGACTGCTTAACATCTTGATATATCTACATTTTAGCGCGTTTTACGCTGTTAATTTCCCTCCAATAAAAATGCTTTCCACTAGACGAACGTCGCTCTCACTAATGCATCATTTCATCAAACGCAGCCAATTTGCACACTTACCGGGAAAATGCAGGTTTTGATATCTTCGACTTCTGATTAAGTGCATGTTGTAGCGCAAAATGGTGGGCCTGACGGGGCGTGTGCGTTGTGGGTATGAATTTGATAAAAGTTACATTTTGCCGAATTCCACCATGGGCCGGAGTTCAATTTTGTTGATTATATATTTTATGGTCATAGTGCAAAAGAGTGACCGCTCTGTTAAGTGGCTCGGGATAGATTTCTTTGGGCTACTCAAGAGGTTTGCTCAATAATAAAGTGGCGGTGTGTGAGTATGACGAGGGAAGATGAATAGTATCGTTATCTGTCTACTTGATAAACAATTCCGTCTTATGATAAAGTGCCTAACAACATGCTCCCCTACTAGGCTAGGTGTACTACTACGGGCCGATTGCAAAACAAGCCCCGCCGGTTTATAACCCGGCTTTATTAACACGGCAGTGTTTGTGTAGAGCCCCCTTCTTATCCATCATATGGACGAGGGAATTATACAGATTATAAAAGATAAAATTAAAGGAATCTGCCACTAAACATAATAGTGTTTCAGCTTAAGAGTTGTAGGAGTTGCAGCTGCATCCCGCTTATTCTAATCCGTCAACCACACGTATACGTAGCCTTATCTACGGATCGTTTACCAAGCGGCCCACGGTCACTTTATGCTGGGCTGCATTATTATTGCATTGCTGATGCTGCAGAGCCTGCACTATCGCTAACCGGCGCAGGTGATGCTATCGATGATTTGATTAAAACAGTGCGGTGCTGTGGTTAACACACGTATAGTCATACAATAAACAGATAATAATCATACTGATAATAAACATTTCGAAATGAATTGGCTCGAAATAATAAATTTGCTCTCATCAAAGTATGTAGTATGGTTTACTAGCTGGATATAATTATATTTTTTCGAATATCAAAATTCTTACTGCGGTAATTTCGTTGCTTGCGAAAATATTAAATAAAATGTTTATAAAGTATGAATTTCCGGAGTTTATTTGCTTTTGCCAGTACAACGCTGGTCGATCAGCTGCTTTTACCGGGCAATGTAAGTACAATATGAGCAATGAACACACATAAGTTGTTGATGTTTTGTAAATGCTGTATGCCCACTGAAGCGAATTAGATCCTTTCATCGGAGGGAAATTGCCATTAATAATTCGTAAAGCCATGCAAAGTGCGCATGAATATGTATGGAAAAATCATGATCAGGTGCGTTGGAACACTATGCTCGGGCGGACAATGGCTGGGCCGGGGTAATTCAGCATGCAATCCATGGACCATAATTCCATGCTGTGAAATGTATTACACGTATTTAATTATTAATGTAATTCATCAAGCCGGGCCAGCACGGTATTGTTCTTTCCTACACACCTCCTTGCCACTTGAACTGACCAGCGTGGCGTGCTGCTTACGGCTGCTGCTGCTGTGTGTGTGCACATGCAGTGCGAAGGGTGCCTCTTTTGATCACAATGGACTGCCAATGCGCCGGCCACCGCAGGGCCCTTTCCACCGCCCCTCCCCTGGTTGTCCAGTTAGACGTCTATATTTTTGCTCCGATAATTACTCTTTTTGGCCTCCACCATTATATACGGAATCCAATGAAAATATTGAAATCACGGGTCACTGCGCGGAGAAAAGTGAATGAAGGGCAGTTAGATTTTACGATAATGGTACGTCGCTCTTCGACATACTCGTCTATTGCGCATTCGGTAGCGCACCACATCGCTCATTCAGCATCCAGCATAACAAAGCAATCTAGCTGCCACTTTACGATCAACAGCCACTAAACTACGGGATTGTAAAAGCTAACAGCAGGATAGATACCGTACATTTTGTATGACGCATTAAAGCGTATGTACGTATACAAGAAATTTCTTACGTCAATAAATTCTTGATGTCATATTTATGATATATAACAGTTATTAGACACTGAAGCAAATTTATTTGTATAAAATACGCGCCAAACAAGCCAAGTTTACCTGAACAGCTATGAAATAAACATTCAGCTACGAAATACGACTGAATATTTAAGGCAAATATGTTGTTATATTTTGGTAGTATAGCATATTTTTGTTACAAATTTCGACTACTTCGAAGTACTTCACGGAAAGTGCACCAAAGTAGTTATACGAAATTTTTAACTCTCTGCATGCCCTTTATTACCTGAAGTCGCACATAATGCATTCATAATTCTGCAACTGAATGAGATGTTGGCGGTGTCTTATTTCCATTTTATTTGTTGATGAAATTGCAAACCAGCGGCCAGAATGGAATTTCCTGTGTGTTCATCTCGCCAAATTCTTCCTCGCACCTGGCCGTCATAAAGTTACAGAGGTAGCAGCAGCAGTACCACTTCACATATATCGATTAGAGGCACACGTGCATTCTCAAAGCTGACCGGGTAATTTGGGGGAAATATGACGGAGTACACATTTGACAATATGATTTCATCATTCACGGTGTGATAGCTAAATAGGCTGATACAGCCGGGCAATATCCTATTTGAATGTAATTTGATACCGTGCATGCTGGTGGTCATTTTTGTCATCAATAATGCAATGCCGGTGGTAGCCACGCTGACCGGCAGCAGCCATTGCAGCAGCTGCTTTTCCAACCATGCACCCAACATTACGGAACGCCGCGCTTTATGGTCACGTCATGTTTTGTTCCCGAAATATTTATTGTTGACTTTGTGTTCACACAGGTATAAGTGGATCGGATGCGGATATCCTCCCGGCCGCGGGAGCTAGTCAGGTAGCGGCAGATGCTATCCGGTCTCTTGTCAACGCCACCGATGATCAGCGCCGCAACACATCGTTAACTTTCGCCCGTGATGATGCGGCCCCATTATCTACATCAGGCTCATTATTAAGTCCATATTCAGCATGGTCCGGGAATGCTAGCACGACAGTACCGTTGACAGTCCATCTTCCATTTAGCGGTGCAGATCAAGCGGCCCCACCCCGTCCGAATATGACGGTCACGGCCAGTCCCAGTACTGTTCAGCAGCGGAAGAATGGCAGCAATTGTTACTTCCCCTCGGAATATCAGGGCATTTATCAGGTGCAATCATCCATTGATCCGCAAGGCCGCGTGCAATATGATCAGGTAGAAATTGGACCACAAGACATCTCCGTCTGGGGCACCTGCCACTCCCTGGTCGGCCAACATGTTCTGCTGCATATCGGGTATGTACGGTCACTGTATGGTGAGCGGTTTAGTACAGTGGACAACGACTGGCTGATCATTACGCTTCCTTATCGTCTCAGGAGCGCTAAAGAAATAGGCGGTGACAAATCCCATTATTCATTTCATTGCACACTTTGTAAGATCAACATGCTATTTTGACCCTTCCTTAAATTTCCTCCCTTTCTACACTCCTTTTCTGGTGGAGAGTTGTTCTCACTTAATGAATCGGATTATTTAAGCCGATTACTAACGATTGCTAATTAAGCGGTTCAATCACGACCTGTCAGTCGTGAATGCGAGTTGTGCATAATTATGCAGAATCAGGCAGTGAAGTGCAAACATTTGATAAATATTATGTACCCCTCATTTTTAAAAAAACCTGTGACATTTCTGGCGATTTATATTGGGTACTTATGTATTACTCGTATATTGCTCTTCTGTACAATGGTCTCATGATTCATACTGTATACTCATGAGAACCACATATTTTATACTAAAATATACATCTGTAGATTATTTATTGCTGTATTCGAAATGTTTTCTGAAGATATTTATCATGTAACTTACCACTGTTTTATCATGTAACTTACAATTTTTATATTAGTGTCTGCAACTTCAACATCGTTCTTCGTAAGGATTCGGAATTATGCCTTAATGATGGCTCATGATGTTTTTTTTTCAGGGGAGAAGCCGGTGACTGTTTCCGGTGCATTCATCTGTCCATGAAAACTCCATCAGTGCTGCAGGTCTTTCCCGAAGGTAATGTTATGGTTTTATTAAATACTGTGTGTGCGTATCTTACAGACCGTAATTTCAATGTTGATTTCACTTTATAGGTTTGCAAGATAAATGTTATACAAACGAAGAAGCTGCTCGATCAAAGTGTCCCCAGCTCGCTTCTCTCCGACCGGGCGATGGTATTTTTCTTTGGCGTAAGTTATTGACTGATTGTACATTGAGACTGTATTTTGAAGAATGGAAAACGCAAAGTTAAACAGACAAAACGATTGGGTTTTCCATGAAAAAGCCGTCTTCTGTGTAGCAAAGATTATTGATACACCCTATTTAATTTATCGTGCACATGGTTCCAGTCCAAATATTCGTTTCATGAGGGGCCTCGTATTTGAACAGGAAAATCAGGTTCCATTGAACCGGCGACTTTGGTAACGGGGCAAAATATTTACCGAACGCTTTGTCCATTGGAAGGGGAGTTCACGTTTAAATATTATCTGAATGGCCGGCCGCTGTGCGAAACCGGAAATGCGCCAGTCAATATTCTGGACGGTCCGGAATGGAGCACAAATACTCCACAGCAGCCGCATAATGCCGCAGCGCCAACTATTAGCCAGCGCAGTGCTGCAAATCTGGAACAAAGTGATTTCGAACAGCCATTATCCTTCATTAGCACATGTCCATCCAGGGACATTTTGCACGCTACATTTCGGACGTGCGACATTACTGACCGAGGTAATATAAAGCGTATGCTGCGTAACCATCGTCATATCTACGTACAAATGTACAAGGAATGTTAAAATACATACATACGTAACCATATAGGAACATCGACGATAAAATATTTAATAAACAATATAATTCTGTTCAGATTTCATAGTTCCAACTTTAATTTTCTCACAATCAGTTTGAATCTTTCACATCTCTTAGCATTAGAATTAATCCACATGCGCTTTCGACAGACAAACGCACTTTAGAGTAATGAACCTTTTAAATGCTGCGAAAGTTGTAACTGGTTAACGGCTAACGACTAATTAGAGATGGAAGATCTGCATGGGCGCCTGAACTTGTTGTGCCGGAAATGAAGCGTTGCGAACTCGCGCACACAGACGGTGTAACATGTAACATCTTTAAATGCCACTTAACCGGATCTGCAGCAAATTGCTATCCAACGACGTTACTTTTTGTTGTTCTAATGGAAAATCTTTCTGAAAATGAACAGGAAAGCAAACAAAATGCACAGACATTAAACCCATTCCGCACAATTCTCGAACAAGTACCATCAAACTGTCTGATTCTTTGTTTCCGTTATGTTGGATTAAGTGCCCATGTAAAATCAATGCCATGCTGTTAAGTGACCTTTTCAAAGATACTCATCTAATTACAGCGACGCTCATTATTTATGCAAATGCATACGTAGAATGAATTTTTAATTTGCAGAAACGAACTTCAAATGTTTGGGAACATGGCCTGGCGAAGATGGGCAATCGTACATCGGTCTAATGGATTTCTACGACGATTCATATGCTAAATATCGTTGCGCAGTAAGCAACCAATTTCTAATAAATTACAAGTAATAACGTATGCTGGATTTTATAAAGACATATTCCGTAAAGCAAATTACTTACTGCTCCGGTCTAGTCTATGCATTTGTGGGCTTTTACGTTTTTACGTTATAAATGTCGAAATTACGACCATGCAGTCGCGTTTAATTTAGTACCGGGAAACGTTTACAATAAAATACGATATCTACAAATAAATCTTGGATTCGGCGCGCTGACCAGCTTCATACTGCGTTAGTCGTTTGCAACGATTTGCTTTATATAAACGTCGAAATTTTGAGTTTATTTTTTATTATGTTATTTTTAACATTTTTTGCACTCGTTATGTACGAAAAATGTTGAATTATTGCAGTTGTTCAAGGAGGAAAAGATCCACTCTGTGACCAACGGAGTACCACTAACAAGTTCCGTCTTCCATGTTTCTCTCTCACCGGACTCAAGCTGCAACAATGAATTGTATAATGCCACGGTTGGATACGAAACCCTTTCCTTGTTTCCCGTACAGAAATTTAACAAACGAAAGATCAAAGCCAAACTGTGGGAACTGAAACGTCGATTAGCCATGGAGAATTCGTTGTCGAGCGGGAACGATGAGCATGGAACTAATAAACCGCTGGGTCGTTTGCTTTTTGCGGGTGGCAAAAATCCTATGTTTGGTCGACCACCAAAATGTACGGGATAGAGGCGTTATTCGTAAATTGTCGCGGTTGTTCAAATTGTATTTCCGTATATCTCCGACATAGTGAAAATTTAAAATGATCTTTATTTTCAGATGGAATGGACAACATGGAAGAAAATGTGACATGCCGCTTTCCAGAATGGATGCAAGGAAACTGGCAGTATTTCTCTGTACAAAACGATGATCTGTATACCAAAGAAGCACTGGATAGTGCGGATGCGTACATGTACAGTGATACCGGCAAACAGCGATATCTCTGTGTTGGACGAGACGTTAAAGCATTCGGCCAGGATGAGAGCATTGTACTGTACTCGCAAACAAGCTGGTAAATATTCTTTAACTATCACCTCAACGAAAAAGATCACGAAACCTGTATAAAGAAATCAAAAAATCAAATCAAATCAAATCTTTAAATATTTTGCTGTTTGCAGCGGTGAAGAAAGCATTGCTTGCTTATGGGTGCGTAAAAGGGCACCGGCACCATGGAATTTCGAAAAGGTAAGTAATTACGATATGTTTTTTTTTTGCAAAATGATTATGTGGTAAAGATTGTGCGTTTCGCATAGGTCATCCAATACCATTTGCCGATGCCACTGTGCTAAAGCGTCACACCGGTGTGGCAACCGACGGTTCATCTGGGCCGTCGGTATTTCCGCCTTTTGACGTCTGTGAAGAATCTTTCTTCCTTGGATCCGCATGGAACACTCAAATCAGTGCGTGCCGGTTGTCTGGCGAGAAGCGAACAAATTATGGTAATGACTTTCATTTACAGATCTGGACAGCGGTGTAAATGAGAAGATTGAGACGTCCACGTGTCCGTTTTCCGGTGAACTGGAGGCGTACATGGGAAATGGCGAGAAATGCACCGCATTTTCCTCCCATTGTGGCACGCCGGATGTCTTTGAATATAAGCTGCGTACCTGTAAACAGAATTCCAGTCCGAAAGATGTCGTAATTTATGATGGTAAGACATTTCGAGTAATAATGTGTTGTGCTGATAAAGAGTAGCATGAATTACAATCATTCCGTCAATTTTTTCTTTGAAGTACGAATATGCAGATTATTAAAGGTTTGTGGTGCTTTCTTCTTAGAGCGACATTTTCGATGCGTGTCAACATGGAACAGCAACGGTTACATCTTGTTCTTAACGGAGCTGTTAAAACCAGAAGATCTGGAAACATCTGTGGTCTCCGCAGCTCGAAGGAACAATTCCAGAAGTAGCAATTTTGGATCTAACAATATCCAGACACAGTGTTTCGTAAGTCGACGAGCTTGCGAGTAGGTTGCCACATTACAGTACTCTGTACCCGTACATTTATTATACAATTTTATTACACAGGTAATGAAGGCGCTACCCGATGAACACGGATATGTGATAGCATCGTTGAATTCCAATTGTCGGCACGTTAGCGTGGAAGAATCCGAGTGGGATCAGCTTTTATCACAATCTGGATTGAAGTTTACTCTAACAGGTGAAATACGGCTAAAAAACGACAACGAAGTTATTGTCAGTGTAAATACGTCACTGTTTAAATAAGCACTGAAGAACAGACGGAGAAGAAAATTTACAATGGACTTGTAAAGTACTCTGTACATCTAGTAATCTACCGCACATATATACGATCTTATATGTGTGTATTAGTATCTTCATGATTTACAGTACAATATATGCTTATTTTAAACATTCCTATCCGGATAGATTTAAATTTAACCGACTTAAACAGTTATAATAAGCCAGCTCTTTGACGCTGCTGAGTACACGTTCGAGTCATTTTAAGAGAATTTTGATCTTGAACAACATTACTATGTCGTATCATGTATGTGTCTGTACTATGATCACCTCTTCTAAACTTCTAATTTGTCTATTTTTACAGCAAATTGTTCCTCATCACCGGCAAGCCAAATGAACGTTTTGAGTAACGATAATGCTTCCAATGAAATTCCAAGCACACTATACGGTCGTTATCACCCTCCGAAATTACGGCATAATGGATGGAATAACGAAACTGACGATGATTTTAATGCAATTTCAAACGCAATTACCAAGAGCGGTACGTTGAGACATTTCTTTAACCAGTTGAGTTATAGCTGGGTTTTCTCGTTGCAGCGTCCAGCTCCAACTCAATATTCCAAAATTCCCAACGAGCAGCAAGGTTGCTGGCAGTTGTTGTATTGACTGTGATTTGTTTACGGAAAGACTTTATTTACTTATAATTGTGTACAAAATATCTTTGTTGTTGTTCTTTTGTTTTGATTTCATTGGGGATGTTAAATTCACAATCAATTTGACACGTGAATTGAAGAGTCTGGCCTTCTTGAATGGTGCAGTAATTGTGTGGTTAACAATGGTATTACATAAAGGTGCGCATTTAATCGTGTATTTCTAAAATCTGGCAGTACATATTAATACATATTAATTAAAAACATTATTATTATAGTTAACGTTTATCAATATGCATAATTATTTCCGTAGCTTAATCAACACTTTTCAATCCAGTTTAGTCGCGCACGCAGTGCATACATATATTGCAGAAATGAATCTGAAAGTAGTGTAAATGCTAATCCCAAGGATCCCAAGAATATATCAATGTACCTTTACTGCTTTCCGATTCTCCAAAAAACAAAACAGAACTTGAATCATCCATCAGCTGGATCGGCGACGGGAATAAGCAGTTAGTAAAACCCACTGTATTGTACAAGTACAGGTATAAGCACAATATGTATTGTATACTTTAATTTCTATTGCTACTCGCTAGTACTATTGTTAGCTACTCGTATACGATCTTGGGCAGCGTACTGTATAACTGACCACGAGCAGCAGTTAATATTGTGTTTGACCATAGCGTGAGCATTGAGCAGTGCTAGGTATACGGTATCTGCGGCCATCAGAAGTACTGGCGATTGCTTGAATAGATAGTCGGTATTCTCCATTTGAATTTTTTAATTTGACGGTGTATTGAAAATCTTTAAATTTTAAATTTTTTATATTTTTACGCCCTTTGCTAGGTTCTGATGGAAAGATTGATTCTTCGGTTTCCTCCAGGTACTACATTCATCGACAATGAGTTTCTCTACTTTTATTTCCGGGTTAAATATTTTTGAACATTAATTCCCTTGCATAGGTTTCCAAGTTTTTGTTAGGGATGGCGCGGAAGACTACATTTATTTGCTGGAATCTCTACTCATCACGGATTTGCAACATCATTTCCAGCCCGCTCTGGAAATTGATGGTGACCGAATTTTTCTTACACCAGTCAGCGACAGGAGCATACAATATATCAACAGAATTATGGCCCCATCTCTGCGGTATGACTAATATTTCACTGATTTGTGAGAAATTAGTGTTAGAAAACAAGCATTAAGAAACTCTGACAATGCTTGAAACGAAATGAATGTTCAAAGAAAATTAAATAAGCACTTTAACGTAATATGGACTTTGATTAATCGATATCAGTTAACCTTGAATTACAGTCCGCGTCTGCTCCTATCTTGGGTGGACGTCGGCTGGGAAGGAGGATGGAATCTCGGCATCCAGATTCCATAGCCGATCTCTGTCGAGGAATTTCGAAATGGCCCCCAAAGATCTTATCGAAACTGGTACGAACTGCTTTACGGAAATCATTGGTTTTGCTTCGTCTGTGTTTTTATCGGGGTAAGCTGCAGCTGCTGTTTATATTATCTGCTGCCGCCACCTGAAATTACCATTCGTTCGTATTTTTTCCTTGATTTTCGCTGGATTGTGAGTATTATTGTTTATTGTATTTTGAACTTTGAAGCGTTAATAAATACTAAAATTCTGAATGGGAACTGGTCTTTTATTTTTTGACAAACAAATCTACCAAATTAGGAATCTGGCACAGCTTACGGTGATAATAATCTTGCAATTGTATGGACGACTGACTTTGAAAGTCTAACCGACTTACGTATTTCTTATGCGGAAAGCCACAGTAATTGTTTCTCTTTGTCCGTTGCCATTAGAGTTTGCAAGAGTTACCGTTTCCGCAAGGCGGTTACTTGTACTTCAAAGCTGAGTATAACAGCTCGTCGGTCGATTTTGATGTGTGTTTTCGTGTAGTTCTGTTTGAGTTTGTTCTGTATTTTTTGTGTTATCTTTTTCTTCGCAGATTTCGGGGAGTCACAGGTGTTCCCCCACTATAGCTTAAAATTTTGGGGGAACAGCGACAGCGTCGTATCCCGTAGTCTGCAGCTTCTCAACGATCTTTCTATGGGATACAGCAGTATTCGACGTATGGTCAAGCTGGATGAAGTTCAGTTTTTGCTGAAAAATCATACGGTTAGCGACTGGTTTATCAAAACGCAAATCCGTATACTTGGCCGGTTATTTTGTATTGAACTTGCATGTGCCTACTCCTAGAGTGGGTGCTGCTAACGTGCTAGCTAGTTGCTGCTAACTAGTTTTCCGATTTCAGAGTGAACATTTCTCGTTTTTGGGCGCTAATTCTACATTGGGTGATTTGAAATGCCGTACTGCATTCTACGCCTCCTTAACGCGGCTGTTAATCATTGAACTGGCAGAGGATGAGGATAAACTGGATGAGTTCATGCGGCCAATCGGAGGTACGGTGTATTTCTCTGCGCTCCTTTTGGCAAATGATATTGGTAGGGCACTGACAGTACAGTATACTTAAAGGATAGCTTGATCAGAGAATATCAGAACATCGAACTTCAGGGATTTGCTTAATTTCTAATTTTGCAGTGGAGTTTGAGGAACTGGGCAGACTTATGACACACGCCGCTACTGCCATGTTTAACGAGCGCGAAGCAAAACTGGCGGCAATCGGCATCGCGAGAGATCTCCGAGGAATTTCATCCGCTTTGCTGAACCGTACATCGTATATTTTATTCTTTGACTGGATGTAAGTGATGTTTCTTTAATTTATCGATTTGTCGGATGAAACGATATGTCGCTTTCGATTAACTAAGAAAATTTTAAATAGTTTTGTATTTAACAGAATGATGATGATATATTACCATTTTACAGTGTTGTTCGGTATTTTGCAGATATCCCAAGTACCTTAACGTGTGCCAGCGCGTTGTTGAATATTGGTATTCGGACCCCGCTGTGACGACACCTATGTTGAAATTCATGGCGGAATTGGCACAGAATCGCTCGCAGCGGATACAATTTGATATCTCGTCTCCAAACGGGATCTTGCTCTTTAAAGAAATTAGCAAGATGTTCACCGTCTACGGTATGAGGTTGTCTGCTCTGCTCATCTTTAACCTGACTACGAATTCTAAGGGATTCTATCCTAGGTACGCGTATGCTGACCATTAGTGACATTCCAAAGCAGGATTTATATCCCCGCAAGTTGAAGGGCGTCGCCGTGGCCCTCACCATGTTCAAATACGCTCTCATGGGCAATTACTGCAATTTTGGTGTTTTTCTGCTCTACGGTGATCGCACGCTGGACGAGGCGCTACAAGTTCTCATTAAACTGATCACTTCAGTTTCCCACTCTGATCTCCTGGTATGACGTGCTTTTCCCTGCCTGTTGCACTAATTGGATATTCATTCAATTTGCCTGTTGTATTTGGTAGGAATATCCAAAACTCGGTCAGGCATATTACTCTTTACTCGACGTTGTCTCTCTGAACCACATTGACTTCCTGATCAATGTGGATCCCCCAGTGTTTTTATACATTCTTACCAGTATTTCCGAAGGGATAAATTCTCTCGGTAGGTTAATTGTGCATGTAATTTTTAATATCTTTACCGTTGCCAGACAGTTTCAAGCGTTCAAAAGCACCGTGAAAATGCACATGTGTGCTGTTTTAGAAACTGTTGTGAATTCAGCCAGCTGCTCCTCGTTGGACAACATCATCACGGCTTTATATAGGGAAATTCAGCGTCGCCACAAGCATCCTGAATTGGCTGCCACGGAAAATCGTTCCTCTGTGTTGCGCATCTACGAAGTGCAGCCGCAGCTTTTCCAGCAGCTGATGACAACAATCTTACGCATTGCTGTGTTCGAAGAAGGACGCAATCACTGGTCTTTCACGACCGTTATTGGGTCTGGTCCTTCTCTGCGATCAGGTATAACTGACAGATTTGCAAGCTTATGATTTTAAACCATCTGCAGTATTTTTTTTATTATAGTGAAAGTACTCTCAGATATTGATAAAGTTTTCATTTAGCATTTCCAAGAATTGCAACCGCGCATTATACAATCATTTCCCGAAGACAAACGGGGTCAGGTTGCCAACTGCTTTATCATCTTGATGGATGGGGTGGAGCGGAATTTATCGAATAAGACTCGCGACAGGTACAATTATCTTGAATAGAACAAGTGTTATCCCCCGTTTGTAATTTGTAAAGATTTATTTTTGATTATTTTACGTAGTAACCGAAGGCTTACACATTACCGTTTGGGTAATGATGTGAACACTTGCTTACAGATTTACACAGAATTTATCTTTATTCCGTCGCGAATTAAACGAGACGCAGAAAGGGCTGGACAGTAGTAATCCCATGCTGGACTGGATTGCTGTGCGTGAAGAGCTGGATAAATTTTGGCTGCGTCTGAACTCCGAGTTCACCGGCAGTGGAGGTGTGTTCGTCGATTTTAAATGAAAAAACAATGGATTGAATGGCGCATGCGATGTTAGTAAGATGTTGACTTCTGTTTGCTTGATGCTTAACGGGATATATATTCGGTGTATTACGCAGGTGAATTGGTTCTGATTTACGAACCACCATCCAGCAAGACTGTGAGTTTTCTCATGTGACATGCTGTGGCACTGGACACGGCCATTCCCAGTTTATATTAATTGTTTGTCGTTTTTGGCGGGCATTTTTGTGGACTACAGAATTTTTCTTAGTTTTTACGCTTTATTTGTCATTTGTTGCAGGCTGCACCCACTTGCAGTGGCATGCGGTTCAGGCCTTTCGGTTTTTGTATAGGATGAACCTGCTCACAGTGCAGCTCTCGGAAACGAATATACTACTGAATTTTTATGTTCGATGTACTGCGAGACGGGGGGCTGGTTATTTCGAGTTGATATCTGTGAATCTACAACAAAAACGACGGTTCCGTTGCTTTATACAATGCTTCCATGTCGGTTCTTACACATCGGTTTTGTTCATCTCGTTTAATTTATTTTACGAGTACGTAATAATTACCAGCACTGCGCTATGCGCTGATGTGAAACTAACACTATCTGGTATTATACTTTTCAGAAGAAGATTTACAAAGGATATTTGATCATTATAATTAGCTTTAATCTGCGCAAGCGTATTGTCACGTGTACTGGCTGTTGCCGAAAAAAGATACTTGTATATTTATTTACAGCTAATCAGTAATGACTAATACAGTAACTGTAGAATTGAATTTCACTAAATGTGAACTTTTCAAACACAGAAAATATTGTTTGATGTAAATTTTATTTTCTTAGTCGATATCCTATCACGAGGCGTAAAACAAAAATCAAAATCTGAAAATTCAATGCGCAGTGCTAGTCTGGCGAACTTCTGGGCCAGAACTAGAAGTACTCAAGCAGCGCGCTTTAGTTTATAATGTCATACACTGCCACTCCATGGCGGCCTACCATGGCTCGATAAGAGATGGTTAATCCATAAGGGAAATGGCCCGGTACATAGCGTCAAGAATGGGATACACGCACAAAAACTTTCGCTTTCGCACACTACGAATCACTTTTTTGTAAAACTTCATGTCATTTTAAAGCTAAATGATTTGTATACATTGTTCCGAAACCCGTTTCCCTTAAGCTATGGATATGGACAGGACAGTATGGTGTCTTTTTAGTCTTGCCCAAAGCGTCTGTTAAAGTTATAATATTATAATTATTGTTTTTCTCCTTTACCGTAAAGGCTTTACCCTGGGATAACGTTAAACGTGGTGTTATGAAAAGCAAAATTCTCGTGGTCCTTCTGAGCTTTTGGTAACTTACCGCAACCACAATGTCTAGCGTTTCCAAGAAGCGCGAGGCCGAGAACACGGCCGCGACTGCTACTGCGCCTAAGAAGATCAAGATGATGGAATCGCAGGGATCAGGAATTATTAATGGCCATGCTCCCACTGGCAGTGAAATCGCGACAGTCGGCGATAGCAAACCAGGTAAGAGAATTCCATCTCAGTTCCCATTAAACTAATAAAGAGCGCAATCGGCCAATGGCTTTATTTAGTGACGAAAGTGGAAGTTGAACTTAAGGAACAAGATATGGCCAGCCTGTCTCGCACGTGTACCGGGGTCCTGGCCAGCCCGTCGCAGTCGCGCGATCTGAAAATCCACAATTTCTCCGTGAATTGCCACGGGTTTGAGTTGTTGGGCGACACGCATCTGGAGTTGAACGCCGGCAATCGGTATGGTCTGATCGGACTGAGCGGCTGCGGGAAGAGTACGCTGCTGGCGGTTATCGCTCACCGCGAGATACCCATCCCCGCGGGACTGGATATCTTCCATCTGCACCGCGAGATGGCCCCCGTGGATAAGACTGCGCTACAGTGTGTGATGGAGATCAATGAGGAAAGGATGCGACTGGAGAAAGAGGCAGAGGAGCTCGCGCACGCTTATCCTGAAGGTACGCTCATTGTCGTATGAAAATAAGATCAGTGTTTCGTGCACAGCTATTTTTAAGTTGTTTTTTTTTTGCTAATCAGCTAATACGTATTTACGGTATTAATGTATTTAATTCTTTTGTTGCGTTCCGGTAATTGTCCTATTTGAATTTCTGTAGCCTCGCACGATAAATTGATGGATTTTTATGAGCGCCTGGACGAAATTGGAGAAAAAGGTGCAGAAACTCGTGCAGCGGATATCTTGCATGGTTTAGGCTTCACCAAACAGATGCAGCAGACCAAAGTCAAGGAATTTTCTGTCGGCTGGCGTACGCGCCTTACCCTGGCCCGCGCCCTGTATCTTAAACCTGCTATTCTACTTTTAGATGAACCGGTATGGTTGGTTAATTGTTCGTTTTTCTCGGTAATACCATTTACATTTATTTTAGTAGTATTTTTTCATAAGCATGGGAAGAGTTATGTAAGTACTTATTATAATAATTACTATTCCGTATTCAAATTTTCTGATAATACAATAATTTCAAGATAAAGTATAAAATTTTCTCAGCAGTCACTAGCTTACCTTTGCCAATAAATATGCAGACAATAAGTCGCGATCTCACATACTTTCGCGTAATGAACTGCTAAGGGCTGATTACAATGCCAATAACGTTCCTTTGTGTGGCTTGCACAGAGTTTTTAGCCAAAAGATTTTGTTTGCAGTATGAGACCAGTACTTGTTGTTTGGAATTTGGAAATTTATGTGCACAAGTCAGATGTATATGTCACAATGTGAAATCGTTAATTTTTTGAAATCTTTTTACAATCAGGAAATCTGAATGCGCAGGTGATTCGTTGTTCGAAATGTATGTCAGACTGATCCGTTGTTGAGAAAAGTCGAAGTACATACTTACTGATACCGTCGTCGCGGTTTGCGTTGGTAGTTTTGCAGCCAGTTTGGGTATCTCAGTTTTCGATCTTCTGAACGTTTCTTTTAATTGTCATCCGATTTTTTAGCCCATCGTATTTGAAATATTTCACGTTTTTTATGAACTTATATGAATATGAACGGGCAGACGAAGTCCTGTAGCTTTTTGTGTCTATGTTCTCAGTTGATTTCCTTGTGCTGGTTTTCAGACAAACCATCTGGATCTGAATGCCTGCGCATGGTTAGAAGAGGAGCTGAAATCGTATGCATGAGTCTGGCTGTCACCTTGTCGTGGCGACTATTTAATAATTTTGCAGGTATAAGAAAATTCTTGTTGTGATTTCTCATTCGCAAAACTTCCTAAACAGCGTATGTACCCACACTATTAATCTGGATCAAAAGCAGCTGAGATACTACGGCGGTAATTATGAATTTTTCGCGCGAACACGGGCAGACGAAGTGAGAAGCCTACTCAAACCGGTTAGCCAAACTTATTTGGTATTGTGTTAATTTTATAACCTTATGTTGTTTGTAGCGCAAATGGGAAGATGAACAAATCGATCATATGAAGGTTTGGTTATTACCACTGAGATAAAATGGTTTTTGAAATCTGTATAATGCGATGTGGATGTTAAAAGTTCGCTGCATTGACCAGACTTGCTTGCATTGCACTCAATGCACTGTTCTTTAATTAAGCTGTTTAACGCATTGATGAGAAATTTCGTCGAAATGCAACTTTTTAACAGCTTGCAACTATAGAAGTATGTTGATTGACAGGCTTTGGAAAAGATGAGTCTGGACAAAGCTACCCTGGTCAGCTGGTGCTATCAAAACTTTTTTCCAAAACTTGTGCTCGGCTGTTTCGTAAAAGTTGATGTGCAGAAGTATGGCGTGGATTTCGAAAGTGTTCGGCCCACTTATCAGGTAATAGTGGATTTATAGTGTCTGTTTTCCACTTGACAGAAAAAGTTCTGTTCTTGACAGAAAAGTTTTTCTGTTTTCCCAAAAAAACATTTCTTCTATTTTGATTGTGTACACTTTTTTTCTGTATAAAGCATTTGATTTTTCAAAACATTGGGTCAAACAGATGATGCATTAAAAAAATAATAACTGTTCTGCACCTTGGGTGTGTTCATACTTCCTGTGTGTACGCCCATAGAAAAACTTCTTCCCTTGTCCTCATACTTTTCCACATGTTTCCACTGTTTTGCCTGCTTCGGAGAAAATAGAAAAATATAAATTCAGCGTAATCAGAATAAGTACAGTAAATGTTTTTGATCAAATTGTGTTACTATTTTTGCCAACTGCGCAAGAACTGGGTTAAGCAGTCAGAAAGTTGTTAGTTATCCATATTTGCGTAATCGTACATTCGTACGTGAAGAAAGACGGGAATCGAAATCGTAGCAATTGTAACCTAGTAATTCACTTCCTGATTACAACTATAGATTGGCCGAATTGTGGGAATAAGCGAACTAAAATCACCGTATTGGATAACTACTAGCTTGTCACCTGGAGGGCCACCATCAGATACTAGGACAAATTGGAATCTTGTGGTTAGGTGAGCGAAGGAACAAAATGCGAATTTACGTTTCACTAAGGAATCGACTTTTAAGTGAATTTAAGGGAAGTGGGCCGGTACAAGGTACAGAATTCGTGTACCTGCACGAAAACTTACACTTTCGCGCACTCCCAAACACATTTTTGTTTCGGTTTATGACTTTCTGTAGGCCCGAAGATTTGTATACACTGGTGTGAAAACCGTTTGTGCGCGCAACATCCGGTTCGGGAGTTATGGCTTTTAGAAAATTCCAAAAAGTTTAAATGCATTCAGTTGTACCAAAAGTCTCATTATGGACCGATCTTCCTCAAATTTTGTACTTAAATGCGCATGTCCATGAAGATCGTTTTTACACCGATTTAAACTTTTTGGAATTTTCTAACAGCCATAACTCCGGAACCGGATGTTGCGCGCACAAACGGTTTTCACGCCAGTGTATACAAATCTTCGGGCTGCAGAAAGTCATAAACCGAAACAAAAATGTGTTTGGGAGTGCGCGAAAGTATAAGTTTTCGTGCATGTACACGAATTTGGTACCATGTACCGGCCCACTTCCCTTAAGTGTTACGCCCATTTTGCAGCATTTGCATGAATTTTTTGGTTTAACTTTAGATTTGCTGATGGAAAAAGTGACTTTTTATTGGATGACGTGTCAAGACAAAAGGGCACCGGGCAAGAAGTTGCCGCTTATCTCGATTCTTTGGAAAGAGACGGTTTTGTTATCACTGACCATCGAAAAATGGAAAGCAAGATGAATGAGCTGGACGAGATCGTCGGCCGCCCGACAACTGACGAAGATTTTCAGGAATTCTTAGCGAATCAACGGAAATGCCTTTCATATCCCTGGACATTGTCCATCCGTGAATTGCACGATTTGTTGCCTATGCGGAAGCTAAAAGCTGTTCAATCTAAGGACTTCAAGCGCGCGGTGCGTATACAAGAGCAGTTAGATGATTTACTGGCATACCGGCCCGAGCTGGATGAAACCAATGCGGCTAGCTGGAATCCACCGGTGATTGTTGACAAAAAAACCGTAAGTAGCAGGAGTGATAGTCATAAAGTTTTGACTCATTGCTGTTGTAAAAATCTGATTATGGTTTTACGTAACCCACTTTAACAGAGGATGGACGAAGTGTATTACGTAGTAAAGTGATTTACTGCGTGATTTTATGTTTCACTGATGAGAACTTACTTTTAACATGCAGCGGTATAGTTTTCAATATTGCGGCATTTTGAAATTAACAGTTATTATGTGACGGTTACTAGTTTTCCAGTCGGTATTGTTGTCAGAGTCTCAGACGTGACATTCAGACTGTTTTTCGCTTCTTAGCGTCAAGAGCGTATTCGGAAGCAAATTGGACGTCGCCGTTCCATGTCCGATGCCAAGGATTATCCATTTTGTTAGGATACGGAATTGGAAACTTGTTGGTCTAAATTCTCTGGAAGTCTGGCGTGTAAATTCGCTGCTTTTTAAAACAACAGCTCTGAAATTTTTAGGAATAGTTCTGCTGAAATTGTGACATTTCGACATGAAGTTATCTGCAATTCAGTCTCAGCTTTCTGGCATTACAGCCCGTTTGTGTACACTTGTTAGAATTTACGCTAATTATTGCAATGTTTTTTTAAGCAGTCTGGCTTCTCTGTGGAGTGTTTTGTTAAAACCACAAAATTCTTTGGGAAAGAGCAAACTTGTAAATACCTACTCCATCTATTCTTTACTCGTATAATAATTTTAACAATAATTTATTGAACTTTAATTATCGGAATAACACATAAAGTTAAAGATCGATATGCAGCTATTGTACTTAGTCAAGACTTGATTATATAGAGAATGCCGTTTGTCGTGAGTACAGATTTGTCTCAAAATTTAACAGTGTACAATATAAATCAACAGCAGGAATGGAACAACAGCCTATCCTTCTTTCTGCAAAACAGCCCACTGTGCAAGGCGAAGTGGACTGAAATGACGAAATAAAGCGTTGCGAACTCGCGCACACAGACGGGTAACATGTAACCTCTTCCACTTTACCGGATCCGTAGCAATTACTGTCCAACGATGTTACATTTTGTTGTTCTAATGGAAAATCTTATCTTTCTGAATTGCGAGGAAAGCAGACAGAATGCACAGACGTTAGACGCATCCCGCACAGTTCTCGAACAAGTAGCATCAAACAGTCTCATGTTTTGTTTCTGTTATACTGGAATAATTGTTCAAGTAAAAGCAGCGCCATGCTGTTAAGCTTTTCAAACGTACTCACTAACTACAGCGACGCTTATTATTTATGCGTCTGCGAAGAGTCATTCTTCCTTTGATCAGCATGGAACACCCAAATCAGTGCGTACCTGTTGTCCGGCGAAAATGTGAACAAATTATGTAATGACTTTCATTTGCAGATCTGGATAACGGTGTAAATGAGAAGATTGAAACGTCGACGTGTCCGTTTTCCGGTGAACTGGAAGCATACATGGGAAATGGCGAGAAATGCACCGCGTTTTCCTCCCATTGCGGCACGCCGGATGTCTTTGAATACAAGCTGCGTACCTGTAAACAGAATTCCAGTCCAAAAGATGTCGTTATTTATGATGGTAAGACATTTCGAGTAATAATGTGTTGTGCTTATAAAGGCTAGCACGAATTACAATTCATTCCGTTAATGTTTTCTTTGAAGTACGAATATGCAGATTATTAAAGGTTTGTGGTGTTTTTTTTTAGAGCGGCATTTTCGATGCGTGTCAACATGGAACAGCAACGGTTACATCTTGTTCTTAACGGAGCTGTTAAAACCAGAAGATCTGGAATCATCTGTGGTCTCCGCAGCTCGAAGGAACAATTCCAGAAGTAGCAATTTTGGATCTAACAATATCCAAACACAGTGTTTCGTAAGTCGGAGGGTGCGAGTAGGCTGCCACAGTACAGTATATACTCGTATATATTTTTAGTATTACTCGTTATACTACTCGTATTACTCGCATTTTATGTTACACAACTAATGAAGGCTGTACCAGATGAACATGGATATGTGATAGCATCGTTGAATTCCAAGTGTCGGCACGTTAGCGTGGAAGAATCCGAGTGGGACCAGCTTTTATCACACTGGATTAACGTTTACTCTAACAGGTAAAATACGACCGAAAAACGACAACGAAGTTATTCTCAGCTGTAGAAAATGCGTCACTGTTTAAATAAGCCTTGAACAACAGACAGAGAAGAAATTTTATAATGGACTTGTAAAGTAATGATGACAAAACGTAAATACATCTACCGCACATGCAATACGTGTGCATTAGTATCTTGCATGATTTATTGTACATGCTTGTTTTAATCGTAAGTATTCGTATCCGTAGAGTTTTAAATCTAACCGATTTGAACAGATAATTATAATAAGCTAGCTCTTGTGAACGCTGCTGAATAAAAGTTTGAGTCATTTTAAGAGAATATTCAACAACATTACTATGTAATAAACGTGTTGATCAACGATACTGCTTCCAATGAAATTCCTAGCACATTGTACGGTCTTTATCACCCCCTAAAACTACGGCATAATGGATGGAGCAACGAAACCGACGATGATTTTAATGCAATTTCAAATGCATTTACCAAGAGCGGTACGTTGAGGAATTTCTTTGTAGCGGTATATGTACCAGTTGACAATGAGTTGCAGTTTTGTTTTCTCATTGCAGCTTCCAGCTCCAGCTCAATATTCCAAAATTCCCATCGAGCAGCATGGTTGCTCGCAGTTTCTGTATTGACTGTGATTTGTGTACGGATAAACTTTATTTGCTTATAATTGTGTACAGAATATCTTTGTTGTTATTCTTTTGTTTTGATTTCATTTGGGATGTTAAATATTCACAAGCAGTTTAACGCGTGAATGGTATAGTTTGGTTTTGTAAATGGTGCAGTTAAGCAATGGGTTTATTTATGCCGCACTCCAAGTGATGGAAGAAGGAGATATTGTTTTTTTGTTTCGGATTTTGTTTAGGAAAAACAGAAAGCAATAAAGATGCGCTGTACTATTCGTAGTATCGTTAATATCACGAAAGGAACATGAAAGTACGACGAACACATCTCGACCTAACCATAAGGGACCACTGGCTAATAACTACACTGCGGCAACGAAAATATATACAAATGCTACGCGTAATAAATATATAGCATAAATAACACTAAGCCAAATATAGATAAGTACAAAACTCTTTTACTAAGACCACCGGTTGCGTAAACCTTGTATGATACTTACCAGCTGCCTGTTTGGAACTTATTATAAGTAACGCTATGGGTAAAAAAAGAACCTTTACTAGTCGGGATATCTGGGTTATTATGGCTTAACTGTCAGTTGATTGCATAATTAAACAGTCGAGGCCGAAAGAGCGGACATAGCACTGTTTTAAGCCACCGTCATACGCGCGCGGCTTTGCTGCAGTCGGCATTGAAACGAACCTAGAGCCTACTAGTGTATCCCAAACCGATGACAAACGCCCCGAAGGGTTACATTGGTACCGTGGGAGAGAAAAGAATTTAGTATGGGGCGTCAGGTACATTTCCACGGTAGCTAGCGAATAGCGATACGTTTATCACATAGCGCGGCACAAGCGACGCTAGGTGGCACGCGCGCAGTGCAAAATAAAGTGATGAAATGTTGGAGCAATACTCAGGAGTCTTGAACTTGATGGTCTTGAGTAATGACTATCATATTATGCCCTGTCCATTAGGCTCGAGACATTTGGATTTGCGGATCGGAAGCCTCTCGTTGATCTCCGAACTCAGGAAGAAGATACGACACGGAACTGGTCAGATCTGTGGCAGCGGATCAGCATGGAAATCTAACGCCGAAGCGCGACTCCTGCCACACAGAGAACAATTTCACAATTTAGGTGAAACGTTCTGTGTGATTAGGCTACCTAGTACCTACTTCCGTTGTCGGCTGAGGTTATGTAATGAACGATGGCCTTTCACTTAATTTGAAAGGAAGCGCAGTTGTTGAAAGTTGCAACTGCTGCCACGGCCAAAGATTCAAAAATCAGTTTATGTTTAATTCTAAAGTTAAGACACGAAATCTTTAATTTTGTTGGTTATATGTAATCGACAGTGCTCACGGTAGTATCAAGTTATAAAGTTATTGAAAAAGTTATTGTGCGAAGAAACGCTCATACAAATATATGCGTCACCCTGCATCTTCCCATGTCATATGGCACTAAATTAAAGAATTTATCTATTTTCTGGGTTTTTTCGAAGGCTGCGGTCGATGCCAACTGTTACTGCGCCTTGCACAACCAAATTTGCTTTAATTATTTACTTCTGAAATAACTACTTTCCTTTCCTCAAAACTGTTTTCTGATTTTGGCCTCATTTACATTTCTGTGTATTTTATTTTTTTGAAATTTTTAAAAAAAACTGAACACGTTATGATCTTAATAAGTCAACTTGTTTGATATTATCAATTTTACGATCTCTTCTGCAGTACATATGTTGGTGTCTAATTCTATTTGTTGTTATACATTTACACATTAAACATCGATTTAGAACTGATGTAGACTAGCTGTACAGATTTCCTACGCCGTGGAATAAGGGAAAAATAAGGATACAACAATGTTGTCGTGAACACAGATTTGTCCCAAAATTTAACAGTGTAAATATATATCAACAGCAGGAATAGAACAACTAACCCGTACAGTGAAAGCCAAAAAATATAACCATCGTCAAACACTTTGGAAGACAATAGGAAAACACTAAAAAACACTATCCGTCTTTTTGCAAAACGGTCCACTGTGCAAGTTCACCAACCAACGAAGTGGACTTTACAACATCAACAATCGACATAGAAAACTACACTCCAATAAGGTATAAAATCAGGTTAAAAACAAAGTGAAAAAAGAAATCTATAACCCATCGTCGATATAGAGCAAATGTGCCATATTAACAACTATCTAGGCAAGAGTATTGCGAACAAAGAGAAAACACACCCACATATATAACGAATCTAACCACCAATAATCAACGGCCTGCAGTCTTGTTTCCGGCTTTGCGCACTTCGTCCATGTCAATCAACGTGGAAACAAAAACCCCGGAAAAAACGAAAGCGGGATACACTGCCGACACCACGGCGGCATCCAAACAGATAGGAACCGGTCAGAGAATAACGCATCCCCACGGGAAAACGGGAAGCACACACAGCGAGACAATTTACGTCGTCATTGTCGTTCAGGATTGAGCAAAAATCTCATGTGTCATGGGATGTGCGATTACCATTAGGAACACACATTTAGAGGCCTGCAAGGAAATGGTCCGAGGTTAAAACTAGAAAAGAAAGAAAAAAAGGTCAGGGCATGCAGAGAAAAGGTCAAGGCCGGGAAAAATCAGAAGAAACAGAGATTTTTTAGTTACCTGTCATATTCTGTCCAGCAAAACCGGAGAAGGTGGCCTGCGGATTCTGTAGCATGCTGGTCTGGGCGCTTAAATGGTCCAAATTGCTCTGGATCTGGCTGGGATGCTGCACATGGGTCAGACCGTGGATGCCGTAGGGATAGGTCGGCATATTGCCCGGATAGGCCATCATGGAATGCGGCGCGGTATGACTGAGAGTCGGCACGGCGGAGAAGCGGAACTGTGACTTGTCAAACGCGTGCAACGGCTTCATTAGCTCAATATTCATTCCACTCCGCACTAATCCCTTCTTGCTCTTCGACGACAATTTCCGGTTACGGGTCTGGATGCCGTCTTTCTTCATGGTAATTGGTCGGCTCACCTGCAATGGATTAAGCAGCTGTAGGAGGAAATCAGATTGGAAAAGATCATACCAAGCAATTTTGGAAATATTTACACCAACTGTAATTTTTCGTACTTCGATTTTTGCATACAGATACTATAAATAATTTCAGCATGCACTACAATCGTAATTGCATTAGATTTAATAGTACGACGAAAGTTTAATTTCTTAAAACAAATTAAGAAAACTCGAAAAACTGTAAAACTTAAAACAGTTCACTGCATTTCACAGATTCCTTTCGCAAGTTCCTAACACATATACAATGCCGGTAACTTAAAGGTAGCGCAATTACAGAGTGTACACACAAGTCACAACTATGTTTTGAAAACCTGGCTTTCTGACGCGTTTGTAAAGCTGGAAATTACTATGCTGCAGTATTTAGTCTGTAGTAGACAATAATTTCAATCACCGTCTTCGACGTATCGCTTAAATTAGCAAAGCTTTTCCGCCAGAGACTTAACTGCATTTTTCAGAGTATCTTTTCTAATTCATCCGGCTGACGCTTCGGACAGACAGTCCATAATTACCGAATAGCTACGCTTGACTTTAGAGAAAATTCCGGGCGTCGAAGAAAAGTGCATACATTATGAGCTGACTGCATTCTACATTTCTGCCGTCCATCTTCTCTGTATTAATAACATCATTGCCAAATATTTTACTTGCTCCTATGGTCGTGATAAGCGAGATGGATGATAATCGCTCTTCCATTTGGAGTAGTCCTCAGACTCACAGTACTGAACTGCCTGGATGCGTATTTTCCGGCTTGCATTACGACAAGACTCTTCGCTACAGGCACTTTCTAACCAGCGATTGGAATTCGATAACGATTTCACTACTAATCATTCCGTAATTGCGTATAGCTGTAAGCTGTTTCGGTATGGAATATGTATTTTGTACCAGATTTTACTTGTCCACAAGACTTACTTATGGACAGTTATGGTAAGCTATTGCAATAAACTGCAGTCTGATTAGCGTGCAAAAAAGCAAAGAAATTTTATAAGACGATGCAAGTTAAAATATATAAAACATTTTAATGCGAAAGCCATAGTAAAATGGGCTTCCTCAATCGTAGCCATTTAACAGAACGAACGAAGGAAAAATTAAATATATAAAAAATATTGTGAATAACCCAATATAACTTCTTCACTAATAAAAAGGCCGGCGCATAGTATTGAAAGTCCGAATACTGGCAATGAGCCATAGTCCAGTCTGCGATGCTGCCGGTAGTAAATAAACTGCTGCTCAATTTCAATCGGAAGTCATCTGACGAAGGCCAGATATGGCTACACTGTTTGTGGCCAGATAATTGTCACAAGCAGAGAAACTCGAAACAGTGACCAGACATAATTAGCAACACTGGAGGACATCCACACTGGCTGGCTGCTGACCGAAGGATCCATCAGCACATTACCATTCATGCACATCAGATAACACGACAAACGGATGAACTACCACAGATCATTAATTTACAGAAACTTCTCAAAACGATAACAGTGTTTACCGGCAGACTGGTTATCGGATCTCGTGCACGCGGTAGTCGCTGTGTTGACGCTATAAACAGATCATCGCCGAATTTATCTTAGAAGTTGGAACAATCAAAACATAATATCAGCCGCATCAGACCCTTACTAAAACATTAAAACATTATTATTTCCCGTACGAGATATACAGATTTTAATTCGAAAAGACCTCAATATTTAACGCCACGAAAAGACAACCAAAGGCAGTTTAAAAGTATCCATAATGGAAATTAAATTACTGCGGGTACGTCATGCTACAAGTTTTGCACACACACATAAAACAGACCGTCACCTTTAGTGCACAAAATCAGAATTGTCAAATATATGAACGTACGGTAATCTCCGTGAACTCTCAGATGAATAATCTACTTTGGGGTCAGTTTTCACAAAAGTTGTTCCGCCATTTTTAATCCTAATGAACAGCACGGACAAACCGATAATTAGGTACGGAAAACGACTAATTAGAAAATAATGCGGGGCTGGCTGCAACGCCTCTTTTGACAAGATACGTGAAAAGCCAACCTGAGCTGCTATGAAATCTGCTTCGCTGCTCCACAATACAATCAAGTAACACAAAATTTAATGCACATCGTACACAATACATCAGAAATTTGAAACGATTTTCAGTGCAGTGCGCTAAACTGGTACGTAGAGCACTTCATCGCGGATAAAACACGTTTTCGTTTATTAGTCATAACAGTGATTTATTTTTGCGAACGAAAAGAAAGCCTGTTGAATGGATTGAACCACCATTACTTCATAGGTATCGTCCCAACAACCATCTGATCATCAAGCGAAAACTTGTGGCTTTCTATCGCATAATGGATTTTCCGAATCATTAGCTGCCAGTATGCGGAAGCGTCAATCTGGCCATTTTAAAATTTAATGCATTTCGCCAGCCACAAAACTATTACTACCCTCCTCCATAATTACAACAGTTTGTGCCGCAAGACTACAAAAGTGCATCGCATACCCTTCTGCCTGCTTGCACATTGAGTCATTCATCACGGGAATGAATCGCCGTTTCATGTCCAGCATTTTCAAACCGGGAGACAGACAAAACTGACAAGTACAGGGAATCCGAGATGGGGACGAATTATATTATCGGCTGACAGTGGCGGCCAGAAATACGCACGCACACACATACCCGCTAAAAGTCAGGCGGAAAGTCGCCCGGCTCGCACACAAGGGGCGACGACGGTACCCCACCCAGATCGTTAGTACAAGCTGTGCCTGCTGTCTAATGATAGCCAATTGATGCGGCCACATGCTGAGCCGCCACTCGACAGGTACCACAACTTTGCGGGGATAACAATTCAGCTGTCGCCAGACAAATGAGCAACAATAAGACAGCCCAGCCGCGAGAGCTGTCTGCCCACCAGATTTTCCTTTTCCGACCACATTTTCCCTCCGACACAGTACGTCATGCCTAGTGCTTTTTTAATTCGCCTCATTATCTCTGACTTTCCATTCCTGCATGCAGTTGCACACTGTCCCTGATTAAAACTACACAGACACTGCGCCGAATAAGCACAGCTGGTCAAGTCCGACCCCGGCGATCATTAAACCCTAAATTATCGTCACCATTACCACTGCAGTCAGAGCGAGGAGATCCGAGTCAATACCATAAATCAATTATGCCGAATAAATACTTTCCCCACAACCGGCAACTTAAAATCTCTTACCAAACCAGAAAATTTTACGCGACAGTTACATCGGAGTAAAACTGGTCATAAAAATTAATCGACTGAATCAGACGTTTTAAATCATCTTATCTCAACCACAAATATTCAGCCACTTGTATAAACATTACGTCAACATTATTACTTTGCTTTGTGAAATGATTAAATAAGGGGGTAAAAAAATTCTTAACAAAAAGTATAAAAAAATTTACGTAGCAGACATAACAAAAAGGTGCACAATAGCACCGCTGCGTTTTTTTTCAAATAGAGGAAAACTGACAGCTTTTTCTAACAGATACGCGCCCACCCAGACACAACGCAGCGTGCCGAATACACAAAGCGACATTTGCCAGTCGGTGGCTGACGTCCTTATTGGCGACTACTGCACTAACTACACCGTCAACCCCGTGTGTTGATGGATGGAAAAACAACTTACCCCATGCAGTTTGAAGTAGAGACCACAAGCATTGCAGACCGGATTGCCTTTGGAATCTCTGCGCCACAAGGTGGTTTTGTCGGTTTTGCAGTTGGCGCACGCCGTTCCTGTGCGTTTGGATGCCACCTGAAATGCAGACCGGCAGACTGTCAAAGCAAAGCGCATAAAAGGTTACCGCATATCTCGCGCACAAAACGCTATGGCGACTTATTTCCTTGGCTCACTCATGATGGCCCGGGTAAACTTACCAAGCGACGTTTCGGCTTGATCAACGGCCGACTTGAGCCTGCAGGGGAAACGTGCGTCAAATTATGGATTTTGGCATTTAGTCAGCTCAAGTATTATGACGATAATACATATGATGCCTACCATTCATTTTATGGTAAAGTCCACATGCATTACACAAGTATTGTCCATTCCCGTCGCGACGCCAAAGCGGTGTCTGCTCGCAACCACAATTGACACATTGTCGGCCTTCTATGAACAGCACAAATCATTATTACAGCAGGAGATTTATGGATTTATTCTAAATAAGCGGATCAAAACGTGTAAAGTCATTATTCTACGGCTGACCTCGCTGCTAACAGAAATTTTTGTGGATGGAGTATAAGCTTTACACAGGTTTTCAAAACCAAAAAATGTTAAGATGTCAAGAATAAATAGGCAGAGAAGTTACGATTGGTAATTTCCTAAACGAGAAATTAATCAATGCATCAATTAACAGTCCATTAGCGTTAATCGACTTTTAATGATACTTTTATATGCCCTTATAAAAACCGTGGCAAAATTACAGTCGTCTCCACCTGCGGCTATCTGAAGCATCTGAATGAAAACAGAACCGCGTATGTAAACTGAAAAGGCAGGAACCAAGCACGGCTTCTCCAAAAGACATTATTATACAGATACTGCATAAGGATTCTGCTAATTTGGCAATAATGAAGCTAATCATGTATTCTGGTGCAATAATTATATCAGTCTATCTCGCGCTAAGCCTGATCCGATCTATATACGAGCACCGTCCATTGTACGGCTACTCTGGGTAATTCGAGAGCGCCGATGCTAACGTTAACGCAAGCGACAATTATTTACCCGATACTGTCCTGCCACGACCTCGGCGACTATTTTGACTGGTTGAGTTGATGTTTGGCGTCGGTACGGCATTATTGCTCTCAGGGGTAGGATAATTGGGCATGTAGCGCAGTGAACTGGCCGATTGTGCCGCATAAGGTGAATGTCGCAATGGAATATGCGAAATCCGCTGGGAATGTGACTGGACATTATCGTGCTCGTAGGACATACTGGCCTCATCCGACGCGGCCACCGGTATACCACCTTGTTCGTCTTCTGATCCGCCGACAACTGCAAATTATTACCCTGATCAGGTACAAACTTTTAGGTAATCGTAACGGCCACCAATTAGTGGAAGTCGCTGAGCTTATGTAACACTAAAAGCAGACAGACAGCTGATTGCTACTGTCGCAGGATGCAACAAATAACAAACGGCCAATCGGCATATCGCACAGATCATAAAATAGTGGTTGTTTGGCGGCGCAGATCTCACGCCGATTGGGCTCGTTAAATGTTTTTTTATGATGCCTGCCAGCGGAACTCCGTTCTGACAGTTGGAGTGTATGCGGCATTTTGAGCATAGCAGCTGCCGCGTCAACCTAGATAGACCTGCCATCCAACTTGATTGCTAATTTGTCCGATATGGTTTCTTCGGGCGGAAACCCAACACAAGCCGCACCAACGTCGCTGCGCGCCTCATTAAATTAGCAATATACACAATGCGGCATGTACCGGCCTGGGTAAGCGATTAATTCATAAATGAGGCGCCAAGTGCACTAAACCGCGCTGACTTTAATTAGTCTTCCTTACCTACAAGCCCTCCTTCAGCCGCCTGCAGGGATGCTGCGAGGATATTCGATCCCTGTGTTGATGTTGTGTCTTGCTGCTCCGCCGGCGACAGGCCCGTGTCCGCTGCTGTGCCGGCATCCATCGGCGCCAGCCGGCTAACCTGCTCAGCGTCATCCTCCTGGGATTCCGGCATCTTGTCGAGAAGGGGACTGCCCTCTTTGTGGCGGTCAATGTCCCCGGAATTGGGCTCGTCTTCGCTCTTCACTTTGGCATCGTCCGCACGGGATGGAATATCGCTGGCGGTCTTGTGGGTGTGCAGTTTCGGCACGGTACCGGCCGTCTGGATAACCGAGGTCTGCGGGCTGATGTGGGTGGGGGAGGAATGAGGTTTGGTGGCGTAACCTACACTGGGACAGGCCCACACCGAAGTGCCGGCAGCCGACATCATGCACGAAGTGTTGGGATACGTGGGCTTGCTGTCCGGGGAAAAATATGGATTCAAGGTGGACGCCGGGGAATGGAATGAAGTGGGATATACATGATGGGTTGTTGAAAAGGCTTGATCTGCACAGATAGGCAACAAACACTGTTTATCCTGATAGGCAAACCACAGGGTTACACTGTTTATCCCATTCTATCGTAACAACGACGAATTTTGATTAGCTTTTACGTATGCAGATACGTACTGTAATTTCACTTGCAGAAGCATGGTCTAATAATTAACTATTAAGTAATTTTACAGCCCCCTGAATTACTTCAAAGAAAATTCAAACAGCAACTGTAATCATGCTGGCGTTGTAAATATTAAATTTTCTTCGCCATTTTTAGCTGCAACAAAATAAATCCACATGGATTGTCTGATAAAACCTATGACTGTACTGTAACATAGTGCCCAACTGCCCATAATCTACATGTACAAGCCAGACTTTCGTGTGAATACCATGACAGGTAAACACTAAAAATAATAATACACCTTGCACTTTGATTTTACTAACAGAATTAATAAGAAGAACAATATTTCAGTTAAATGGTTAATGCACTTGCAGCGCCGTGTTATTATCGAGAGCGGTGTCTATAATTTCGACACATTCACAATCTCGTGCAGCCCACCCTTTAGATAGTTTTGACACAGATCTGGCGGAATCTGCGCCATATCAAATATCGTTTACAGAATCTGACACTGCTATTAACATAACCTACACTGATTATGCAGGCATCAGCTGCCCAGTGCGCATTGTAAAAGCAAAACAGCTAAAAACTGTTTTCTTTAATTGACAGATACTTCTCCTGGCCACACGATCTTCTCTGACTTTGTCAAACAAAACGGAATAATAAGGAAAACGGTTGTCTGTGCTCAAGTCTACCAAGACTGCTGCACAACTGACAGGGTCAAAATAATTATGCACAACACAAAAGACTACCTAATCAGCGCGACCAGCAACAGCACGCTATCGTTTCTCACCTTCTCGCTAAAGTAACATCGATTCGATGAAATCAAGTCGCGACGCGCGACAGACTTGTTTTGCATTAATTTTGTGCTGGAAAAAATTCAGTCATGATAATTGTGAAGAATCTGACATGTAAACAACCTGCAGCAAACGTGTGCGATTCTAGCTCTCCAAATACGTATCTATCTTGTGATTACAGAGCCTACGTAGAGTACAAAAAACAAAGCAAGTGATTTTTTAATTAATTTTAAGTACAATACCATGTTCAGCTTTTAAAGTTTGCGTAACGGCGCAGCGAGTACTAGCGTCAGTGTCGGCGGTACGTACGGCGGTTAAATACAGTCGTACACAAAACCGTAAAGTACGTACAAAAAAAAGCGGTGACCTATGGGTATCTAGTGTACAGCGTGTACGGTGCAATACTGGTGCGGTACAACTCGTACATGACTCACTCGGAACGCAAGAGCGATAACCGGCAGAATGCATGGCGTGTGTGTTGAAGCGCAGATAATTCTGATCCAAACCGGGATGGGAAAAGGAGTACATTTCGCTCATCAGGTCGGGGTCCATGTTCAGCGGCGCGCCATGCATTGACATACCGCTCTGCTGATAGTTGTCCGCGTACCAACGATCCATTTCACCAGGAAGAGCAGTGTTTTCTGTAGAACAGCAAAAAGTAAATAAAAATACGCCATTAAGATTTTCTATGCCCTCATGTTGAATCGTGCAAAACGATCATGGATGAATCAGCGGCAAGATGCGGTCGTTTGTCGATTATGGCACAGATTGCCATCACCTATTTATTCTTTTATGAATGATACCTGTGGTTAATCAATTATCCATCAAATGATCAATGATAATCATACCATCAGCAATAAAAATATCAAGATTTACTATTAGCGCCTTTTATCGTACAGACGTAATTCGGAGCAGTTAAGATCGCGCTGTTCCGAATCGCGTACAATATGGCTTCATGAATCATTGCAAGAACCCATTTCTTATCAATCTTATCGCCCAAGGATTCATTAATAAAATGTACAAAGTTAGACGAAGTTTGTTGGATTCTTATTAGGAATAATGAAAATATCGTGGTGAATGTACGCTGGCAAAAGAGTGCTTAAGTAGTTAAGTTAAAAGCGTGAAAAAAACACGTAGTAACAAACGTCCTTAGGAACATTTTAAAAAAGATACAGTAACGCATCTAGTGAATGCGATCAATCTTACCGATCAATAAACATCCTGCAAAAAGTATCAACTGATATCATCAGTCCATCAACAATAAATATTATAAATTTGCAAAAAAATCAAAATAAATAGATTCTTTAAAAAAAAAGGGAGAACGCTCCAGTCACACTGAAAATAAGGTCGGGTTCCGTGTTCAGTGCAAAATCAAACTTAACAAATGATGTGCGGCATCTGCTGTAGCGTCTACGAATAAAAGGATCTTTGGCCTGAATATTGCTTGCATGCGCGCTGCATCAACTTGCAACTGTAGCTGGCAGCCTGTACGAATAGGTACACAGATGCGACTCTTATCATCACTCTGGTAGGCCTAGACTTATGTTTGTGACTAATCGTAACGAATCACGTACAAACTTATTAAGCACAGTACGTACTGTACGCACATGAAATTGTATGTATCTGCTGTCAGTTTTGTAATTATTTAATTAAATACTTCTAATAATTCCTTGATTTTTCAGTGGAAAGTTTTTATTAAAATATGCTTATAGAGCTGACTAAATTTTGCAAACATAAAACACGATATAAAAACTGAGTAGTAGCAAATTAGATCAGAATGGCGACTTAATTTCAGAACAAAGAAGTTGCAAAAAATTGATCAAACCCATACGCGTACCGATACTGTGGCATAAATTACTGCATCCGTGTGTTCTTTTAATCATAAGTTGAAAAAAATACATCGACCATGTACATGCTAAACACTTTAACACTTTTTAACAGCATGGATCGACTTAGTATGCTAATAAAAATTACGTGCTTCACATGACCTTTATTCCTATTACGAATTGCAAGCAACACGTCGCCAGCAATTATCTGAAGCCACTATATAGCCTTTCGTAATCCCATTTATATCTATATAATACCTGTGCTTACCATGTGTACACATCGTTCGTGTTTATTTTAAGAAACCTCACTACTTTTGTAGATAAAGTGAACTAATACCCATTTTTATTTTAGAGGAACACATACAAAGCGGCCGAAAAAGCTAATGACCTTTCACTGATGTACCAGTAAGCAACGGCCATGGATAACATAAGGCCTGCTGTGTGACGAAGTATGGTTAGGGAATTGTCAGATGTTTGCCGGAATCGCAGGTATACTAATAATATAAAATTGCAGACTGATGCACTAAAATTCTGCTGTGTAGAGAGTAAATTTTGTTTGCGTAGCCAGATTTGCATGATGGCCATAAGCATGATTTCGATACGCAATGTTATGAGTTCTTGACGGTGCGCTTGCCTGCTGAATTGGCTAGTAAACCGTATTATTTTCAAAGGTCATGGTTTTGATGTATTGTATCACGAAGATAACTATTATAGAGCTAAACTGTTGAAGTACCGCAAGGCTACAAACTTACAGTTCAAGTTCGGCATGATAAATCGTAGCCCGTCTTTTTGTCATAAAGCTTATGACGTATGATACTGTAACGGTATCATAATATTTTTATTACGTATAACTGGCAATTGGGTTTCGGATCAACATTGTTGTACCGGTATGTTTCTATAAAGGATGAAGCATCAAGACAAATATCTTGGTCCTGAGTTACGAACTTTCACTTTGGAAATATTGCTCAAGAAACTTTGGGGATTGCTTTAGTATCACTGCGTGCTATGTTTTTTGAGCCGTTCTTGTATACACAGCATTGGGCAATTGGGCAATTGGGCATAGAAGTATAATTATATATGTGGATTCATAAACATACATAGAATACAGCATAAGTCAAATAGCATATAATGCGCTATACAGCAGCATTCAATATTACCGTACGTTACTTATTAACGGTAATTACAAGTTAGTAGTGAATTGCTACCAGATTTGTCTCTATGGATTTTATTAGCTACGTAGGCGTGCTAACTAGATAATTAGCTGATTAGTAAAAATAAGCTGAGATTCTGCTGATGGCGGCAATCTCCGCCTTCATCTTACCTGATAATATGCTATCGCGGATCTTGTGAAGATTGAGATAGGATACTTGATTGCCAGTAAAATTTGCGTGCCGAACCAGATACCATATGATTAAAATAACCTCGTAGAGATATGGAGGTCGTTACGCGTAGCCGGCGAAGCCAAATATACGGCAAGATGAATATATACAGATTGCAAGCTGTAAAATTGCTAGATCTCCCGTTAATTTTAAAGGCAGAAAGAATGTTGTAGCACGATATTCGACGGCGATGCGATCGGATCTTAACTGTTGTTCGTTATGGCTGGACGAGATGTGATGAGATTTGGATGAGCGACGAAAGATAGCGCAGTACTTAATTCATCTAACACTATATCTCACCCCAAAGTATAACAAAACATTTCTGATTTCGTAAATACAGATGGACGAATAAGAAACGCGTACGTCGGCCACGGCTGCCGTTTGGCGGATCCGCTACCGTTTTAGATTACGCCCACGCGCAACGCCGGACCGGGAATATGTGTCCGCTGCGTATATTGAGTAACCCGGCACATGACCGGAATAAGGAGTGGTCTACTCTGTGAATAAGGGAGAGCAGTAAATCGTGACCATTTTCTGATTCGTCATTACTGCGAAGCAGCCTGTACATGCGGTCCACAAGCTACAGTACACAACACTAACGGAAATTGTACTTTGTTTTCGCCGCATTTTTGTGCTAACTTTCCGCCACTTGTTGTGCACGATAAAATGCTTTTCTGATTTGAGCCACAGATTTCGAAAAAGAGATCGGTTGATTAAGTCTGCGCTTCCTTTCTGTACTATCTGGAAAATTCATCTGGATATCTCTTGCAGCATATATCACACAAATTGGTCCGCTTTGTAGTTAGTCTGGCAAAAGTTAACGTTGGCCAAGTTACGTCTGGCCAATGGTTAATGGTGATGATAACAACTTACTAAATACAATTTAACTACAAAAATATTCTCGCAATCGCGCATGTGATTATTTTGCAGTAATAACGAACAACAAAACAGAAATCGATCTGACATTTTACATGCATTGACGATGCCGAAATTGGCAGTTAGCGGTTTTCGGGAAGCTCCGGATAAGCGTTAAACACCAGAGTGATGCCCGCGTAATAACCTATCGACTAATAAGTAATCAGCTGACCAACATTTCCGGCGCTGCTAACGTGAGTAACATCGAGGCACAAATATCTGCGTCAAATTCCTTTTTTGCTTTCACTATCGATGTGGGAATCTAAAATTTGCTCTTTTATTCACTTACCAACAGCAATGCAACAGCCACAGCACCCCGGACAAAGAATAAAAATAAAGATTTCGGTTGCCCGAAGTGATTAAGCACGGCGTGCGTCATAATTCAAATACTAATAACTTATCAGTCAATTGATAGTTTGTACCGACGAATGCCATTGTACCGGTTTAAATATTTTTTAAAATTTTTGTGATATACGACAGTTAAAAAAATACTTGAGAACCTATACAAAAGTTGATTTGTACTAAGGACGCAGGACACTGCAAATAGTGGACAAAAAACTGACCAGTGCAGAAAATAAAAATATTCAGCATTGAGGACCTATCTCGCTCTGCACGGATCGAGTTTCCACGCGTTCCGTAGGCAAGACAATCAAAGCAAGCTTCAGCTTACGGTTACGTGCATAATTTAAAAGGGATTCTGAAATACGTATGAAGGGCTGTTTGAATAAACAAAAATATTATACTACAGCAACATGAACAGTTTTTCATATTTGAAAAAATCTCGATTAAAGGCACATACATGTACTGTTTTTTTTGTATACTATCAAAGATAGATGATTTAATGAACGTGACCTTTGCGGGTAGAAAAGTCGCTCTGACTTGATTTACATAAACAGGACTACAGCCGGAAACGCCCATACTACGTATATAGGTATCTGTAAATATCTAATACACAACGTGCATCCCGCAATTCGTGAATCAATGTGTCGAATATCAGCAGATAATGATATCAGCAGCTTTGTGTCTGGAAGTTTTCATATCTACATCTCTGCATCCTGATGGCGACTGCTTAGCGTTCACCCCGATCACCACAAAGCAATAACATTATGAATGTTACAAAGAAACGCGCGCCGATCAAAAGTTGCGGTTTTATCTGGCTTGTACAGCGTTCCACATTCTGATTCTCATTACGATATCATAGGGCATTATAAAGTCATTGATAGCCATTCCATAGAAATTGTGGTATCATAAAATCAGGCAATTTGGATAAATCGTCCATGAAAATTGTGGGACACAGAAGTTTGCATTGCCCAAATGTAAATCACGACAGCCATTTCAGTCGGATTCACTGCGTTAGTCTATGGGATCTTAGCAGCCGAACAGCTGAAGCATATTCTAAGTGGATCAGATGAATCGGGAATACATGACCGAGCGACGCTTATTTTGCTCGACATTTCGACAGGGGAATAAAGCGAACTGTACAGCATTATAATCTTTCTTTTCATTCAGCAGTAACATATTCTGCTCGATTCTTTTGACTCTTATGAGAATGGATTAATCGATGACACTTTCATTGACTTTGTTGGCGGTGTTTGTATAACAACAGCGGAATCGCATTCGGATGTAAAGGATCCTTCTTGACTCACAATCAGCCCAATATTTATCTGGATACGCAGATTAAAGATGAACCATGCGGCACGCGACAGCGCGATGCTCGTTTGGAGGGAAGGCCACTTGCCATTTCGCCACTACACTACTGCGACACGTTGCTCCTTTATCATCGTTAATGACCTATGATAAGCATTGTTAATAACCACTACAAGAAGTGCCGTGCATAAAAAATAATCGTGAAGTCATCTTCATAAAAGCATTATTCTATCAGCTGATGCAGTGTACATTGTACATGTTCATGCAACCAGTGCTGGTTTGGTATGCTTTATTGGTCCATAAATGCTGTTAAGTTGTAGTATTTTCGTATTTAATTGAGCTCGCCAACTTTCTTCGGCGTAATTAGATGCAAAGTTTCGTGCTGTTTGTAAAAGAATTTCAGTAATTTATAATGCTGTAGACGAAAAACCTTTTGAAGCCTCGAAAATGGCTATGCCAAGTGTCTGCCAGATATACGAATACTGTTTTTACCAGATACTGTCTTTACCAGATATATGAATACTGTAGTTTGCTGTAGGCAAAAGCATTCCTCCTTAATGTAAGCGAATTCATTCGGACTAAGTCCGTGTAATAATTATGTCAAGCGTAAATATGTACTTGTACATGTACGCCGTAGCAACAATTTACTGATATATATAAAGTACAACTGATATAAGTACAAAATTTTCTATGGAATCAGAACCAATTATACTAATTTTATTTCATTCAGTGTCAAGTTTATTAGTTTTTATCTCTATTTTTTGTATTCGCTACGGACGATCGGGGCATTCAACTTTCTATTTCCTATATACTTATTTTTCACCTATTATACTATTATTATTATATCCAGTCGAAGCGTCAGGCGCTAGCTAGAATTCGGTTTTGGCCATGCTAAATTCATAAAACGTCTGCTAGGAAACCGCACTGTTACTAGTCATAATTACACTACTTGACTTTACTTCACTTATTTTACTTTATCTTTCTTTATTTATTTTATTTGTTACCGTGAAATATCAACGACGTCGACATTTCAGCTTTAACAATAAACAATACATCTATAATTATAAAGTTATGTTTTTATGTATGCGGTATATACGGCTGCCTTTTCGATTCGTAGCTTACAATTTATAACCAAATAATTTGGTTTATGAATACACAAAAGCACATCAGCAATTTTGCAGTCTCAGAGTCAGTTAGCAATTTCTGGCATAAATATTGCTGTTGCCACTCTCCAGTAGGTAGATATCGAATTCGTGACACTCAGGTTGTTTAGGCCAGTTGTTTAGCGCCAGGTTGTTTAGGCCAGATTTAAAACGAACGAACTTATACGAAGTTTACCATCTTGATGCTGTTGGAAATTGGAGTCAAGACAACTCGCAATACCCTGGTAACGGCAAATCGAACGAAATCGAAAACATCGTTACATGATTATTAAAAACATCACCACATCACCCAAAAAAACCCTACAATAAAAACACGTCTTCGATGCTATCTTGGTCGGGTAGAGTTCCCATATAAGACAAACAGCGTTTCCTCGTTGGATTCGGCTGGCGAAGAAAAATCATTTGCGCGCTTTTGGTCAGTTGCGGCTGTGATGCCGCTTCTTTTCCACGAGCTTCTTGGTCCCGTCTCCCTAAGGTCCATAACTTTCAAATGCTGCGGCGACAAGGTTATATCTGGGCTGCAGCCAGCTATGTTATGTTAACTTGCCCCTTTCGGCCTGTTCCGCTGGAGACCCGGCGTTCACCGTGGTGAGGCCAAGTTATGGAGTCGCCAAATTAAGTGTCCACTGTCCACATTGTTAACGTCCGCAGCTACTGTGGCTTCCCTAGCTCCCCGGACACGAGTGTGATAACGTCCGGCATCTTGCTACTCCTCATAGACAAGCCATTCCTAGGCCCCATTCTGGCTGGGAAACCGTTAGTTTTCGATCCGCGGGTGGACTCTTCACTGATTCCATACACGACTTACAAGCCGCAAATTATGGTGGATCGATTTTCTCTGCATTTCTGGGTGCTGCAGTTCTCTGTGCATGCTGTCCAAGTTCTTACAGTTCATCAAAGGTAAATTAACGTCACGACGGTTTTTATAGCGTGAAGTTTGTATAGAATGTGCCGTAAAATATTTTCAATGCACCCAGTGGTCAGTTGCATGCAATCCGCATGCACAGTACTCGGTAGGTTCCGCGGTCGTACGTATGAACGGTCCGATTCGCGCACATATACCAAAATGTAGATTATCTAAATCATATAAACTGTATAAACTAAAAATATGAAAAACAAACCCGCGTACGGCGGTAAGTATGTACAATAAAGTGCAAAACGTTCCGCAGATAACACTATGTCAATATGACGTAGAGAACAATATCAGCTTCGAGAAACGAAATAAGCCGTCTAAAGCACAACAATTACTCATCCAAACCGGCCGGCCATGTGCTTCTGCCAGTGTACGGGGGGTCGTCAGGATCGTCGGATTCCCCATAATAATATTCATACTCGTCGCCCTCGTAACGACGCTGGCACTCACGGCCGTCGCACACCTTAGGAGTGTGATACTGCAGTGGCAAACACACGGTTTTCTGTGCGAAATTCCCTCCGGCCACTTCCGTCTGCAGCTCCTTCGACATGGCCACCTCCACCACTTTCCACTCGTTATCCTCGATATTGTACGCTTCAAAAGACGTCAACGCCCGTTTCCGCTGATTGTTCCCGCCGACGTGGGTCGTTCCACCGTACACCCAAATCTGGCCGTCCTTGATGAAAACACAATGATTATAACGGGCGACGTTCAGGTCCGCGATGCGCTCATGTTCCCAGGAGCGGTCTAGCGGGACGCGATAGCAAGCAGTCACTGCCTTTCCATTTTCCTCCCAGTCGTGCGGATCCTTAGTATCCACGCATCCACCCGTGTAGTACAGATCTCCTTGGAATACAACCGTACCGCAGCGATGATGGAACCTTCCTTCATCCATCCACTGCGTAAGCTCCCTCCATTTGTTCGTGTGGATGTCGTACATCTCCACCATGCTCACCGTATGATGATCGTGCTTTCGAAAATAGGAGCCGACGGACTGGAACCAGATCCTGCCGTGAGGAAGGGGGTAGGCCTCCATCGACGCGCTGTAAACCGAAACTCAGCATAAGAACACTTAAAATGTACAAAACTGGAACAAACTTTGCTGCACACAATCTTACCGGTTGTAATGACTTGTCATGGTATATTTCTCAAAACTGTGTAAGGGCAACTGGGAAGCTCGGTGAATTCTTCCGGAGGCGACATCCAAGCAGTACCAGTTGAAAGGATGATTACCCGCAGCCCCGTACACTTCGCTGCCCACCGCCACCACACAGATGCAGCCGTTGAAAGGTGAGTTCACCATGAGAGTGCGGGTGGCGCCATTGGTGCAGTCCATGGCAATCATCTCATTCTTATCCGTATCCGGCTCCGTATCAGTATTCTTATCCGCATCCGTGGTACCGACGATCAGCTCCCGGCCGACGGCCACTGCAAATCCGCTGGCTTTGATCTTCCACCAACACTTGGCCAGCGTCGCCTGCAGCGGGGAATCCAACTTGGTCAGTTCGTTACGGGTGAAGTCGAAGCGGAGGAGCAGATGCGGGTGTCCTTCGCGCATATGGTAAAAAATAGTGTCTTTGGGAATCGCACGCTTCAGCAACGCTCCACCGCCCGTCAAGCCGATACGTCGATCGTCCAGAATCTGAGTTAATTCCTCATGCAAAGGCCCAGTAGTGGAACTGGAAGTTATCAACGCTTCAATGTCAATGGAACCCCAAACCACGCATCGATCCAACAGTTGTTGTAGGTGCTGCTTGCGTTCGGTTTCAGCGTGCATATACCAGCGCACTACCGCCTGCAAAAAAAAGAAAATTATAAAATTATATACGAGTGGAGGGTGATTATGACGATATTGCTACCATTAGCCATCCTTTCAGTATTACATACAACACTACTTCATCCTGTCAAATTTTCCTCAACGGGAGTAGTTATTATTAAACTTCAATATTATTAATTTTATTGATATTATTAGGAAACTGGTCATTGTAAATTATTAAACCAAATAATTCACGTTAAACAGCTAATGATCCACAAATAAAAAACAATGTTACTATTTAAATATATAATAATTCAATAAAGATATCAAATTTAAGCAGATAATAATTCAATCAAATATTACAATATTAAGCAGATGATCATTCAATAAAAATAATGAGTAGTACGAATTCGGACAGGTGGCTGCTTCGAAGATTTGCTTCTTGTTAGAAAGAAAACGCACCAACCTGATAAACCGCGGTTTCTGATTGTGGAGTGTACGCTTCATGTGTTAAAATGTCAGTGACCTAGCTCTTCCACAGTGCTTTGGAGAAACATCTCGGAATTGGCAAACTCGGAGCGACGGGGAAGCTGCTGGAGAATCCCTTCAAAGGCCAGTCTCTCCACATCCGGGAGCTTGTCACGACGAGCCAGACGCCACAGACGGTACACGTTCTCCGGTAGGGCCATTATCTCGCGCAGGATCGTCTCCGCCTTGGCGACGGCTTCATCCATCTGCAGATATTTGGCGGCGATCCACATTTTGAGGGCGTCTTTGCGTTCAATGGGCAAATGGTAAATGTGGCGTCCACTGCTCAGGTGTTTCACCAATTTGACCAGCGTTTCTAGATGGACGTTCTCAGGTTGCCGTAGCTCGATACTGGAAGAGTCGCTCTCCTGAAAATTTCTTCCCAACATGGCGGCGAAGTAGGGTGATCCTTCGATGAGGGCATCTTTGTCCACGGACAGTGTTGTGCCACCGATTCGCAGCTGCAGCTGGATTTCCGTTGGATTCTCCCCTTCCTGATGCGATGTCTTCAGCTTTTTGGTCTTCATGCCATCCGCATCCATTTTGGCGAAATCAATAAAAATAATATCAGGCCAACGTCGTATACACTGCAAACGAAAATACGAACAAAAATGCTAAAACTCAGAATTAACTGAAATTAATAGCTATAATTCAAGCGATGAAAACAAGACCGCAACTGAAAAGTTGAAATTAGTTGAGAAGCGAGAAGCGACTGACTTGCAAGAACTGGATAGCTTGAATTGCTACAACTTGCATGTCATCGCACGGAGGCTGTCCGGCGTCCGTACGTTGTGCAAAACATATCCGGCTATCTGGACTGGTACTTAACACGTACTTTATAGCCGGCAGTCTGCCGACTGAAAGGTTAAAGCCGGTTGCGCGAGCAAAATATGAAGCGTGCAAGCGGCGAAATACGAAAAGTTTTCTCGAGCGAGAACTATTGTTTCTACGTACGTACCTGGGGCTCAGGAACATAGTTATTTTTCTGAATCTTCTTGGATGGAGGGAAAATAAGAGGCACTGCGCATGCTCAAAATGGGTACTTGTACATACTACTTTGTACTTCGAGCATTATCCTCTGTTTTGTTCAAAACCACGTTATATATATTGGTGCAGTGACAACAATGTGTTTTAAGTTTTAACACAAAGGATTCACACTACGAAGCATGGTTGACTAAGAGGAAGTATGAAAATTCTTAGTGTGTTTGAACGAACATTTATAATTAATCCACGTGTAAAGGTCATTTGGTCAGCTGTGGTGGCTTTTTAAGCTTTTCCTATCAGTAAAGATTTGATTTGAGTACAGCTGAGTACTCGTTACAAAATTTAATGATTCCACAAAAATTCAATGGCGGTTGCCACAAGTACAGGTAAATAACTTGACAAACGCCTCAGAGTCGACAGTCAAGGAAATAACAAATTACGGTATTTCCATGCTACAGCGGACGGTTTATGAAGAGGCAGCAGACCGTAGCACACTGGCTACGCAGAGGCAACAAAATACAGTCTCATGGATGATCGATTCAAGATTACTGTACTCGTAGTGCAGTTTGCTGTTTTAGAAAGTTTGATTGTTTACCTTGTTGTTTTTCTCCGTCTTAATTTCTTCCAAAATCATAAAACCGTTTAAAACAATTCTGCGACCTTTTATCATTCGTTACCCTTAGTGTCCTTACAGTAATACGGTTAGGTGAGTCGTAATATGTGGTTTATAGTGTGATATAAATGATAAAACAAGGCCCGTGCGATTACCAGAAACTACTAATCCGGAATCCATACTCTTTCGCTGAACATCTTGGGCTTTGGACTTGTGTAATATTGAATTCGTTGTGGGTGTTTTCTTTTGACAGTTCTCTGGTTGTTTTAGAGCTTCTTAGCTGGATTGTGTTGGCTGTGTGTTTGTGGGAAACTCGAAGAGACAACACTTGGCTACAGCTTTTAGCGAATCACAGCATTACAACTAGCTGCTAGCATCATGTCTGTTGCTGGTTTGAAAGATACAGTTACAGACCTCTTCTCGGGGAACCCATTTGCCACCGAAGTGGGACATAGGATCGGTAAGAAACTTTCAGTTGTGTTGTCTCGTAATGGATAACTCTGTACTCAGTATACTGTCTGGGTTAGCATCGAACTTTCAGCGTCGCTTTTGTTACATCTAAACTGTCGTCGTCGATTTTGAATATTGAGTTTCACAATACTTGTGTTTTCATTTGTTGTTCATTAGTGTATTCGCTGGTACTTCTATGTTGTTTCATCCTCAAAATTTACTCTTAAAATTTACTCTTAACAACGTGTAAATACATTGTTCAGCTACTGTGTACTGGAATACGTACCTTTGAACATTGGTATACAGTATGTTTTAAATGCTTATTTATTTATTTGAAAAATAACGTACGGTATCGATTTAAGTATTTAAATCTTAAAAATAAGGTTAATCCGTTACCGGTTTGCGTGTAACCAAAAATGAATTCAAATATTTTGAGCGCACCGATTCGCGATCGGCAAACGTTCGATCTATTGGGATGCTCTTGCAGAACAAGCGACAGATCCAAAATTGGGAGCCGAAAACTGGGCCCTCTTTATGGAAATATGCGACCTTGTCAACGAAAACGAAGAATCGTGAGCATTATTTTTTAATTCGCTTTCTTCTTTATTTGACCTTTTTTCCAATTTAACCAGGGCAAAAGATGCTGCCAGAGCCATTAAAAAGAGACTTAACAATACTGTGCAAACCAAGGATTTCGAGGCGACTCTGCTAACTTTAACGGTAAACATAACATGTCTACCCATTTATAAAGCTTTATGTTATTAGTTATACTTCTATAAGTAGTTAGATTTGAAAAATGCCATATTTTTTTAGCAGTAACCCGTCTTTATCTTACTAGGTGTTGGAAACGTGTGTCAAAAACTGTGGAAAGCGTTTCCATGTTCTTATCTGCAGCAAAGACTACATTTCGGAGATTGTCAAACTTATTGGGCCAAAATTCGAGCCACCGGTGATTCTGCAGGAGCGGGTGCTGGGATTAATACAGGTTTGGAAGTGAGGCTGTTTTCTGCCTTTTGGACGTTATCTGCAAGAATTCCCTATTGTTTTAGAACTGGGCAGAGACTTTTCGCAATTCTCCAGACCTGCATGGTGTTACTGAAGTGTATAACGAGTTGAAAGGTAAAGGCGTGGAATTCCCGGTGTTAGATCTGGAAACCATGGCCCCGATAATTACGCCACAGCGGGTAAATAATTTTCTATCAGTCTCTTTCCACTATAATAATTGCCGCAGAAACTGCGCTTTAACCACTTGTGTTTTTGTCAGACCGTTGCCCCACAACCACAGACCGTTCAAACACCGCGCAGGACGTCGCTCAATACGCAACAGCAACAACAAATGCAACCGCAAGGCCCGCAGCAAACCCGACTCCAAGAAAGTGCAGCAGTATCGTTCAGTGCTGGACCGGTCAATATGACGCCCGAACAACTGGCTAAACTGCGAGGAGAAGTGGATATTGTTAAAAGCAACATGCAGGTCTTTTCGGAAATGTTGGGTGAAATGAAACCAGGCCAAGAAGAACCCGAGGATCTGCAGTTACTTATGGTATTATTTTTGATTTTGTGTTTTTGTTTAGTTCTGCGTTTTGTGTTTATGGATGTTGACCAACTTTAATATTGTTTAGGATCTCCATACGACATTGCGTTCTATGCAGGATCGCGTCGTCCAGTTGCTGACTTCGGTTAGCAACGAGGAAGTGACCGGTAAAGATAGTACATACTGTACTTACCAGTTTTGGGAGTTTGTAGGGACTGCAGCTGTTTTCCTTTTTATCACAATGTTGTAAATTAAGTACAGTAAAACTATTTGGTACTGTTTACCTTATTGGTAATCCGATTTCCTTCTGCTTAAAAAATTTTGCTTTTTAGGCTTTTTATGCATTAGTGCTATCGCTTTTATACTTGACTGCGCCACTTGAGACGCTTATTTGGTATCATATGTTTGTTTGTCTAGGAGAGTTGCTGGTCGTGAACGACGAGATGAATGCTTTATTCATGCGGTATGAGCGCTACGAACGCCAGCGCAAAGGAGCATCCTCTGTGCAGTCCCGTGCGTTGCCGCAGCCTCCGCAGCAGTCTTTTGAACCATCCACGCTTATTGACTTTGCGGAAGGCAACAGGAGCCAGTTGAATGACATGCAGAACCAGATGAGCTCAATGGGTGAGGAGAAGAAGTACTTTCTCGCGAACAGCGTTAGACAGTTGCTTTACGATCAGTTAGACAGTTGTTTTATGATCAGAAACAAAATGTGCATTTGTTATGTTTTGATAATCAAAATCTTGGATAATACTTCAGTTTGAATGCGATTAAGTAATAACAGAGAATGTCAGTAATATGGTATGCTTATGTTAAGTTAAGTCGGTTAGGCAAAGGTAAAACTGGTGTTAAGCTCACGATGCCTTTTTATTTTATAAATTTTATAAGCAATCAGTAGGTTCTTGCGTTTTTAGCGATTGGAAGAAAACCACAGCCGCAACCGCCGGCAACAGATCAAGATCCGGCTGCTGATTTTGGTGCTTTCGCTCAGAGCCGAGTTGCTGTTCATTCCCAACAAGCCACAACACCCACACCAACGTCCGAGTTGCCTAAAGACACTGAGTTGGAAGAAATGGAACACTGGCTAAAATCACAGCCCGAGGTAAACCTAAACTCTAGCCAACTACAGAAGCAGTTTTGTAGTTGCCGACAGGCGACAGTCAAAGGGACCAAAGCGCGTATAATCGCGTTGTTGTTTTCGCGTAATATGTACGTAATTCTGTATTAACCGATCTTTCATGAACAATGGATTCATTTTTGTACGCTTTTTGGAAGGCCCGGGCAAACTAAAATTTTATAGCAGGCAGCTCGCGGTCCTTCACAAGCTCCAGAACGCCCAACTTTGACCAGTGCGGAGTTTGACCGATTCCTTGAGTCCCGTGTGGCCGCGGCTGAACAACTTCCCAGCATTAATACAAATAACAGAGCCACGAGTGAACAAGCCCCGAAGCACGAAACCTCCCACCTTTTGGATTCGTAATTCAAATATTGGATCAGCGAGTCTGACTCTGGTTGCAGTAATTATTCAAGTATCAGTTCTATTTCTGTAATTAATTTGATGACCCGTATGTGTGTTTTGCTCGATATCTTTCAGTTTTGCCCGTTGCCGCTTGGTAGATTAATTATCTTCAATTTTTACCATGTTTTAATTATTTTGACAACTTGGTCTAGACATTTCACTGCTCTTCCCTTTTTATCGTTTGCACATTGGCAGCTCTGAATTTCTGGCTCGTGACTGAAGAAAATGTAGATGTTTTTTATTCCTAATTCTTGCTAAATTCCGGTTTTCCGATTTCTCTACTGCACCATGCATCCTAGATGATTCTTTTACCTACGCTATCGCGATTGTGAATACCAATAAAACAAGCTTGCACTACCGAACGTGTTCACCATTTATTTTTGTGTTCTGTTAATCAGATGTTACAATTTTGCCCGTAGCAGGATACAACATTAGCGGTCCCGATGCAAAACCAAAAGTCTACTTCAGCTTCTTCTTTGGGCGGATATTGTTGGTGTGACCACACTTCTTTTTCCTGCAGTTGGTTGCGCGAGGATGGAGACGCGCATAACACCTAAGATACAGAAGGCATTATATCAAAATGCTTAAACATAAACCAAACCAAACAATAAAAAATTTATTGCACAACTAGAGTAAAATCGATATGGAATCATTAAAACCAACATCGTGGCATTCTGATATCCACAAATTTCACATTCTCAGGGTGACAGCCACTCACGCTAGTCAGGTCTAACAATTTTCAAACCATAAACAACTTCCGCAATGCGAATTGTATGAGCAAATTGAAGAAACAAAAAAAAACATCCATAATGCACAGTGCCCTACGAGAGCGACCGCAATAGCGCACTTTAGTCAAATCTAATAATTATAGCGTTATGCGCAATGATTAGAGTTTGTCTACCGACAGACTAGATCTAACAACTTACTTTCGGCAAACCATTTTGTCGCAGTTGTACTTTTGTGCCAACATTCTCAGACTTGGTTCGATAATTCCTCCACGAAGACGGAGAACCAAATGGAGGGTTGATTCTATAGAGAAGAAAATCAAGTTGTAAACATTTTACATTTGGTAATGCTGTAAGTGTACGCACTACACAGTCCGAGTTCCGCCAGAACACGACATGCAATAAAAGAATATTTTCGATATTTATATTATACGGCACGAGAGTGGGTTATATTATTTTATTACTTTAAGCCTGTCGAGAAATTAGTGGGTGAAGCTAGAAGTGACACAGGTAATCTGATTTCAGGCGCAAGGTCTGCATGAATCGCAATCTACCTTTTTGGATGTTATAATCCGACAATGTTCGCCCATCTTCCAGCTGTTTACCAGCAAAAATCAGTCGCTGCTGATCCGGAGGAATTCCTGCATAATCATTACAATACTCGGGTAGGCCGTAGCGTATGCGGAATACTGAGGTACTCCATTAGCCCTTTGATGTGGAACCCATGGTCCGCTACCTACCTTCTTTATCCTGGATCTTCGCTTTCACATTTTCAATTGTATCTGAGGGTTCGACCTCTAACGTAATGGTCTTCCCCGTTAAGGTCTTCACGAAAATCTGCATTTTAAAAGAATCTACAAAACCAAAATTGAATACAGATTCTGGATTCTCCGCTAATCAGCCAAAGAGGCTCTGAGAAACTACGTAAATAATTTTCCGGCACGAGAAGTGAGATCGTATTTCGTTAGCGATCACGTGGTACCGCTTAACGTAATGCTTGTGTTGACAGCCACGTGACCTCGTGCTGGTCACGAGCCGAGCCGGTCAGAGCGTATGTCGCGCTGCGCTACACCACTGTGCGATTAATTCGTGATTCTCGCCGAGAATGCAGACTGGCAGTGTGTCATTTTGACGTCACTAACATACAGGGATTTTACGGTGCGCCAACAGGAGAACTACGCATTCGCTCTGTTTCTGTTCGTGTGCTGTCATATGAGCGGTGGTGTGATACCGTGGTAATAGCACTGTCGCTTAATTTAAGAATATCGTAAATATTTTTATCACACGTTTTTTTCTCGTTTGAAGAGGATAGTTTACTGTAAATTTTCATGTACCTGCCCAATTAACAAACATCATAGTTTGCGAAAGCGCGCTGTTTAAAAAGTGCCGGGATAAGCACTTGTTGTTATGGGCCTACGATGACTTCCCGGCGCGCCTTAGGCGCACGGCTCCCAACCGCCACAGGGCGCCATCCGGGCGAGAATCGTCAATATCCGTTGTACCCATCGTACTACGTGCGTCGTGCGTAGTATCGTACAGTACCGGTATCAATAAAAATAATATCGTTTCTACTTGTTAGTTGTTAGTACCGTTCTTTAATACGTTTTAGAGCCGAGATTATTAATTTAAAAAATTAAAACTTAAAAAATATTATTAAAAAAGTAAAAATTATTAAAAATTGAAATTATTAAAAAATTATTAAAAAAAACATTTGTGTCGTACGTAAGAAAACGAACGAGATTATTAAAAAAGTAAAAATGTATTATATTATTATTAATAAAGCATCATAATATTGTGCAGATTGTGATGGGGTACTGTATTTATGCAGTACTGAAGAAGTCATACCTAAGTCTACTGGTCAATTCTGGTCAAAATAATATTACTTTCTGATGGGTTGACTTGTCGATATTACTATAAAAAATCTAATTTCTTATGGTTTTTTTATTTAAAGAATATTAGATCACCAACACGACAACATCAAGACCACCGAACCGAAGTGACCAATGAAACTGCAGCGCGGAGAGTTTGGACTTTAATGTAACCGTATACCGGTGCCTAAGACAGTACAAAATATTTTGTAGACAAGTAAAAACTACACATGGTTGGCTAATCCTGACATTTTCGCAGTTCCGGGTTGAAAACTGAATGTTAAGAAACGTTAAGACTTAGTATGTAGTAGTAAGACTTGTGTAACGGACCTACGGTGAGCGTTAACGCTCAAACGTCAACGTTGATGTTTGAAGTATACATAGTACTATTACATACCCTTCCAACAAATTTAGAACGACCTTTTCAAGCATTCATAAAAAATTCCACGCTGATGTTAACACTTTAGCAGCCGCACTGTTGACTGTTTTTTATTGGGCCGTCTTGTGGAGAAATGAAACTATTGTTGGGATCGCTCCCAACGGACTTCCGGTTTCCATTTTTCGGATGGATCTGGCCCGATACCATCCTGTTATAAATGTCTGTCACGGTGTTCAGAAATGCGTTTTCAACATTTGTCGAATCCAACGCCGAAGTCTCAATGAAGGAGAGTTTGTGCCTTTCTGCAATATTCGTTTTCATGTTTATAGTGCTATTAAATTATGGACAAAGCAGTCGTAAAGCTCTGGTAAATTTACAGTACTAAGTCAGTTGGTTTATGAAGGTGGGAAATTAAAGTCTCACCAGCAAGCTGTTTCCCTTCTTCCTGTTGTACAGCTCTAAGGTGTCGCAAATCACTTTTATTTCCGACCAACATAATGGCGACATTTTGATCCGCATTGTCCCAAACCTCCTTTAACCATCGCTCTACGCTTTCAAAGCTTGTGCGTTTTGTAATATCATACACTAGCAGCGCTCCAGCTGCACCTCGATAATAGCTAAAGAAACAGAAAAATCGATATTATAATTATAGTATTAGGTACACGACAAATTGTGCCGACTAACCGATAAGTATATTACAATGACACCAACCCAGGTGAATTTAATAGCAGTTACACTGTTCCATAAAATTTTTCCATACCAGCGTAATTTCGTGCGTGCATTGCAACAGTTCCTTTTATACCGGATCTTACTTACGCATTGATAACTGCTCGAAAGCGTTCTTGACCGGCAGTATCCCAAATCTGCGCCTATATATCCAGAAAATCGCCGTAGTACACAGCTTTATTACATTATTAATGATTCAACGTGGACAAGGCCAGCAAGTAACTGATGAAAAATGCCTTTATCACCTGGACGGATTTCCCGGCGATTTTAAGGGATCGTATTGAGAACTCCACACCAATAGTAACTTTGCTATCATGATTGAATTCGTTATGGCTAAACCGCGATAACAGATTCGTTTTCCCCACCCCGGAATCCCCCGACGAGTACAACTGCAATAAATGAAATATGTTACACAAATACCGTTGCTTCTCCTTTTTAACTGTAACTGTCTGTAAGTATCTCAAATGGAACTTCTTGAAAGGAATCAAAAATCTTCTGATTTATAAGCCTTTCTTGCATTAACGTTAAATGTTGCATGTTGAGTTTTCGCGCACTAACCTTTAAAAATAAAATCATGTCCATCCTCTTCTCTGTTCATATTTACGGGAAAACTGATTCGACCTGAGAAGAGTAACGGGTGATATGGAATAAAATCTATTTTACATATTTTATCTAATTTTTATATTTATTACGTAAAATAACTATCTAACTTATATTTTATTACTACTTTTGCTCTTCTCTGAGTTAAGATTGTGTTTTAATATGAATGCTCGTGATTTGACATATGTCTTTTACATAGGCATCTCATTATGCGCAAGTTTGGGTGAAGATTGTGTTTTAATGATTCTCGTACACATGTTTCCTTGGCGTCTGATCTGTCAAAACATGCTCATTCCTTAATAACTCACAACACACAGTTTCTTTAGATATCTAACTGCTGGTATACTCTCATGTCGTATCCTAGGGGGTACAGATTACTTACAAACATCTGAACATTTTGTTTCTACCTACTCATATTATTCGTACAGTTCTGCAACATACTCATTTCTAAGATACATCTGACTGTTGTATGTATGCCAGTTTCCATAAACATCTCATTGTCCGCAAGTGTGTAAGGCCCAAAACGTTTTTACAGTGCGTATCTTTCACAAACATCTGACGAGCTGCGTGCACTTTTGTTGCACGTTATTTGTTTGATTGTGCACAATTTTCATGAACTTTGCGATTTTAGCACACGTATCGCAATTGTCATCTGTGATCTGTCAGTTTCTGTAGACATTTAACCACGCACACGTCCATACGCTATTCTTCGTGCCTCTAAGTCTCGACATTTCTGTCGACAACTGCATTTCTATCTGAACGGGCGTCGTACAATTGCCATATTAAACAGTACACTTGCACTGAAGACTCTAAAACCATCCATCAAACTGCATGTTCTGCCCTTTGGCAACTTAGACTACACAATTTTTCATAGGAAACTGTAAAAAAGTTGCAGTAGATGTGAAGCTGCATAGCTTATAGTAAAAGGTATTTAGCACGCTTTGTATTCCATTCTCGTCTCATTGATTGTTTTGTTCCTAAAGGTTTTCTTTTTTTGTTTTCGAGCTAAGCATTTATGTGTTAACTGGATTACTGGCCGTTACCCGCCATTTGCTATTGTTGTGCTTGCGGATTACTAATCGCAGGTAAGCAGAAACCATGTTTAACTTGGATGAAGTTTTGCGCTTTTATGCCGAGTTTCTGCAACAATGGTTGCATGAAAACTGGCCAGAAAAGGCAGAAGGGCTGTTTTCTCTCGATGCAATTGCCAATCTGTACGGGAAACAAAAGCTCATTCGTGAATACCGGGAAGCTAACGCCATACAGAGCGGTGGATCAAGGGACTGGAATCCACAGACTGGACAAAGTACTTTACTCTGGAAAAGATCAACGAAAAGCAAACAAAGAAATTTTCAACATCGGAAATCACGTATCGCGTTAAAATCGAAAACCTCAATATGAAATTCGATCCTGTCACCTCAATGGAAGCAATGCCCAAAGTGTTCGAAGCTATATTCAGTGTCATTACGAAAGAATTCGGACCAGACGACAGAATCGTCATCCTTCTCTCCAGTCATACACTCAACCGCAAAGCTGATCTTCATATGAAAAGGTTACAAGATTTCAAGATTGACGACCTTATGGATATGATGGTCATGATTAATTCAAGCAACTCATTCTGCATCGACGAAAGTTTTCAAATTACAATTGTTCGGACCGTAATACCGGCTGGTGGAAGAAGAAGAAAACATATCCATACTACGGTTGACCGAAAACGATTCAGCTCGTCTATTGTTACAGTGACAACAGGAAACAACCTTTGCTTACCTGCAGCATTGGCGCTCGGTCATTTCAGAAACACTCATGATGTCAGCGGCAAAGACAAGATGAAATGGAAAGCTTTAACTAATCCTAGAGGGCGTAAGTTGGAAAAACTCGCGTGTCAGTTGGTCCAAGATGCGGGTCTCACTATTGGAAAAATGTTTGGGTTGGAAGATTTGCCGGCTTTTCAACGCGTTTTAAAGTGTCAAGTCAAGGTTATTTCTGTGCAGGAAGGAAACACTCTTATCGCTCAAGTGCCGGAGAAGAAGAAACCGGGAATGAAGCAGATTTACTTAATGTACGATAAAAATCATTTCGATCTGATAACTAAACCATCTGGATACCACATGCAGAGTTATTATTGCACAAACTGCGATCAAGGATACGGCCGAAAGACAGATCATCGCTGTGAACAGAGATGCAACATGTGTTATCGCAGTAAAAGCGATTGCAAGGCCAGTGACCCAAAGTTATGCCCCGATTGTGGACGAACTTTCACCAACAAAGAGTGCTTTGATGTGCACAAGACTTTACGAAAAAATGGAAGGACGCTTTGCGAGGATCTTTTCATCTGCTCCAAGTGCAACAAGTTTGTGAATATGCTCAATCGCCCGGATCAGGTTCATAACTGTGACGAAATGTACTGCTCAACCTGCAAAGACTGGGTGCCTCAAAATTCGCATAAATGTTACTTCCAACCTCTTGAACCAGAAGAATTGGATGCTAATCCGAAGTACATTTTCTTTGATTTCGAAACTTACACGTCGGTCGATGGTACTCACATTCCAAACTACGTCGTCGCGCAGTATTGCTGCGGAAAGGAATATCGTTTTCCTCCTGATGGTACTCCTCTAGCCGGTTATGATGTCATCGCAAACTTTTGCAAATGGCTTTTCCGTGAAGAGCATCGTGGCTACACGATAATTGCGCACAATCTGCGAGGATACGATGGACATTTCATTTTGGCCCACATGATAGACAATAACTTGAAGCCGGACATTCTTTGCCGTGGTAGTCAGCTGCTGAATATTCGCTACAAAGCTTTGGACATGAACGCCGTGGATACGCTTAACTTTGTGCAGCTGGCTTTGTCTAAATTTCCTAAAGCGGTCGGTCTTAAATCTGATGAGAAGAAAGGTGACTTCCCTCACAAAATTAATCAGCCGGAAAATTGGGATAAAATTATTCCCTTCCCAAACCCGTCTTCTTACGGTATCGAAGCAATGTGTGCCGCCAAGCAGGTCGAATTCTTTAAATGGTATACAGGCGAAAAAACAAGAAGCAAGGACGTTTTTGACTTTCGGCAGCAGTTAACCAGCTACTGTTCAATGGACGTGTCAGTTTTGCGGAAATGTGCCTTAAAATTCCGAGATGATTTTATGGCTCTAGCGTGCATTGATCCCTTTAAATCCGTAACCATTGCTTCAGCTTGTTTGAAATTTTTTCGAACTTTTAATCTCCGGAAGGAAGAAATCGGAGTCATTTCAGCTCACGGTTACCAAACCAACAGAATAACCAGCATGGAAGCAACTCAGTGGCTGACCTGGGTTAACAAAACAGAAGCTGATTGGCGAATCGAGCATGGGCGAAATGGAAAAGAGAAACGTATTAATGATTATTTTGTGGACGGCTACGATCAAGTTACCAACACGGTTTACGAATACAACGGATGCGTTTTTCATGGACATCCGGACTGCACCAACGCAAATGACCGTTCACCTTTTTCAAACAAGACTATGCAAGAAGTTTACGAAGAATACCGGATCAAAGTTTGTTCTATAAAAGCTCGGGGCTTCAACTTTGTGGAAATGTGGTCATGCCAGTGGCGCGAGCAGTTAAAAGATCCAAGCATTCGGCAGTATATGAACGATATGTCCCTCCGCAGTCCTCTTCAACCAAAAGAAGCATTTAAAGGCGGCCGTACTAACGCAAACAGGCTACTTTACGAATGCGGTCCGAATGAGAAGATCCATCACTATGATATCGTCTCTTTGTATTCTTATGTCAACAAGAATTGTGTGTATCCAATCGGGCATCCGAAAATTATAACAGCAGACTTTAAGGATATAAGCGAATATTTTGGATTTGTAAAGTGTACAGTGCTTGCGCCGGGACAGTGCTTATTTCCTGTTTTGCCTGCAACTATAAATGGAAAGTTAATCTTCGCACTCTGCAGTAAATGTGCAGAGCTTCGGCAAAACGATTTTTGCACGCATGGCGACAAGGAGCGATTGCTGGAAGGTGTGTGGACTACTCCCGAACTGCATCATGCGATTTTACGTGGGTACAAAGTTGTTGCTGTTCATGAAGTCTGGCATTGGGAAATACGGAAAGAAAAATTGTTTGAAGACTTTGTTAACACATTCCTCAAAGAAAAAATTCAGGCAAGTGGATGGCCAAGTAACTGCACCACTGAAGCGGAACGGTTGGAGTTTGTCATAAAAGTGAAGGACGTGGAAGGTATTGAACTGGATTCCTCGCAAATCGAAGACAATCCAGGCCGAAAAGCAGTTGCAAAGTTGATGCTGAACTCATTCTGGGGCAAATTCGGACAAAATGACAATCTTCATCAGACGAAAATTTTCTTCAAGCCGAAAGATTACTATGACTTCCTCGTATCAAAATCTACCTGGATCCACAATGTCCATATCTTCAGTCCTGAATGTGTCATGGCAACTATTTCCAAAATCGACGACTATCTAGAAGGATCGTACACCGCCAATATCCCTATCGCAGCCTTTACGACGAGTTATGCCCGGCTGAAACTTTTGGATATGCTTGAGAAGTTAGGTGAACGAGTACTTTATTTTGACACAGATTCCGTTATTTTTGTTCAGCGGTCAGGCGAGTGGCAGCCACCAACAGGTACGATGCTTGGAGAATGGAGCAATCAGTTAGAATCGGGAGAGAGTCATATTGTCAAGTTTATTTCTCTGGGGCCCAAAGTTTATTATTACGAAACAGATACAGGAAGGATAGAAAGTAAAATTAAAGGCTTTACTCAAAATGGATATACGGAGAATATCCTAGCCGATTCTGGGGAAGGGCTGGTTCAAACAGGCCAGAGTATGGACTACAACCTTTGGAAATCGCTCTTGAAGAATGATGGCCAAACGGTGCGCGTTGTCTATCCCGAAACCATCAAAAGAAATGTCAACACTCATGAAATCAGCACCGTTCAACTGACGAAAACTCTCAGGCGAGTATACGATAAACGGATGCTGTTGGATGATTATAGTACTTTACCGTTTGGAACTCGCATGGAGTAAGTTAGAGTGTTCTTTCTGTACTTGTACAAAAAAAAAATTCGCACTATTTTTTTTTGCCAGCTAGCGCGCCATATTCGAAGGGATGCGCAGGGACATGATGTCGTTGGAGCAAGTGTCGTAGTTTTCGATTTTGCAGTTTGTAACTGTTAGCATATAATAGAAGCCAAAAAAAAAACATTTACATAAAAAAAGCAAAAAAAAAAGAGGGCGAATGCCCCAAATCTGTACCGGCTTTAGCTTGTCTGCGGCCAGGTTGAAATCGTTATGGCTTTGGGCTTCGTCGCTGAAACAAAAGCCGCTAGCGGTAATATTTGGTGCTGCTGTATTATGGTGTTATATAACTGCATGGAAGCAACCACAAAATATGATGAAACGGGGAGTAAATTGGCAGTGCAAGGTACTGCATCGAATATACTAGAAGAATAATGTGAGATACCAAAATCGGAAGAATGGTTAGCAAATGCGACCAGATGATGCGCGTTCCGTTCATTGAGCTTGTATTCAAATCGAAACATATGTAAAAATCTACGGAAACTCATATGAAAAACTTCCGTTTTGCAACATTTCGCTGCAAAAACTTGTAGTTTTCCGTAGTCAAAAAAAACGGAGGCTTTCGTTTTGGGATTCTCATTGACTTAACATACATTTTCGTAACTTTTAGGGAGTTTTTCGTTTTCACTTTTGGGAGTTTTTTGCTTCAGTTTCTTTGTTTTGTAAAACTTCCATTTCCGCACTAGCAAAAGAAATAAATATATTGACTTACTTTCACGCTTTTTGAAGAACGACAATCCATCTTACGCACATGTTCAAAGTGGCATTTCTAACTTGCATGTTTGCCGTGACATTTTCCAACTTCGTTGCATGTTTGCCGTTACATTTCCAACTTTGTTGCATGTTTGACATGACATTTTCAACTTTCTTGCATGTTTGACGTGACGTTTCTAACTTTATTGCATGTTTGCCGTGACATTTCCAACTTTCTTGTATGTTTCACGTGACAGTTCTAACTTCCCTGCATATTTGCCGTGACATTCCTAACTTTCTTAGATGTTTCACGTGACATTTCTAACTTTGTTTCATATTTGACATGACAATCCCAACTTTCTTGCATGTTTGCCGTGACATTTCCAACTTTTCTGCATGTTTCCCGTGACATTTCTAACTTCACTGCATGTTTGCCGTGACATTCCTAAATTTTCTGCATATTTGGCGTGACATTTCTAACTTCACTGCATGTTTGCGTTTGCCGTGACATTTCTAACTTCACTGCATGTTTGCCGTGACATTTCTAACTTCACTGCATGTTTGCCGTGACATTCCTAAATTTTCTGCATGTTTGGCATTTCTAACTTTCGCGTTGCATTTCAACTTTGTTGCATGTTTGACGTGACATTCCCAACTTTTTTGCATATTTGCCGTGACATTCCCAACATTGTTGCATGTTTGCCGTGAAATTTCCAACTTTGTTGCATGTTTGCCATGACATTTCCAACTATGTAGCACTTGTGACGTGACATTCCCAAGTCCCTTGCATATGTGACACGACATTTTATGCTTTCCCACAAGTCAAGTATAATATTTTTGGCTTCTTTAAATGTTTTGGTACGGCACTCTGAACTTCCAACAGGTTTAGTGTGATATGCTCAAGTTTTGCAATCGTTTCTTTTTTCGATATGAATTAAATGCATGTTTGGCGCAAGTCAGCTGATTACACATCAGTAGGTTACACTAATGATGGGAACGGAATGCACACCTGGCGTCAGTTAGACGTTGGAATGCGGTGATTATCGCAAATGTAAGGGGACACCGACAGTAATCATGGGAACGGAATGCATGTTTGGCGCAAGTCAGCTAATTACACATCAGTAGGTTACACTAATGATGGGAACGGAATGCACACTTGGCGCCAGTTAGAAGTTGGAATGTGGTAATTATCGCAAATGTAAGGGGGCACCGACAGTAATCATGGGAACGGAATGCACGTTTGGCGTCAGTCAGACAATTACACATCGTTAAGTTACACTAATGATGGGAACAGAATGCACACCTGGCGTCAGTTAGACGTTGGAATGCGGTGTTTATCGCAAATGTAAGGGGACACCGACAGTAATCATGGGAACGGAATGCATGTTTGGCGCAAGTCAGCTAATTACACATCAGTAGGTTACACTAATGATGGGAACGGAATGCACACTTGGCGCCAGTTAGAAGTTGGAATGTGGTAATTATCGCAAATGTAAGGGGGCACCGACAGTAATCATGGGAACGGAATGCACGTTTGGCGTCAGTCAGACAATTACACATCGTTAAGTTACACTAATGATGGGAACGGAATGCACACCTGGCGTCAGTTAGACGTTGGAATGCGGTGATTATCGCAAATGTAAGGGGACACCGACAGTAATCATGGGAACGGAATGCATGTTTGGCGTCAGTCAGATAATTACACATCGTTAAGTTACACTAATGATGGGAACGGAATGCACACCTGGCGTCAGTTAGACGTTGGAATGCGGTGATTATCGTAAATGTAAGGGGGGCACCGACAATAAACATGAGAACGCAATGCATGTTTGGCGCAAGTCAGCTAATTATACATCAGCAGGTTACACTAATGATGGGAACGGAATGCACACCTGGCGTCAGTTAGAAGTTGGAATGTGGTAATTATCGCAGTTGTATGGTTACACCGACATTAATCATGGGAACGGAATGCATGTTTGGCGCCAGTCATATAATTGCACATCGTTAAGTTACACTAATCATGGGAACGGAATGCACACCTGGCGTCAGTTAGACGTTAGAATCTGGTAATTATCGCAAATGTAAGAAGACACCGACAGTAATCATGGAAACGGAATGCTTGTTTTGCGCAAGTCAGGTGCATTCCCGCTCACTTTTCCTTATGCCTGATGCGACATTTTAGACTTTCTTACAAGTTTGGCGTGACATTCTCAAGAGTTTCGAAGTTATGCTATCATGTCTGGCACCAGTGCAGGTGCACTCCCATTCTCTTGCTTATGCTTGACAAAGCTTTCTTAACTTTCTTACGTGGTCGACGCGACATTCACAACTCTCGTACATGTTTGACGTGGCACTCCCAACTTTCTTACATGATTGATTGCTTTCTTGCATGTTTGACAAGGCATTCACCACTTTCTTGCTTTTTGACATGGCATTCTTAATAATTTTGTTATACATGACGCCAGCGTAGTTACATCCACAACTTTCCCGCATGATTGACGCGACATTCTCGGGAATTTCGTTGCTATGTCAACATCCCAGTAAAGGCATTCCCACTCACTTTTCTTTATGCCTGGCGCGTCTCCACAAGAGTGGCGCGACAGCTTGAAGTCTTTTGTCGTTATGTCAATAAGCTTGGCGTTAGTTCAGATGCATTCCCACTGTCTTTGTTATGTCTGACGCGGCATTCTCAGCTTTATCATAGGCTTGACGCAACATTAATAAATTTCTCACACGTTTTCGCGCGTTATTCTCGACTTTCTTATCACTGTGACGCGATATTCTAATCTTTATACATGTATGACTCGACATTCTCAATTTTATCTCGTGCTGGGCACTGCAATTTCACATGTTTTGACACGACATTCAACTTTCCAGTTTGTGCATTATGTTTCGGAAACGTTCAGGATGATGCATACTGTGTACAACTTTGCCATTCCTGAAGCAAATTTTTTTTTTTGACCTTTCATGACCTTTTTTGCATGATGTCTGAAGTCGCAACCGATTGAGCATTTGGCACAACTTTGCATTCTCAACATTTCTACACAAAAATGTATAGGTGACCTTTCCGTGACCTTTCTGCATGGTGCCTGAAGTCGGAACCCATTGGGTATTTGGCACAACTTTGCATGTGAGTTAACTCTTTGTTCAAAAGGATTCAGACGTTGTCGTAATCATCCATTGCTTCCATTCAGTACTGTCGCGTTTTCAGCAGGACAGTACTGAATGGAAGCAATGGATGATTACGGCAACGTCTGAATCCTTTTGAACAAAGAGTTAACTCACATGCTTTAGTGTCAACATCTTCCTGGCCCATAGCATCGCAGACTTTGACGTTGCCGTAATCATCCATTGTTTCGATTCAGTGCTGGCCTCTCGATCTTTTTGATAATTATGACCAGAGGCAAATTTTGAACAAAGTTCGAATTGAAAATAATAAAAAACGCAAATAATTTGGTTTGAGAGTGTTACTTTGGCTTGTTCAAGATGCAAAGTTGTACTGAATACCCCAACAAAACCGACTTCAGACATGAAAAAAAAAATTTAGGAAAGGTCGCACAAAAATTTTACTACAGGATTGTCGAGGAGGCAAAATTATACTGAATGCACAAACAAAACCGACTTCAGACACAATGCAGAAAGGTTAAAAAAAGGTCACAAAAAAAAAAGTTCTGCATAAAAATTTTCTGGATGCAAAGTTGTACCAATGCCTAATCGGTTGCGACTTCAGAAACCATGTTCAAAGGTCACGGAAAGGTCACCTGTGGATTTTTGTGTAGAAATGTTTAGGATGCAAAGTTGTGCCAATTGTCCAATGGGTTCCGACTTCAGACATCATGCAGAAAGGTCACAAAAAGGTCACCTATAAATTGTGTGTAGAAAGGTTGAGGATGCAAAGTTGTGCCAAATACCCAATGGGTTCCGACTTCAGGCACCATGCAGAAAGGTCACGGAAAGGTCACCTATACATTTTTGTGTAGAAATGTTGAGGATGCAAAGTTGTGCCAAATGCTCAATCGGTTGCGACTTCAGACATCATGCAAAAAGGGTCATGAAAGGTCAAAAAAAAAAATTTGCTACAGGAATGGCAAAGTTGTACACAGTATGCATCATCATGAACGTTTCCAAAACATAATGCACAAACTGGAAAGTTGAATGTCGTGGCAAAACATGTGAAATTGCAGTGCCCAGCACGAGATAAAATTGAGAATGTCGAGTCATACATGTATAAAGATTAGAATATCGCGTCACAGTGATAAGAAAGTCGAGAATAACGCGCGAAAACGTGTGAGAAATTTATTAATGTTGCGTCAAGCCTATGATAAAGCTGAGAATGCCGCGTCAGACATAACAAAGACAGTGGGAATGCATCTGAACTAACGCCAAGCTTATTGACATAACGACAAAAGACTTCAAGCTGTCGCGCCACTCTTGTGGAGACGCGCCAGGCATAAAGAAAAGTGAGTGGGAATGCCTTTACTGGGATGTTGACATAGCAACGAAATTCCCGAGAATGTCGCGTCAATCATGCGGGAAAGTTGTGGATGTAACTACGCTGGCGTCATGTATAACAAAATTATTAAGAATGCCATGTCAAAAGCAAGAAAGTGGTGAATGCCTTGTCAAACATGCAAGAAAGCAATCAATCATGTAAGAAAGTTGGGAGTGCCACGTCAAACATGTACGAGAGTTGTGAATGTCGCGTCGACCACGTAAGAAAGTTAAGAAAGCTTTGTCAAGCATAAGCAAGAGAATGGGAGTGCACCTGCACTGGTGCCAGACATGATAGCATAACTTCGAAACTCTTGAGAATGTCACGCCAAACTTGTAAGAAAGTCTAAAATGTCGCATCAGGCATAAGGAAAAGTGAGCGGAATGCACCTGACTTGCGCAAAACAAGCATTCCGTTTCCATGATTACTGTCGGTGTCTTCTTACATTTGCGATAATTACCAGATTCTAACGTCTAACTGACGCCAGGTGTGCATTCCGTTCCCATGATTAGTGTAACTTAACGATGTGCAATTATATGACTGGCGCCAAACATGCATTCCGTTCCCATGATTAATGTCGGTGTAACCATACAACTGCGATAATTACCACATTCCAACTTCTAACTGACGCCAGGTGTGCATTCCGTTCCCATCATTAGTGTAACCTGCTGATGTATAATTAGCTGACTTGCGCCAAACATGCATTGCGTTCTCATGTTTATTGTCGGTGCCCCCCTTACATTTACGATAATCACCGCATTCCAACGTCTAACTGACGCCAGGTGTGCATTCCGTTCCCATCATTAGTGTAACTTAACGATGTGTAATTATCTGACTGACGCCAACCGTGCATTCCGTTCCCATGATTACTGTCGGTGTCCCCTTACATTTGCGATAATCACCGCATTCCAACGTCTAACTGACGCCAGGTGTGCATTCCGTTCCCATCATTAGTGTAACTTAACGATGTGTAATTGTCTGACTGACGCCAACCGTGCATTCCGTTCCCATGATTACTGTCGGTGCCCCCCTTACATTTGCGATAATTACCACATTCCAACTTCTAACTGGCGCCAAGTGTGCATTCCGTTCCCATCATTAGTGTAACCTACTGATGTGTAATTAGCTGACTTGCGCCAAACATGCATTCCGTTCCCATGATTACTGTCGGTGTCCCCTTACATTTGCGATAAACACCGCATTCCAACGTCTAACTGACGCCAGGTGTGCATTCTGTTCCCATCATTAGTGTAACTTAACGATGTGTAATTGTCTGACTGACGCCAAACGTGCATTCCGTTCCCATGATTACTGTCGGTGCCCCCTTACATTTGCGATAATTACCACATTCCAACTTCTAACTGGCGCCAGTGTGCATTCCGTTCCCATCATTAGTGTAACCTACTGATGTGTAATTAGCTGACTTGCGCCAAACATGCATTCCGTTCCCATGATTACTGTCGGTGTCCCCTTACATTTGCGATAATCACCGCATTCCAACGTCTAACTGACGCCAGGTGTGCATTCCGTTCCCATCATTAGTGTAACCTACTGATGTGTAATCAGCTGACTTGCGCCAAACATGCATTTAATTCATATCGAAAAAAGAAACGATTGCAAAACTTGAGCATATCACACTAAACCTGTTGGAAGTTCAGAGTGCCGTACCAAAACATTTAAAGAAGCCAAAAATATTATACTTGACTTGTGGGAAAGCATAAAATGTCGTGTCACATATGCAAGGGACTTGGGAATGTCACGTCACAAGTGCTACATAGTTGGAAATGTCATGCCAAACATGCAACAAAGTTGGAAATATCACGGCAAACATGCAACAATGTTGGAAATGTAACGGTAAACATGCAAGAAAGTTGGGATTGTCATGTCAAATATGCAACAAAAGTTAGAAATGCAACGCCAAACATGCAGAAAATTTGGGAATGTCACGCCAAACATGCAGAAAATTTAGGAATGTCACGGCAAACATGCAGTGAAGTTAGAAATGTCACGGCAAACATGCAGTGAAGTTAGAAATGTCACGCCAAACATGCAGAAAATTTAGGAATGTCACGGCAAACATGCAGTGAAGTTAGAAATGTCACGCCAAACATGCAGAAAATTTAGGAATGTCACGGCAAACATGCAGTGAAGTTAGAAATGTCACGGGAAACATGCAGAAAAGTTGGAAATGTCACGGCAAACATGCAAGAAAGTTGGGATTGTCATGTCAAATATGAAACAAAGTTAGAAATGTCACGTGAAACATCTAAGAAAGTTAGGAATGTCACGGCAAATATGCAGGGAAGTTAGAACTGTCACGTGAAACATACAAGAAAGTTGGAAATGTCACGGCAAACATGCAATAAAGTTGAAACGTCACGTCAAACATGCAAGAAAGTTGAAAATGTCATGTCAAACATGCAACAAAGTTGGAAATGTAACGGCAAACATGCAACGAAGTTGGAAAATGTCACGGCAAACATGCAAGTTAGAAATGTCACTTTGAACATGTGCGTAAGATGGATTGTCGTTCTTCAAAAAGCGTGAAAGTAAGTCAATATATTTATTTCTTTGCTAGTGCGGAAATGGAAGTTTTACAAAACAAAGAAACTGAAGCAAAAAACTCCCAAAAGTGAAAACGAAAAACTCCCTAAAAGTTACGAAAATGTATGTTAAGTCAATGAGAATCCCAAAACGAAAGCCTCCGTTTTTTTTGACTACGGAAAACTACAAGTTTTTGCAGCGAAATGTTGCAAAACGGAAGTTTTTCATATGAGTTTCCCGTAGATTTTTACATATGTTTCGATTTGAATACAAGCTCAATGAACGGAACGCGCATCATCTGGTCGCATTTGCTAACCATTCTTCCGATTTTGGTATCTCACATTATTCTTCTAGTATATTCGATGCAGTACCTTGCACTGCCAATTTACTCCCCGTTTCATCATATTTTGTGGTTGCTTCCATGCAGTTATATAACACCATAATACAGCAGCACCAAATATTACCGCTAGCGGCTTTTGTTTCAGCGACGAAGCCCAAAGCCATAACGATTTCAACCTGGCCGCAGACAAGCTAAAGCCGGTACAGATTTGGGGCATTCGCCCTCTTTTTTTTTGCTTTTTTTATGTAAATGTTTTTTTTTTGGCTTCCTATTATATGCTAACAGTTACAAACTGCAAAATCGAAAACTACGACACTTGCTCCAACGACATCATGTCCCTGCGCATCCCTTCGAATATGGCGCGCTAGCTGGCAAAAAAAAATAGTGCGAATTTTTTTTTGTACAAGTACAGAAAGAACACTCTAACTTACTCCATGCGAGTTCCAAACGGTAAAGTACTATAATCATCCAACAGCATCCGTTTATCGTATACTCGCCTGAGAGTTTTCGTCAGTTGAACGGTGCTGATTTCATGAGTGTTGACATTTCTTTTGATGGTTTCGGGATAGACAACGCGCACCGTTTGGCCATCATTCTTCAAGAGCGATTTCCAAAGGTTGTAGTCCATACTCTGGCCTGTTTGAACCAGCCCTTCCCCAGAATCGGCTAGGATATTCTCCGTATATCCATTTTGAGTAAAGCCTTTAATTTTACTTTCTATCCTTCCTGTATCTGTTTCGTAATAATAAACTTTGGGCCCCAGAGAAATAAACTTGACAATATGACTCTCTCCCGATTCTAACTGATTGCTCCATTCTCCAAGCATCGTACCTGTTGGTGGCTGCCACTCGCCTGACCGCTGAACAAAAATAACGGAATCTGTGTCAAAATAAAGTACTCGTTCACCTAACTTCTCAAGCATATCCAAAAGTTTCAGCCGGGCATAACTCGTCGTAAAGGCTGCGATAGGGATATTGGCGGTGTACGATCCTTCTAGATAGTCGTCGATTTTGGAAATAGTTGCCATGACACATTCAGGACTGAAGATATGGACATTGTGGATCCAGGTAGATTTTGATACGAGGAAGTCATAGTAATCTTTCGGCTTGAAGAAAATTTTCGTCTGATGAAGATTGTCATTTTGTCCGAATTTGCCCCAGAATGAGTTCAGCATCAACTTTGCAACTGCTTTTCGGCCTGGATTGTCTTCGATTTGCGAGGAATCCAGTTCAATACCCTCCACGTCCTTCACTTTTATGACAAACTCCAACCGTTCCGCTTCAGTGGTGCAGTTACTTGGCCATCCACTTGCCTGAATTTTTTCTTTGAGGAATGTGTTAACAAAGTCTTCAAACAATTTTTCTTTCCGTATTTCCCAATGCCAGACTTCATGAACAGCAACAACTTTGTACCCACGTAAAATCGCATGATGCAGTTCGGGAGTAGTCCACACACCTTCCAGCAATCGCTCCTTGTCGCCATGCGTGCAAAAATCGTTTTGCCGAAGCTCTGCACATTTACTGCAGAGTGCGAAGATTAACTTTCCATTTATAGTTGCAGGCAAAACAGGAAATAAGCACTGTCCCGGCGCAAGCACTGTACACTTTACAAATCCAAAATATTCGCTTATATCCTTAAAGTCTGCTGTTATAATTTTCGGATGCCCGATTGGATACACACAATTCTTGTTGACATAAGAATACAAAGAGACGATATCATAGTGATGGATCTTCTCATTCGGACCGCATTCGTAAAGTAGCCTGTTTGCGTTAGTACGGCCGCCTTTAAATGCTTCTTTTGGTTGAAGAGGACTGCGGAGGGACATATCGTTCATATACTGCCGAATGCTTGGATCTTTTAACTGCTCGCGCCACTGGCATGACCACATTTCCACAAAGTTGTTTTTATAGAACAAACTTTGATCCGGTATTCTTCGTAAACTTCTTGCATAGTCTTGTTTGAAAAAGGTGAACGGTCATTTGCGTTGGTGCAGTCCGGATGTCCATGAAAAACGCATCCGTTGTATTCGTAAACCGTGTTGGTAACTTGATCGTAGCCGTCCACAAAATAATCATTAATACGTTTCTCTTTTCCATTTCGCCCATGCTCGATTCGCCAATCAGCTTCTGTTTTGTTAACCCAGGTCAGCCACTGAGTTGCTTCCATGCTGGTTATTCTGTTGGTTTGGTAACCGTGAGCTGAAATGACTCCTGATTTCTTCCTTCCGGAGATTAAAAGTTCGAAAAATTTCAAACAAGCTGAAGCAATGGTTACGGATTTAAAGGGATCAATGCACGCTAGAGCCATAAAATCATCTCGGAATTTTAAGGCACATTTCCGCAAAACTGACACGTCCATTGAACAGTAGCTGGTTAACTGCTGCCGAAAGTCAAAACGTCCTTGCTTCTTGTTTTTTCGCCTGTATACCATTTAAAGAATTCGACCTGCTTGGCGGCACACATTGCTTCGATACCGTAAGAAGACGGGTTTGGGAAGGGAATAATTTTATCCCAATTTTCCGGCTGATTAATTTTGTGAGGGAAGTCACCTTTCTTCTCATCAGATTTAAGACCGACCGCTTTAGGAAATTTAGACAAAGCCAGCTGCACAAAGTTAAGCGTATCCACGGCGTTCATGTCCAAAGCTTTGTAGCGAATATTCAGCAGCTGACTACCACGGCAAAGAATGTCCGGCTTCAAGTTATTGTCTATCATGTGGGCCAAAATGAAATGTCCATCGTATCCTCGCAGATTGTGCGCAATTATCGTGTAGCCACGATGCTCTTCACGGAAAAGCCATTTGCAAAAGTTTGCGATGACATCATAACCGGCTAGAGGAGTACCATCAGGAGGAAAACGATATTCCTTTCCGCAGCAATACTGCGCGACGACGTAGTTTGGAATGTGAGTACCATCGACCGACGTGTAAGTTTCGAAATCAAAGAAAATGTACTTCGGATTAGCATCCAATTCTTCTGGTTCAAGAGGTTGGAAGTAACATTTATGCGAATTTTGAGGCACCCAGTCTTTGCAGGTTGAGCAGTACATTTCGTCACAGTTATGAACCTGATCCGGGCGATTGAGCATATTCACAAACTTGTTGCACTTGGAGCAGATGAAAAGATCCTCGCAAAGCGTCCTTCCATTTTTTCGTAAAGTCTTGTGCACATCAAAGCACTCTTTGTTGGTGAAAGTTCGTCCACAATCGGGGCATAACTTTGGGTCACTGGCCTTGCAATCGCTTTTACTGCGATAACACATGTTGCATCTCTGTTCACAGCGATGATCTGTCTTTCGGCCGTATCCTTGATCGCAGTTTGTGCAATAATAACTCTGCATGTGGTATCCAGATGGTTTAGTTATCAGATCGAAATGATTTTTATCGTACATTAAGTAAATCTGCTTCATTCCCGGTTTCTTCTTCTCCGGCACTTGAGCGATAAGAGTGTTTCCTTCCTGCACAGAAATAACCTTGACTTGACACTTTAAAACGCGTTGAAAAGCCGGCAAATCTTCCAACCCAAACATTTTTCCAATAGTGAGACCCGCATCTTGGACCAACTGACACGCGAGTTTTTTTCCAACTTACGCCCTCTAGGATTAGTTAAAGCTTTCCATTTCATCTTGTCTTTGCCGCTGACATCATGAGTGTTTCTGAAATGACCGAGCGCCAATGCTGCAGGTAAGCAAAGGTTGTTTCCTGTTGTCACTGTAACAATAGACGAGCTGAATCGTTTTCGGTCAACCGTAGTATGGATATGTTTTCTTCTTCTTCCACCAGCCGGTATTACGGTCCGAACAATTGTAATTTGAAAACTTTCGTCGATGCAGAATGAGTTGCTTGAATTAATCATGACCATCATATCCATAAGGTCGTCAATCTTGAAATCTTGTAACCTTTTCATATGAAGATCAGCTTTGCGGTTGAGTGTATGACTGGAGAGAAGGATGACGATTCTGTCGTCTGGTCCGAATTCTTTCGTAATGACACTGAATATAGCTTCGAACACTTTGGGCATTGCTTCCATTGAGGTGACAGGATCGAATTTCATATTGAGGTTTTCGATTTTAACGCGATACGTGATTTCCGATGTTGAAAATTTCTTTGTTTGCTTTTCGTTGATCTTTTCCAGAGTAAAGTACTTTGTCCAGTCTGTGGATTCCAGTCCCCTTGATCCACCGCTCTGTATGGCGTTAGCTTCCCGGTATTCACGAATGAGCTTTTGTTTCCCGTACAGATTGGCAATTGCATCGAGAGAAAACAGCCCTTCTGCCTTTTCTGGCCAGTTTTCATGCAACCATTGTTGCAGAAACTCGGCATAAAAGCGCAAAACTTCATCCAAGTTAAACATGGTTTCTGCTTACCTGCGATTAGTAATCCGCAAGCACAACAATAGCAAATGGCGGGTAACGGCCAGTAATCCAGTTAACACATAAATGCTTAGCTCGAAAACAAAAAAAGAAAACCTTTAGGAACAAAACAATCAATGAGACGAGAATGGAATACAAAGCGTGCTAAATACCTTTTACTATAAGCTATGCAGCTTCACATCTACTGCAACTTTTTTACAGTTTCCTATGAAAAATTGTGTAGTCTAAGTTGCCAAAGGGCAGAACATGCAGTTTGATGGATGGTTTTAGAGTCTTCAGTGCAAGTGTACTGTTTAATATGGCAATTGTACGACGCCCGTTCAGATAGAAATGCAGTTGTCGACAGAAATGTCGAGACTTAGAGGCACGAAGAATAGCGTATGGACGTGTGCGTGGTTAAATGTCTACAGAAACTGACAGATCACAGATGACAATTGCGATACGTGTGCTAAAATCGCAAAGTTCATGAAAATTGTGCACAATCAAACAAATAACGTGCAACAAAAGTGCACGCAGCTCGTCAGATGTTTGTGAAAGATACGCACTGTAAAAACGTTTTGGGCCTTACACACTTGCGGACAATGAGATGTTTATGGAAACTGGCATACATACAACAGTCAGATGTATCTTAGAAATGAGTATGTTGCAGAACTGTACGAATAATATGAGTAGGTAGAAACAAAATGTTCAGATGTTTGTAAGTAATCTGTACCCCCTAGGATACGACATGAGAGTATACCAGCAGTTAGATATCTAAAGAAACTGTGTGTTGTGAGTTATTAAGGAATGAGCATGTTTTGACAGATCAGACGCCAAGGAAACATGTGTACGAGAATCATTAAAACACAATCTTCACCCAAACTTGCGCATAATGAGATGCCTATGTAAAAGACATATGTCAAATCACGAGCATTCATATTAAAACACAATCTTAACTCAGAGAAGAGCAAAAGTAGTAATAAAATATAAGTTAGATAGTTATTTTACGTAATAAATATAAAAATTAGATAAAATATGTAAAATAGATTTTATTCCATATCACCCGTTACTCTTCTGACCTGTTTAAATAAAACGCAGAACGTGTTTGCAATTCTGCTTTAGTAAAAACCCATCAGCTGCAGTAATTTGACTCTGGACACTGCACTAGCCAGTGTCTGTTGAGTATAAAATTACTTTATTACAACAAGCACAAGCCATGTATTTGTTATCCTTTAATGTACATTTTCAACCAAGAAGGCAATTATCTGTAAATCAGTTTCTGCACTTAGAAAATTTGGTAGACCGTACAGACAGATGCATTCTAATTAGACTGTACGCATTACTACGCAAGGTTATTTGCTGCAGACGTCGGTAGTTTAAAGAACAGTGTTTTTACTGATTACACGAAAAAATGATAAGATAAGGATTTTTCCAATCGGCCAAAGGAGTTCGATGTGAGCTCTTGAGCTGCTAACTCGCTCATCATAAACAGATACTGCGTATGGCGATTAGACGAACAGCTATGACGTTTGTCGTTGAATCACTGGTAATTATGGTATATCGCACATTTACTAATTGTGGCGGCACGATGCGTATTTGTTGAGTTAGGTAACACATACTGTATCCACATAACTATAAGATCGTTAGCACTAGGTATACGATGCCAAAAAAACTCGTGCATGTCGAAATGCGTGTTGTAATTATACTCGTATAATTATCACTGCATGTCTACAGGAGGCTAAAAGGAAGTTGTAATACGAAGATTGTTTTAGGTCCTGTTGTTTGGCTGTTTTGGTTTTTTTTGTAGCGGTTGTTATATCTATATTATGTATGGTTCATGCTGTCTCGAGGAGTACAAAAGCAGCTTAACCCGTTAGTACGCATAAAAAACAGCAACCAGTTGACCTTTACAGCCTCTGTATATTTCATCATCGACTTCTATCAAGTCAATGAGTCAACTTCTGTCTGTTTTAAGCATTAAATTATTAATTTTTACAAATACATATCACCTCAAAGCTATATATGATACAGAAGTACGTGGTTGCGTATTAAGAAAATGCAAGCATATTATAATATATGACAACAAGCCATTAACCGCACAAACACAAAAAGTAATACCGACTCTAGATGTTTTGCCTTCAGTTATGTACTCTCTTTTAAATTTGAATACTTTATAGGTATATCCGTTTTGCAGTTCTTTGGTGACGCCGTGACGGACCACAATAGCGTGTTCACTACCGTTTTAAACCGGCGCCGCGTCTTTCGCATCGCTTTCCAGTGCACCCCGACGAACATGTGCATATTTCTGTCTCCATTCTGATAATTCCCGGAGTTCGTTCGGGAAAATGAAAGCTAATTCTTTGGCGGGTGTATTGACGAATCGAACAATGGTATTGGGCTCTTTGCAGCAACCGGTGACGGCAAACTGCATTGCTTTCAACGTTGAATAATCAGAATCTTTCAGGTGGGCTCCGTCTATTACCACTTCGTTAATGTACGAAGATTGTTCCGAAGAACCTGTCCGCTGTGGTCTTCCTCGTCGGAACATTTTTGGCTCGGTCCGGTTTACTTTAAAGACATCATTCTGAATAAAATCGCAGAGAGTGTCAGCACCCGGAAACAAAACTGGACTTTTAATGGCGATGTCCACATTCAGGTACTGCTTTTCCCGCGAGGTCATGGGCCAGCCATATCGCGATTTTACCACGTGCGCTAACACGCGTGGACGAGCCATGGGATAAAACAGAACCAGAAAAGACGCTGCTACCCCACAAAGTATACCGAATCCCAGGCTGACAAAACAGCAGACACTGATGGTGGTTATTAACGGGAATAGTTCCGCTTTCCGATATAGCCATAAATCCTTGAATATTTTGAAGTCAAATAAAACCAAAATACTGGCAATGAGCATAGCCGATAATGATGCGCGTGGTACTAGATGAAACGGAAAAATAAGCGTGAGCAGTAAGAGGTAAGGTTAAACATTTTGAGAGATTATAGTATACGTACACATTTACTAACTTGTAAATGTTAAGTAATTAAATTCTTTTTTTGCTTTACCATACTTTAGAGCCGGCGAAAATAGTGTTATGGTAAACAGTACACATACGCCGGTCCAAGTGCTTCCCATGGTTGTCCGAACACCCAACTGCGCTTTGAAGGCTGACCGAGCGAAACTTCCCGACACCGGCATTCCATGAAAAAATGCACAGCACATATTAGACGCGCCCAGTGCAACGAATTCCTGCGTGGAATCGATTCGGTAGTGAAAATGCAGTGCCAGTGCTCTGGCTACCGCAATGCATTCCAGGCTGCCTACTAGGACGATCATCGGGATGCCGGGCAAAGCGGTTAAGAACGTCTCCATGACGGTGTGATTCCCCCAAGCGAATTCGGGCATTTTCAGCATGGGCACGCCACCGCGAACTTCCCGGGTTACACTGAGAACGTTGCGGCCATTTACACTGAGAAGATAACTAACGCCGGTGGCTATCACAATTACTTGAACGTAACGCGTCTCGGCAATTATCCGTATTGCTTTACGAACAATTTGCCATGTGCGATATGAAATCTTCCATTGTGGAGTGCGAGGAAGCCGTGAACCTTGACTACACAATAGCAACCAGCTCAATGAAATCACCCCGACGAGGACATCCCATCCGCTAAAACAATAAAAAACAGAAAGTTTGTTTCCATATTCAAGCGACACTTCCGATATTTGTAATTAAATGCAGGTTACACTTTGCGATATTAAAACTGTAAAAAAAATTTGAAGCCACCAACTGAACAAATATCAGCGGTCCGAAATCAATCTGTTTTGCCGACGCGGTAAAAGTACGAGGACAAAATTAAATCGACTGGTAAGGTCGATAGAGTCCATGCAGCTTACGTACTTGATTTTGCTGACAGTGAAATCTGTCGACATTCCAAGAAGGTTATCCGACGACACAGACCGAAATCCTGTAATAGTTCTGACTTGGCTAAAAACTACGAGGAAGGCTGAGGCCGTAGTAAATCCGCTTATGACAGGATCAGAAATGTAATTTATGAGGAACCCTGGAATGAAGAATTTTTAAAAACATTACTTATATGCTCCAAACGCAAACGGCGCTCGCACTGGGGTCATCAACGTCGTGTAATCTGCTTACACTGTAATTTACCCAAAGCCCACGATGTGTTTATAATTTACCGAGATTAAGAAAGCCTAGAATAAGCTGAAATAATCCTCCAAAAAAGCAGAACAGAATGGAATATCGTGCTCGCTCCGAAATCGTAATGCCAGCCGGCATCGAAACACCTGTCACTAGTGCTAGGAGACTGGTTGGTCCAAGAGATACGTCCTTCGCCGTCCCGAAGATGGTATACATAAAACACCCGATGAAAGCCGCATTTAATCCATACTAAAACGACGTTTTGTTTTCTGCGTTTTGTTTTGCATTAAAGCGCAAATAATGTTCATTTTACTAACTAACGTACGTACTTCTAAAGGAACATCGGCGATGGCAGCATACGCCAATGACATTGGCACAACGCACAACCCAAGGGTCACGCCAGCAATGATATCACCACTGAAGTCTCGCAAAGAGTACTTCGGTAACCACAGTGTTATGGGAAAACGCCGTCGCCATGCTTTCATATTACACTTCCTCAACAGAATGGCTTTAATAGCCGCGAATGTCAGGGGATCACCAGCGGAGATGACAAGTTCTTCTGTGCTCTTCAGGGTCCATTCCAGTTCGGCGCTGGGATTATCTGAATGTGACGATCGACGTCTCACGGATTCGAGTTCTGCCGTTGAACTGGCACTAGTGCCTGCACTCTCCAGGACGACTATGGTATTTTCGCACGGCGTTCCTCCACCGAATGAATTATCTGCTTTTTCATCGGTTCTAGTACGATCCGGTTCATTCGCATCATCTATGTTCAAAGATGACAGAGAAAGCGCTCGGCAGATTTCTCGAAAAGGGACGCTTCCGGCTTGTTTATCAACATGGACGTCTCGCTGGTTCGCAGTAGCAGGGTCACCGACGACCGAAAACATTATGTCGTTTACTGATCCGTAATCACGCGCATATGCGCAAGATATTGCGGTCCTGGTGGCAAAATTTTTTTGTAGCCTGATAGAATCTGAAGCCAAAAACTTACTGTACGCGTAGAGCATCAACTAGTTGCAGCGACTTGATTTATGCGTGCTGAATATTTTATCGCAAATGAAGATTTATCTTTAAGCAGCCAAAAAAGACAAAAGCAGACAAAAAGCAGCCAAAAAAGATTGTTTACACTACACGGCTTTCTTAGTTATGGCGCCGGTAGCGGTCATAGGAACATCTGAACATAGGATTTTTGCAAAAATAAATGTCAAACAACATTTCTAGCATTAACGCTAAAACCTTCGATTCCGGTACGAATACAAATGGCATTTTAGAGCGCACTCATCAGTAGTTTGATACACCTAATTGTTAGAAGGTGTCATTCACTAAACCATTCATCGGTTTCTGATTACAGGTTACAGACTTTATTATTTGACTGTATGGCTTGCAGTGCAAGAAATTCTATATAAAAACGACACTAAATTCGCATACGTACTGCACAGGTAGAAAAGCCTATTACTGCTTAATGACACTACAAGTTGTCCCTTGGAGCTATGCGCTATTTTGCTTATCGCGTTACCGGTAAAGTTTGTCCAAAAATGTAGATGATTGTCATTTGGCGGATCTTATCCTGTCATGAGGCTAACAAAGCGTCGCTATTAAATCCAACAATTAAAGGATTAGAAACAAATTAAAACTTTGTCTCCGGACATAAAATATTGTGATTGAGCAGTATTACTGTTGTTTTGTTCAACAGTATTATTATTTTAGTATGTACTTGAGTCGCACAATCGCCTGACTGCATACTGATGTACGCGTGCATGCGAACTGTACCAGTTATACGGGCATCTTAAATTACATAAAGTATTTAGGAAATCAAAAATAAGTGAAGCGGCTCTCGCTACTGTTCCAACTTCGACTATGCTTCTTCCAATACCTGATGCAGCGAATTAAAAGCCGCATGATGAACATCACATCAATTACGCGTAGGTGCCGAAAACTTCGCAAGAGGGATGCATGTAACCCAAAAACTAAAAAGTAATCATCAGCTACAATATCGAGCTGTGCAGATACTTTCGTTTCTTTTTAACGCACAATGTTCTGTTCGAGAGTTCGCAACATGATTACAGACGTTTAATAGTAAAGGCGTGTTGTGGGTTCTAGCAACGTCGTTTTTAACAAACGCTGTGCTGTGCCGCAGCGGCGCTTGCTGCGGAAAGATGACATTAACAAATGACAATATTTCCAGCTTTCCAGATACAAATTAAATTTTTATACGAACTTTTATTTGAATTCTTCATTTTTTTTATTTATGTTACAGTTCTATACGTAGGTCAGGTCGGTAGGTACTAGTAAAATTCAACAGTAACGAGTACTTACTGTAAGTATAAAACTTTAAGAATACAGTAAGTTTTCATTGCCCGCTTGTCACCCCCGGGTGTAGATTACGTACCAGTATTGTCCGCTGTTAAGAACTTTTTCTGGAACCCGTCGTTTTTGGATTCGAACAGATGTACATCTGTTTTACTTTTTCCAAAACTTCGATTGGCTTTAGATTTGGAACATCGGGATTTCAGATGTTTTGCGTGTTTTAGTGCATAATTTTTGGCAACATTTGCCGCTTTTCAGTTTGTTAGTCTGTGACCGCTCTCCGATTGATTGTTGCAGCTCTCTTGCAGGATTGGAGCGAATCAGCAGTCCAGCAGTACTTCTCTATAGGCGAAGTTCAAATCGGTTTCCATTTTAGACTTTCAGTCACTTTCTGATCACTTAGTGGCGAGCCGAGCTCCGTCGTGCTGCTTGTTAAGTTGTTAGCCAAGCCATGAGGATCGAAGAAGTGACCAGTACAACTAAAGCACAGCGGGTTGCGGCTCACAGCCATGTCAAGGGACTTGGATTGGATGAGAACGGGATCCCCAAAGAAAGCGGCGGAGGTCTCGTGGGTCAGCTGAAAGCTAGAGAAGTAATTTTATTGTGCTTTCTGTTTGCGAGTGGTTTCTGTTTATTGTGGTTTCATTTTGCGAGACTTATATGAATATTGCACTTAATCAATATTCAATAATGGTATGGTCGTAACAGTAGTCAACATCGCTGTACTGTAATTCTGCTCGTTATTCCTACAGGCTGCTGGCATCGTCGTGGAGTTGATCAAATTGAAAAAGTTAGCCGGGCGTGCTGTTCTCTTGGCTGGTCCTCCGGGATCTGGCAAGGTAGGTTTTGTTATGCTCGTGAAATACCAGAAAGATTTTTAGAAATCTTGGTTATTCGCTTGCAGTCGTCGGGAATGTTTTGATATACTTGTGCGTATACCAGTGTGGGCTTGTAATAAATGTAATCACATAAAATGTGGCTCTGTGATTTTATAACTCTTTATTCACCTAATTTATTCGGGCTGTGTTCTTTAGACGGCCATTGCTTTGGCCATCGCCCAAGAACTTGGCTCTCGCGTGCCATTTTGTCCAATGGTTGGCAGTGAAGTATTCTCGTCAGAAGTGAAGAAAACAGAGGTTCTCATGGAGAACTTTCGTAGAGCTATCGGTAGGTTGGACTTGCAATTTGCTTCACGATGGGAGATCAAGCGTGCATCGTTTTGTTTTTCTCGATATGCTGTCTTATGTTGTAACGATTTATTCTTCAGGGCTGCGAATTAAAGAAGTGAAAGAGGTCTACGAAGGTGAAGTTACGGAGCTGGTACCTTTTGAAGGCGATAATCCCGTGGGTATGTGTTTTACAGCGGAAATTTAGTTTCGCTCTCTCTTGCCTTGCTTTTTTTTGCTAACTTAAACGGTTTTGGTCTTGCTGCTAAACTCCACAGAATTAGTTAATAGGGAGTCGTAAACTGCTATTTCAACAAAATATGGGAATATTTTTCTGCTTGTAGGCTATGCAAAGACTGTGCAGCATGTGGAAGTCAGCCTGAAGACCGCCAAAGGTGTGAAAAAGCTGAAATTGGATCCCTCCATTTATGAAAGTATTCAAAAAGAGCGAGTTTCCATTGGGGATGTCATATATATTGAGTCCAACACTGGCGCTGTTAGGGTAATGCAATAGCGTTTCTTGCATCGCAGAGTAAAATTTATCCTGTATTATGTTTAGCGCATGGGTCGATGCGATGTCTACGCCACTGAATTCGACTTGGAAGCGGAAGAATATGTTCCTTTACCAAAAGGCGATGTCCACAAGCGCAAGGAAGTTGTACAGGACGTCACGCTGCATGATCTCGACGCTGCAAATGCGCGACCGCAGGTCGGTGCATGGTTTTTATAACGGTGCTGGAATGCAGTAAGGTAATACACCGTGCTCTTCTAGGGCGGGAATGATATTGTCGCTATGTTGGGTGCATTGAGCAAGCCCAAAAAGACAGAAATCACCGAGAAACTCCGTCGTGAAATTGACAAAATGGTCGATCGTTACATCGAGCAAGGAATTGCTGAGTTAATTCCCGGGGTGTTGTTCATTGATGAAATCCACATGTTAGATTTGGAATGCTTCACTTATCTCCATCGTGCACTGGAATCTCAGATCTCTCCTATTGTTGTTTTTGCTAGCAACCGCGGCAAATGTGAAGTGCGGTAAGTGATGCATTCAGCAGTTTGTTCTGACCAGTGGTCACATACCGGGTAATTTTTAAAAAATTGTAGGGGTACTGATGGTGTTGTCTCTCCTCATGGGCTTCCACTGGATCTTCTGAATCGTATCTTGATTATCCGCACGACAGCCTACAGTCCGGACGAGACAGCACAGATTCTTCGTATTCGCGCTAACGTTGAAGCTGCCAATATAACGGATGATGCTTTGAGTTATTTGAAAGAAATCGGAACGACTGCTTCTTTGCGGTAAGTTCGGCAGTGGTACTATATCTATTCCTCACTGTGTATTAAACCGTGTAGTACGTTCTGTGTACTTCATTTTGTGGAGAGTTTGGAACTTCATATCGGAAATTTAGGCGCAGTACTTGAAACTAACTGTCCGTTAATGTTTCTCATAATTTTGTTTTCCTTAGATATGCCGTTCAGCTTATTACTCCTGCAAAACTGCATGCCCAGGTGCAGGGAGTCGACACCATCGGACGGGAGAGCATTCAAACTGTTGCCAGCTTGTTCCTGGACGCCAAAACGTCTGCCCGTATTTTGGCCGAGAAGAAGGAAAAATATATGATGTAGCGAAGTTGCATAAATACGTACAATAGAAAACCATTATCAGCTCCAAGTAAATTGTGGGCCGTGGCATTTAAAAATTAACTTTTTTTACAGCGGGAATTGTCAAACTGGTTACATATTAAAAGAACAAAATGTTTTTTTCTGCTAAAAAATAGCCAGCATACAATGTTCAAGTTTAAAACAGTAAAGCGCCCATGCCACCCATTTCGCTCTGTTCTTTGACAAAAATTTCGAAATATTGATAAATAATAGTCACGGCTAAGAGGATTCCAGTGCCGCTTCCGATTGCACCTAAAAAGACCAAACATGTATTTGGACTAGTCCGAAATTAAACAGTAACAGCAGTCGACGTACCCAGGAAGTCAGCCATGACGGACAAAGCTCCAATACACAGACCACCGAATGCAGCAGCCGTAGGGATGTATCGATTCAGTTCGTGAATCATAGATTTTTCACGATGTCCTCGCATCACCATCTGCTGTTCTTTCAGCTGTTTGGCCACCTGTAAGTGAGATTATCATACTATCAGATTCTTGATGCCTACACAATCTAAAAACCGAGAATAAATAACTTACATCCTTCGCGCTCGAACCGGAAACGTCAATCCAGGTCTTGGAGAAGAAAGCACAAGATCCCAACATAAAGATGATGTAGATCACTGCATGCACCGGGTCCGTTACGATATGACCAAGACTTTCTGGTGGAGAGAAGTAATAACATAATCCTCCAATAGGATAACTTCTTGCTGGACCACTATCGCCAACGTCCTGTAAAACCACGTAGCTAACACATCTGTATCGAATGTTCGGAAATAAAAAAGAAAATTAAACGCAAAATAAATGATGGAAAAATCAGATTGGGATAGGTATTTTCTCAAAATTACATGTTAAAAAATCGCAGGAGTAAGTCAACGTCAAATCAGAAAGTACTTACGGCCCACACTCCAAGAAGACTGACGAAGAAATTCTGCCCGAATTTGCTGGACAACATTTGCGAGATCACATACAAATTGGACACCAACGCACTCTGAAGGATGATAGGAATATTGGAGGTATAGAAAAGCTTAATGGGATAGGAACTGTATTGGCCACGGTATTTAGCCGATTTGATGGGAAGATCCACACGGAAACCCTGCAAGCGGTCCAATGTATTAGTAAACTTGTTAACTATTCCCCTCGATTTATGATTTCGCATCATTTCAAGCTCGAGCTGCATCATTTACACTGCTACGGCAAAATTCGAAGCAAAGAGTACTTGCCTGGAAGTATATCACTACCGCGAAGACGACAATAGTGGCTAAAAGATTCATCAGGTTGGGAAGATTCTGACGGTAAAATGCTTCACGCAGAGCACGGATCTTGTCATTGCGGGTGGCCAGGAGGTGGAACAGAGCAATGATGGCACCCTCGAATTCAGTTCCTGCAGAATTCATCGGATTTTGTCAAACTCTGGCGGAGAACTTACTACGCACAAATATGCAGCGTATGGGCGCCAGTTTCAACTTACCGCGTCCGGTGTTAACAGTTGTGGGACTGAATGCCTTCCACACAATCGTCTCGCAGATGTTGGTGGCAATAAACAGAGAAATACCCGACCCGAGACCGTAGCCTTTCTGCAGCAACTCGTCCAGCAAGAGCACGATCAGACCGGCGATAAATAACTGTGAGAGGAGGAATATGATTATTTGTGCGAAGTGCGCACTCGTGGACATGTAGACTTCCGTACCTGTATGACAATCAGCAAGCAGATACCCGCTCCGAGATCACTGGGCTCACCGTACATTCCCGTCATCACATAGACAATGGCCTGACCGATGGTGATTACCATGCCAAACAGCTTCTGCGCTCCGTTAAAGAGTGCGCGATCTTTCGGAGTGTCGCCCACTTCGATGATCTTAGCACCGGCCAGCAGTTGCATAATTAAACCCGATGTCACGATAGGCGAGATACCCAGCTCCATCAGTGTACCTTAAAAAGTGTGCAGAATACTAAGACCGGACACCAGAACCGCAATAAGTGAAGCGTCAGACGACAAATTACAACGTCTAACTTCTTGGACTGCGATAATTTTACATAAGTTATAATTGAGAGACAAATCAGAGTATTCTTAACATATGAAAGTAAATTTAGCAACTGCAAATATACCTCTGTTGGAAGCGAGAATGACACGAATCCAGTAGAAAGGATCCGCGGACTCTGATGACATGATTCCAAACAGAGGAATCTGCGTAAAAAGTAAATGTAATACACTAAATACAGTATGGCGTACGCTAAAGTATGTTGCATCGTATTTTTGTATTATGTTTCAAACAAATACCAACCTGACAGCAGACAAGGAAAATAAAGAGCGTAATTGCCGTCCATAGTACTTTCTCCCTGAATTGGATCTACAAAACGACAAATTCAAAATTAGGAAGGATTCAATGAACACACGGACAAAACGCAAACCGCCCGGAACGGAACACTTTGAGACAGGCATGGTTACGAGTGAATAGCACTGATTACCCTTATGGATTCCTGTTAACCTAATTTCTTCCTATGATTAAGTTTCGGATGAAAAAAATAACTTACTTTGCGCTCGGGCTTTGCAATTTCAGGAAGGATCCCGCAAAGCGGCTTGATAATCTCCAGAAATTTGACTGCAAGGACAGCGTGCAATCAAGAGATGCACCAGCAGACGCATATGTTCCCTCCATATGATCGAAGTACTTACTTGGCATTTTGTTGTCGTGTATGCAGCAGTGGAATGAAAGGTGTAAATATTAATTTAAAACAGGAGGATCGAGCTCTCCTAAAGTTTCGTAAAAAAGATCGCTATAAAATAATTCAAACTCAAAGCATGGCCATTTTTTGGTAAACATACCTTGACTGCGGCAGCTTAGCCGGCCTGCGTATTTCCAACTCACATTTACGTGGCCGATGTCAGCATCGATAGCCGATTGGCTGAGAAGAAAGAAACTAAATCCTCTAGTGGCTGCTTGTTCAACTGGTAACCACGCCTTCAAGGGTAGACTTTGCCCTGAAAGACACGCGCATTGCGGAACTGATTTGTCGGGTGCTGTCATGTTGTTGCTATTCCGACCGCCTAGGTGGATGAGTAGGAACGGAAGGTGAAACAATCCTAGGCAACCGCCCGCAGAGCGAAGCGAAACGACAATTTCGACGCAACTTCCGGCGTTGTATTACAATTTTGCATTTTGCAGTTTGCTGTTTGCAAAACCAATTTTTGCGTTTGACTTTTAAAAATATTTTTATTTTTTAGTACAGCTGTAAAATTTATTCAAAAATCATAATATTGTCATTATATTGGTTTACCCTAACGGATCTTTTCGATTCTTCTTGTTTTACTTTTGCAGGAATTGAGCTTGAATCTTGTGGCTGTCCTTAGTCATTGAACAGTAAACTGTAAACCAGTTTCTGTCTGAGCCCTGATATTAGAAAGTTTTCGCGGTTTCCTGTTTTTGTTTTGCTAATGCTGTAAGACAGTAAGTCGCAGCAAAGAAGAGATGTCTCCCGTTCCAAATAAGACACTGCGTTGGGGTATAGCTGGTTCTGGACGCATTTGCAATGATTTTGTGGTGGCGATGATGACACTTCCTAAGGATGAGCACGAGGTAGGTAAAGGTTTGATCGTCTCTAATCGGTGTGTGCTGCAGTTTCGAGTCCATTTGTTGGATTAACAATTTGCAGTTCTTTTCCGGTAACACTGGAGTTGTTCAAGCTGAATAAAAAAATTTTGTCCTGAGCTTCTTTACAAGTAATTAACGCCTGTTTGCGAGGTTTTGAGAGTATTCTGGATAGCAGTAATTAAGGATACAAAATAGCATGTTTGCGTGGTGGGCCACTGGGCACTGGTGTTCTTGTTTTGCTCATCTATTTTGTTTATCTTTTTAGGTCGTTGCGGTAGCCTCGCGGCATGAATTCAAAGCGCAAGAATTCGCATCTAGATTGAGTATTCGAAAATTTTATGGTTCATATGAAGCGTTGGCAAAAGATCCGGAAGTCGGTATGTTCGTTCTGTTTGGTTAGATTTGGAATTTTCAAGTTTGCGGTTGGCGCATACACTTGCACCTGTAAAGATTTAGTCTTGTTTTATAGCTCATACAACAGATTTTATTCTGACTAATAAAATGGACCGTGTCGATCGTGTTCTCCCCTTGATAAAATTAATTTTTGGTTTTTGGAGCTGTGCAGTCAGTACCCATGTTGTACCTATGTCTATTGACTGTATTTTTATTTTTTCTTCGCAGATGTTGTTTATATCGGCGCCATTAACACGGAACACAAGAAGTTATGCCTGATGATGCTGCAGCATGACAAGCATGTGCTGTGTGAAAAGCCGTTGACTTTGAGATTGGCTGAAAGCAAAGAGCTTTTTGATTATGCACGGAAAAAGGGCAAATTTCTAATGGAGGTATGAAAAAATAGCACTGGTGCAGTGGTACTTGAATTTGGTAAATGTACTGTGGAGATATGTATGCGGTAAGTACTCTCCTTTTTGTTCTGCGCTCATAACAAAACTTGCAGGAAGCGGCATATCGTTTTTTGTTACATTTTATACTGAATTTTCTTTGTTGTTTCTAAACAAGAATTTATCAGTTCTGTCTGCACAAAACACTCATTCCCGTTTATATGGTAGGCGATTTGGACAAGGTGTTTTCCCGCCTACAAGCAGCTGCGTGAAGAAATCTTGAAACAGTCTATCGGTCCTGTCCAGTTATTGACGGCTAACTTTGGATTTCATGCTCCAAACGTCCCGAACCTGGCAGAACGCGACCTTGGCGGAGGAATTCTGTTGAATGTCGGCTGCTACGTCGTGCAGCTGGCTAATTTAGTTTTTCAAGACCGGAAACCAGCTACCGTAAAAGCAGTGGCGACCTTTAACGAGTCGGGTGAGCGACGTCTTTACCGCATATATATCGATTTTCAGAGAGTTAATTCATGCTTTAATAGTTGTAATACATTTTGCTATCGAAAATATTTCGCTGGATATATGCTTCTAGTAGTCATTTTAACGTATTGCAATAAAATGACGTTATTCTTTGGGCAGCAAGAAACTTGATTTCGTCACAGTTTTCGTGCACTCTCGTCACCATAAAATGACGCCATAAAATAACGCTCTCCATAAAATGTTGATTCAGGAACTGTAATTACATGAAATAAATGACCATTCATAATATACGGTATGATTGCAGGCGTGGATCACACTACAGCCATCACGCTCCAGTACGATGATGGCGCAATCGCTCAGTTTTTGGTGTCGATGCTGACGGACTTGGAGTCCACTGCAAGAATAGTTGGAAAGGAGGGTTTAGTTATTGAGGTGCGTAAGTAACCAGTGCACATTGTTCGGGCTCGCAGACCGCTGTTGAGCCATTAGGTTTATTTTGCACTTTTATAAAACTAGATGCGGAGTTGCTGTAAGAGGGATGTTTCGTGCCATCGGTCCACTTTTATCTGCTTTGCCTTCAGAAACTTTAGCGTAAATTTTTTTAAGACATGTTGATCGTAGATGTATTTTGTTTCTGATGGCACAGAAACTGCAAAAAAATATCCACTGGTAAAAAATAGCCTGTGGATGATTACTTTGAGCAAGATATATGACAGCTTTTCGTTCCGGCACGAAATTTACTTTGGAAAATGCTGTTAAATTTCCCCGGAGGTAATCGGCTTACTGGTTCGAACAATCTGTGCTTTAGAAGTTATAATTGTGTATTTTGTCGCTATTTCTAAGAAAACACTGCCATGATCGTCAAATACACGTCGGGTAATAGTTTTGTTTTGCTTGATGTTGTGACTGAGTAGATTTTTTAACTATCTGCCTGTATTTGTTTTATTATTTTTTCGGATGAAGTGTAAACAAGAAAGACGATGGCGGTTGAAACTGCAGAATAAAAATATTATCACTGTAAAAGTCAGAACCGGCAGTCGAACCCGCAGAGTTCTCTCTATTGCATAGTATAATAAGGCAAACATGCGATAAGCATGTTCCATTTCAAACTAGCGCAAATCTGATATTGTTTGATTTTGAGTATAACTGAGGATGTGTTATTAACTGGAAGCTGCAAACAAAAATTATTTTCCTGTACGCTCCCATTTGAACACCAGTGCTCGTTCATTTCAGTTGTAAACCGATTGTAGCACGTTTCTTGAAATGAAGCTAATTTGCTATCTGCTTAATTGTATAATTAAATTTCCAATTCCTGTTGCAGATTGGCGCTCCTTTTCTGGCTCCAACACAACTTAAAACACCATCAGAAGAATTTCACTACAAACTTCCTTTTGTGGATGAGAAGTTTCCGCTTAATTTCATCAATTCGTCGGGTTTGGCATTTGAAGCTGATGAAGTTCGTCGGTGCATTTTAGCAGGTAAAGTGTTGAGCGGTTTGGCCAATCAATCGGCAAGATTTCATCTGCTGTGTAATAGTTTTTGGTTTTTCCTAGCGGGCTCATTACTGAAGAGCGATACCGTTTTCAGTTTTATTCTCCTGTTAATCCGACTTGTTTGCAGGCAAAACAGAAAGTCCTCTCATGTCCGAAGCTGATTCCTTATTGAGTGCCGAAATTATTGATGCCATTTGCAAAGAGATAAGGTTGAATTATGATTAATGAACTTGCTCCATTCTTGCCTTCCTTAGAGCACACACAGAATCCGGAATATTTTCTATAAAAGCGGACTGATTTTTTATTTGCAGAATTTGTTTTCTGATTTTTTTGGGAAATCGGATTGGGTTGCAGACTGTGTATTCTTGATTTGTTTTTATAGAACTGATTTTTCTGCATTTTTATTTGATTGCGATTGGTAAATTTGATGTGACCACATACAGTACTGTGCGTTAAAGATTTAGTTACATTAAAATATTAAATGGTGACGTAATGGTGTTAGCGGCTTATCAGAGATACTGCCGAGTAGGCTTTATACATATATATACAGTTTTTCTTTCGATTTTTAACATCGTATTCAGATACTGCAGTTCTGAGCATATTAAATTAAGAAACTTACAAAGATGACAACAGAGCAGAGAAGCGCTATGGCCTTTTTTGTTCTGCTTAAAGCTTTAATAACTTATACAGTAAATTTTCCGCTTTGCGTTACACCATGGAATGTGGATTATGGGAGCATAATTTAGTTCATTCCTTGGAAATAGCATGGCGTTACTTGCACGTTAGCTTTTGATAATGGAGTCGTGCCAATGTAGGGGTGAAGAATCTGTTACAAAATGGCTCAATTCACTCGACCACAGCCTGATAAGGTGCCCTTTGTTATCGTTCATTTTATCTTGTCGGCAACAAGGTGAACTTGCCTCGTGGACCTGCCGCTGTTTACGACGACTTCTTTCGTCGTATGCGAACCATTACTTAAGACATTACACCACACGTTTCAAGCTGTCTGAAAATTTACTTGTAAGGTGAAGGCTCCTTGCCCGCAACGTGATACGGTGTACTTCCGACACCAGTGTACGGCGTGATCGGAGCAATGTCGCCGGTACAAAAGTTGTCGTCGAGCCGGCTCGATGGCAGCCAGCACGACGAGTGTTTCACTGCTGATCAGCGCCGACAGTCTACCGCATGTGCAATAAAACTATTCTGCGTAGTCGTGCCATATTTTTGCCAAATGCACATATTCGTGTCGGCTACTCGAAACTTGTTCCAGAACACAAACAGTAATTGCTGGCGTAATTCAAAACGCTAAAATTATATCTGGGTCTCCCACGCCTCGCCAGCCTGAACGCTGCATGATCATGCGATTATGAAAGAAGTTCGGTAAACATTTTTTGACGCTCATCCACAATTTGCACAGAACACCAAGCCAATTGACGATGTCTTTTGATTCATCCAATAATGCTCATGGTGAGTTATTATTAGAACATAATAACGTTAAAACAGAGTCACATATTAAAAACGCACAAACGTTATATTAAATAGTGGTACAATCAGCCAAAGAAGCATGAAAACGTTCGGTATATCACAGAGCATCCAATCGCGAAAACACATCCGCAAAAAGTGCCAAAAATCAAGAATTTTATACAGCTAAAAGTCTTAAAGAGCAAAGACCTTGTGAAGGACAAAAGGTTATTCGCACTATTACTGTACAGTATTGCCAGCGAGGACAGCACCATTAGTTTGCATCTGCGATGTGCCGAAAGCAGAACGCATCCATTACACACGGATCCACCCCCGGGAGGAAATACTGTAACCGTTTTGAGCCAAATAATTTCTGCAGATTCCATGAAAGAGAACATCCGATGAGCAAGAACGGTCTTTGCCACACAGCAAACTCATTCCTGCTGTTTGAGTTGCAATGCCAATCATATTATGTAAAACGATAAATACGTCAGTGTTTGAAAGATCCGAACAATTAAACGAGTACAACTTGAAAACTGTACAAAACATCCAAAACACATCCTTGGCCGATATAAAGAATAAATTACGATCTGATCACCGAAAATCAATGCCGGCATTTCTATTCCGCTCCAGCTCCAAATGCGCACATAAACAGAAAATCACCAATACGGTTGATGGTTTTCCAACTGGTTCCAGCTGGCGAATTCGCCCCAAGATTTGCTGGGCGATTCAATCCTGTACGCATCTGTATGCTTTTCCAGTGTGCGTTTGTGCTTCATGTGTCCCGTAATCAACTGATAATTTTTTCCCTGATTGCTATCCCAGTACTCCTTTCCATCTGTTCGCAATGCCACACAAAATTCAATTAAATGACGCTGCTCGGCCTCTTCCGGAATTGCAATCTCGAAGCTAAACGTATCGTAGATGTCCGTGCTACTACTGCAATATTTCGCCGGGAAATCGGAGTATGTTTGCCAGCCGTTGAATGTGCATCGCACAAAGACATCCTTCTTGAAGGACACATTCTTCACCTTGATGGTGCCCAGAAAACTCTCTGACTTCTGCTTGATTATCACATTCTCCAGCGCGACAACATTACTCTCCAGTTTCTCCCGAAAGCCCATATAATCAGCGGCCGGCTGGCTGAAATTCACCTGCCATTCGGATATCTCCACCACCAGATCATCAGCATTTTGTGGTTTGGCAGACGAGCCGAACAGGTCAACACGGGGCTCCGCTTCCGGTTCCCAGTAACCATCATCCTCCTCTTCAGCGAATTCAAACGTGTTAGTCAGATCCAGCCCGACATCATCGGCGAAGCGCACCGTCTTCCTCGCTCTGTTCTTGTTTTCGTAGTTTTTGAGGATGGGCGTGCTGGTGGTGGTGAGGTTCTTCCGCCGGAAACCCCGTCGCGGGGGCTCCCTGAGGATGAGGGTTATGGGGGGCACCTCATTATCGTCGGACTCCCCGGATGTCAAACCGTCCTCCAACGAATCCAGCCGGTCCAGACGTTCGACACGCGGGCTCCTCCGGCCACTGAGGATCGACTGGGTGCTGTTGTTCGACTGGGCGACTACGGGAGATTTCTCCCCGGTTTGCGAGCGAAGTGGGTAAGGATTCCGGGCATTTGCAGATCCAACCTAAATTAGAAAATCAATGTTTTCTTGAACTTGCATAATTGCATTAAGCAGTGTTTCGCTTTTAACATTCAGTCAAGAAGATTAATACAAGCAGCGGATAAAAAATAGACGTTTATTTTTTTAAAAACGGGGTGAGTTAGAAGCTAACAAGTACCAACATCTGCAGTTCCGTATCCCCGATGCGCTATCCAGCCTGGCCCTGTTCGGGGATTCCCCAACTGTTGTTTAGACACCCCCTAGTACACTACAGTGACGCTGCCGGTTTAAACTTGATTGCGGCTGCCAATATGTACAGTACAGGGAAAAATACCGCATCATTCATTCGGAGCGTGATCGTTATTTACGACTCCGAAGCCTGCACTCTACAGCCTACGCCTATGTCAGCAAATTCAAGCCATTAACCAGTACGGTTAACCGGCGTTCCTTCCGGTCGCTAAAATCAGATCCCGCGCGGATGTCCGGTCATTCCGGTGCAATTCCAGAGAAAAAAAGCCGGTAATCATAGACTCATGTATGGTACATTGGTACGTACTACGTAGCAACTTTCGCTCGAAGTCGACGCGTACAGTATGTGTTTGCCGGCGCCGACGATATCAAATGCAAACGGTGCAGTGGCTGACCAGTGACCAGTGACCATCACGTGCAAGCTCACGCCGCTTTTGCGCGTACATCAATGAGAACTGGTTAACTAGCAGTTTTGTGACGAACCAGACAGCCCATGGCCAGTGCAAGCTGCTTGCTACAAGCCACAAGGTTGTTCTAGCTACGACCTCTTAACACGCTGAAAAGGCAATAACTGATCTTGAAGCACTTCATGACTTATGCTAAAATCGTGATCAATAAATAGGCTAGAGAATGCAGTAGTAAGCAGAATCCCACATCATGTAAAATCCAGAATCAAACAGAATGTTCTTACTTTTAAGCTACGTAATCGATGGTTACAATTATATTTTCAGCTACGTATTCAGGGATTACCATTCTGACGAATTGTCACAATATTTTTCAACTTTTGCAACTATGAATTTTGAAAGGAATTTTGGAAATCACCTTACCATAATAAATTATACAAAGCCACACAAAACTACTTACGTTTTACAAAAAAAACCTGAAACTAAATGTAAAGTGTTGTCATATATCGCCAACGGTTTTCTACAAGATTTACCTGCTTACTAACTTACATTTAAAATGTAATAGTTTACAAACTGTAAAATGCACAGCAGCGTAGATATGCACGTGCCTATGTAATACAGATATGTGCCTATTGCACGAATACAGAATAACGAAAAAAATGACTGACACACATCAATTATGCAGAAATATGATTACAATTACTGAGTAGGTTTTCATTAATAAAAGTGCTTTTTGCCAATACCTGGAAATCGAGCATGTAGTTGTAGTGGTGCGACGGAGGAAACTGAGCAGCAGTAGATGATTTTAGAGGACCGACCATGTAAATATCGTAACCCGTTGCAGGGAATGGCATTCCCGTTACCCGAAAAACGGTAGACTTGGCACGGAAATTTCAACACCACCAGTCCCTGAGCAAGTGCAGTGCACAAATGCCACTACGCTTTTAGCGCCCAAATTATGTAATCAGGCAACAACACCGCATGCCGTTTATAGACACACTTATCTTTAAATTGAAAACGTTTTTAACTAAAAATTAAAACCACGATAAAACAAGTAGAAGGCTTCTTGGATACACTGAGAGAAAATCATGCCGTGTGGAATAAATAAAAGTCAAAGATAAGGATATTCACAGGCATAGGCCAAGGGTTCAAAATTAAGAAAGTCGCAGACAAATGATAGATTAAAGAATCCGTTTCGAGGAACACGGTCTTTTCAATGTGTCCGCATATTGTACAAGTTTATGCCACAGTTGAAACGAATGGTTTGACTCGTCTCTCGTCATAATAAAAATCCCTTTAGCGGATTCTCATCACCATATAGGCGCCCACCAATAAGCAGTTTTGTTGTGTCGACTGCTGCGGACTGCATATTGCGCACGTGAAACGATCGTGCATGCATCGTGATGCTGTTTGGTATGGCAGTGTCACTGAAGTGTGGCCGGGACATTTCAGCAGTAAACTGACCGGGCGTGATACGCTGTTATGGCCAAGATTCATTGCGCGTGTTCTGCGGGTTCAGCTTCCTGATTAGAAATGGTGTCCTGAAATGATTTGTGTTAGTCAATAAAGTAATGTTTCCCGTCTCTAATGAAAATTTGAAGTTTTCAATAACCTGACGCCACTTTGTTGTACGTTACAAGATGGGGTCACGCTACAATCAGTAGTCAGTACACTACTCGTAGGAATACATGTACGGGCTGGTTGCATCCTGGGCGTGGACTGATGGGAACCATGTGTATTTATCAGTTATGTAGTTTATCTAATAATTAAACCCTTTTTTGCGGATAAAGTCTTAATTACTTGTTTGCTGCTTTCAAAACCAGGGAAATATTTTTGCTATCTTGTTAACGTTGTTTCCGTGATACGGCTTGCGTGCTACCTTTTACAGTAAGCACGTAAGTAGTAAGCACTTCAGTGCTGCAGTGCATGCTGCATCATTATAATTAATAAAAATCCTGAAATGTATTCAACCACTTTAATTATGCATCAATAAAAAAATGAATAAATGGCAGATGAACATAGAATCTTGAAATTCGAGTACCAAGCTGTCAATACTAACACAGGTGAATGCTAACAGAGGTATTTTTTGCTAGAAATATCTGTAGTATGTATGATACGAGTACAGTAATACGGTAATACCATTAAATTGTGGTTGAGGTTGTTTAGCGAGTCTGGTTTACCCTGTCTATTGTACTTCCGAAACCGTTATCAGTGTTCGCCGCAACTTTGATAAACAGACGGAAAAGTGAACTAATGGTAAGCAAATGCAGTGCTTAAAATTACTTAAAAGTGGCTAGTTTTTTTAAGCAGCATCATCGTTTTAGCAGTAGTGCAGGGAAATATTGCATTTATACCAGCCCTGGATCATAAATTATCTATGTAAATAAGTTACCAACATAAGATCTACAGCAGTTTATCTTAATTTTGTCTGCTTGGTTTTAGGTTAAAAACTTGAAATGTTGTTATGGGGTCTTTAGAGCAATCACGGTGTTCTGCAGAGATCTGATAACACGGACCGGGACAAAATTACTACTTCTAATATTTAAATGAAAATTCAATCAATGGAAAAAATAAAACTACTACGAGGGGCAATGGTATACAGCTAAAAAAACCATAATAAAATTTAGAATAAACTGCGCATTATATATAGTTATATACGCTGTTTAATCTTGCCTTGCGTTTTAGGAAGCAGATCACACGAGTATTCGTACGCAAGAAGTGCATAGTATTATGTCATGGAACCATAATTATCTGATTTGGTGGAATTAGTAAATGTGGGGTGTGGACCGTGTGACGTACATGCAATACATATACACAATATGTTAAATGTATGTTAATACACAATATATACAATATGTTAAATGTATGTTAATACACAATATACACAATATGTTAACACAATATATTAACATATATTAACATATACACAATATATTAACATATATTAACATATACACAATATATTAACATATACACAATATGTTAATACACAATATGTTGAATGGTTGTATGTTCAAGAATTTGTTTAACCATGGCGTTTGCGGTCAGCAAAAGACTAGCAAATACTTTTATCGCAAAAAAAATGTGTTAACGTGCCACTGTGTTCGACTACTGTACATAGTGTATTGTATATACTGATGCACGTGCACGTGCCCGTTGCCACGATTAACTTCACTGCTCGATGAATCTACGATTCTACAGCAATTATCAACGTTAAATTCCTTGCGCTTTGTTATTCCGGCATTGCACACCGAATAAAGCCCTCAACCAAAAAACGTCGAGAATGAAAAGTTAAAAGTTGTAGTTCCAACGAAAAGTAGGCTATGCTATGCCTGTATGTTATAATATGGTTTATTATATGAATGAATGTTCCATGTTAATTTAGCTTGCATGCCCGCAGCTTGAAATAAATTTCTTTGCATATTTTTACTACATAATAAAGTACTCAATCCCTCCTGTTATGGCATGTTAGCATGTCTCTGACAAGCAGCATCAGGATTAGTTATTGTCATTGCTCGTTGCTTCTACACAAGCAGGTAATAATGAGCAGGTAATAATGTAGCTTAATGTTTATAAACACAGCTGCACAATTCTGTAACTGGACACACAAAATATTTTAGGTAGAATTGCAAATTGTCCTAACAGCAAAGAATTGTGCAACGCACTTGTCGTCTTCCGAAAATACTCAAAAAAACAGTGCCAACTGGAAACACATGTTGTTGTTAATCAGCATAAACTTAAGATTACTTCGAAAACTCTGCAAAAGTTATGCAAATGACTTATGCACATTACGGTAAGGTGCAACTCCATTCTGTTAGACTATTAAAATGTAAGGCAAACGGCCACTGATTGTGAGTGACATATAATTCTTCATAATTATAACTGCGAAAGGTCAGTTTTCTTTTGCGACCACCTTATCCGTAGCTGTAAGTCTACAGTAAGTACTAAATTGGCGTTGATAAAAAGTTGGTTCTGCAAATTCGGCACCAGCGCTAGCACACTTTCATTAGGCAGAATGTTGGACATCATCGGTATTCTACCCAAATTTCTTGTCCTATTCTTATCTGGGAGTTTTGTCTTGGCGCAACAAGCACCCCCAATGCCGACACCGCCCTTCACCGGCAACATGCCTGGTCATCTTTTCGTGGCTAATACATCTGATTCTGGCTCACACACATCACCGGAAACCACGTTGATGCTGGTCACGGAGCCAACGGATCTAGTTTTATCTAATCCGACGCCAACCAATATTCCGGCTGCGATACTCAATGCGACCTTTCCGGTGAAGCCACCCAACCCACTGCCTCCCGGAACCGGCACGCCAATCCACGTGCCGATGGTCTCCAGTAGTAATATTAATGTAGATGCTCCAATATCCGGTCACAACATCGTGGAAGGAACACCGCACGAAGGCGCTCCTGAGTCTTCATCACATACTGACAACATCGAAGAAAACCACGACATTCCTCAGGGTCCGGGGTTCGGTGCACCGATGCACTGGCCGGGATTTCTTCCACCATTCTATGGTCACCACCCTTTCCCAGGCGTGCCTCCCATGGGAAACGGATTCGGACATCCTCCGTTTCACATGGCCGGCATGCCGCCGATGCCATTTATTCCTCACCCGAATATGACCGGTATGAATAATTCACCGTTTGCGGGATCCATGCCGTCGATGCTGCCAATGAGTCCTGTCCGGTCTGCCGTACCGCGGGCGGTTTCCCATGGTACACTGCGCCGTATGGGTGTCTCACTGGGTTCGCGTGCATTAACGCAAGGCTCCGTTGTCTTAGTTCGGCTTGGAGTGCCGATTAATGGTACCAGCGTCCACAAAAGCGGTTCTACGGGGTCACTGACGCCGGTATCGGGGTCAACGGCAGTCGTGGCGAATAATGCCGCAGCCAGCATCAACGTTAACAACGATGGTATGAATCAGACCACAATTGCGCCAGTAATGCCGGCAAACAGTGAAAAAGTACGACAGTTAGGAGATCCCAATCAGCTAGTCCGCTCTATGCTATCAGCACTTCCGGCTGATGGAAGTGTTGATATATAAAAGGTAAACATGTTTTATACTTCCTGGTGCCAGATTAGATCACTATAATGACACAATACGGTCTTTATGCATTATTACAATTTTTCCATTTTTTGGAAGTACAGTCAAATGTATGCCTGTTTCTGCAAAGCGTTTGTATTTCCGTTGACGTGAATTTTTCAACTACTGTACCATAATACAGTAACAAAACTGTTTTTGTGCGTTTGATATTGATAAAAAAATAAAGAATGCAAATTTTCTTATCATGCCAAATTTTGATATGTTATGCATTGATTACGTGAAAATAATTATGAAAGTGATGGATGGACGCCGTCGTTGGGACCACTGCAGCGTATTGATACTCGTATAATCACAAGAGAGAAATATTTTGGATCAAATTAACGTACGAAGAATGGCTGCAAAGTGGTAACAATTAACACTGTTACAGCGCCAACCAGTCTTGCAAGTTACAATACGAGTACAAATACATGAAGTTTGAAAAACGTTCAAGATCCGTATGAACAGGCTACTGTTTTGCTTTTAATAAAAACGCCGTTATCTTATCAAGCGTAACGGGGAACCAGTAACGGAATAATAGCGGTATTTTGGTCTCGAACCATGGGAAATATAGTTCACGATATCTACGAACAGTGGCCATAACTATGGCTGTTGCGGTGTCTTTGGCACTGACGGCACTCATCAGGTTGAAGTTCTCGAACCGGAAGTTGTTGATTTCCTTTCGCATGTTTTCAGTTTCTGCAACGTACAGTAACATCTGCATTAGTACACTATCGTACAGGTACTTGTTTCCATTCATGCGAACAAAACTTAACAAATATTACAATATTACAGACACGTTTCCAGTTCTTAAACAACCAGACTAATATTGCAACGAAATGGTTGAAATCAGGGCAAGCGCAAGACAGTATTAATTATTATAATCAGCAAGATTAATGCAACATTCATCTCATAAGTACTTATACGCACAGAACAGAATTCTGTATAATACTCATGCATTATTATTATTTTGATATATTTATTATACATAAGAACTTTGCACGCTTTGCTCATTTTGGACAATACAACTTATTGTTAAGCTGCTTTTGGGCGTTGTGCGATAACTATTTTACAAATATTAAACTTGTTTAATATAGCGAAGTTTCAAATTAATACGCAAATGTTATTAATTGCTTTAACAGCGTTTTATACTTTTAGTCAATAAAATATAAATATGCATACCTATTAGCCCCAGTGTGCAGTATGTTATCGAAACATTTGATCGCTCGGCCTCCAACTCCAAGCGCCAGCCGGCAAAAAATCCATCCAGCGCATGTTTGGATGAGGAATAAGAAATTATGTAAGGCGAATTAGAGCGACCTGTTAAAAACAAAATCAGAATTTACATTCAAAAGTCTTGACCTAAAGTATTTTTATCAAAGAGGCCGTTTAAAGGGCATGTCGGTCAAATATTAAAAATATTTATGACTTCCGAATCGCAGAAAACTGTTACGTTATCACTGTTTACCGCTAGCGGAAGACACAACACCAATACTGCCCGCCGACTGCTCCAGAAATGGTCGCATCAGAGAAGCAATTTTGACGTATCCGTAAAAGTTTACATTGATAATATTATAAAGCTGGGTCAAGTTTTCCGCTGTTCCCCTCCAACTGCCGATCTGGTTTTCTAATTTATGATTAAGTATCAAATGATCGACGAGAGATTCGGGAAAGTGCTTCTTGAAAACTTGAGGTATTGCTTGGATGTCTTCGTCAACTCCCATGTCGGCTGCGTACACTGCCACTTGTCTCCCGCCCAGCTCCAGACATCGCTTCGCCACCTATTAACATAAAAAAGTAATGCAGTTCAATTTTTTATAGTTTATAAGCCGAAATTTTAAAGAATTGTTTACGCAATGGCCTATGGTCATATAGACCAACATTTTAAAAATATATACGGAACCCTGTATGTTGTGAAATGCTGTTTGTTTTTATTTCCGCTTAGTCCACTTTAGAAATAATTATGTGAGTTACGTGGAGCAGGTTTCCTCGATGCGCTATTATTTTTCGTGTCTACTCTATATCTTTTCCTTCCAACAGAACTTCTTCAATCCATGATACTTATTCATTATGATGCTATGATGCTTAACAGTATATCAGAAAATTTAATGATGCCAACCTTTTCCAGCACATGTTGCCTTCTGGAAATAATGAATACCTGTAAAAAACAGTCGCACTAATTGTACTCAGACAAGTAAATGCATAACATTATAACAGTCAGAGTATGCACCCAGGCAAGGTGGCACGAAGAGCAATAATTATGCGATAACTTGATATTAAATTACAAATGTAATACTATCTTTAACTGATACCGATTCGGGTCGAAATAGTTTTTGTTCTGGAACAGCAAAATTGCTACTTATAACAAACCGTTATTCCATCAGTTTATGGGGTTTGGGGCAGCCGGTTTTTGGGGTATCTCCAAATTGATGTACAAATTAAGTGATCGGTGCATCAACACCGTACCGATCGTTACAATTCTTGTAAATTCTACAATGATCATCGTACCGATGCTCCAGACTGGCAATACAGATAAGCAATTTCTTCGCCTATTCCCGTCGATGCTCCAGTAACAATGGCGACTTTATTCGCGAGCTCTTCTACAAAAAAGTGCAAATACACCGGTATAAATACCTCATTTAAACCTCTTACCATACCTCATTTAAAACTTGCAGTCTCATGGCGTTCTTTTGAATCGTTAAGGTTTTCAAAATTACAAGTCAAGTAATCGAAGTTCGTGAAAATTTATGGTAGAATCGTAGAGAACATCCAGATGCACAATGCGAAAGTTTAACACTGCAGTAACTTACCGATCAGCTACCTTTTTCGAGTGGAGCATCAAGAACGAGAAAGTAACCGATTCCGCATACAATAACGGCTGCGGCTATAAAAGCACTTGTGCAGTTCTTGAACATCTTTGAGCCTCGAACATATCACTCCCCGCTCACGAGTCAACGATGATTTTGCAAACCAAAAATTAATATTGAAATTTGAATTTGGGTAACTGCAGTTTACACCTACCTAAATGCATAGTACTGTCCATAAAGTACTGTATGTTGTGTAATTATGATCATTGTACAAGTACTAAACCGGTTCAGCTTTGCGATGCTTCGGCATTCGGCAAAACCGAATATGCCATGCCATGGCCAGATACAAGACGACTACGACTATTTCTAGTCCTGTTGGTGACGGTTTCACTGGAATGTTTCCCATGCATTAAAAAAGATGCTATAATGTTACTGTTAATATAAAATGTCAAAAATATGTTCTGTTTGTCTTATATTTTGTTTGCAAGGAGCTGTTTACAACTTTACATTAACATTATTTACAGTGCTCGGATACAAAACTGTACAGTAAGCGCTGATCTTTTGTACAATACACATGTACACGTTATATCTATATACTTCCAGCAACAAGAAAAATTTTTTTCATTAGCACTTATTATAGGTGTATGCCGGATATCGATTCCCATGCGCACTTCATTTGCCCCGAATAACATCTTAGTACTTGTCATGGACTGCACAATTATTCCCGCATTTTTATCGAAAAGCAAAATTATAAAGCAGATTAAACAAAAGGGACTAAAAAATTTCTTTAGCAATGTCCACAGATCCAGTGTTGCCACTCCGACCATTCGCCGCGTTGACTATACTGCAGCCCAGATGTGACGCATATCGCGCGATCAAAACACATTTATCCAGTGACGTCACAGACGCGCACAGTTCCGGAGACAACAGGAAAGCGGAGCAGTATCATAGCGCAGCACAAATAAAGGTGTCGGGATCAATTTTGTCTTCTTCCAGTAATTCATGAACAAACAGCACGTTATTGTAATACTGGCCACTGGAAACCAGCCGCACCATTGTTGTTCCGCACATTATGGAAGTGCTCTCTTTGGCTGTAAAAGCGTATAAGTTGCATGTGCCAGATATATGTTTGGTAACTTTGCTGCGCAACTTAACGATCAGTATGGAATTTCTCTTTTCCGTTTCCGTTTCGAATTCGACATGCACCTTTTTATATTAACGTTTACAGTTCATATGCGTACCGGTGTTGAGGCTGAATCCACACTGCGCCTTAAAAGGCACCATATGTGTCAGGTCGAAACTGGGTCCACCTCGAATTTCCACGTAATCCCGTTTTTCGCTCACCGCAATGGATTTTATGGAGCACTAAAATTTACTGTATATTGAATAACAACTTTTGGATGTACCTATTAAAATCTTAATCTGTCAAAGAAAAGCATTTTACATTTTCCAGCAATTATTTTCATATGCAGGATATACGAATATTTATATGTTTGTAAATTATACATAACATATATGACTGCATAATTGATAATTTCTCCAGCATTTGTTGCAAGTGAACAAAATAGTCTATGTACCTTTGCGCTACGTAATTCGGGCTCCATGATAATTTCTTTCAAATTCTTCAGCACAGGACTGACTCCAATGTCCATATATTCGAAAGCGAATCGTTGAGGATATATGGAAAGGACACTGCAGTTTTCCGCTAAACCTCGATTGGAAATCGCAGCCTTTCCTTCCGGCGACACTACGATGGCGTTGCAAGCTGCAATGTCCATAAAAAAAAGATTAGCATAAAAAACAATTTGGTCATACAAAATTAAAATTTTGTACGTATGCTATAAATAATATTGTAGTAATCGTTCTATGTACACACTAATAGAAAATAATAAAAACAGAACGTGTCAACATGCTAGTATGTTTGTAGCTGTCGCGGTACTTCAAATGACCATGTTACGTATATCAATCTTGCTCTATCTCAAGTTAATTTCCAACATACGGCGTGGATTTTTTGAGTAAGATACACGGATAGTGAAAGTGGATCCTGGATAAGGTAGGCGATACTGCACCAATGCCATATTGCCGGAAGATCGGAAGATGGACTTTGGTTGATCCGATCCGCAATGTTTAAGGTAACGCGGCCCATCCGCTCCCAAATCTTCCACCGGCGGGAAAATCGCCCCGTTCTGTTCCCATCCGTCCAGGATCTGGGAAAGGTCAAGTTTATTATATACTTGTGAGATTAATTGCTCCGGTAATTTTTCGAAGATTCTCTGTATCGGTTCGTATCGCTTTACGCATGGTACGTTGCCTTTCCTGGTATTATTATTTTTAAACGCATTGGTGCCTCTCTTGGTATTGGTAACTTACCCCCACCACAGCATCATCTTTGCAGTCCACGTCAAATTCGAGAAATTCTATCGCCACCTGAGCATCCAAGGCACCCACCAGAAAAATCCCGCAGGCCAACTGTTCGCCGGTACTCGTTACCTTGTACACGCCGGGTTCGCTCTTCATCTCCACACATTCTGATGATTTAGAAGAAATTGTCAACAATCAAATTGGAGGATGGTCCAAGCGATTAACTATTGTTACCTCACCTGTTAGGGCTTCTTTAAGTACCAAAAGCTTGTCCAAGTCAGCCGCATTTCTTTCAGGATTGTAAAAATTCAACAACTACAATAGCGAAAAATATTCCGTTTTAGCAGTTGATATGTCTGTATAAACATCTGGAGAACTGCAAGTCTGCAGTAATGAGTGAGATTGATTTGTATGTATGAGGTAATGCGGATGATTTATAGCGACCACAATACGAACGGCAATTCGCAGATATATGTTTTTATTAACTGCAATATCAATCGCCGAAAGAGTTTAATATATATTTAAGTTGAAACAGTTTTACGTGGAAACAAATCGCTGTAATATTTAAAAAGGGCTGGCACAATTTTTTATTTGTGATTAATCATAATAAAATATACGATTTTGAACTACGGGTCATTTAAATCAAAAGAGAGCTGGTTATATCGTACTTTAACATTCAAATGCATCCGAAAAGCGCACAAAGTGCTTTTCAGTAGTTTGACGCCACAATGGAAAGAAATGTTTCTTGCGAATTTTCGTTATCACCGCTATTTAAAACTCTGTCCAGAAATAAATTATCAGAACGTGTTTTAATTAAAACTACTCTGTATATAAGGTAAGTGCAGTTAAGTTTACCGCTCCTGCTTCCGCTGTATGCATTGTCGAAAACATTTAAAAATACGTAATTACGATAACGCGTTCATTAAGTAAGCGTTCAAATACAAAATACCATAAATATTAATTGTATTAGTAAGAATTAAATGTAAAAACTTAGTATTAATTTTGCTGATTACATTAATGTGACAAAGTAATTATAAGAGAACTTACCACTGCAGAACTGTACCCATATTGCAATATTCCTCCCACAAAGCATAACAACAAACTGCACGAACTTGCTACCATCCTTTAAAAATCGAGGATACTATCTCGATCTTAAATTTTCACCGCAACGGTAGCACAAGCAGTACAAGAGCAAAACCAATTTTTTTATGAATGTCTATTAGAAAACCAATCTTTCACATTACAATTAATATTTCAGACTAGCCTGTGTCACTTTGCGGCAACATTATTCGAAAAACTGTGCACACTTGTTCGAAATCAAAACTCCGTGCATATTAGCCACTAAAACCATGCAACTTGTAATCAGGACGACACTATATATGGGAAACAGCCGGCGAACGCGGTCCATTGATATCCGGGTTCATCCCACTTTTGGCTGGATAGGCGATATGTATGACGCCCCTTGTCTGATTTCTCCCTTTCAACTCACGTCATCATCCACTATAGTCCCACTACTACGTACTATTCAGCCGATTTACAAAGTGCAGATGAGTTGGTTAAAGTGGTGACCTTTTTGCAATATTGCATAACTCGTATCGAAAATGTGATCGTGAATGGCCATTGTATGCATTATCTCATACAACAAATTTTCTCGGCAAATATTTCTCATAACTATTTCCGATTGAGGTTGTAAAACACACATGCGACACAAATTAATCCGAAGTTATGAAAACAAAGACAAACAAGCTGAATTTGCCAAAAAAAACTGTATATGGACAGCCACTTGATGCTGAGATCATTCACGGCTTCCAGAATAACTTAAAGTTTGTCTTTTTACGATGACGTTCGAAACTGATTACTGATAAATTATGCAACTTGATTGTTATTATATTTCCATCTAAAGTTATACCGCTTTTTAATATTTGCATACTTTCTCGATCTTGCTGAACCGGGCGTGCCCGTGCGATACATATGTACATATTGTATACCTTTGGTTTTTACCATAGACTATATTGTAGCTATCCCTACAACAGATTGCAGACATAATCATTTATGCAAGCAAAATTAAATATTCAAAAGTTCTAATGCACTACCAAAGCAGAAATGTTAATTCAACAATGCCAAGTCTCGGTAAATCGATTGCCTCAAATGCATATAAATTTGTCACAATATTGTACAGGTGCACTAATGCAGGCGGTATATATTGGAATTGTGATTTGGGTTACCCGTCATTTAATTTTAAACAAAGTAGTAATCATCAACTGTGTAAAATACAATGTTGACAACAAACAATATTACGAGCGCGTTGGCATAAAACAACTGAAGCAATAGCGTGCGCAAGAATTCCCAAAACATTCACTATATTGTGTATGACTAAACTGGGAAATGATGCAATCCCGTGGCTCATTAAGTATTCTCACTGTAAATAGAAATGTGAATCCTTTGGAGGATTACGGGCTTTAAAGTGTAATTATGTGATCAAATTATAACGACATTTAAGAAACGATATCCTATTGGAAAGCGGCTTAACTATCGATAACTACCGCCGGTTCGGACTACAAAATGCGCCTAAACAGCACTCTGGGTTTGGTTACCAAGAGTCGCCGTTACATTTTTGTGCGCGTGCGCAAGTGTTAATCGTGATCCGCTCGTATTTCTGGATGAATGAAGAGATTATTTAATTTAGTGGAGCCATGTAACACAATATTTCTTTGCAAAGATAAACATGTGAAAGTGCCGTTTTGGCGAAGACATTATTCTATGACAGGCTGACAGCACACTTCTGTATATGCTTCCCGTGCATGTATACTCGTAATAAAATTTGTTAACCTGCGTAAAACTGGACGTTTTTTATTAATCTTTTATGTGGCACATGTTTCACGTCTTGCTTTATTTTGTCACGCAAGTAGCTCGTAAAAACGTCTCTGCTGTTCACGCTACTAAAGTTTTCCTTGTATTATCCATTTCATTCAGTGTGTTATGTGCAAACATTACTTTAAAAAAACTTGCGTACGCGTAGTCCAAGACACTGGAGCAACTTTTTTTATTTGTTTATTCATTTTCATCTGTATCTTGGCCAATGTAACAGGCAAGCGCGAGGAGATCACGAGTGTGCTTTACTGACAAATAAAGGGAGCAATGCTGCGTAATAGCAGGGAAAGCAAGACCAAGCACCGATGGCTAAGCAAGCAAGTGAATGCTAAAAAGGCTCTTGAGCGTCCGTCAAGGCGTGAAAGAAGCAACTGGCGGCAAGCACGTGCTGTGTGCCATCAGCTGTGTGATGATGCGCAGACTGGACTCAATCCAACGCGAGCGTACGCTGAGTCATACAGCGAGAGAGGGACGAGAGAGCAAGTATGCTCAGCGTGTGCGCCGCATATATCCGCTTCAGCGGATATGAGTGCAGTGCAGCAGCACACGTACGTACAGCGAGAGAGGCGATATGGCAAGCATGAGTGCAAGTACGTCCATGGTGGGCCGTATGCACCAGGCGCAGTCATGTGCCTCTGACATGCCTCTCTGGGCGGGAGTCCGAGCTCCTGCGAACGATGCTCCGACTCGGTACCGCACCAGTACCGCACAACTCTCCAGTCGGACCCAATGTGGGTCGCTGGTACGCGTCCTCTGTCAGTGGGAGTCCGGTGTCTGGTCGACCGTCCCTTCTTCACTTCCGAACCCATGAGTGGAAGCCACTCACGGCCGAAAAATCCGGAAGCCGCTCGGGCGTTTCGTTGGACCGGTGTTGCTTCTGTTGGCTGGCTTCTTGCTTCTGTTGGCAACGGAGAACAATGTGAAAGAAAAGTGTAATGAAAGTTGTATACAGCGCGAAAGAAAGTATGAAATAAAGTTTAATCACAATTCCAGTGAGCAAAAGGGGTTACAAAACAGATCTGTCAAAGAGATCGAACTAGAAAAATACAATTCCGTTTGTTAGGAAAAAATGCTAAAAAAAAATGCAAAAATCTGTCCGGGGGTCCTATTCCGACTAGGATGACGTCCACGGGGTCTCCTGTCCACTCTCATCCGGTAAGTTGGGTCCGGGGCATCGGTTCCCGGGTTACCCGTTGTGACCGGTTACATTCACCGAGGTCGGATAAGCACGGTTAAACACTTACTTCCGACTCGTATCCGTCCGTCAGGGATAGAGAGGCACTGTTGCAATTGCAAATGCCGAGGCATCCTCTCTGAATGGGGAATAGGACCGAGGTCGGTTTGACCAAGGTCGGCCTACCGGTAAGTCGACCGGCGGCTGGGGAAATTCGGCTATGTTCCGAATTCTTAAAGTCCAGGTCGGAGAAAGCTGTATGTAAGTCATGCGGCCTGTGTGGTCGTCATGTACAGCGGTTCCGTTCAAAAGTGGTCGGTTACAACCGTTCAATCTGCTACCACGAGCCTAGTTTGGGGCTATCCGAGTCGAACTGGCTCGAAGGTCCGGTCGGAATTTATGAGTTTCAGCGATGGAAGTGTCCAGTCGACTTCCATCCAGTCTGTTCCGTTGTTATCCGACCTTCTGTCGAGGTCGGTTGTCCTATCCGTCATTGGTCGACTAGGGTTAACCTGCAATAACATGCCCATGTGGGGCTAAACAGTTCCTTCAAGTCGAATTCATCCACCGCAGACAGTTGTCATTCTTCTTCCGTCATGTTGAATAAGTTGCCGATTTCCGACTTGTATTTGGTTGTGGTCGACTTCGGAAGGTCGGATGAACTGAGTCTTCATCCGTTCGAAGGTCGGATTTTTCCGTTAGGAGGTCGATTCTCGACTTCTAAATGCCTTTGCCGACCTGTTGTCGTATCCTTCCAGCTTCTGTGCGGTCACTTCCGACTTCAGCTTGAGGTCGGATATCCATGTCCAAGTTCGGAGGTCGGCTATTTTCCGACTTCCTCAAGTCGGAAAAACTTGGTGTTTTATCCGACGAAAGGCTAAATTCTTCCACTAGGAGGTCGATTTCGTACTTCTGGTTGATTTTCCGACTTGTTGTCGCCTACTTCCGACCTCCATCTGATGGTTGTCGACTTCATTTTAGGAGTTCTGTGCGTTCGGCTACAGTTGGCCGGGTCCTTGGTGTCAGGACATCCTTCGGTCAGTTCGGACTGGCAGAGGGATGTTCGGCAACACAACTCCGTTCCTTCTGTGATTTCTGACGTGAACTCCAGGTCGGATCCGAGCTACTGTTGAGGTCGGTCAATCCGAATTGCTTGCTTCTGGGTCGCCAAGTCCTGTGAGGTAGAGTTTCTGGCATCTGTTGGCCGGTTGGCTGCACTGCGTCTTATCATGCACTGCGCCTCGCTTACAACGCTAGCCGCTGCGACTCACGATCTTTGCCGCTGATTGCTACTTTGTTGCGGCCGCATGATCACGGTCTGCCTAGGATGTTCCATTGGAGACATGGGGAAGCAGGTCGCGGCGGAGTCGTTGGTACACCAGTATCCAAATCACCGTCGCTGTTCCTCTTCAGGAATGGCAGCACGTTCAAGGCGCGCGTAGTCGTGGTCACCGGTTAATCGGCTGGTTTACCTGATGTCGTCCGGGAGACTGCGGTTGATCTCCAGGTACAGAGCCTGTAGGTCTGGATTCAAACGGAGAATCCGTTGAATTATTACGCGACTACTGCCAGCTTCCATCCATTCTCCATAATCGACTTCTGTTGGTCGGCTACCATACTCAGTCGATCTTGTGGTCGACCAGAGGTGCGAATCGTGGTTTTAACGATCTGCATCGTTGCGGTTCGAACTGTCAGTCTCCAAAACCGATCTTTGTATCGGCTTGCACAACCGACCTTTGTGGTCGACTTGCGCGGCAGTATCCGTTATGTTCCAAGTTATGGGCAAAGTACGAAGTCGACCTTTGTGGTCGGCTCCCGTACCTAGTCAAATCCGAGTCTTCCTGCGCTGTTGGCGGCTCGGCCGAGGATTTCCGCTGTTTACAATGGTGAAGGCTGCTCGGCTACCCGGTTCCGAAGTTGGCCACGGTGCTTGGCAAACATGGCGGAACGCGCAGCGACGTGTTCCGCGCCATGTTAGCGTAATCCTCTCGGTTTCTTCTCCGAGTCGGTTGGCCGAGTAACTCCATGTAACGGATTGGGGCTTCTGTTGGCTCCGATGGTCGCAGAACGTGGTTGACGATCTGCTTTGTTAGCAGATGTGGTTACGATCTGTCTTTGCAAGCTGGGAACTGGGGTCGTTGCGTCTCGTTCCAGGACTTTGGGGACGTACCGGTACGGTGAAAGAGCCGAAATACCCGGTCTAACCACGCGTTTCCGTCCGACCAAAGAATCCGGCCGACTTGTGTAGTCGGCTTTCTGGCAAAAATCGTTGACGTCCGCGTACATGGTTAGTCATCTTCCAAAAAAAGAACT